GCCAATAGTTCGTGTGTTTACCCAGAAAAGTTACACTGAGTCGGGTCCTCTGCCAGGTGTGTTGCCGCCTGTGTGTGTTGCTGTCAGGTGTGTGTGGCTCCTGCCTGTGTTGTCATCCACCCAGTAATTTGCGGTGTAATTGTTAAGCGTTGGGATTTTTGTCAGCTGAACGCTGTCGTTTTTGTTTGCTATGGGAGGTCGTGATGCGAAACCTCTCCTCCTTGCTGTAAGTCTTTGGCATTGTGTAATATTCATAATGAACATATTGGTCCAGGAAAGCCGCACCAAGGCGTGTGACTTGGTCAGCAGGGTTGCTGCTGCTGCTGCTGCTACAGTGGTTTTATTAGTTGAAGATGAAACCCCGTACGGATGTTAAAACGGATAGCGATGTGTCTACTTGCTGCACTGCTTCCTCTTGGCGAGACGGGGAATGACACCCCCTCGACCCCGATGGGGGATGGGAGCTTCACAACATTCGTGCGGTGACCCACCAACCCTCGCTGCTGCCTCCACAGCGCTGGGCTACAGGCAGTCACGTGCAGCGGCAGCAGCAGTCACGTGCAGCAGCAGTCACGTGCAGCAGCAGCAGCAGCGTGGTCACCGCCGCCACCACCACCACTCGGCTTGAGGCGTCACGGCTGTCAATGACGAGACACTCCCCTCCATATGTTTGTGCCTAGTCGCTTACGAGAGTGGCATTGTTGTGGTTGGCATTAGCCGAGCTCGTATCGTGAAAGGGGCGGGGGGGGGGGGGCTCCACACGTGTAGGATTTACAGAGGCAGACTTTGCAGCAGTGAGCATTGGGGACTACATCTTGCCGAGGAGTCCTCAACAGGACAAACCGGTCCACATTTTGCATCGCTGCTGCTGCTCTGCCACATTTTCCCAAATGTGCTTCGATGGCGACCTAAGACGAGAGGAGACCAATCCAGTCTTTCACCACCTGCTCGTGGTTTCTGCATCGCGTGCACACGCGCTGTCAAATGTGCAGAGGAGGCGAACGAGACGGACGCAGCTCCCCAGCCCCGCGAGCGCGGAGTCAAATAGAAACGAGAGCCACTTGAGTTTGAATGTTCCCGTTACCCTGGATTGTGGTCCACTGATGGTGAAAGCGCGCCCGTGTTTCCCTGTGATGGGGAACTCGGAGCGAGTGGAGAGGAAACATCTGGAGCGAGGATCGACTTCACTCGCACGCTTCCTTTTGGAGAAGTCAAGGGTCACTGGTGATGATGAAGGGCATCGGTGATTATCTTAGTGACGAGTCCCTGTTGATGGATCACTGATGATGATGATGGTGGTCACTGGTGACGATCAAGGTCAGTGCCGCACCCAGCCGAGAATGGGGCCGGGCGCGGTGCGGTTTCTGCCGTGAGCAGGGGCCCTCAGCCGTGATGGCGGACAGCCGACATCTCCACTGGATAATGTGAAATGTTCGTGCACAGTCCGCGTTGTCGATCCACTGCTGGATGAGGGCCTCCCAATCACTTTGTACATTTCGCCGTACTTCCCTGCGGGCTGGTGAAGGCGGGCGGACCGTGCAGCGCGACTCCGCTGGGTGTTGCTGCGCTGGGAGCCGCGCGCATCCACGCCGAGTCGAACAGCCGCCGCCACGCGGTGTGGCTGGCGGGGCGGGGGACGGGTTGGGGTGCGTGTCACGGTGCGCTGGTCACAAGCCTCGTGCATCTCACGTGAACTACACATCCACAAGACTCGCTGTTTGGCTATCTACTAGCTGGGCATTTAAAGAGGATTTCCTAACGATCTTGTGTTGTCTTGATTTGAAGCTTTCGTGACTGCAGGAATCCATAGCTTTGGTAAAGTCACGTAGGTAGAAAATAAAACAAGGCACGACGTTTCTGGCGCAACACACGCGTCCGTCATCAGGTGGGACCGCTGGATGATGCAAGGGCAGTGCCGCTCGTCACTCCGCTATTTGCTGCAGGGCCTACAGCACACACAGCACACACGGCACACACCCGCCCGCACTTCTTCCCACCCTTTGTACACAGACGAGCAGGTATGGCGCACACAAAGGCAAACATCCCCTGTATTGCCTTCACCAGCATGTTGGGGCAAGTGCTGCTAGAGCATATCTTTAATGGGGGGGGGGTGGTGAGGCCAGCACCACGCCCTCCTGGGGGGGGGGGGGGAGAGTCTCGTCACGTGGGGCCGCGAGGGAAACTCCGCGGAGAGGCGACGTCGCTCCACGCGGGGCGACTCGCCTGGCATCTACAGGAGACGCCCTCGACTTCGACTCTTTTACTCGGAAGATTTGAGAATCTGGATCTTTATTTATCCTCGGGAAACCCGACGAGCTAGGAAACCCTTAAATTTCGATTTAAAGCTTTCGTGACTGCAGGGATTCATCTTCTTGGTTCTTTCGGTAAAGTCTCGTGGAAGGGAAATAATACAAATAAAACATAATAAAATATGAAACCCTTGTTCACAGATGTCCAGTACTCCTTTAAGGCCGAGTCAACCTAGGCGGATGTAGGTCCCGTCTCGCCAGTTGCCCGGCTATTCTACACGGGAGGTCCGTGGCGCTGCGTGAGCGCAGTAGCAACGTCGGTATGGTCGAGAACGAGATAAGGGCCGTAAGGAATGTTGCACAACGGACACACGAGGAGGTGTTTAACGGCCATAAACAGAACGCGCACGAGTCTCAAACGGTGCAACAATAGCGCCGCGAGCAAGGGACGCCAGAGCGCACGCGCGATATGCAGGTGCAGGTCGGCGCTGTCGTTTGTGTTGGAGCTGCGCAGCGCAGGAGGGGGGGGTGCAGTTCTGAGTGGACTCTATAGAATGTAGGAGTGTGCCCAACCGCCACCCTCCCCCATTCAAATGTCACCATTCAAAGTCAGTGTCCGTAACAATTGCGAGTGTAGGCGGAGGAGTTGCGTAACTGTCTACGTCGACGATCAACACATCGCGACCGTGAAAGGTTTCGCGCACATCCCCTTGCACGTGGCGATGGCTTTCAGGCGAGATGGTCATCGACGTAAGGCACTACCACTAGAGTACAAGGCGCGCCTCTTCGTGACGTTTCTGTGACTCTAGCCGACTAATTGAGGACAAGTCACTACACACCACACTACCCCACAACACCACTACACATCACACTACCACACTACACGCCACAACACCACACTACCACACCACAATACACTACACGCCACAACACCACCCTACCACACCACAATACACTACACACCACACTACCACACTACACGCCTGATTTGTGCTATGTTACTTTTGCCCAGATTTCTATTTGCCGGCTTCTATTGTTTTCTGCCATTTCCATGTTCTCCACTGCTGCACTTTATTCGTTTTGCTTTTCTCATTTGTGTCGCCCGGGTCCCCACGCGCGTGGGAATGAGACTCGCCAGCTCGTGTGGGGTTCCTGCCTGGCCGCACAGCACCCACGGGCGGGGGGGGGCACGCTGCGCTCGCCACATCACCTGCGGGGTCACGTGCGGGGTCACGTGCGGGTCACGGCCTTTGTTGCGCATTAACGCGAGGAACTGAGCACGGAGTGAGACCGCACCGCGAACCGCAGCTCCAGTTGGCATGGCAGCAAGCAGGTGCCCCCCGGGCTCCGGGCATGGCAGCAAGCAGGTGCCCCCCGGGCTCCGGGCACGGCTCGACTTGGGCCCGTGCCGACTCTGTTCTGAGGGCATCGGCGCGGTTCAAAGTCTCAGTGCAGATTGTGGTGCTCCTCCTTACGGCGCAGGACATAAGTTGGCATTCAGTTCGATGTTCAGATAAGGGACTCGTCACGACAAGGTGAGGCTGTAGTATTCCATGGATGTGTCAACACGAGTGCAGCCATCGACATGAATCTCACGGTTATGACGATGCCTATAAACAGATGGCAGCTCTCCAACATTGGGCTCGAGCAACGCTTCACTGATAAGTAACTTAATGTCTAATTCGCCCCCAAGTCACGCTGTGTGTTTAAAGTTTAAACCGGCGCTGGTTAAAATGTTGCACTCCCACAAGGAAGGTCGTGCGTGTGGCCGATAGGCTGTGTAAACATAATGCTACAATATTAAGGGGTATTCGTATTACTGTCTTGGGTAGGTGCATGAGGCGTCCTGTTTGGCTCCGGGACTTCGCGGCCAATCATTTACCCCGCGGTGTCGCCGCCTCTCGTCCACTCCCCTACTCGCTGCTTGCTGTGGCAGCACTTCCCCGGCAGCCTTGTCAGGCGACACCGGGGACCTTTGTATTTTACGAGGCTATTAAAATCGTGTTTCTTCTGAATTATCAGTAATCGAATGGAAACCAATGATTCGAATATAACGGTTACCGGTTTACCGCACGTGCCAAGCAGTGATCGACACAGCACGTTGACCTTTTAACCTGAGACGCAAAGGGCGCTTAAGCGGAGTTTGTGGCCGGCGTCACGGCTGGGCCTGGGCACCCAGTCGACTGGGACGAGCTCGCACTGCGTAGGGGTCGAGTGTGGGCACGCCCCCACCTCTTCAGACGTCTGGGCAGCGTGGAAGAGTAGACCAAATACACCCCACGAGAGCACCCGCGAGCGGAAGCCCTTCCGCCAACATAGGCGTGAGCGAGCACTTGCAGGGCTGCCCCTTTGTATGTATGCTGAACTTGGCACAGCGCGGTTGGCTACGCACGAACTCCGAAGGCAGCAGGGCACAGGTCGCACCACGCGGTCACTCAGCCCGCCGTGCGGCTTGTCCGTTGGCGCGTGCCAGGTCGTGCATTCCTTCCTCGCCGATTTATTTCAGAACTGGTCACCCATTCTGAAGACTGTTACCGGTTCGTCCATGAATGTTTGTGTCTGTGTCTATATGTAGGGCTTAGAGACACGCAGAGGGGTTGGGCGATGGGAGAGGCTGTGCGGGTGTTGTCGAAGGAGGTGAGCGAGCGAGTGCAATAATCGAGGCGTGGCGGTGTGATCGCGAGTCGTGGGGGTTGGGTGCGGAGGAGGCGCCCGGGTGATCCTCCCCGTTCCCTACTCCAGATATAGGCGCGCGCGCCGTCCCTGCTCGCACCGCACTCTGCACCAGCACCAGCAGCACCAGCACCAGCAGCAGCACCAGCAGCAGCAGCCCCGCGATTAACTCGGCAGGGCAGCTCAGCAGCGACGCTCGCGGTGTTCCAACAGATTCGAAACTTCCATCTCCTGCGCGTTCTACATCTCGATCGGCCATGGGAGGGGACTGGACCTACGGGCTGTTCGGCTGCTTCGGGAACTGCGGCATGTGCCTGCAGACGTACTTCTGCCCGTGCATCCTGGCCGGGCACAACGCCGAGGACACGGGCCAGGGCAGCTGCTGCCTCTGCGGCGCCGCCTTCTTCGTCTACTGCCTGGGCTGGTGGTTCGTGGCGCAGAGTCGAACCAAGACGCGCGAGATGCGCGGCATAGACGTGAGTCGCTGCTCCTGCTGCTGCTGCTGCTCCTGCTGCTGCTCCTGCTGCTGCTGCTGCTCCTGCTGCTGCTCCTGCTGCTGCTGCGTCGTGGGTCACGCGGTGGTGGTTGTGCGTTGGCTGACGACCACCACCATCATCATTACCGCCAAACTATGGACCATACACTCCAACGATAGGGACCCATCGAGGTCCACTGAACACGATGATAGGGACTCGTAGAGATCCACTGAACACGAACCACGGTGGGACGAGTCTTACCATGCAACTCAAACTGTGTACACCTGTAGACCCATGGAGATGCACAGCGACACAGAGATGTGTTAAAGACCAAACAGTGTCACGGTGGCCATGCAGCTCTCGCCATATCGAGTACTCGCAGTGTCGTCTGCGCACCTTCAACGGGGGAGGGGTAGGAACGGCGACACGACGCGGACTCTCTCCTGAAGTCCCTCGTCGTGGCGGCACACCTCGACGTTGGCATCGAGCTCCTCAACAGTTGGCAGCCGTCACGTCCATCACGACGATGGCGACCATCGTCACCTCCGCTATCGCGATGTTACCATCGTCATCACCGCCATCGCCGTCATCGCCGCGATCATTACCATTACTTCCACTTATATTAATCATCATCACTTCCACTATGATAATCACCATTACACATTACCTCCACTAAAACCGCAGCCACCATTATCACCACGATCATCGCTGCACTCATGACGTAGCTCACTGTTAGACCACATTAAACACGACTGCCGGCTCCGTGAGTGTGCGTGCCATCTCGGGCATGGGCAGGCGGCAGCCTGTGCAAACGGCGCCAGGGTTTTGAGTTGATAAACAGCCAGGGGTGACGTCGCTGGCCACTTGGCGATTTGTGACTTTAGAGGTTCCTCCCCCCGGTTTTTCTTTCAAGTCTTCTAAAAATAACCGCTCTATTTAAGAAACGTGTTTTTTACAAACTGCGACGGCAATTGTGCTGTTTGTTGCTGCCCGCTTGGCGTTTGGTGTTCGCGGGACCAGGATCCTAACCCCGACGTCAGCAGCAGTCGCCGTGCGAAGGGCGCGTGGCCGCTCAGCGGTGCCCTGGGTCACGAGTAGCGAGGGCCTCCGGAATAGACGAAACCTCCTCCTCCACCTCCTCCTCCACCTCCTCGTCCACCTCCTCGTCCACCTCCTCGTCCACCTCCTCCTCCACCTCCTCCTCCTCCCAGACCCACACGCCTCGTCGCACTCCCTCCTGCCTCTCGCATTCCTCCTCCTCGACTCTCGCGGTGTCACCACCGATCGCATCGGGACATCAACTACAGTTGCGGCCACTACGTCTGCAAATTTGCGCGCGTTACAAATTGTATTATTATTATTACAGCCCGATGCTGTACCACATCTCCGAATCGGCAGATGTTTTTTATACTGGGGGAATCCGATGAGCTATGAAGCGCTTTTTCACAGATGTCCAAATTAAAGACACGAGCCGCAGTATTGCAATTTTGGCCGTGCAACCCAAACGATGGACCGTATTGTAAACTCGCAGCGACCCACGCACACGTACATAACTAATGGTGGTGATGGTAATATGGTGACAACACCAATGACGATGGCTGTGGTGGTGGCGGTGGTGTTGGTGATGATGCAATTGAATCAACCCGCGCCCCTCGACTGGCGAGCCCGAGGCGACGGGGGGAGTGGCGCCGACTCCCTCCACACGCCGTCGTCTGCACGCGGGAGGTCTCCATCTCGCGCATTTCCGATAGCCGCACTAAAGCTGCTATAGAAACCGGTTACCGCATTTACCGGGCACGTAAAACGCGCCCGGAGCACGAAACGAAGCCAACGCGTCACTTCGCTCCCGCCTCGAGCGAGACGCGCAGTGAGCCGCCACCGCGGTGTTGCGACATGATCCGAGCTGCCGGGCACGAGCCGTCCCGAGACTTCGGCTCCTCGTGTGGAGCAGCAGGGGCTGTGCGGAGTCGCCGACCATCGTGAGAGGTGGCGACGGCTCGGAGGAGACCATCATCCAGCAGTTGATCGATCATGGCTGATGATGATGACGACGACGCCACTCGGATGTATTGTGCAGGCGTCATCACGCCTCGTCATCCTCGTCTTTGTGTCGAGAGCCACGTGGCTCGCATCGCCACGTGGCTCTGCGGCATCACGACCGACTCGTGGAGCCCCTCTGGGCCAGCGGGCCACGTCGGAGGCAGCAAATAGGGCTAACAAGTCAGGCCCATTACCCAGCGCATTTGAATGTTAAAAAAGTTAACACATTTGCCAATTAAGATATTAGCCCTGAAACTAATACATATATAATGTGTGTGTGTAACTGGGGGCGGTAGTGTAGCGGTTCGCACACTGCTACGAACCCGGCGACCCGAGTTCGATTCCCGCTCGTGACCAACAATCGTGGCGAATATTGTAACCGGTTCTGGGCCTCACCCTCAGTCGCGTGAGCATCAAATGAGTCGCTGGTGCGGCGGTGTGTAAACAGCGGTACTAGGGAGACCAAGGCGGCCGGGTGTGGTGTTGGCCACTTGCTTTATGGCGGATCTTTGTCTTTTTGAACATTCTTCACATTTTAGATATTTTTAAACGGTTGCTGAGCACATGAGCCAAATGTCCACAACGTCCAGCGGCCAGCAACAAAAACACCATCAGAGTTGTCCAGGATGAGAGTGGACACATGTATTGCATTGTGCCAGAGTCTTGCTGTAAGAGGGGATCCCAAAGTGGAGCAAGAACCTTGAAAGAGAAGTGGTGTGACGTGCAGTGGTGGGTGGGTGGGTGAGGGAGTGGTGTGCTGTGACGTGGGTGGGTGGGTGGGTGAGGGAGTGGTGTGACGTGCAGTGGTGAGTGGGTGGGTGGGTGAGGGAGTGGTGTGCTGTGACGTGACGTGGGTGAGTGAGAGGGTGAGGGAGTGGTGTGACGTGGGTGAGTGAGTGAGAGGGTGAGGGAGTGGTGTGACGTGCAGTGTGGTGGTGGATGAGACAACCCAGTCAGTATCGGGGCATCAACGAGTGAAGTTCACGGCAACCCATGCGAGTAGAGATGAAAGAGTGACAAGGAGGCGACTATCCACGAGTGGCTGGAGTTATTTTGTGAGTGCGGGATCAATACATCTGGTTGCTGCTCCACGTGGCATTCTACCGCACGCAGCGCGAGGTAAGACCTTGATGCTGCCCCCCCTCTACATACGTGTCGTGTGTAAAGCACCACGTGTGTGTGTGTGTGTGCACGTGTGTGTGTGTGTGCGCGCAGGGCTCCTTCTGCATGGACCTCGTCTACTCCCTCTTCTGCCCGTGCTGCGTCATCATCCAGACAGCGAGGGTGAGCCCACCACCCCCGTGACCCTTAACCCCCCCCCCCCACCCCTACTGACCTTATGTCACAACTTAAACGATAACGCTTTGGATTTAAACGGCTTAAATGAATCGGCGATTCCAAGCGCCTTGCGTCATGCTTCCCAATGCTCTGCTGCAATCTAGCAATGGGGGGAACCCCCAGTGGCAGCTGTCCCTGCAAGTGGGCATTGTTCTTCCAGTAGGAAAGTCTTGACGTTGTGGAAGGCCACATTCCACGACGTTCGGGCAGATTTTGTTGTGGGGACGTTGCCAAACGGAAACCCAAAACCTGCCCTCTGGCGCAGCGTTTCCCAACTCCCGCGTCCACGCCCTGCGATTACCGCGCAGCGCGCATTGCGCAGTGCCTCGATTTGCTTAGGAACCAAAGCGTTTGGTAATCGCAAAAGGTGGAGATTAGGGCGTTAAGAAACGAGACCCCGGGGAAGGCGGCTTTGCCTCCAGCCTCCATAGACGTCTGGGCGTCCCTGCCCACGGGGCTGAGCCTTGGGGGAGCCTTGGGGGAGCCTTGGGGGAGCCTTGGGGGAGCCTTGGGGGAGCCTTGGGGGAGCCTTGGGGGAGCCTTGGGGGAGCCTTGGGGGAGCCTTGGGGGAGCCTTGGGGCCAACTCTCTCTCCCGCGTGATGTCGGATCGGTGCGCTGTGCGTTGTTGGGCACGATGTTCGACGTTTCGCTGCGCTGACTGGGGGAGTTTGAGGAGTGAACGCGTCACGGGGTGAAGCAGCCGCAGACACGAATGTTTTATCTCTCACGTGACGACGCGGTTGTTTTTGTTCCGACTTCTGTTTTGCTTCGGTGCTGGTGCTTTTCTTCCCTTTTGGCTTTTGGGGACCCCCGCCACTCCTGCCACTGAGACTCCCATCCTGGCCTCCCGAGTTCTCACACGGTCGCGCAAAGCGAACTCGTAAGCGCGCGACGGGGCTCGGGCGCGTGCGCCGCCACCCACGCGGACGCCGCCCGCGGGGATGGCGGCCTTTGAAGGCTAAGGTCACGATCTCGGGGAGCCGACCGCGGTCGACTTCCACACCGGCGTCTCGCGCGGGAGGCACGGCCGTCGTGAGGGCCGCGTGGGGGGGCAGCGCGCCCCAGAGGGAGACGGAGCGAGGGAATCGGCTCGGGGCCGATTGTTACGTCGCACGAGGGTGAAAGATTGATCATGGCTCACGTGGTGATGATGGAATCGGGATAAAGTGAGACTGCTGCTCGAACACGCTCTGTTGGCGGTTCTGAGTCGGTGGTGAAAATTCCACATTACCGTGACGGGGAGGCAGCCTGTCCATGGCACCCAGATGCACGTTACACAATTAGCAAACCGTCTGCGGAAGCCGCGTGGCCTTGAAGCTGCCCTGTGCCCTGCGAGCTGGCGGCTTTACAGCCCCGCGGTGCCGGGGAGTCCCGCGTGGCTCTCCGTAAACTTTACTGTCGCGACGAGAGGCCGCCTGCTGACATCTGCTCTCGTGCCGGCGATGGTACCGTGCTTGGGGCACTGCACTATGGGCCCAGCGACTCGAGTTCGACTCCCAGCCACCGATAGCCCGAGTGTCCAGCGGAAACGCAGACCCTTGCTGTGGCCCGCGCAGCGAAGCGCGGGCAAACAAACCCGGCTACCGCACGGCGTGGAGACTCTTTCATTCAGCAGTGGATTGACAAAGGGTCGTACACACGTAACTGTGCGTCTGTCAACAAGTGTGGACAATCTGTCATCGGCGACTTGTCCCCTGTCTGGCACAGCTGTTGGGCTGCAAGGCCCCCAAGTGGTGTGCCTATGATAACAATTATTATAATCTACTTATCCAGTAGAGCCACACGCAGTCCTAGGACTCGTTTTTTCATTAGGATCCTGCTGCTGCACTGGGTTTTGATTTTAAGATGTTTCCAGCCAATTCATGATGAGTGTTTCATATAAATGGGAGGAAACCGGAGCACCTGGAGAAAGACCATGCCTTGCACGAGGGGGAAGTGCCTAATCCACGTACAGATGGAAACAGATGGCGATTAGTCCACTTGTTGTCCTGTCTTCTTCTGGCGAGACAGGAAATGGCACCTCGACGCTGACAGAAAGGGAGTTTTACACCGTCTGTGTGCGATCCACCACCCCTCGTTGCCTCCAGAGCTGAGTTACAGGGTGCCGAGCGGTGCCGCGTGCGGCCCAGCCACCACCGCCCAGCGCTCCTGTCGGCTGCGACCACGCCGTGGCCTGGGCTCGCGTGGCCTGGGCTCGCGTGGCCTGGGCTCGCGTGGCCTGGGCTCGCGTGGCCTGGGCTCGCGTGGCCTGGGCTCGCGTGGCCTGGGCTCGCGTGGCCTGGGCTCGCGTGGCCTGGGCTCGCGTGGCCTGGGCTCGCGTGGCCTGGGCTCGCGTGGCCTGGGCACGCACGGGCAGCCGGCAGGGCTCGTTGGCTCCGCCGCTCTGTTCTGCATTCCAGTTCCGAGCTGTGTCTGCTTCACTTGCCCTCACATTTCCCCCGGCTTCTGAACAAGCGATCGCTGTCCAGAACAAATTCCCCCGTGCACCAGTGTAGCGTGGATGCAAGGGATGGCATTGCTGCTCCCCCCCGCCATGCTACCCTCCCACCAGCTGCCCAATTTCTCGCGCCTCTTGGTAGCCCGGCGCCTCTGCCCCGGTGGGGCACGGGCCCCGCTGAGGCTGCCCTGCGTGCTGCACCGCGATGACGGCTACGTCGCTGCCCAGTGTGATCGCGAATATCTGGATGGACTCCTCCTTGCTGGACCGTCTAGACTCGTTCTTGTACCTGCATGGCCAGTTCTGCCTCTTGTCTCGGCGCGCTCCAGTGTGGTTCTAGGTACACTTGACTGACCTAATGATCGTGTCTGACCTATTTCTCCCTGCATGACCGTGCCTCCCTGCAGGAGCTGAAGGAAGCACCGGGTGCACAGAACATGCACAGATCCTAGATGGAGTGACACCCAGCGCCCTCTCCCACACCCAGCATCTCGTTCGCAGCACTCGATCTCCTGCAACACTCGCACACCCATCACTCCCCTCCTTGCGCCCAGCACTCCCTGGCCCGCACCCTGCACGGTAACATCTCCCAGGGGAGGAAGCAGGGCATGGTCCCCGACTGAAGATTCCATCAACATCCACAACTGCCCTCCCTGTCCCTGAGCAGCAACTGTGTAATAATCGGTGAGATCCCAGCGCCCCCAACACGCCAGGAAACAATACTCGCATTGGCCCCCGAGCCGCACGCAACGACCAGGACCGGTTCCGATATCCCTCGCCACTGATGTTAGCCGTGCCTGGGACTTAAATTGAGGTCGCCGGGTTTGAGCGCAGCGTGCCAACCATGGGGGGGGGGGGCTCCCCGTTATGCGCAACGGACAGTCGCTGCATCTCCCTCGCTTGTGCTTGACGGTGGTGTGTGTGTGTTTGTGTTGAGAGGTGTGTGTGCGCTTGAGTGTTTTGCGTGTTTGAGAGGTGTTTTTGTGGTTTTTTAAAACGATCATTTGCTCCGTGGTTTTGTCCGTGTGCCTTTTTAATTGCACACGGTTCATGGGTCCCAATAAAATAAAAGGTGTGTTCCCCGACAGACATTGTTGTGTTTTTATCCGCTGCTGGATGTGGTCCTGGCCACGCTGTATGGGGTCGTCTCGGGTTTATTTAAGCGCGCTTCATTACACAAAGCTGCCCCAGCATCTGAGCGCAGACGAGTTGTGGCGCATTCCGGGCGATTGGGTCATCGGTGGTGACCTGAGTGGTCGTGGCGCTCTAATTGGTGGATGTCGGTGTCCGTGGGCGCAGGGAGAGGGAGAGAGAGGAGACCTTGACTTTTTAAACAACTTTTATTGCCGCCAGCAGCAACAGCACTGGAGGCGATTTCGATATGCAACACACAAAGTCACCAGCAAACTAATGAAAATAAACGCTACAAATTTACGCGCCACTAAAAGCACCGCGCACCACACGAAAGAAAAGTCACGTGGTGGTGGTGGTGGTCATTGCACACGCCACGGTGACGAGCGAGCGCTTCAGAAGGTGAACACGAGGGTGCCGTCCACGCTGGCACAGAGATTTTTACGGCTCCCCAGCGTTCGAAGAAGACGTGCTGCACATCACCGGCCAAACTTCCTCACGCCACGTTCACTGGAGGCCCTGAGCCACCATTGTTGGAAACTCCACGTGAAGATCACCGGGGGGGGGGGGGGGGGGGGGGGGCTCGCGGTGTTCCCACCATTGTCGACCGACTAAAAAGCCAAGATTGAGCGGTCCTCACGGCCGATGCTGGTGGCATCAACAAACCTCGCCATCGCTTTTTCCTGCTGCAAGACCATGCCGCTGTAAAGTTCACACCTGCCCTTCCAGGCGCTATCTTACGGCCCCTAACCGCCGCACAGCTGCATGGAATTAGAGAGGATCCTGCTGCAATTACGGTATTTGGACCGTGCAATACATTGATGAATGTTTGATTCTTGGTCACGCCAAAGCGTGGAAGAGTAGGCCAAATACCCTGTGTCGAGCTCTCGCTACCGGAGGCCCTTCCACCGGCGCTGGCCTCAGCGAGTGCTTGTAAGGCTGCGCCTTCACTCTTCACCTTCATCGCTTCGCCGAAGTGGGATTGCACGGCAGCAGCAGCAGAAATCGTCACTCTCCTGACCGACTGATGCCTGCAGGCCCAGGTGTGGAGTCGCCTTGTGCCGCACAGGGATAGCTGCCACTGGGGTGCCCTTTCAAATATGTTTTAGATGAGATGCGATGTGACACGCTCAGAGACGACCCCGGCGTAAAAGAGGGCAGCTCAATCGGAAACCTCCCTCATCGTTGCCGCCATCTCCACGTGGCACTCCACGGCTGTCGCCTGCTCCTGCACTCCACGTGGCACTCCACGACACCGAGGTGACGGTTATTGCCCCTGGCTCCTGCCTCCTGGCGCTGTGAATCATTCACGAGACGCTCATTGTGGATTTGTGTCGATGTAGAAACGGGCTCACGATCACGCACACAGAGACCCCCGAAACAGACGGGCGTGCCAGGCGCTGTTAGCGACCACCCATCGCACCCAGCTACAGGAGAGTTTAGCGGAGAATTCGCCTCCGACAGCTGTCCCTCGACATAAAAAATAAAATGAAAACGATTATCTAACACATCCCATATGCCACACGGCCTTCTTACCAACAGCATTGGTTTATTAGAAGCGACCTCTGGACCGGTGTTTGGTTTCGCTGTCTCATCAGCAGAGTCAGGCTCGCTTAAAACAATTCTGCTGATCTGCCAGATATTGACAGGCACGGGCCACTGCCTCTGTTAGAAATGGGGTTTGGTTCGACGCAAACTCTAAAATGCACAACGCAGAATCCTCGTCATCATCAGCGTCACGACTCGCGTGGCCTTGGAAGGGCCCTCATCCAGCAGTGGACCGATTGCTTTGCTGCTTTGCAGCAATCCGTTCAACTTTACCAAAGAACTGCACCCAGCCTGCTCTCGCCCGGTAGAAGCATCTCGTCAGTAACGCCGCAATCTTCAACAGCCGATCAGAGGCCTTTGGGCCAAGTGCTGTTCGCCAACGCCCACTCAAGCCGGGAAGAAACACGAGGCGGTGGTCGTGCAACTTCATGTTCTGCCGCCGTTGTCGTCTCGGTGACCGCGTCACTTGCCGCGCCACGAATCTCGAGGTCCTTGCAGGGAGGGCTGCGGGTGAATGTCTCTGTGTGCTTAGATGTTGAATCGGAGGTATTTGCACAACCGCGTGGTGCTTGCGCAACTCTGTGAGTGTGTGCACAGTGGGGCTGCGGCCGCGAGGTAACCACACGCGAGACAGCTGAACCACGGGGACAGGTTCATTATTTGTTTAATATCTTCCACAACGGCCATACGAGCCACGTCTTGAAGAGAGGGCCCTTGCCGATACACAGTTGCCAGTTCACCGGTATTGATTCGAGCGAGCCTGACGCTGTTGGCGAGGCACTGAATGTCGAAACTCAACCAGGGGTTCACTTGTGTTGAAGACATGCTGCTGAATGATTCACTCCCAGAAGGAGGCCGTGGCGCCAATGGGGTGTGCAGGGGACACTTGGTAGTTTGTGTGTGGCGAGGCACTCACGTGAAGGAGACATTGTCTGCAAGGGTTGTTAGCGAGCACCTGTTGAACACCACGCCCGGCCGCCTTTGTTTCCTCAAAGTTGGTGTTTCCACGCCGCACCAGGCCGAGTTGGCCGATGGAAGAGAACCAGTTCGTCTGTTGCTGAACTCGCGACAAACAGCGCTAAGCATTGCGCCACCGCTCCATCTTACACACACACACAACAAAGATCAAAGATCCCCCGTGTAGCCTTGATAGACTGAAGGAGCAAGTGCTGTTAGCGAGCGCCTATGACGCCGGCACGGCACAAGAGGGGGTGGGTGGCCAGCACACCCACATGCACACAAAGACGCGCACACTCACACACGTAAATGTAGGTTACTCATTCTGGGTACGCCTCGATAGAACAAACATCTCGGGCGAGTTCGCTTTGAGCGCTCAGCGGGAACGTCGAGGTGAGCAGTGGCGGCGCTTTGCTGTGTTGGTGTGACGCCTTCCCCTGCGCCATAGGGGGGTGGGGGGGGGTGACCCAGGATCGGGGTACTGGAGGTCAGTGAGGGCATCCCCTCGCCGGGAAAGCCACGCCGCCCGTTCCGAAGAGTCACGTGGACGTGCGCTCCTGGTCAAAGCCAACGCAATCTCATGAGCATTGAGTCATTGGCGGAGTTCATCTCATCTCCCGCTTACAACTCTGAGCCAGTCGTGGATATTCCACATTCCTACGGCAGGAGAGAGTCTCTCCATTGGACAGTCACTGTTGACTTCCCCACGAAGTGGTGCTCGTTTGATCGACCCCCGAGTGCCGATGGGCCCCCAGCCAGGACTTGAACTCGCGCCCTTCCGACTGTGAGCCGCTCGCTCCACGGCGGAGCCACCTGGGCGCGTATAAGGTTCAAAGTTAAAAGTTAATTTATTAGGTATAGCCCTGTGAGCCATTCGGCCCTTGAATCGGGTGCAACCGCAACAAACAAAAACATGAACAAGAAAACATCTTAAAGTGACTATGTGCAAACAGAAAATCCAAGAAAAGACAGCAAAATATTGCAGAAAAAATCACTGTACACCAACCCTGTGCAAATATCCCAGTGGGATGCAAGTCAAACAACAACAACCACAAGACAACTTAGATTAAGGCCATCAAAAGCAATGAAACAGTGGTCATAGGAACTGTGACCGAATTTTCACAATAAACGACGTAAACAACATGTACTACCAAACTCTGCAGCCATAACTGGCTGCATGAGTCACTCCACAACAGTAGGAGCATCAGTCGGAGTATCAACATTTTTCAATGCACCTTTAAGATCAGCGCACTAAATCAAAACACAGATAATACGTTGCATACTTTGCATACTTTGCAGCGATCATCCGGAGCGAAACATTGTATTTTATACCACTAAATTGCAGTGGCAGCTAGGGGTGTACAACTCCTCTAGAGCAGTTTTGAGTGAAGATCTCATAGGTAGTGATTCAAGTTGCAGTTTATTGGCAATAGCATTCCAGACCCTGGGGGCATCAATAGCAAAAGCCCTTCCTCCAGTATTTGTACGGCAATAGGGAATGTGAAGCTGGTAAATGAGCGAAGACCGTAGGTCACATTTGTTCTTTGAAACAGAGAGGAGATCCAGCAGGTGGGTGAAGGCGCAGCCCCGCAAGGGCTCGCTCTCACGCCACTGCTGTCGCAAGGGCGTTCACGGTGGTCACGCGTGCGAACGCCACCTTGGCCGAGCACTGCTTGATCTGAGACGCCGTGGGATTCGGCGCATTCTGCGTTGTTTTGCTCGGTGCAGCTTGGCAGGGCTGCTCGGCCTAGCGGCACCGGAGTCTGCAGCGGATCACGGACAGGAGGGCCCGTCCTCGTGGCCGCTCGCCGACTTGGCTCGTCGGTCGTCACAGCTCACAGGCCATCCCCAACCGAGCCATGTCCAGGGCGCGGCGGCCAAGATTCTACCGGGACTGCCCCTCGTCGGCTGCGAAGGTCACAGCGCCACCCCGTGGAGTCAGCGGGGGGGGCGGGGGGTCCACCGCGGACGACGCAGTGGACCACGACCGCGCGCCGCTGTGGCGCAATGAGAGCGCCACCCGGTGGTGGCTGCCCGCCTGACCCCCGACTGTCCCGCCTGTTCCGCCTGTCCCGCCTGTCCCCCGCCAGCCGATGTCTTAGGAGCGGTGGACGTAATTCGATTTCGCACCAATGCTCAACTCGGTTTTCTCGGCTCTTGTTGATTGGTCCCACGGCCGTCGTGGAGTTTTATTCGGCGAGCTGAGCAGTGCCGCTCCATCCCGTGTGGCTGCCACGCTGCCGTCATGGTCCCCCCCCCAATTGCCTCTGCGCACCGAGCAGTGCAAATGGGTTGAGTCGGCCGGCTGGTCTCGTGTGGTGGGTAAAGCGTGGGGTACGCGGCCCAACTATTCCAACTCGTGTGGTCAGCGTGGAAGATTAGACCAAGTGCCCTCGAGTGGAGGCCCTTCTGCCAGCAGCAGCGTGAGCGAGAACTTGCAGGGCTGCGTCTCTATCCGACTCTCGCCGTGTCACGCGAGAGTCCGTGGCTACTTCCAATCGGGCTGTGATGCACTTTGACCCGCACTCGACTTTGGCAGACATCACCACGATGGGGAGGCCCGGAGCCAGATGGGGATGATGGTGGCGGATGGGATTCGTGGTGATGATGATGATGGTGGTAGTGATGGAACAGGCCGGTGTTGAGACTAACATCTGTTGCTCTCAACACCTGTTGAGACCAGAGACCTGCACCTGTTGAGACCTGCACCTGTTGGTCTCAACAGGTGCTGGTCTCAACAGGTGCAGGTCTCAACACCTGTTGAGACCTGCACCTGTTGAGACCAGCACCTGCCCCCCTCGGGGAGGGGTGCGAGTGTCTGACTGCGGCAACTCTTGGGGTTTGAGCATCAGGAAGGAAGCGGAGACGAGTGCGGTGATGATGACGGCGTCGGTAACACCACGTGCTCTCGTCTCCAACCTCGTCATCAGTGGCACTCGGAACCAGGACCCACCCACTACCCCCACCCACAGTGCCCCCACCCACAGTGCCCCCACCCACTGGACCCACCCACCCACTGCGCTCCCACCCACGTGCCCCACCCACGTGCCACCACCCACAGCGCCCACGTGGTTTGTGGAGACTTCTCGGGGAGAACTCAGCGCGGCCATGTGGGGAGGCGTCGCGGTCGTGGTGGCGCTGGCGGTGGTCGCCGCGCGAGTTCACGACCTCAGGTAGCGGCGTCCGCCCTCTTCACAGCCACGCGGCGCGCCTCGGCACTCCACTGCTGGATGTGGGGGCGATGCGTGCGGGAGGGGGGGCCTGGCCTGGCCAGTCTTCACCACCGCCGTCGGCCAACTGATGGTGGTGGCTATGGTGGTGGAGGCGTGCAGAGAGTGCAGAGGTGTAGTACAACAATGTGCCAAGGTGCACCTAGTCTGGCACAAGCGCCGTGGTGACGTCACCGCCACCGCGTGGCAGACGGCGGTTGTTGTTCCTAGTGCAACATGCTTCCGGCACAACTCCGCAGCAGCGGCAGCTGCAGCCTGTAGCACCGCCACCACCTGTCTGTGTGCGTGTGGTGGTCGCTCACCCCCTCCCAGTCTCAGCAGGCTGCGCGCCTGCTGAGACTGGGGGGGTCGAACGTCGCAGGCGATGCGGGGGCCAAGCACGGGGAGCCCGTGGAGGCAGTGACAGCGTGTGGTGGAGTGTGGTGGAGTGTGGAGGAGTGTGGAGGAGTGTGGTGGAGAGTGGAGGAGTGTGATGGAGTGTGGAGGAGTGTGGTGGAGAGTGGAGGAGTGTGATGGAGTGTGGAGGAGTGTGGTGGAGTGTGGAGGAGTGTGGTGGAGAGTGGAGGAGTGTGATGGAGTGTGGAGGCAGTGACAGCGTGTGGTGGAGTGTGGTGGAGTGTGGTGGAGTGTGGAGGAGTGTGGTGGAGTGTGGAGGCAGTGACAGTGTGGAGTCGTGTGGAGGCAGTGACAGCGTGTGGTGGAGTGTGGAGGCAGTGACAGCGCGTGGTGGAGTGTGGTGGAGTGTGGAGGAGTGTGGAGGCAGTGACAGCGTGTGGTGGAGTGTGGTGGAGTGTGGAGGAGTGTGGAGGCAGTGACAGCGCGTGGTGGAGTGTGGTGGAGTGTGGAGGAGTGTGGAGGCAGTGACAGCGCGTGGTGGAGTGTGGTGGAGTGTGGTGGAGTGTGGTGGAGTGTGGTGGAGTGTGGAGGCAGTGACAGTGTGGAGTCGTGTGGAGGCAGTGACAGCGTGTGGTGGAGTGTGGTGGAGTGTGGAGGCAGTGACAGCGCGTGGTGGAGTGTGGTGGAGTGTGGAGGCAGTGGCAGAGTGTGGAGGAGTGTGTGAGCTGTAGCATGGAGGAGGTCTGTGGCGAGCTCGGACCCGTGTCTTGACACGGAGGACGCGTGCCCATGACGTCGGGATTTCAGCAGCGGTGGTTCAAGCCAAGCCGACTTGCTGACGAGGCCCTGGATGTTGTGGCTTCTGTTGGAACCGTTTACAGTTTTGTCAGAAGGACCTCACTGGTAAGGTGGCCATCTCCAACTACAAGCCAGTCCCTTTATCTTTGCTCTGAAAAAGGGGTTTTGCCTGAAACGTCAGCCTACGGACGAACCTTGGGGATGGGGGTTGGAGCCGATACCTGCCCACTCGTGCCAGGCTAGGTGCCGAGTCTGCCACAGGGAGTTCACGCAGCAGGAACCATCGCGCCGCACAGAGGCAGCTGCCACTGAGGGTGCCCCTTTCACTTGCGTTGCGATGATGAGACGTGAAGCGCTCTGAGACACCCTGGCGTGAAGGGGAGCGCCTCCATCAACACAACTCGCCATCGTCACTGCCCCTGCTCCCTATCGATTCGTGTAGACGTCCTGATCGTCGCTGGCCGAGATGTCGCTGTAGACTGGAGTGAGCGCCACGAGTGCCCAGACTTGCTGTGCCTTCTCTCATCAGCTACAACATCAATCCCCTGCTGTATGGAGGTTACCCCGAAGCCATTTGCCATCTGGCACGGCTCTCGCAAAAGTAAGGAGCGCCCGCGAGCCGATCTCGGCGTCCCCTCCCCGGGGTGTCCCTGCCGCCTCCCCCGGGCTCCGCGCGACTCCAAGCGGGCACCCTCCACGCTTCCTCGTGGTGCACTTCTAGGCAGTGAACATGACGGCTCAACTCCATTTGTAAAGTCAGGTATTGTTGCTGATAGCATTGTGGCCGCTCGTTCCAGCTCCAAGCTGGGCCTGTTCCGGGAGCTCCGCGAGACCGACCTCAGCGCCTGCAGCCTCCTGGACCATGGGCCCATGGGTACACACCTCTACACACCTCTACACACTCACCTGTACACACCTCTACACACACACCTGCACACACTCACCTCTACACGCTCATCTCTACACGCTCACCTGCACACGCTCACCTGCACACACTCACCTGTACACACTCACCTGTACACACTCACCTGCACACCCCTGCACACACCTCTACACGCGCACCTGTACACGCTACCCTGCACACGCTCACCTGTACACACACTCACCTGTACACACCTGTACACGCTCACCTGTACACACCTGTACACACTCACCTGTACACACTCACCTGCACACACTCACCTGCACACGCTCACCTGTACTTGCACACCCGTACACACCTGTGCTTACCTGTACACACTCAGCTGTACACGTGGACTCCGTGCGTCCCTGCTGTGCTTCTTTTTTTTGTTCCATTGGCAGGGTTTGGATCGGAGGACATTGAGTTCCTCCCGAACGGGATGGCCTTCATCTCCTCCGTGAGTCTCCGGCCACTGTCTGCGATGCTTCGTCCCGCTGGGGGTGTTGACGGCTTAACCCTTTAAACGTTCGCAAAGTCTCGAAGTGTTTTGGTCTTGTCCGACGTTTAAAACTCAGCAAATAATGCGCAGCCTCCAGCGCCACCTAGAGCCCGTGGCTTGGCACGCACTCACCCACCACTCACGCACTCGCGCACTCACTCACGCACTCACTCACTCACTCACGCACTCACTCACTCACGCGCGCGCTCGCTCGCTCGCTCGCTCGCTCGCACGCACGCACTCACGCAGGAGGAGACTCGCGTGTTTTGTATCCGCGTGTCGCTCCGCGTGGCCCTGCCCCTCGATCGCCCCCCACCCTCTCACTAACTCTCTCTCTCGCTGACCTCCACTCCGTTCCCGTGTTCGCCGTCTGTTTTAAATCTCGGGGGGAAACGTGATATGCGCCCTCCTCTCCCGTGCGCCGCTCCCGCGCCCCGCGGGCCGCAGGGCCTGCGCTACCCCGGAATGCCCGACCTGAACGAGGGCCGCCCGGGCGGCATCTTCACGGTGGACGTGACGGCGGCGGGCGCCCCGCGGCCCTCGCCCCTCGTCGTCGTGGGCGACCCCGACGCGTCCGCCCTCAACCCCCACGGCATCAGCCTGCACGTGTCGCACGCAGGTGACCGGGGCTGAGCCTCCCCCGCCCCTCTGCCCCCCGACTGCTGCGGGCGCTCGGCATTTGACCGCGTCGGGGGGAGGGTCGCCGTGGTGCCCGCCGGGCCCGGGATGCGACGTCCTCAGTCGCGCGGTGGCAGCAGCGGTAGCTGCGAAAACTTAGCAGGACCGTGCTCAAGAAAGGGTGTCAAGCCCCCGGTGAGGCACCACGAGCAGAATAATGAGAGGGTTGATTCGCTCGGGGGTCAGATGCGCTGAGCCGGCATCGCCACGATCCCCTTGGGTTTTCGGCGTCGCGAGGTGGTAGAGGCCCCTGAGGGAGGCTGAGGTGGTGGGAGGATAGGATGCCAGACGCTCGTGGAGAAAGGGAATCGCAGGACCTGTGGTTTGGAAGAAGATGACGACCCGTGGTGAGGTCGCCGCTCGCTCACGCGTGTCTCCTGTCCCCTCGCGGCCGGCGTGGCTGACAAGGCGGCGACGAGGTGGTGCGTCTCTTCGTCGTCCACCACCCCATGGAGGGCGGCGCCTTTGAGAGCCGCGTGAAGATCTACCGCTACGAGCCGGAGTCGCGCTCGCTCGTCCACGAGCACACCGTCATGGACCCCCTCCTGAGCAGGTGAGGGCCTGTGAAACCCCAGTGAGTCCCCTGTGAAACCCCAGTGAGTCCCCTGTGAAACCCCAGTGAGTCCCCTGTGAAACTCCAGTGAGTCCCCTGAGAGACCCCAGTGAGTCCCTTGTGAAACCCCAGTGAGTCCCCTGAGAGACCTCGAATGAGGGCCTCGATGTGAGACCCAACGGTCTCGACCTTTTCACTTGCATGTGGGTGGAAGTTCACATCCTGTGGATATTCAAGTCGCTGTCTTGATTTGAAGCTTTCGTGACGGCAGGAATCCATCCTCTCTGGTTCTTTCGGTAAAGTGGCGTAGATAGAAAATAGTGACTTTACCGCAAGAACCAGAGAGTATTCAAGTCGCTGTTGCAGGCGAGCGTCGTAGGGATCGAGGGGTAAAACGGCCCCGCTGGGTGGGACCGCGGGCGGCGTTGGGGATGAAGGAGGGCCGATCGCCGAGACGGTCATCGGAGCGGCCTCCACGAGTCCCGTGACCAAGGGCAAGGGAAGGCCTCGGAGCGCACGGGGGCGGTGGGAGACTGGAGGTCGCCGCGTGTCTCGACTGTGCGGCAGCTACGGGATCTGGTGGAGGGGAAAGAGCGTTGGAGGTGCGGTGTCATCGGTGGCCCTGGCCGCGATGACCTCTTGCCCCGATTCTCGTCCCCGTGCCGCGCGCAGCGTCAACGACGTGTGGGCCGTGGGGCCCGACTCGTTCTACGCCACCAATGACCACGCACTGCCCGTGGCGCTCTGGCCGCTGGAGGTGCTGCTCGGCCTGCGCTGGACCAACGTGGTTTTCCGCGCACCCAACGGCACCGTCGCCGTCGTGGCCACCGGGTTCCGCTCGGCCAACGGCATCGCCGGATCGCCGGACGGGAGGTGCGGCCGCCCCCCCCCCCCCCCGCGTTGAACCCTCCCCAACACTCGCTGGCCGCCGCAGCGAGCGGCGGTGGTCGATGGGAGCGGCCGTGCGTGTGTGTACTTGGTACTCTGTTTACTTTATCCTTTGTGTTATCGTTCACTTTGCCCCGTCATCTCCCTGTGAGTTATGGGGCATTGTGGAGAGAGTGGAGGAGTTCCTATCCATGGTTATGACCAGTTACATTTTCGAAAGTTGGGGAGACGAGGTTGGTTCGGCATGGTGTTGACCACCCAACTCCTTGTGTGCTCTGCCAGCCTCCTTAGGCGCTCGCTAACAGCAACTTGCCACAAGAGTCTGTTCATGCTATTCGTGGGATCTTTGTCTGCTGTCACCGTGTGTGTCACCGTGTGTACCACCGTGTGTGTCACCGTGTGTACCACCGTGTGTGTCACCGTGTGTGTCACCGTGTGTGTCACCGTCCACAGACACGTGTACGTCGCGGATGTCTCCGCAGCGGAGCTGCACGTGCTCGGCAGGAGCCCCGGGCCCGGCCTCGTTCCACTTCAGGTACGTGGGGCCCACCGCGAACCCTGACCCTCGCCGTGCACCCTGACCCTCGCCACGAACCCTGACCCTCAGCGTGCACCCTGACCCTGACCCTAACCGCGAGCCCTGACCCTCACCACGAACCCTGACCCTCAGCGTGCACCCTGACCCTGACCCTCGCCTCGAACCCTGACCTTCAGCGTGCACCCTGACCCTGACCGCGAGCCCTGACCCTCGCCACGAGCCCTGACCCTCAGCGTGCACCCTGACCCTCACCACGAACCCTGACCCTCAGCGTGCGCCCTGACCCAGTCCGCGAGCCTCCCGTCTCTGGGCGCAGGTCGTGGCGCTGCCGTCCATGCCGGACAACGTGGCGGTGGACCCGGCGACGGGCGACGTGTGGCTCGCGTGCCACCCCAACGCGTGGAAGATCGTCCGCTTGGACCCCAGCAGCCCCCCCGGAATGGAGGTAGCCCCCCTCGTGACCCATAAATAGCCCCCCCCCCCACCGCTTTCCCTCAGTGACCCGACCGATCTCCGTGCCGCGGCATTGTGTACTCTTTGCGGGAAGGGATCTGGGAGGAGGACGCGGTGCCGCCTCCGTGTCCTTCGCAGGGCCGCGGTGGCGAGGCGTCAACTCCCTCGTTGGGTATGCAGGAGGTCATGGCTTCGATTTGCTATTTATTGCATGCACTCCCCATGGTGGCGACGATCTTTCTCCAGGTCCTCCACATTTAGAATGAACATGCGCAAAGAGTATTTGGCTGCTATAATGTCGACGTGATAAGCTACTTCGTTGAGCTATCATTTTTGGCCAGGCCGTTTCTGATAAGTATATATATATATATAGCTCAGTGGGCCTTACCCTGTAAAGTTATTTTTGTTTTAAATTGTTTACAGTCAATCGGTGATATTTGTGACCACTTCAGAAGGGCGGTACGGCCTGCAACAAAAATCACACAGTTGACATTATGAACAGGTTTATTGAATTGAGCGTGGTTATTGTGAGAGCTTGGAAAAAGAGACGATGGAAGCGATGGTAGAAGCAGAAAGGGAAGTGCGGTGCCCTGCGGTGCGGTGAGTGGGTGGCTGGTGTAGTGGGTGGCTGGTGTAGTGGGTGGGCGAGTGGGTGGACGAGTGACCTGCAGTGTGGTGGTCGGAGAGTGTGGCGACGGGACGAAGCGGTCCGTGTCTGGCAGCACGAGACCTCGACGTGGGTGGAGGAAGCGGGGCATGAAGCCGAGTAGAACGTGTTTCTGGAATTGAGCAAGATGACGGGAGCAAATATGGCTGGGGGGGTGGGGGGAATTCCCAAGTGAAGCATCGAGCGACCTCTTGACCCGCGCCCACCGACTAGCGACGGTAGCGAGGCGGCGACACCGCTCGCGGTCGGCGTGGGGGAGCCAGGGTTTGCGTCCCACGCCACCCTCCACACGCCTTCGCCCCCGTCCCTCTGCCAGGTCCTCCGCGTGGAGAACGCCGCGTCGCCGCAGCCGCGCGTGTCCCAGGTCCTGCTCAGCTTGGACGGAACGCTGCAGGGCTCCTCCGTGGCGGCGCGCCACGGGGCCCACCTCCTCGTGGGCTCCGTGTATCACCGCACGCTGCACTGCCGGGCGGACCTGCTCGTGTAGACGGCGCCGGTGGCACCCGCACAACCCCCACCCCACCACCGTCCCCCGCCCCCACCGTGTACCCCCTCCTCTCATCCTCCTCCCCCACCAGCCGGAGGATGGCAGACGAGGGCATTGTCCGAATTACCGTGGAATTTAAAATGTTATTTCATTAAATGCGTAATTTGTAATTGGCCTTTAAATTAAACACCTCAAAGTAGTTGGTAATGCGGATTTAAATCGCTGCGGAGATTCGTACTCTGCCCATATGCGTGGCGGCCCCACTCGGAGACGGCTCGCGCCCCGACCCGCGTGCTCGTGACGTAGCGTGGCGGCGGTGCTCGCACGCCGTGGCTGAGAGTCGAGGGCGATGTCGAACCGTGAACGTCGCGGGAACCGGTGGCAACGCCCGGTTCACGGTGCCACAGGAGCCATATTGTTTCTACTGTAATAGAAAGCTGCTTATTTCGGGAATCAAAACCGATTGCTTTTCGCTTAAGGGTTTATTATGTACGGTAATATTAAAGGTGTCGAACATGAAAAATAAATCAAGAACTATTCCTTACGTGCAATTTCACGTTCACAAAAACAATCTCCACGATGTTTTCATGGTAGTTCCTGACCTTTCTGGGGATGGACGCCGTCAACCCTCGGGACATTTCCCACGACCTTGCGGACCACAGACCTGAGTCTGGAACCGCAGCTGAAACTGAAACAACCGCCTCCTATTTCCCCGCCCCCGCGGATGTGCACCTCCTCCGCGGTTCATTCACCGCTCGGCCTCCCGGCAGGCGCCGTGAGCGCGGCGTGGTGCACGCTGCGGGTCACTTGGTGCCCGGCCCTTACCTGACCCCACCTCCTCGCGTCGTCTCTCTCCCTCTCTCTCCCGACACAGAGCACACGGCCAGTCCACGGTCCCAAGTGCATTTAATCACGACACATGCGGGCAGCAGCGGCCCGGCAATCGGTGCTTCCGTGCACCGAGTTGATCGTGGAGCCAGTAGGGAACTCGCGAGGCCAGGATTAGAGTCCCGATCACCGACGTGGCACGGGTCAAGCTGCGGTTCCGGACGGGTGCCAGCGTGGGCACCGTGGGCACCGTGCAGGGCTCCATTTCGGGGTCGGCGACCAGAAAATACTTTTACGTCCAGTTCACCTCCTCCCTCGCTGTCGCTGCTTTTCGACTCGTCATGAGCCACCTGCTCCGGTCTACCCGGTGGCGCGACGTCAACCCCGGTGCCCGCGTGTAGACGCCGAGGCCAGGGGCGGTCAGCTTGTGTCCGCGTGAAGCCGGAGCGGATGCTGCTGCGGGTCCTGCTGCGGGTCCTCCGGAGCCTCCGTGCGGAGTCGCTCCTGGACGCCCTCGCCGTTCGTCCCGTGTTTGCGCCTCTGCGGGGCGAGGGTTAGCGTCGTGGGTCACGTGGAAGTCGTGGGTAGGGTCATAGGTCATCTTAGCCGCGTGTTGTCAATGTCGCACGTGGATCTCGCCGCCTCTGTGTTGCGACGCACATTCGTGAGGTCGCGCTTGGTCACGTGGAACACGGAGCACCGGGAGTCGTGGCTAATTACATTTCAGCGATCATTTATTCAGTCGATTGCGGATAATCGGATGGCACCGTGAGTAATTGGACGGGTGTGGATTGTGGTTAATCAGGTTTTTGGGGGTATAGTTGGTGACAGCTGTGACGAGTGACTCGGTGTCGTCTCACCTGCTTGGGTGAGAGGTGCCTGAAGATGGACGGGATCATGCCTCTTATCTGTAGGGAAAACGAACGGCGGTTACGCAGACATGGGGTGGATGCTTGGTGGAGCGAGAAGTCTCGAGGACAAAAACGGTGAGCGGTCGAGACCGCGCGTACCCCCGTCTCCTGCTGTGGCCGTGCGGGGTCGGGGGTCGTCTCGGCCTGGTGCCGCCCGCCGGGTTCACGTCTCCGCCCCCACGGCAGCTCAAATCCGACCACGGAGGAGAGCGGACGTGCAGAGGAGCGCCCACTGGAGGGTGGCACACACAGGGACAGGGACTCTTGGACACCCAGGTGCACGCATACACACAGGGACATACGGACTAGACATTAAGGACACTGACATACAGACACAGGGACATACGGACCCACAGGGACGCACGGACACAGGGATCCACGGGGGACCCCAGGCGATAGCAACACCAGGCACCAACGGGCGACGGTGACGCCGGGCTCACGGAGACGACACGACGGACCCCTGGGCACGGGCAGGCCGCCCACAGTGGGAGCGAGAAGGGGAGGGATGGGCCCCAAGCGGCGAGGTCGGCGATGCCGGCGAAGTCGAGAGCCGGGCGCAAGCGGGAACCGAAGCAGCGGTGGCGGCGGCAGCAGCAGCGGAGACAACAGCAGCGAGCCCCAACCGGCAGCAGCAGAAGAGAAGTAGCGATGGGCTCTGGGTGACGACGCTGGGCACAGGTGGCCTCAAAGGCGACGCCAGTTGATGCAGCAGCATCAACATTGAGACCTGGGGAATCGTTGGCAACCCTGGTGGTGGAGCTGTATGTGTGGTTTGGTGGAGCTGTGTATATGGTGGTGGAGCTGTGTGTGTGGTGGTGGAGCTGTGTGTGTTGGGGTGGAGCTGTATGTGTGGTGGTGGAGCTGTATGTGTGGTTGGTGGTGTATGTGCGGTTGGTGGAGCTGTGTGGTGGTGGAGCTGTGTGGTGGTGGAGCTGTATGTGTGGTTTGGTGGAGCTGTATGTGTGGTGGTGGAGCTGTATGGTGGTGGTGTTGTGTATTTGCTTTTTTCCAAGATTAATTTTAAAATGTTATATCTATTTTTAATTTCACAAACCCTCGTATCTGTTACGTGACTTTACCGGAAGAACCAAGAATAAGAACAACTGGTGCACCAACAACCAGTGAGCACCAGTGAGGAGTTGGAAACAAGAGGCTTCATGGCTTGGGATGATAACAAGTGGCCCTCCTGGAGTGAACACGGACATCACCAGGAAAGCCATCAATGGGCACCCTGCTGTTTTAACAGGGCCCATGGCAGGAAACCGACCACACTCAGCATCTAAGCTGCTTTAACGAGTAATACGTCCTGGCGTTTAGAGAGCTGAAACGTCCAGAATGACAACCACCGCATGTGAATATTCTCGAGCATCATGGAATTCAACTTGAATGTGTTTGGGGACGTACCGCTGCATGACAATGCAGCCCAGGGTCAAAAGTTTTTTTTTATTACTTTTGCCTGTTCTTATTAACAATCACTGGTATCCGTACATCATTACCATGAGGTCTGGATTAAGCATCTGTAATTTTATAATGGAATTATGGAAGTTCGTGTTGAAGTATTGACCCTAAGGATAATTCAGGAGAACTATATATTTTCCACATTAATTACGTAAATTCTTTGTCGAAGCAATAGGCTGGAAGAGTCCTGTTGTTGTCAAGTCAACCTGCCTGACATTGTACGAGGTGTGAAGAGGCTGGGAGTGTGGTCAGAATTGTCGCACGCAGCCTCCGCCAGGAGCTGTGGCTGCCTGCGCGCCGCTGACCTCCGAGCGTGAGCAGCAACTGGTGGCAGCAAACCAAGAAGCCACTTCCACAGCTGCTGACGAGCAAGAAGCGCCGGGCCAGCGCGGCCGCAGCGAGCTCAAGCTGCAGGTCGAGACTGGTGCACAGACAACCCGTGAACGAGCGGCGAGCAGCTGACGACTAACTGGCAGCGGACTGGTTCACGAGTAGCAGGGCACTCCAGCTGCGGATCGAGACTGGTGCACAGACAACGCGAGCGGCAAGCAGCGTGGTTGCGAGCGCACTCCAGCAGTGGACCAACCCTGCTATTCAACGCATCCTCGTGGGACTGGAGGTATTTGTCGGGTAGAGAGAAGATGCAAGATGGGACGTAAACTTTCCACTCACCATTTCACCTGTACTATGTACAGGTCGCGGGCCAAGCTTTGCATGGGAGAATTGAAGAATCTTAGCTTCCATGCATCGCACATCGTAACAAACCAATTGTGTATTGTCGCATTGCCCCGTTAGCCTTGTTGCTTTAAAAAAAATCGTATAATCTTATGATTTGCTCGTTGATGCCTTTTGAACCATTTGCTACGCATTGATGAGTACTGTACGTATATTTGTAATGTAATTGCACTCTGATAAGGAATTGTAGGTGTCAATGTAAGCTGGTATTAAAGTTGCTTCGATTAAAAAGCAACTGAGTGCTTCCTTCCGAACTCATGCATCATATTTCTCACTTTCGAGAACTATCCTGCAGAGAGATCTGAATTCTGAGACCTGACATAATTGTCGATAATTGATGAGCAAAAATCATTAATATCACAATTGGTAATACATACCCATAGACAACGTGAAAGCCAATCATAACTTGTGATTAATGCGATAATCTATTAATTGTTTAAATTAATTCACTAAATGATGTTGAATTAATTAGCCGTAATCACTATTCATTATGGTTATCCACAATTGTTCCTGATCATATGCATAATAATTAATCATTGAATTTTATGAATTTGTTTTCAATTTTTATTTATGATAACACTTAAAATGAATTTTTTTAAAATATATAATATGTTTTATACCAACCAATGTATAAGTGGTGGTACTGTTTGGTGCCAGAGCTGTGGTGGTGGAGCTGTGATGGTGGAGCTGTGGTGGTGGAGCTGTGGTGGTGGAGCTGTGGTGGTGGAGCTGTGGTGGTGGAGCTGTGGTGAATCCAGGTGGGGGGGACCCCCGTGGTGTACAACGTGTTCAAGAGCGGTGTGGTCAGAGTCGTGGAGCGATTAAAACGGCGCGGTTGGAGTGGTGTGGTTGGAGCGGTGCAGTTGGAGCGGTGTGGTTGGAGTGGTGTGGTTGGAGCGGTGCGGTTGGAGTGGTGTGGTTGGGGCGGTGCGGTAGGAGCCGTTTGCTCCTGGGTGGTTAAGTCACCGGGGGGGGGGGGGGGGTGCAAGGTGTACCCCTCCCCTTCCTACCCTAGCCGCCAGAGGGGTCCCTTGCTGATGTAGGGGGCTGGGCGGGGGCCCGGGGGGCGGGGGCCGTCCTCGGGGGGTCCCTGAGCACCTGGACTGACGGACACGCGGATACGGACACGCGCCTCCGTGTCAGGAATGTGTTGTTGATGTCTTTAGTTAATCCATAAATCGGGCACTGATACGAAACATAAGATCCAAAAAAATGGTGTACCAGCATGCGTGTACAAGTGTGTGTGTCTTTGTTTTTGTGGGTGCCCGTGTATACGTGTGTGTGCGTGCATGTGTACGTGTACCTGTGTGTACCGGGGAGCAGTAATGTAGCTGTTAGCGCACTGCCCTATGAACCCGGCAGCCCGAGTTCGATTCCCACTCAGTCAACACCAGTGACAATGATCTGAACCAGTCCTGCGCCTCCCCAAGGCCATCTCAGCCTCAAATGAGAACCTGGTGCATTGTGTACAGATCACCACGAGGGAGACAAAGGCGGCCGGCCATGGTGTTGGCCAACCACCCCCTCGTGTGCTGTGCCAGCTTTCATAGACGCTGGCTAACAGCACTTGCCTGAACAGTCTGTTGAGGCTACAAGGAAGCTCTTTGTCTTTGCGTGTACCTGTCTGTGAGGCTGTTACGTTGCCGTTTCCCTCCGTTGAAGACTCCTGCTGCTCCTCCTGCTGCTCCTCCTGCTGCTCCTGCTGCTGCTCCTCCTGCTGCTGCTGGCGACATCATCATCGCAACGAGCCGTGAGATTCCTCTCATCTGCACATCCATTAATTCTCCCGCCACTCACTCTAGCATGTGGGGAGCGGTGGCGCAGCGGTTAGCGTACCGTACCACGAGTTCGATTGCCGCTCACGGTCAGCATCAGTGACGAAATATCTGAACTCGTCCTGGGCCTCCCCTAGGTCGACTCAATCTTAAATGATTATCTTATTTGGTGTATAAACATCAGCACTGCGGAGACAAAGGCGGCTGGGCACGGTACTGGTCATCCACCTCCTCATGCGCCGTTTGCAGCCTTCAGAGGTGTTCGCTAAAGCGCTCGCCTCAACAGTCTTAACGCTATAGGGGGGTCTTTGTGTGTGTGTGTGTGTGCGGCTGTGTGCATGGAGGTGTGTTGACCTTTCTCGCACCGTACGGAGCCAGCCGTGCTAATCGGAGGTGCGGGGGAAGGACAACAAACTTAACACAAAAAGCAGATCTAAAGAAATTAGTTTTCAAACTAAATTTAAAAGTGCATCACTCCATTGACTTCCTTATAGCGGAAGGAAGAGCGTTCCAGATGGCCACAGAAAGGCATTTGTGTGTGCATGCGTGTGGTTGGATTGCTGACGACGGAGTCGCTACCTGGTGGGCGTCAGTGCCATTCGCACCGTCGCCGCCATCTTCACCGTCACCGCCATCTTCACCGTCACCACCACGCTCACCACCACCGCCGCCATCCTCACCACCGCCGCCGCCATCTTCACCACCGCCGCCGCCATCTTCACCACCGCCGCCGCCATCCTCACCACCGCCGCCGCCATCCTCACTGTGACTGCCGGCAGTGAGGCCGTGCTCCCTGCAGCACATCGACATCGCAGCATCTCCGACCACGGTCTCCGTTTGGTGAGAGATCGTCCGGGGCGAGAGCAGTGCCACCCAAGTCTCATCGGCCGTGCGTGCACGAGGGGTGCGTTTCGGATTCAAACGTTTCGGATTTTCAGATCATCTCCAGACAGAACGAACTCGCCTGATCAGCGCCGGCGCGAGCAGCGCCACTGCGCGCCGGTAGCGCCGCAGCAACTCCCGGTGGCGCCTCTCTGCCTCCTCCGCCTTGGTGGCCATGACGGTCTCCATCGCCTCTCCCCGGCGCCGCTCCTCCTTCAGCTTCGTCTGCAGCAGGTAGCGCTGGCGCTCGCCCTTGGCCTGCGCCGCCTCCGCCTCGCACACCTGGCACGGGGACGCGCAACCTGGACGCTCAAACAAGCACGGCCTCGACCACGGCCGCACGTACAAAGACAAAGATCCCCCGTATACTCTTCATAGGCTGTTGGGGCAAGTGCTGTTAAAAAGCACCTATAAAGGCCTCCCCAATGCCAATGCTTTACACATTGTACCAGGTACTCATTTGAGACTGAGTCGACCTAAGAGAGGCATGGGACTGGTTCAGATATTCATCACCGTCGCTGGGTTCGTAGCGCTATGCGCTAACCACTACCTTGCTGCTCCCCACAAACACATACCCACAAAACAACAGCCGCCATTCGCCACTGAGTGGCGGTGACATCACCTGTGCCAGGCCAGGTGCACTTTGAGACTACATGAAGTGTCGAAGGCTCGCTGACAGGAGGTAACGGGGCAGACCCACTCACACTCCCACACACACACCCCCACACACACACCCCCACACACACACACCCCCACACACACACCCCCACATACCCCCACACGCACACACACCCCCACACACACACACCCCCACACACACACCCCCACACACACCCCTACACACACACACCCCCACACACACACCCACACACATCCCCACACACACACGCACACACACACATCCCCACACACACACACCCACACACATCCCCACACACACACACCCACACACATCCCCACACACACACACGCACACACACGCGCACACGAGTGCGTGGGAACGTAGGCGACCGCAGGCTGCTACATGGCCGCCCTCCACGTGGCTCTGGGCATCGACGTCCAACAGGCGCTCAGGTCGCCCAGCGCTGCCCGCTACCCCGCCGACCCCCCTGGTTCTATTGTGGCACTCACCTCTTTCTTGAGCGCCTTCACCTCGTTAGTGACGGCAGCAAATCTGATCAGCAGCTGTGCATGGACGGCAGTAACATCATCGTCAGAACATCATAGCAACATCATCGTCAGAACATCAGAGTTACACCATCGTCATGGTCTCTGCAGCAAGCTCGTCATCATCGCCATCACACTCACCCGCACCTCCAATTAGCACGGTTGGCTACGAACGGTACAAAAGAAATTCAACATACATACATAAATCATCGTCAACACATAAGTCGCCATGGATTTTGGCTGGGTGGTAAGGGTGAGTGTCGTAGTGAGTGGGTGGTGGGGTGATCTGACCTCTTTGTACTTCACAGAAAGTTCCGAGTTGCCCTCTGAACCCACAACATGTGCTCCCTTCTCTCGTCCAATCACAAGCCTGCACACAGCACACAGTGGTGTACACGTCACAGTGTGCACGAAAGAGCCCAGAGCCTGATTGGCCAGCTCCGGCAGAGGGCGGGGCTTGTGTCAATCCCTGGCCCTGGTGTTCGTGTGACGATGTAGGTGGTGGTGTGCGCGTGTGAGTAAGTGGGGACGTTTTGAACAGAATGGAGCCGTTCCCACACCTTGGCAGTGTGCTTATGACCAGCACCGGTTTGGTAGCAGGCATCTCACTCCGAATCAGTCGAGCGGCATTTCATGTTTCCGTCAGTTGCGTAATGCTGTTTAGGAGCTACCTGGTCTGTCGCTCCACACGAAGCTCTGGGTCTTCTCGGCCACATGTACGTGCCCTCCCTTGTCTATGCTTGCAAAACGTAGACTCCTCCAGTGGAACATGTCCAAGCAACGGGTGTGAACAGTGGTGTGCTTGCTGATGACTGTATGATTGATGGTGTGTGTGTGAGCGGTGGTGTGGTTGCTGGATTGTGTGAGGAGCTCACAAATCCTAGAAAGATTTGGACATCGTCCCATCGGTGAGCTCCTTCGGCAGGCAAGGCTGCATTGGCTGGGCCATGTAGCCCGCATGCCCAATCACCGCATGCCCAAACAGCTTTTGTTCGGCCGGATTGAGGGGGCTAAACGGGCACGGCACGGGCTAGAGAAGAGATGGAGTGATGTGGTACAGGAGGATGTGGAGCTGAGTGGACTTGCCGATGACTGGTACCAGCGGTGTCAAGATCGGCCTCTGTGGAGGAGGCTCGTGAAAGACGCTGCTGGGCAGTTGGAGGCAGTCGCCCTCCAACAACAACAGAGGGCGTAGGAGCGACGCTCACAACAACGAGCGGAGCGCCGGGTGGCTAAAGCACAGCAAGTTGGCACAGTAGGGGGCACAGGTGGTGCATCAGCCAGTCATCTCAGTCAGTCGACCTGTGGCACCTGGGTCTGTCCCGTGACCTCCTGCCAGCGGGCGTTCGACACTTCACGTGGTCTCAAGGTGCACATAGCCTGGCACAAGCGTCGTGGGGACGTCACCGCCCCTTAGTGGCGAATGGCGGTTGTTGTTGTTGTGCTTGCTGGTGAGGGTCTCGTTGATGGTGTGTGTGTGTGAGCGGTGGTGTGCTTGCTGGTGAGGGTGTGGTTGATTTTTTTGTGTGTGTGAGCGGTGGTGTGGTTGTCGGTGTGGCTGTGCCGGCGGCGTGGTGGTGGAGGAGGAAGCTCGACTGGTCCAACGGCAAAACCGTGGCTCCGGGAATCGCGTGGCGCATTCCAGAGACGGGCTCGGTCACGTCCACACCACTAACGGAGCGCGCAGCACACAGCCCTCTCATCTCTCGCCTGCTAAGTCGCCCATCCGCTCTCGTCCCTTTCGCCGTGTCTCCCTGCAAGGAGCGGGGGTGAGTGTCGCGACGGGAGGGTGAGTGTAGGGTGAGTTCCCGCCTCACCTCACCGTCTCCCCGGTGCTTTGGAGGACGCGGGTGGCGACTTCCTGCGAAGCCCCGACGAGACTCGTGCTGTCAACCGCCAAGATCTGGTCCATCTCGCAGATCCTACACAGGGTCACGGAGACACGGGGACACGGAGACATGAAGACACGGAGACACGGGACACGGGGACACGGGGACACCTGGGGTATTGGTCACACTCCACAATCAAATCTCCCACGCGCTTCACTGCCTATGACGACCTTTGGCCTTCAACTCCATCCTCTAGCCCACCCCGAGCTGCCCCGGGTCGCTCACCACACCTCCTCACCCTCCTCACCCTCCGTGCGCGTGGGCCGCTCCCCCCGGGGAAAGGGCGCGCACGTAGATGCCACCCAGCTGCTTGGCCCCCGCCCTGGGCCGCGCCCCCGCGGTCGCCCCGATGCCCACGATGGCGATGCCCAGGCCCTCGGGCCCTGCACACGTGGACGGGGCCGGGACGCAGCAGTCCTGGGTGAGAGCTGGGACGCATCCGAGTACTAAAGTAATCCGTTACCGAGTAATCCGATCACTCACGTAATTCGTTACGAGATTACCCAAGTAATTACTCGAGTAATCCGATTACTCAAGTAATCTAAGGGCTGGATGAGCGGCGTTGGTGATCGGGAGCGGTTGCGTGACGAGCGTTGGCGGTGTTGCTGAGCGAAGAGCGTTTGCCACCCCTGCTGGTTTCCACCGGGTTGTCCATGTTGGCTACTGTGGGAAATCTGTAGCTTGTCCTGGTTTTATTTGTACCTCAAGAGGCGGCAGCCCAAAGTGGTGTGGCGAGCGGACACAGCATGGCCTCACCCTTCTGCAGCGCAATCTGCTGCACGTCCAGCGCCTCCATTCGCGTCTCCAGCTCCATCTCGGCTGACGCGCGCACGGGGTCCACGTCCGCGTTTCCTGCGCTCGTACCGCTCGGTGGAGAACGTGGCGAACACCTGCACGCGTGCCGTGGGGAGCGGCGGCGCGACAGTTAGAACGCAGTGCGATGAACATTGCGACCCGAGTTCGATTCTCGCTCACCGCCAACATTGGTGACGAATATCTGAACCGCTCCTGGGCCTCCCCGAGGTCGACTCAGCCTCAAATGAGTATCTGGTGGGGTGTGCAAACATCGCCACTTGAGAGACAAAGATGGCCGGGCTCGCCACACATTTCTTCATGTGCTGTGCTGGCCTTCATAGGTACTCGCCAACAGCACTTTTCACATCAGTCTGCTAAGGCTATAGGGGGGATCTTTATATAGTATCTGTTTCGTAGTGTGGTTCGGCCTGGTGCAGGATGCATAGGCTTTGTAATGCCGCTGTGATGCCACCCGCTATGATGCCACCCTCTTTCCCCCCCTGCCCCATACTTAACCTTGATTGGCTTGTGGCTGAAGTGCACCCTGCGGCCTGGCATCAAGGCTTCACCTGGCTCTTCACCAAGGCCGGGGATCTCTAGGCACTGGGTCCCACTGGGACCCCCAAACCTTGGCTCCTCCTCCTCCTCCCCAGCACCATCAACCCCGGTTTCCTCGGTTGCATCTCTGGGGCAACCATCGTCTCTGCCTGCCTCTCCGCTGCCACGGTACCGGTGGTTGTGCTCGGTGGACACGCCCTGGCTGACAGGGCTTGCTTGGGCTGGGCCCGCTGGCGTCACGGTCGTACTTTGGGTCACGTCGCCTACGGTTAAGGGTGAGGTCGAAGTTATAATTGCGGTGGCAGAAATTGCAGAATTCATGGTCAAGGTCGTAATTGGGATTACGGTCACACTTTTGGTCATCACTGGGGTCGTGAGCAGGGGGACCGTCTTGGCTGGAGCTGCAGACGTGGTCAAGTTTGTGTTCAAGGCTGAGGTCGCAATTAAAGTCGTGGTCTTGGTCAGCGTCGGGGTCACGGTCACTGCTGGGGTCATTGCGGGGGTCACGGCCAGAGTCACAGCCTTGGCAGGGGTTGTGGTCACAGGCGGCTCTCCCGGCATTGCCCCCGTTGCCTGGTGTAACGGCGTTTCATGACGGAGGTCGCCGGCCGTCGTAGGGGTCGCGCCTCGAGCCTCTGCGTGCGGCTGAGGCAGCGCCGCCTCTCTTCCCTCACGCTCCCTCGAACCTCTCGCCTCCACGCCGACCGGGACGCCCTCTTTGGTGCGGCGTTGGCCGTGGTCTGCAGATGCCCCGGGTGCTGCCCTGTCCTCCACGGTCGCTGCCCTCTCCTCCCCCCCCCGGTCGTGCTGGTGGTGCGAGGGCGACCGCTCCCCGTGCTCCGTGAACACGGGGGAGCCGACACAGTCGCTGGCACCCAAGTCGCATTCTGCGATGGAGCCCAGTTTGGAGACCGGAGAACCGTCGGGAGACGACATCGCCGTCGAAGAGGAGGAGTTTCCCAGAACCTGGCCCTCCTCTGCGCCAGCGGAGCGCGGGCGTCCTCGGCCGGCGGCACCGGGTGGTCCCGTCGCAGCGTCGTCACGGTGCCCGGCGGCGGCGGCTGCGGGATCTCGTGCGGGCTCGTCCGCTCGGCCGCCCTGGGCCTCGTCGGCATCGCCGTCGTCGCCGTCGGAAGAGCTGTCGTCCTGCATGAAGCCGGACAGGCGCTTGGAGATGGGGCCCGAGTTGAGGCGAGACCTGGCGGGGAGTCCGCGAGCGGCGATCGGAGTAGTTCGGGGGTCACCGGCGCCGCTTGCCGAGACGACGCCGTTGGCGCGCGGGATCGATGTCGCTTGCCGCCGCGCTCCTCCATCGCTCGGCCCCCCGCGTTTCCGTGGGAGCGCGCGCGGCGCGGGGTCGGCGGGGTAGCGGGCGGCGACCGCGCGTACCCCGGCGTCGTCCCTCCGGTGGGCCGCGTCGGGGCCGGCGCCCGCGGAGTCCGCGCCGGGAACGACGTCCTGGCCTGCCGTGGCGAGGGCCTGGCACCCGACCTTTATCGCCAACGTCGTCAGGGACAGCGGCGACGACGGCGACGACGCCGGTGGCGACGGCGAGGAGGCGGGGGTGCCGGCGCAAGAACGCGACGAGCCGCGACGCGGAAGCGGCGCCGGCGGCGCGGAAGTCGTCGCTCCCCTCCCTGCGCCACACTCAAACTTCAGCCGCATCTCGGCGAACCTCTCGGAATGCACGGGCGTGACGGACGCTGGCTGGGCGCCGTCGCGCTCCTGCTGCTCCTGTTGCTCCTGCTGCTGCTGCTCCTGCTGCTGCTGCTCCTGCTGCTGCTGAATGGCGCCAAGGTTGTAAAGCCTCATGGGAGCTGGCGGAGTGAAGATCCTGCGGATTCTGTCGACAGTGATGGAGGGCGACAGCAGCGGAACGTCGGCAGCACCGGCGGACGGCACCGCGCCCGCACGCGACATCGCTGCCAGCGCTACCAGGGGGCGGTACTCGGGGCTCAGCAGGGGTCACCAGCGTCGTGTGACAGCAACCTGCAACTCCTAGGCATGAGAGACACGTCATGCATGAGACCCTCGGAAAGTGCTGGGTGCGACGGTGCTGGATAATGGTGCTGGGTCTGATGGTGCTGGATAATGGTGCTGGGTGTGACGGTGCTGGGTGTGACGGTGCTGGATAATGGTGCTGGGTGTGATGGTGCTGGGTGTGATGGTGCTGGATAATGGTGCTGGGTGTGACGGTGCTGGATAATGGTGCTGGGTGCGATGGTGCTGGATAATGGTGCTGGGTGTGACGGCGCTGGGTGTGACGGCGCTGGGTGTGACGGTGCTGGGTGCGACGGTTCACGAATGTAGTTGAAGTGAGGACTTTGTCCACAGGAAATAGCTTCCGTATTTAAATGTCCCTTGACTCACGCGATCGTGGGTGTGTGCGCTGTGTACGTTCATGTTCATCCTCTGGTGGCAATCCACTGCTGCATGAGGGCCTCCCAAAACTGTAAAGGTTATTTGGCCATACTTCACCACGTTGGTCTTTATGAAGGCAGGGAGCATAGAAGTACAGTACAGCAATTATTTTTTCCACACTGCCCACAGCATAGCTCCGTAGCTGCCTATAACACCTGATAATGCATTGAGGTCACCCGTCCAAGCACTATCCAGGCTCAAAGCTGCTTAGCTCCCAATAACTAAATCAACGCGTTCTGCTTGATTGGGCCATTTTTAGTGTATGTAGAGTGTGTGTGTGTATGTAGAGTGTGTGTATGTAGAGTGTGTGTGTATGTAGTGTGTATATAGTGTGTGTGTATGTAGAGTGTGTGTATATAGAGTGTGTGTGTGTAGTGTGTGTGTATGTAGAGTGTGTGTGTGTAGAGTGTGTGTGTGTAGAGTGTGTGTATGTCGAGTGTGTGTGTCATAGCGGTGGTGTAACGGTTAACGTGCTGTGCTACAAACCCGGTTGACACCAGTGACGATTATCTGAACCGATCCTGGGCCTCCCCTAGGTCAACTCGGCCTCAAATGTGTACCCGGTACGGTGTGTAAACATCGCGAAATGGGAGACAAAGGCGGACGTGCGTGGTGCTGGCCACCTAACAGTCTGCTCAAGGCTATACGGGGGATTTTTCCACGTGAGTATCTGTGTGTGCGTGACTAGCTGTGTGAGTGAGTGTCCTACGTATATAAGTACCCATGGGGGTGATTAGCTGTGTGAGCCAGTATCTGTGCGAGTGTCCGTGTTACTGAGTACCCATGATAATGAGCGAGTGCTCGTAAGCGAGCACACTGGCGGCGCATCTCACCGCTGCCCGCCGGGGGTGTCGGTGCGGCGTCTCCGCCCCGCGTGGCGGCTCCCGGCCGCTGGTGCGCTCCGTGAGGGGAGAGGAGACACGACCGGACTTCTCCGGGCTCGCCACGGACACCACCGCTGCTCTCGTTCGTGAGTCTCACAGACAGGGTGGTGGGCGGGGGGTGGGGCGGGGGGGGATGTGGGCGGTGGGATGTGCGGTCAGGTAGGGAGGGGGGGTGGCATACCTGGGGTCAGGTGGGAGGGGCTCTACCTGGAGCCCCGACACGCATGCACATGCACGTGCAGAGACGTCCACATACACACGTGCACACCCCAATCTGCACACACACACCCCAATCTACACACACACCCCAATCTACACACACACACCCCAATCTACGTACACACACACCCCAATCTACACACACACACCCCAATCTACACACACACACCCAATCTACACACACACCCCAATCTACACACACACACCCCAATCTACACACACACACCCCAATCTACACACACACACACCCCAATCTACACACACACACACCAATCTACACACACACACCCCAATCTACACACACACACCCCAATCTACACACACACACCAATCTACACACACACACCCCAATCTACACACACACACCCCAATCTACACACACACACCCCAATCTACACACACACCCTAATCTACACACACACCCCAATCTACAAAGATCCCCATATAGCCTGGAACAGACTGTTGGGGCAAGTGCATTTAGCGAGCACCTATGAAGGCCGGAACGGCACACGAGGGGTTGGGTGGCCAGCACCACGCCCGACCGCCTTTGGCTGAGTCGACCTAGGGAAGGCCCGGGACCGGTTCAGATAATCGTCACTGGTGTTGGCCATGAGCGGGAATCGAACCTGGGTCACCAGGTTCATAGCGCAGCGCGTTAACGCTACACTGCCGCTCAAACACACAAGCGCACACACCAATCTACACACACACACCCATGCGCACGCACAAAGACACGCACACACGCATACCACGCGCCGCGCCCTCCTCCTGCTCCTCACCACCACCGAGTTCCTCCCCCGCGGGGATGTTCCGACGTTCCGCACAGGGGACTAGCGCCAGCGCCACCTCCCGTGCCGCTCAAGCTCCCGCAGGAGGACGAGGAGATGAGGAGGAGGAGGAGTATCCGCCACTCTCCCTGGCACACAACGACAGAGATCCCCGTACAGCCTGTACCTGCCGTTGGGGCAAGTTCCGTTATCGAGTACCGTAGTTCCTACGAGTGCCGCGTGCGCGTGCCCAGACACGCACGGCACCCGCGCAGACCGCAGGCATCTCGCACGGCGCTGCCAGCCGCGGTGACGGGGTGGTGCGAGCGAGTCGAGCGAACATTTGACCTCGGTGGGATCACTGTATAGTCTTTGAACCCCGGTGCATGAATTGTACAACAGTAATATCAGAATCAGAATCTTTATTTATCCTGAGCTATTAAGTTATTTTTCACAGAGGTCCAATAATAAACGAACCCTGGGGGTCAGGGTTCGCTGTGAGCTGTCCGCCCAGGTGCCCCCCGCACTGGCGGCTGTCTCTGTGAAGGTGCAAGAGACAAGACGGGCAACCCCCCCACCACCATCGCTGCAGCTCGGGCAGAGGCCAAGCAGGCCTCAGCCTGGCCGGTGCGCGGACGGACGTCCACTGCCACTGCCGTGCGTGAAGCAGGTGCCGTAGGCCCCCCATGTTCACCAATTGCATTGACCAGCGTGGTGAAGTATGGTCAAATGACCCCCACGACCTGCACGGTATGTGGAGTGACACAAGTGCCGCGCTGTGTGTGGGGCTGCTGTGCTGTTTGTGTCTGCTGTGTGTGTTGTGCTGTGTGTGGGGCTGCTGTGCTGTATGTGTCTGCTGTGTGTGCTGTGCTGTGTGTGGGGCTGCTGTGCTGTGTGTCTGCTGTGTGTGTTGTGCTGTGTGTGGGGCTGCTGTGCTGTATGTATCTGCTGTGTGTGTTGTGCTGTGTGTGGGGCTGCTGTGCTGTGTGTGTCTGCTGTGTGTGTTGTGCTGTGTGTGGGGCTGCTGTGCCATATGTTGCGCTGTGTGTGGAGCTGCTGTGTGTGTGTTGTGCTGTGTGTGGAGCTGCTGTGTGTGTGTTGTGCTGTGTGTGGGGCTGCTGTGCTGTGTGTGTCTGCTGTGTGTGTTGTGCTGTGTGTGGAGCTGCTGTGTGTGTGTTGTGCTGTGTGTGTCTGCTGTGTGTGTTGTGCTGTGTGTGGGGCTGCTGTGCCATGTGTTGCGCTGTGTGTTGTGCTGTGTGTGGAGCTGCTGTGTGTGTGTTGTGCTGTGTGTGGCTGCTGTGTGTGTGTTGTGCTGTGTGTGTGTTGTGCTGTGTGTGTGGCTGTGTGTGTGTGCTGTGTGTGGAGCTGCTGTGTGTGTGTTGTGCTGTGTGTGGAGCTGCTGTGTGTGTGTTGTGCTGTGTGTGTGTGCTGTGTGTGGAGCTGCTATGTGTGTGTTGTGCTGTGTGTGTGTGCTGTGTGTGGGGCTGCTGTGCCGTGTGTTGTGCCGTGTGTTGTGCTGTGTGTGTTGTGCCGTGTGTTGTGCTGTGTGTGTGGCTGTGTGTGTGTGGCTGCTGTGCCGTGTTGTGCCGTGTGTTGTGCCGTGTGTGTGTCTGCTGTGCCGTGTGTTGTGCCGTGTGTGTTGTGCCGTGTGTGCGTTGTGCCGTGTGTGCGTTGTGCCGTGTGTGCGTTGTGCCGTGTGTGCGTTGTGCCGTGTGTGCGTTGTGCCGTGTGTGCGTTGTGCTGTGTGTGTTGTGCTGTGTGTGTTGTGCTGTGTGCGTTGTGCCGTGTGTGTGCGTTGTGCCGTGTGTGTGTGTTGTGCCGTGTGTGTTGTGCTGTGCCGTGTGTGTGTGTTGTGCCGTGTGTGTGTTGTGCTGTGTGCGTTGTGCCGTGTGTGTGTGTCTGCGTTGTGCGCTCTGCTGCTCGCTGCGAGTGTTGCTGCGCTCCCAGAATAGCCTCCCGCGCGCGTGCGTCGGCTTCTATTTCTGACAGCAGCAGCTGCTGCCTTGACCCCCCCCCCCAGCCTCGGGCCCCCCAACTCTGCCTCACGGCCTCCACTGCCGACTGGAGCTCCGGGCCTGCGGCCGCGAGTCTGCACCATGGCCGGGTTTCCCCTCCTAACCGCCGCGCTGGCCACAGGTGAGGAGTGCCGGTGAGGAGTGCCAGTGACTCGTGCCACGTGCAGGCGGCACAGAGGTGGAGTCGCCGGGACGGTACCGCTGGGGTCTGTGTTGGGAATGCGGCGTCAGCCGCCCGTGATTAATTAATTTATTTCTCCACTCACGTTCAGGGCTCGGTCCACCAGACGCTGACTGCTTTGTCTCACCCACCACTGGTCACAACAACACACCCTCACTCACCCACTCACCCATCCACTCACCCACCCACTCACTCACCCACCCACTCACCCACCCACTCACCCACCCACTCACTCACTCACTCACCCACCCACTCACCCATCCACTCACCCACCCACTCACCCATCCACTCACCCACCCACTCACTCACCCACCCACTCACCCATCCACTCACCCACCCACTCACTCACCCACCCACTCACCCATCCACTCACTCACCCACCCACTCACCCACCCACTCACCCACCCACTCACCCACCACAGTGCTCAACCACCACCACACTGCAGGTCACAACAACTCACCCTCACCCACCCACTCACTCACCCACTCACCCATCCACTCACCCACCCACTCACTCACCCACTCACTCACCCACTCACTCACCCACCACACTGCAGGTCACAACAACAAACCCACCCATTCACTCACCCACTCACTCACTCACCCACCACACTGCAGGTCACAACAACAAACCCACCCACTCACTTACCCACCCACTCACTCACCCACTCACTCACCCACCACACTGCAGGTCACAACAACACACCCTCACCCACCCACTCACTCACCCACTCACTCACCCACCCACTCACCCACCACACTGCAGGTCACAACAACAAACCCACCCACTCACTCACCCAGCCACTCACTTACCCACCCACTCGACCACCCACTCACTCACCACACTGCAGGTCACTCCACTTCTTTTTCTGTTTCTTCCATCACATTGCTTCACTCTGGAATTCCCTCCTGCCATCATCGTCTATTACAATAAGAACCTTACTCAATTCAAAACACTTGTTACACTCTTATCTATTGCACCTTCAATAGTGCTGTTGATTGGCTTGTTGGGCCTTTGCTCAGAAACCGCAATTCAAAGCAAGACAAAAGCCAGGTTCTCGAGTGCAGTGAGAGTTGCAGGTCCCAGCCTGGCCACCATTGACTGCACGGTTTAAAATAATAGTTTGATTGTCGCAGGACGAACAATACTCTCGGTGGCAGGGGCAGATGGGAAAGTCCTGCCCCTCCAGAGTATGAGCCAGATGTCAGTTGAGATTTTGGATGGGGTTCTGTGGTATCCGCTTCTGCGGACTATTCTTTCACACGAGGTGTGGCGCTGGTCACTGGGAGAGATGCAGAGAGATCGTTCGGCTCGTGATGCCGGTAGCGGCGCAGTCGCCATCAAATCTGGGGAGTGCCGGGTTTTGGACTGTGACGTTTCATCAAGGTCGCGGGGTTTCTCCAGGGCGAGTCCCTGGCGGCTAGACTATTCCGCACGAAAACATTCTGCTCACGTTGGATCAACTTCACGAGAGTTATCATGGCCACGCGTCACGGACGTGCGGAAAGACGGGCGGCACAGCTGTTGCATTAACAATTTCAAACCTTAGTTGGAACGCGTTAACGAGGACTCGTGCGCCGGTTCTTGCCCTGCGGCAGTTCTGCTGGTGGCTTGCAGCCTGCCGAGCGGAGCCGCGGGCGACCAGAACGTCTACCTGTCACCGGACACCCTCTTCGTGCACTTCCTCAACCGCGAGTACTTCGCCGAGTTCTTCCAGGGACGCCGAGGTGAGAGTGCGTTTGTGTGTGAGTGCGTTTGTGTGTGAGTGCGTTTGTGTGTGAGTGCGTTTGTGTGTGTGTGCGTTTGTGTGTGTGTGTGTGCGTGCGCGCGTGCGTGCGTGCGCGTGTATGCACGCGCCTATGAAGGCCAGCACGGCACACGAGGCGGTGGGTGGTCAAGACCATACCCGGCCGCTTTTGTCTCCCCAGTGGCCATGTTTACATATTGCACTAGGTACTCATTTGAGCCCGAATCGACCTCGGGGAGGCCCAGAACCGATTCAGATAATTGTTGTTGGCCGTGAGCGGGAGTTGTTACTCGGGTCGATGGCTTCGTACACCAGCGCGCGCTAACCATTGCTTGCTCTACACCACTTGCCCCAAGAGTCTGTTAAGGCTATATGAGGGATCTTTGTCGTTGTATACACGCGTACACGGTAGTGGAGCGGTTAGTGCGCTGAGCTACGATCCCGGCGACCCGAGTTTGATTCTCGCTTACGGCCAACACCAGTGACGATTTTCTGAACCGGTCCTGGGCCTCCCCGAGGTTGACTCAGCCTCGAATGAGTACCTGGTGCGGTGTGTAAACATCACCACTAGGGAGACAAAGGCGACCGGGCGTGGTGCTGGCCACCAACCCTCTCGTGTCCTGTTCGGCCTACATAGGTGCTCGCTAACAGCACTTGCCCCAACAGTCTGTTAAAAGCTATACAGGGGATCTTTGTATTGATATGCGCAACGAAATAGCCGATCCGTGAGTTGGCGCTGGATACACCGCACGCACGCCGACGCTGTGAATGCGTGCGCTTGTGCTGCCTGTCCAGATGACCCCATGACCTTTAACTTGAACTTGGAGGGTCACCCCGACCTGCCCGGCTGGCTGCGCTACCTGCAGAGGTCACCGTATGAGAACGGGCTCCTGTACGGCACAGCCAGCGCACGGCACGAAGGCAAGAGTGTGATCCAGGTACGGCTGTGCCCCGACACACACAGACAAAGATGCCCCATATGGCCTTAACGTACTGTAGAGGCAAGTGCTGTTAGCGAGCACCTATGAAGGCCGGCATGGCACACGCGGAGGTGGGTTGCCAACACCATGCCCGACCACCTTTGTCTTCTTTGTGGAGATGTTTACACACCGTACCAGATACTTAGTTGAGGCTGGGCCGACCTAGGGGAGGCACCAAACAGGTTTAGAAAATTATTGCTGGTGTTGGCCATGAGCGGGAATTGAACTCAGGTCTCCGGGTTCGTAGCGCAGCACGCTAACTGCTACATTACCACTCCCAGCCACACTCAAAGCCACACACACACATTATAAATTGTGTGTCTGTGTAATCGGGTTGTGTGTGGTTGCAGGTGGTTGCCTGTAACCGCCGCACGTTCCAAGTGGTGAAGCAACGACTCATACTCCACATCCATGCAGTGCCAGACAACGGTACCACCTTCACCACCATCACCACCAACATGATCATCATCATCATAACTACCACCATCATCATCACCACTGTCATCACCGGCACCACAGTTATCATCACCACCATCACATCACCAGGTGCCGCTTGCGAAAGGCGCTTTCGCCAACAGCCCGTAAGAGGCTACGTGGAAGATCTTTGTCTCTGTGTGCACGGGTGCTGCAGAGGTGCCGTTCCGCTTCGAGCTGTTCCTGTCCAACGTGGATGTGGACGACCTGCTGCGCCCGGACGTGAGGGCCAGCTTCGAGGAGCTGGCCCGCACCGCCTGGGGGGCCCAGCCACCCCCCCAAGCCTTCCGCCTCGTCAACGTCACGTCGGCGCTGGAGAGGGGGGGCCGCGTGCCCCTCCCCATCCGGGGCCTCAAGGAGGGGTGCGTGCCCATTGAGATTGTGTACGCGTAGAGTGGCGGGGAGCAGTGGCGTGGCGGTTAGCGCACCGCACTATGAACCCGGCCACCTGAATTAGATGCCAGCTCGCGGCCAAACTTAAACAAACTTAAACAATGTATTTCTAAACTTTTTGCTATTTTAGCAGCTAAGGCCCACTGAGCTACACAGCTCTTTTTCAGAAGCGACCTGGCCACAAATGAAAGCTCAGCAAAGTGGCTTATCACTTGTGGAAATTTATAGCAGCCAAACACTCTAAACATCTGTGCTGAATAATTGAACAGGTCCGAGTGTGGTATGTAAACATCACTACAAAGGAAACAAAGGCGGCCGGGCGTGGTGCTGGCCACCCATCCCCTCGTGTGCCGTACCGGCCTTCGTAGGTGCCGCTCGCTAACAACGCTCGCTCCGGCGGGGCCTTTGTCCCCGCAGCGTGTACGTCCAGGTGGGCGCGGACGCCGCGTCCCCGCGCCTGCTCGACGCCGTGCGCCGGGCCGCCTCCTCGTGCGACCAGCGCCATGCGCCCGCGCCGCCCACTCACAGCATCTTCTACCCGCGCTTCCGCAGCGACTGGTGCCGGCTCCGGCTGGTGAGGGGGCGCAGGGAGGCGCACGTCCAGCGGCCAGTACGGTCTGCCGGCCACCGTCTAACACCCAGCATCGTCTAGATCAGGGGTCCCCAAACCCCGGGCCGCGGACCGGTACTGGTCCGCGGCCTGTTAGGAACCGGGCCGCACGGCAGCAGGAGGTGAGCGGCGAGTCCGCGGATGGCCCGCCCCATTATTTTATTATTTACCACTTCCGTTCGTGCCTCTTGCCCGCACTGCGCACTGTCTCAGTCACGGTGTTGGTAAGCCCACAAGCTCTAACCCCTGGCCAAAATGAGTAAAAAACAAACGTCGCCGGAGAGCTTCTTTGAAAAGGGGGAAAGACCCAATGATGACCCCCCCCCTCCCCCGGTCCATGAAAAAATTGTCTTCCACGAAACCGGTGCCTGGTGCCAAAAAGGTTGGGGCCCGCTGGTCTAGATGACTGACTGGTCGAGTGACTATTGAATAAGTAGTTGAGTGACGAGACTGAATGACTAGTTGGAGAGCTAGTTGAGTAAATAGATGAGTGACTAGTAGACCCGTGACTATTAGAGTGCCAAGAAGCGTGACTAGGTGAGTGACTAGTAGAGTAGTAATGCCTGGCAGCGTGACTAGGTGAGTGACTAGTTGAGTGAGTGCACGTGGTGCCCGCCGTGTCACCCCGCGCCCCGCGCACAGCTGAACGCGTCGGGGCCCCCGGAGGCCGGGGACGAGGCCCCGGGAGGCAGCGGGGTCCTCGACGCCTGGGGCCCGGCGTGGGCGCCGCCCCCGTCGGACCTGCCGCCGCGCGACTTCTCGGCCGCGTACGCCTTGGCCGTCGCACTGCCGCTGGTTCTCGCGGTCCTTTTCATCGCCGTCCTCACCTACGTCATGTGCTGCCGCCGCGAGGGCCTGTGAGTGGCGCCCCCTCCCCCCGCGTCACGCGACGAGACTCGGGATCGATTTGGGAATCTCCCGGAGCGGTCGTCACCTTTTGCGGTCGGGGATCGGCCTGCAGAAATGGATACCGCAGAGCTGCGAGTGAGCCGGCAAAAGGCAACACTTTCCCACCAGCTCTGAGACCATCGACTCGTTACACTTGAGAACCTTCGTTGGTGTTTAGCTGCTGAACACTTGCCATGCCATCTGCAAAAATAGTAGAGAAACTTGAGGACCCGGCTTAAACACAGGCGACGGTAAACTTGGATTCACACCCGAGATTTCGGCTGTACTGGACTACCCAGCTACGTGTCGTTTTCCTCACTGCGCACCTGTGATATGGGCAGCACACACCCGATACTTACAGCACATACTGGATACCCACAGCACATACCAATGATAACCAGGATACTCATTTTGTTTTTCAGGGAGAAGAGAGACACAGCTACTCCTGAGTGAGTCTTAGAACCAGCGCCACCACGCGTCACCCCTCACCATGCGTCACCTCTCACCACGTCGCCCCTCACCACGTCGCCCCTCACCTCACGTCACCCCTCACCACGCGTCACCCCTCACCTCACGTCACCCCTCACCTTACGTCACCCCTCACCACGCGTCGCCCCTCACCTCACGTCACCCCTCCCCACGCATCGCTCCTCACCACGCGTCGGTCTTCCCTTCACGTCACCCCTCACCTCACATCGCCCCTTGCCGTGCCGAGGGCCCACCGAGGTTTGGCCGCATCAGGGGGAGTCGACCCAGTTGGTAAACTTGGCAAGATGCAGGATCCACCTTAATGGTAGGCCTCTTCCGTGATCGATTCTGCTTAGATTTAAAATAAAATTTCACCGACACCTCGACTCGGCTAAAAGGGTCAAAAAGACAGTAGCCTACTCGATGTTACAGACACCTCCCTTTAGTAAGAGGCCGACCCTCTCCCGTCCTCTGAACAAATGCATAAACAGAGCCGTGTGCGTCGCGTCGGCCGTTCGGCGTTTACGACGCCGATAACCCAGGCCGATGCCGACCGCCGCTCGGTGACCGAGAGCGGAGCTGGCATCGGCCGGGTCATCGGTCGAGCTGGGCACGGGTTTGAGCGTCGATCCCTGTCCCCGCGCGTCCCCAGGATGCAGCTGGTGCACCACCGCTCGATCCGCGAGACGGTGCGAGAGCTGCGCGACCTGGCGCTGCGCCGCGACGTGCGACCGCTCTCTACGCTGCCCATGTTTAACCCCCGTGGGGGGGGGGCCCTCCCCAGCCGGGGACCGGACGGGGACACCGGCACCACGAGGCTCATCGGGGCCGAGCAGTGAGCAGGCACACGCACGGGCAAACACACGCACGGGCAAACACACGCACGCACGGGCAAACACACGCACGCACGCACAGACTTGGACACATAGATCCCCCGTATTGCCTTTAACAGACCGTTGGGCCAAGTGCTGTTTGTGAGCAACTATGAAAGCCGGTACGGCAAACGAGGGGTTGGGTGGCCAAAACAATGTCCGGCCGCATTCATCACCCTAGAGTTGATCTTTACATACCGCACCAGGTACTCATTTTAAGGCTGAGTCGACTTAGGGGAGGCCCAGGACTGTTTCAAATATTTGTGACTGTTACTGGCAAGATGCACACTTGCACAAGCATACATGGACAGAAGTATGATGCACGTGGAACGCAATTAAACACGTGGGCGCACAATGAGCCACACGTAACCGCACAAAAACACACACACATGGTCACACTCAGTCGCACGCGGATCTGGGTAATGACGTGCGAGTGGTTTCTCCCACTCACTGCCAATGCCACCTCCACCTCGCTCGACCCAACCCTCCTTACCCCCCTTGCCCCCCGCAGGACCCCACCAAGTGAGCGACCTTCCCGACCGCCTCCCTACCAGGGCAGGCCCCACGCGCGTCAGGAGACCAGCTTCACGTGCGTGGCTTGTGCTGCTCCGCAGACACCGCAACGCGTCCACATTATAAGCGCAAGACAACCGAGACTTTGCTCTGCGGGGGATCCGATTGTCGGCCCAATTGTCCGACCTCGGGTGCTATGCAGAGTTGAGGCTGGATAAATGCTCGGATGAGCAACCCCCATGCATGGTGGGTTGTCATTGACTACTTCTGGGCCACGTCATGGGCAGCGGCGGACAGGGCGCCAAAATCCATTGCTGTGCTGCACTTTGTGCTCCCCGCCTTCACCAACCCACACTGACCAGCGTGGTGATGCGTGGGCAAATAACGCCCAAAACACTCACGCAGCAGTGGATTGACACAGGGACTGCACTTCTTTATCTTCTTTATAGTTTATTGCCTTATTTTGTATACAGCACAATATATGTATCCTAAGCACATATCTCCAGCACCATGGCCACCTTTGTTTTGAGCATACATAACGGAGAGAACAGTGCAAATATCCTATTTTGTTTTAAGGCGGCATTTAGACGCCGTCAGGGCTTCATTCCCTACCGAGCATTTTCCGGCTCGCCGATAAGACCGGAGTAGGCACGTAACTGGTAGCTGTGGCGGTAGCGAGATATACTGGACGCGATGTAGTGAGCGCTGCTGTAATGACGCCCTCGCCACCGTATCAACGGCGAAGTCGGTGAGCAACGCGTGTTTGCATCGTGCTGGTACGCCGCAGCCAATGCAGCCAACGCAGCCCCCGCATCGGGAATCTGAATACCGTCGCAATCGCGTTCGGGAAACATTCATCGCAGCTCCTCCCTCGTCCAACTCGCTCCGTTCCGCCCACAGGGACTCCCCGCGGAGCTGATGACGAGGGCTCGGCGAGGACGTCGCCCACGCACGCGGTAACGCGCCCGTCATCAGGCCCTCGAGTCGGCACCAGCGTCACGTCTGTGAGGGCTGTCTTCCAGCTCGTCACAGGACACTGGTTTCACGTTGATTTATGTTTGTGCACTCTTTCAGATGTCTTCTGTGAAGTGGTTGTTTTTGCTCTAATCTCATTTGCTTTAGCGTTGTTGAGTGGTCCAGGTGACTTGTGACCCCCAATTAATTGACCCCTAATTTTTTCCCTTTGCATATTCATTTGTTTACCCTTTGCATATTCATTTGTTTTTTATATAAACCTAGTAAAAAATATATAGTTTTAGAGAAATAAATGGGGGGGTCATAAGACATGTGGACCACCCTGTACTTCGGGAGACATTCATGATTTTGGTTACCCAGGTCACTCTTGCAAATGGTGTAGCCTGGTGCTTGAGTTCTCACCCCGTTACACAAAATAAACTAAAGGCCCAATCCTCCAGCGTTCAAGGCCTATTTTAGGCTTCTGTGAAGGCCCATTGTACGAACTCACGGCCGCACGTGTCTGTGTTTCAGCATCGTTGGAGGCTCCTGTCGCCTTTGGCGTCTGCGGTGCGGAGGTGTCTTCCTGGGACGGCCCGGGTCTGGCTCGCACGCCAGCGGCACCGTGCGGGCGCCGAGTGGTAAAACCCACGCCTACAGTTTTACCGAAAAGGCACGCGTGGTAGTTTTGTGCACGTGTTTTTTTCTCCTGAGACAATAGCGGCCGCTGTGGCCGTGTGATTGTCTGAATAAATCTCGCGGTGTCTGCACTCGCAGCCTCCGATTGGTGACTGGGCGGCGAGGCGTCACTGCCGCAAAAGCAGGAATTGTTGCAGGGCGCGGGGCAGGGGCAGCATCTCCACTACCGGGCGCAGATCCCGGACGCCCAGGGCGCACCGCACGGCCGCGCGGCTCTGGTTGGCCAGCGACGGTGCGCACGAACGCATGCTCTGCACACGCACCCACAAACGAGGGCAGCTGCACACGACAGACGGCAGGGAAAACATCACACAGTTGCTGAGCACAGCGGTTGGCTACGTATACCTACAACATGGTAAGCGTCCAGCAACAAACAGCACTGTCATAGTTGTAGCAGATAAGCGTGTAAAATGTTTCTTGACATTAGCAAGGTTATTATTCTAAAAGCTTGGGAAAAGAGACGATGATGATGGGAGGGAATTCCAAAGTGAAGCAGCGCAAGGAAAGAAGCAGAATGAGAAGTGAGGTGATCTGCAGTGTGCGAGTGAGTGCGTGGGTGGTGTTGTGACGTCCATTGTGGTGGAGGAACCAATAAGTTCACGGGAACCGTAATAACAATGATAGTAGTGATGAGAGTGATAAGAAAGCGAATGACTGCCGATGAGCGAGTGAATTGAGTGGTGGATCATCGGTCATCCTGAATTACTCTGAATTATATCAGGTGCAGCGAGGTAGGAATTGGGTGCTTCACCCCAGATATGAGATCAATATTACAACTTGGGCCGAAGTTGTGCTTGTGAACTTGTGACGGCGATGGAGGTTGCATTCAAGACACCGCAACCCGATTCCAGCGCCCCGAGATTCGATATTAAAATCCAATAGCTCCCACTGGAGGTTTCTTGGAGCCTCACCTGGAAATCCGGCCGAGGATCTGGCTGCCTTGGTCCTCCCTGGGCAGGTCCACCCAGCCACCAGCCGCCGCAAGCAGCAGCCGCAAACACCCCTCCTGATCGTTCCTCTCGTCTCCCTCGTCCTCCCCGCTGTCGTCGTCGTCGTCATCGTCGTCACCGTCGTCACCGTCGTCGTCATCGTTCCGGTAGCGGTGCGCCATCAGGGCCAGCAGCTGTGCGACGGGCGTCTCGCCGAGGCGGTTCCGCGCACGTGGGTCGGCCCCATGCCGCAGCAGCGCGGCCGCGATCGCCCTCCGGCCGCGCTTGGCCGCCCAGTGCAGCGGCGTCTCGCCGTGCGCGTCGGCCACCCGGCAGCACGCGCCCCCGCGCAGCAGCGCCCGCGCGCTCCCCGCCCGGCCACGGAACGCTGCCCAGTGCAGCGGCGTGTCGCCGTTGCCGTCGGGCGGCGAGGCCCCGGCGCCCGCCGCCAGCAGCAGCGCGACGCAGTCGGAGAAGGAGCGCTCCGCCGCGTAGTGCAGCGCTCGCCGCTTGTAGCCGTCCACCGCGTCCACCTGCGGTGCGGGAATGGAACGTTGACGGCACTTGCACCGCACTCGGTGATGTGTGGGACGGTGGTGTAGGACGTTCCGCGCCTGGCACCGCTGTGTGTAGTGAGAGTGAGTGACAGTGTGAGGCAGTGTGTAGTGAGTGTGAGTAACAGTGTGAGACAGTGTGTAGTGAGAGTGAGTGACAGTGTGAGGCAGTGTGTAGTGATGGTGTGGGGTAGAGAGTGAGTGACAGTGTGGGGTAGTGTGTAGTGAGAGTGAGTGATGATGTGGTGTAGATAGTGTGTGACAGTGTGTGACAGTGTGTAGTGAGTGTGTAGTGACAGTGTGAGGCAGTGTGTAGTGAGAGTGTGAGGTAGTGTGTGGTGTATATAGTGAGTGACAGTGTGTAATGTGAGGTTGAGGCAGTGTGAGGTAGTGTGAGGTAGAGGTAGCGTGTAGTGATAGTGTAGTGAGTGATGATGTGGTGTAGAGAGTGTGTGACAGTTTGTAGTGATGGTGTGGGGTAGTGAGTGATTGTGTGGTGTAGGTAGTGTGTGGTGATAGTGATAGTGTGTGATGTAGTGTGTGGTGATAGTGATAGTGTGTGGTGTAGTGTGTGGTGATAGTGATAGTGTGTGGTGTAGTGTGTGGTGATAGTGATAGTGTGTGATGTAGTGTGTGGTGATAGTGATAGTGTGTGGTGTAGTGTGTGATGTAGTGTGTGGTGATAGTGATAGTGTGTGGTGTAGTGATAGTGATAATGTGTGGTGTAGAGAGTGTGTGACTGTGTGTTGTGGTGTAGTGGGTGCGGGTCTCGCGGGGTCACCATCGCGCCGCTCTGCAGCAGGAGGCGGAGGCCCTCCGTGTTGCCCACCATGCAGGCGCAGTGCAGGGGCAGCTGCGTCCCGAGGCCCACATTCACGTCCGCGCCCTGAGGCACACGTGGCGCCGGGTCACACACGCGGGGTCACACACGCGAGGTCACACGCGGGGTCACGCGCGGCGCGGGGTCACGCGCGGCGCGAGGTCACGCATGTGGAGGGTCACGCGCGGCGCGGAGCGAGACGTGCGGTGCGGAGAGTCTCGCCTGCTGCCGCAGCAGGCCCGCCACGCTGTCCGGCGGGAATGAGGGTCGCCCCGTGAGGGCGCGGAGGAGCCGCTCCTGCAGCGAGCGGCGGCCCGTGCCCTGCAGCTGAGCCACAACTCCAGGGCGCAGTGGCGGGGTCCCGGACATTCCGCGCGGACCCGGCAGGAGGGATCGGTATCCAGGGGACCAGTCTCTCTATCTCTCCCGTCAACCCCCTATCAGAGACCTCTCCCCTATTACAGACCAGTTGAGACCTTACTGGTCACCCCCATCACAAGGGAGACACAAATAGACACTTTGTTGTTGTGCCCGCATTGAGACGGCTGCGCGCCGTCTGGAGCTGAAGAACTCCGCACAAGAACACGGGGGTCGTGAGCCGCGCGGGTTGACAGCTGGAAAGGGGGCGCCGCGCAGGGGGCCTCTGTCCCGGCGGTCCCAGCGCCGAGTGAGCGCGGACCCCACGGGGGCCTCGGAGCGGCATCCCCTCTGCCGGGTCACGTGACGGCGGCCGTGACGTCATCCGCGAGGTCGCGCGCGGGTGACGTCACGCGCGTGACCCCCGGTAACGGAGAGGGCCACGTGGGGTGCGGCGAGAGACGCACGCGGGCGAGGAGACGACGTGGAGGTGACGAGGAGTGGAGGAGGAGGAGAGGGGTGACGAGGAGGAGGAGGAGAGGGGTGACGAGGAGGAGGAGAGGCCGCCATGTCCTGCAGGCTCCTGCGGGCTCGGAGCGGAGCGTGGCGCCGGTACGGGGCGAGAGGGAGTGGTGGAGCTGCCGCGGGTCGACAGGACCCCCCCCCCGCCGCACGGCCGTGACGCCGCGCGTCGTGTGTGTGTGGGGCCCCAAACTCAGATTAATAGGCGACGTTTCGGGCAATCGTCCTTCATAAGAGCAAATTGAATATTGTCTCTGCACCCCCAGTTTATGTCCTCTGTAAAAGGGCCGTTGTCCGAAACGTCGCCTGTTGGCAATTTACTTGTTGGGGCCGCATGGTTATTATCATTGACGACAGCGAGTTGTTGTGTTGACTGCCTGCGGGCCACTGCTTAACGCAGCAGCAGCAGGAGCTACCGTGTCGCCGCTCGGGTGAGGTGCAGGGGTATCAGCAGAGGGCGCGCTCGTGTCGCGTGCATTCACTACCGTCTCCCGCAGTCTCCCTGTGTCCCAACCGTGTCTCCCCGTGTCTCCCTGCGTCTCCCCGTGTCTCCCTTTGTCCCACCCTTGTCTCCCCGTGTCTCGTGTCGCGTGCATTCACTGTCTCCCCTGTGTCTCCCTGTGTCCCGTGTCTCCCTGTGTCTCGTGGCACGATGGTGCAGTGCTTGGCGCTGGAGCGTGCGCGACGCGCATGGCTCCGCCGCTGCGGTGAAGTTGACGCCCGGCGCCAGCGAGCGGGCGCAGCGGCTGGTGGCGGGGCAGCGCCTCCACGGGTACAGCGTGCAGCGGGTGAGCGAGCGACGGGTCGCACCCCGCGCGCCCAGACCCCCGCGCGCCCAGACCCCCGCGCGCCCAGACCCCCGCGCGCCCAGACCCCCGCGCGCCCAGACCCCCGCGCGCCCAGACCCCCGCGCGCCCAGACCCCCGCGCGCCCAGACCCCCGCGCGCCCAGACCCCCGCGCGCCCAGACCCCCGCGCGCCCAGACCCCCGCGCGCCCAGACCCCGCGCGCCCAGACCCCCGCGCGCCCAGACCCCCGCGCGCCCAGACCCCCGCGCGCCCAGACCCCCGCGCGCCCAGACCCCCGCGCGCCCAGACCCCCGCGCGCCCAGACCCCCGCGCGCCCAGACCCCCGCGCGCCCAGACCCCCGCGCGCCCAGACCCCCGCGCGCCCAGACCCCAGCACTTACGAACTCAGCGGCCCAGGTTTGATTCCCGGCCATGGCTAACAACGGTGACGACGATGACGACGATTTGTATTGGTCCTGTGACTCCCCGAGGTCGACTCAGTCCTCAATGAGTTCCTTGTGCGGTGTGTAAACGTTAGCACTGGGGAGACAAAGATGGCCGGACACGATGCCCCAGAGCTACATGGGGGAACTTTGTTGCAGGTGGTGCCCGTGCCCGACCTGTTCCTGACGGCCGTGGCGCTGAGGCACGACAGGACCGGCGCTCAGCACCTCCACCTGGCACGTGATGACCCCAACAACCTGTTCAGGTGCACGCACCCACAAACACAAAGACTGAGCTCCCCCGCGTAGTCTGCGCATGCTGTCGGGGCAAGTGCTATTATTGAGCACCTTTTATGAAGGCTGGCAGCGTGCAACTGGCTTCCACTCCGCAGGACAGCACCGGCTTGGGGAGGCCTTCATCCAGCAGTGGATTGGCCGTGGCTCGTGATGATGATGATGACGAAGTGTGTATGCGCGTGTGTCTGCAGCGTGCAGTTGGCCACCACCCCGCGGGACAGCACCGGCGTGCCGCATATTCTGGAGCACGTGGCGCTCTGCGGCTCGCGCCGCTTCCCGTGCCGCGACCCATTTTTCAAGATGCTCAACCGCTCGCTCGCCACCTTCATGAACGCCTTCACCGGTGGGCACGGCGCCTGCCCGCTCGCACGACGGGCATACGACCCAACGTGGTTGGTCGGAACCACCTGGGGTAACGACTGCTGCTAGTGTCCATGGTGGACAGTGCCCACCATGGCCAGCATCCACCATGGGCAGTGCCCACCCGGGCTGTTGTCCGCTTTAAGCGGTGCTCACCTTGAGCAGATACCCCCTCTGTGTTAGAGATACACGCGGTTTGTATTCTCATATTCTGAAAGTGTATAATCATGTAAAATAGTTGTTTCTTTCAAAATTATATTCTGTGTCACGTAGGCTTTCGCGCCCAATATCCATAATAGAGGTTTTTTGGGTTAATGTACGCTGACTCATTAATCCCCTTCCCCCCACTTTGCACAAGAGCACAGAAGTGTGGTCACCACATCCACGCCTCTATATAAGGAACGAAACAGGTGGACTTCACAAATCTGGCTGTCGCCTGATGAAGCTAGTTGTAATTACTGGCGAAACGTCGTACTCAAATTATAAATGTTGTGGCTTGGCTCTCCAACACAACGGTGTGCTGTACTAGTGACGAAATGGCACGTTCTGTTTACGTAACAACCCTTACTAGTTGGCTGTGTCGGGTGGTGGCGGTTTTAACGACACATTTATATACGTGCACCTATTTAACAACATTCCCATAGTAAGCTACCACGGTGAACTGGCCATCACAAGCGTTAGTGGTCTTGATTACGTTTTTCTTTTGCCAATTAGGGTAGCAGTTGCCACCCTAGGTGGTACCGCTGAAACATTTTCGGGCCATTGGCTCCGAAGACCGGACAGCCGGCGAGGCGTGCCGAGATGCGGGGGCCCACCGAGCTACGGCTGAGCAGGAGCCTCATGCTCAGGGAGGGTCCCCTAATATCGCCAGCGGAGTTGAGTGATTCAGTAAATATTCACATGATGGACATTTAAGCGATTTCCTGCTTACATGAGGGTTGAGGTGGTGTTCATCTCCTGAACATAGCCCTGAGCCAGTGGTGGAAATTCCACATTCATATGGCGAACTGTTAACTATTCCACAAAGTGGTACTCATTTTATCGATGATGTAGGGAAGGATTGTGAGCTGAGTCAACGGCTCCCCCCCCTCACCCTCCAACCAGGGTTTGAACTCCCAGCGTTGGGTTTTCTGCGAGATAGTCGACCCTGGCCGGGTCTCATTTACATCTAACACAGTGCGTGTGAAACGAATACGGAGAATGGCGCTAAATCAATAAATACAATGACCGCTTCCTCTGATAAAGATTCAATGTAGGCGATGTAATTATTGTGTCCCTCCCTCCTCCCTCCTCCCCCACCTACAGCGAGCGACTACACGATGTACCCGTTCTCCACCCAGAACCCTCAAGACTTTCGCAACCTCCTGTCCGTCTACCTGGACGCCGTGTTCTTCCCGCGCCTCCTGGAGCTCGACTTCTGGTGAGGTCCTCTTGTTGCGAGCCAATTGGGAAGATGCGACGATGCTGGTGCACCTCCTTGGGGCGTGGGGGTCACAGGTGTAAGATGTACATGTGTGTGCGTTTGCTGTGTGCACCTAGCCTGGCACAAGCGTCATGGTGATGCCACTGAGTGGCGAATGGCAGCTGTCATTGGCAATATGTGTGTTTGCTGTGTGTGTGTGTGTCAACACCCTGGATACCCGTGCAATTGAGATGGTTCCTTCTCAAGGGATGTTCCAGGTGAAATATTTAAATCAAATAATTTTTCTATATCTGATGCTCGCGTGTCGTTGGCGTGTCGGTCAAACCTGCGTGTTGTTTGCGTGTTTGTCGTGGGGGCGCTCGCCGCAGGCAGGAGGGATGGCGGCTCGAGCACGAAGACCCCAAGGACCCGGGCACCCCCCTCGCCCTGCGTGGCGTCGTCTTTAACGAGATGAAGGGGGCCTTCGTGAGTTCCCGTGCCGACGATCACGCACGTGCCTCGATGACCTCGACCCGATAGCGTCGGGGTCGGAGTAGACATTTTTATTCCGCTCGTTTCCCCAGGAAGTCCAATCGTCTTTTCCAGGGAAGTCCTGCCAATTGGGATGTCACGGGTTATAAACCCGTGACAATGTTTTTTAGCTGGGAGAAAATTAGAGAACATTGAGAAAACCCATGCAAAACAGGGGGAGAACATACAAACTCCATACGGAAGAGCCACAAAATCGAACCCAGGTGCTTCTTGCTATGAGTAGAGAGCGGTACCCTTGCGCCACCCTTAGTTATGTGCTGGCGGGTGGTATGGTGGAGAGCTCAGAAATAAAGTCTTTAACCATGAACCACAAACTGGCAGAGAGGCAAGAGCACCCACAAGGGCCAACCTCGTGGTTTAGTGGGGCCCAAAGCCCGCGGGTCCCCGGTCGAGCCCCCGTGGAGCCGGTCGCCCGCTCGCCCGCCCCCCCCACCCACCTATCTCCATGTCCATGTTCCATGCAGGCCGACAGGGAGCAGCTGTTCTGTCAGCATGCGCAGAATGCGCTGCAGCCGGAGCACACGTACGGCGTCGTGAGTGGGGGACACCCGGCCCACATCCCTGAACTCACCTGGGAGGGCCTGCGGGCCTTCCACGCCGCGCACTACCACCCGTCCAATGCACAGTGAGGCTCTCGCACACGCGTGCACATACGGGCACACCTCGTGTTACCGATCTTCCTCCTGACTCTGACCTGCACCAGTGGCACCTCCATAGCCCTTCTCACTGCATCTTCTGTCTCTTCTCAACTCGAGCCCAAATCATATCAGTCTCGCATCCCTGACCTCCAGGATATGAGTGACCCTGCTAAGGCCCAAGCTTCTTGATTCCGTCTCCTTTCCTTGGAAGAGATTGTCGGTATAATTTCTGAAACATTTTACTGTATCATGAAAAATGATATCGTGACAACCCCAGCGTGCACGTCACCACAGACATACGTATGCACACAACGACAAAGATCTCCCTCATAGCATTTAACATACTTTGGGCAAAAGTGCTGTAAGCATGAGCCTATAAAGGCCAGCACGGCACACAAATACAAAGATTCCCATATAGCCTTAACATACGATCGGGGCAGGTGCTGTTAGTGACACGTACACGCACGCACGTACGTGTACGTGTCGCTGTGTGTGTCAGGTTCGTGACGTACGGAGACCTTCCGCTGGAGCCGACGCTGCAGCAGATCGAAGCCGAGGCACTGAGCCACTTCGAGCGCATCCAGCCCGACACGGCCGTGCCCAGCCAACCGCGCTGGAGCCAGCCGGTATCACCGCCCACCCCACCGATCTGCACTGACCCTCACCGAGCCCGCCGACCTCACCGACCCCACTGATCCCCATTGAGCTCACGGCTCCCACCGACCCCATCAATCCCACCAATCCCACTGATCCCACTGACCCCACTGACCCCACTGATCCCTACCGAGCCCACTAACCCCACCTACCCCACCTACCCCACCTACCCCACCTACCCCACCTATCCCACCGACCCACCGAGCCCACAAACTCCACCAAGAAGGTTGAAACTCGTTTGCCGTGTGCAAGTCTCTGTGATTATTTGGTGGCTGAATGTTCCCCAGGACAGGAATCCTGGGGATTGGTGCTGGTTTCGGTGGATGGGAGACGTTCGCGTTCTCGCGGCCCACCTGCTGCCTGTTTTCATGTCACCTTAAATACAACTCATACCGCCATGGAGGCGAAATGGGCGGTGGTAGTGACGATGGTAGTTGTAGAACAGTAATTGTATCCCATGCTGCTCTGTGGCCTCTGCCCCTGGATCCCAGAGGGAGGTGCACGTGACCTGTGAGGCTGACCCCCTGGCCCCCGACCCCAGCAAACAGACGACCGTCAGCGTGAGCTTTCTCCTGGGAGAGTACGTCACACCTCGACACTGCTACGCACCGCACCACATCACACAATATCACACCACATCACACCACATCACACAATATCACACCATATCACACCATGGCGGCTGTTGTTATGTGTTTCTGTTTGTGTGCAGCATCACGGAGGTGTTTGAGTCATTTGTGCTGAATGTGGTCTCCTCTCTGCTCGTGTCCGGGCCCAGCGCGCCCTTCTACCGGGCCCTGCTCGAGTCCGGGATGGGCTCCCACTACGCCCCAGTTACCGGGTCTGCTCCGCGTCATACCACGCACTGCGTTACACCAAGCCACGTCATACCGTACTAGGCCATGCCACACCGCGCCGTGGTGACTCTGTGGCGCTGGTGGTGCGGTGCGGTGCAGGTATGACGGCAGTACGCGCGATGCGGCGTTTGGCGTGGGGCTGCAGGGCGTTGCGCCGGGGGACGTGGAACGCGTGACGAGCGCCGTGCACGCCACCATCGCCAGCGTCGTGCGGTACGAGCGCGACACGTGTGCCCGCGTGTCCTTGTTGTGTTCATGTTGTGTATCCGTGTCGTGTGTCCGCGTGTCCTTGTTGTGTTCATGTTGTGTATCCGTGTCGTGTGTCCGCGTGTCCCTGTTGTGTCTTTGTTATGTATATCCGTGTCATGTGCACGGGTTTGTGTTTAGTGCTCGTGCGTTTGTCTGTCTATGTTGTGTGCTCATGTCCGTGTTGTGTTTGTCTTTGTGCCTTTGTTGTCTGGCACTTGTCCGTGTTGTTGTATGTGTGCGTTCACGTCGTTTGGGCATTTTGTGCGTGTTCATGCAGTAACCGTTTTAACAAAATAACATTCATCACAAGGTGTGTGTGTGCGTATTGTGTTTACATGCACGTAAAGCACTTTCAATACATATACCAAGACGCTTTGTAATCTAACAAAGGCCTGGCAGTGACACTTCTCCTCCACCCAGTATTCAACCACCACCACCACCACCACATTTAAGGTCACAACAACACCCACTCACCTACTCACACACTCACTTACCCACCCACTCACCACACTCACCCACTCACCACACTCACCCACTCACCACACTCACCCACTCACCGCACCACAGGTGACAACACTTCTCTTTATGCTTCTTCCCTCTCAATGCTCCACTTGGGAATTCCCTCCCCATTGTCTCTTATCCCAAACTCTTATTACAACCTGGCTCAATTCAGGTTCTGCGTGACACTCTCATTTATTACAACTCTGATAGTGCTGCTGTTGCCCGGCGCTCTCCCTTCGCTATCCCTGCAGGACGGGATTTGAGGCTGAGCGGATCGAGGCTCTTCTGCACAAGATGGAGTTGGGTCTCAAGCACCAGGGAACCAACTTTGGGCTGACGCTGGCGACCGTAGGTTCCTCTCACTGGCCACTTGCGCAGGGCATCACCGTTGTGGCATCACGCGCAGTGGCACCAGTGTGGGATCGCACCCAGTGGCACCAATGTGGCAAGGCACCCAGTGGCACGAGTTTGGCATCATCCCCATTGGCGCCAGTGTGGTATCATGCTCGTTAGTATCAGGGGGGCATCACGCCTAGTGGCACCAGTGTGGCATTACGTACGGTGAAAACTCTTCCCATTGCCATCACGAATGCAGCACGCATACACGTACACATGCACATACACAGAGACAAAGCTCTCCTGTGTAGCCTACCCAGGCTGTTAGCAAGCACCTATGAAGGCTGGCATAGCACAAGAGACAGTGGTGTGGCCAGGACAGTGTCAAGCCGCCTTTGTCTCCCCAGTGCTGATATTTACACACTGCACGAGGTACTCATTTAAGGCTGAGTCGACCTCGGGGAGGCCTAGGATCGGTTCAGATATATGCCACGAAGATTGTCTGTGGGCGGGAATTGAACGCAGGTGGCCACATTCATATGGCAGTGCGCTGACAACTGCCACCACTCGCACGTACACACACGTGCACCTTAAGAGGGTGCCCATGCTGTGTGAGCCATGGTAGACTGGAGCAGGTAACCGGCAGCCATAGTGAGAAGAGGGGTATACTGATGTTGTATGCTGGGTACAGAAATATTTTCTGGGCCACCAACGCAGAGAGACGCTGCTGGAATGAAGCCCTCGGGCATGCGGCTCTGCCTGTCTCTCTCTTCTTCACGGGTTTTGTGAGTCCACCAGCATGCGTTGTGACACGTGCGTTGTGACACGTGCGTTGTGACACGTGCGTTGTGACACGTGCGTTGTGCCGTGCGCCCCCCCAGGCGCTGGCGTCGAGCTGGGGTCATGGCGGTGACCCCGTAGAGATGCTGCGCGTGGACGCGCACGTGCGCCGCCTGCGCTCACTGCTGGCGACGGAGCCCTCGTTCCTGCAGGACGCGGTGAAGTGGCACCTGCAGGTGACCCGCGACCCGCGACCCGTACTCACCCTCACCGCCCGGGGAGCCTCGAGTGTTTCAGGAGTGTCGCGCGGTTCTTGCATCGAGCGAGGTTATTGTTGTACGAGCTTGGGGAACGAGACGGTGGGAGGGAAGAAGCAAGAAGAGAATTGAGGTGACCTGCAATGTGGTGGGTAGGCGGGTGAGTGAGTGAGCGGGTGAGTGTGTGAGCGGGGGAGTGTTGTGAAATGTGGTAGTTGGACACAGTGTGGATGAGATGAAACGGTAAGTCTGGTTGAGCGAGTCCTAAACAGGGGCGGAGGAATCATTGAGTGAAGTTCATGAGAACAGTAACCATGGTAGCAGCTATAAAAGAGTGAGTGAGTGGTTTGTTGATTGAGTGAGTTGGTGGGTGAGTGTGTTGTGACATACAGGAGTGTGGTGGTTAGTCGTGAGCGTAAGAACAGAATTGAATTGACCAGTGAGCACAGCCCCTGTGACCACGCGCGTTTACGTGTCTCCAGGACAACCCCCATCGCTTGACCCTGGTGATGACCCCCGACCCCGGCTACGCGGAGCGGCAGGCGGAGAAGGAGGCGGAGACGCTGCGGGCGCTGGCGGGCGGTCTCTCCGCCGAGGAGCGCGAGCGCGTGCACCACAAGGGTAGCGCGCCGGCCCCCCGCTCGCCCACCCCACCCAAGTGTATCCCGACTGCGCCATTGGAAGAATTTAATTTAGTTTTAGCAACGTTGCCCAGTGCAGACCCAGAGGCCAGCAACAACCAGCACTATTGAAGCTGCAGTGCGAGGAAATCATCCTGAAGAGAAGTACTGTGAGTTGCAGCGTGTTGAACGAATCGCAGAACTCAGAATCAGAATCTTTATTTATCGTGAAGTTACCTCCAGGATCCCTTCAAGTGGCCTCTGGTCCACACAGGGGCGGGCAGCACTTTCTGTCGCGCCGTGCCACGGAGAGTAATGTCCGTCACACGATAGTTGGACCGATTTATTACATTATCAGCCTTGAACACGGCAAAGCGGAGTGTGGGGAGCACAGGCGCTTGCATCTGCGTCATCTGAACCAGTCAACCCCGTGACCTGCCAGCGAGCCTTCCACACTTCACGGAACAGCCTCAAAATGCACCTAGCCTGGCACAAAATTCGTTGGCTACGTACAGTGCGAAAGAAGTTCAGCCTACATGCACACATGGTTGTTGCGGTTGTTGTGACGCGAGGTTGTGCCGCTCGCAGGCCTGGAGTTGCTGGCGCTGCAGGACTGCCAGGAGGACGTCTCGTTCTTGCCCACGCTCCGAGTGTCGGACATCGACCCGCAGATCCCACGCACGCACACACGGCTCACCTGGGCCGGTACGTGCATCCCACTCGCTCTCTCGGCACGCGCTCAATCGTTCACTCGCTCACGGACCAATTCATTCAGTTTTCCCACACTCACCTCACGCTTCCACTTACCGTACGCTCAACGCCCTCACTCGCGCATCCACGGATTCACTCGCACCACACCTATGCGCTTACTCGGCAACCCCGGCATCTGTGGTGGCTTTAGGGCTGATATGGCATTTCCGTGCGCGTGTCTGTGGATTGCGGCCCGTGCGTGTGTCTGCACGTCTGCCGCTTGCGTGTGTGGGTGTGTGCGTGCGTGGGTGTGTGCGTGCATGTGTGTGTGCGTGCGTGTGTGTGTGCGTGTGGGTGCGTGCGTGGGTGGGTGCGTGCGTGGGTATGTGCGTGCGTGTGTGGGTGCATACGTGTGTAGAGCGCGACGTGCCAGTGCAGGTGAGCGAGCAGCCCACGAACGGGGTCGTGAGTTTCCGCGCGCTGCTTTCGCTCGCGGCCGTGCCGTGCGACCTGCAGCCGCTCGTGCCCCTCTTCTGCCACGTGCTCGCCAAGTACGCACGCACACGCACATACGCAACACGCACATACGCAACATGTATGCATATACAAAGACCCCCCCGTGTAGCCTCAGGTAGGCTGTTGGGGGCGGTATGGTTAGTGAGCAACACCTGTAAAGGCCAGTACGGCGCACTTGCGGATGGGGTGGCCAGCACCGCACCCGGCGGTCGTCTCTCTCAGAGTAACAATGTTCGCTAACCACAGTAGGTACTCATTTGAGGCCGAATCGACCTAGGGTGGTCCCTGGTACCGTGCCCTGGCACTGTGAGCGGGCTGCGTATCGCCATCGCTCATCTCGAGCGTGCCACGGGCAGATTTGAGCAAGAGTTCGGATTGCGGTAACACTTACGCTTGGATGGAACGTGCGTGTGTGCGTGCGGTAGTGTAGCGGTTAGCGCGCTGCGCTTTGAACCTGGCGACCCGAGTTCGATTCCCGCTCACGGCCAACACCAGTGACGATTATCTGAACCGGTCCTGGGCCTCCCCTAGGTCGACTCAGCCTGAAATGAGTACCTGGTACGGTGTGTAAACATCGCCACTGGGGAGACAAAGGCGGTCGGGCGTGGTGCTGGCCACCCACCCCCTCGTGTACCGTTCCGGCCTTCATAGGTGCACGCTAACAGCACTTGCCCCTACAGTCTTGTAAGGCTATACGGGGGATCTTTGTCTTTGTGTTGCAGAGTGGGTTGCGGTGACATGGATTACCGGCAGCTATCCCAGTGGATCGATCTCCGCACCGGTGGCCTCGATGCCAGCACCAGCATTCTCCCGGACCACTCGCAGCTGGATTACTACCAGCAGGTGACCACGCACTACCACATGGAGCCACACGCAGCAACACACAGCAACCACCACCACCAGCAGCACCACCACCACCACGCAGCAACACACAGCACCACCACCACCACCACCACGCAGCAACACACAGCAACCACCACCACCAGCAGCACCACCACGCAGCAACACACAGCAACCACCACCACCAGCAGCACCACCACCACCACGCAGCAACACACAGCACCACCACCACCACGCAGCAACACACAGCACCACCACCACCACGCAGCAACACACAGCAACCACCACCACCAGCAGCACCACCACCACCACGCAGCAACACACAGCAACCACCACCACCAGCAGCACCACCACCACCACGCAGCAACACACAGCACCACCACCACCAGCAGCACCACCACCACCACGCAGCAACACACAGCAACCACCACCACCACCAGCAGCACCACCACCACCACCACCACGCAGCAACACACAGCACCACCACCACCACCACCACGCAGCAACACACAGCACCACCACCACCACGCAGCACCACCACCACCACGCAGCACCACCACCACCACACAGCACCACCACCACGCAGCACCACCACCACCACGCAGCACCACCACCACGCAGCACCACCACCACCACGCAGCACCACCACCACCACCACCACCACGCAGCACCACCACCACCACCACCACGCAGCACCACCACCACCACCACCACGGAGCACCACCACCACCACCATGCAGCACCACCACCACCACCACACAGCAAGGGGAAGGACACAAACTAAACATAAAAGGCAGTTCTTAAGAAATGAGCCTTGGTGTGACTTGGTGTGTGTGTGTTGGTGTGACGTGCTGTGTATGTTGGTGTGACGCGCTGTGTGTGTTGGTGTGACGCGCTGTGTGTGTTGGTGTGACGCGCTGTGTGTGTTGGTGTGACACGCTGTGTGTGTGTGTTGGTGTGACACGCTGTGTGTGTGTGTTGGTGTGACGCGCTGTGTATGTTGGTGTGACGCGCTGTGTGTGTTGGTGTGACGCGCTGTGTGTGTTGGTGTGACGCGCTGTGTGTGTTGGTGTGACACGCTGTGTGTGTGTGTTGGTGTGACGTGCTGTGTGTGTGTGTTGGTGTGACGCGCTGTGTGTGTGTGTTGGTGTGACGCGCTGTGTGTGTTGGTGTGACGCGCTGTGTGTGTTGGTGTGACGCGCTGTGTGTTGGTGTGACGCGCTGTGTGTGTTGGTGTGACGCGCTGTGTGTGTTGGTGTGACGCGCTGTGTGTGTTGGTGTGACGCGCTGTGTGTGTGTGTTGGTGTGACGCGCTGTGTGTGTGTGTTGGTGTGACGCGCTGTGTGTATGTTGGTGTGACGCGCTGTGTGTGCGTGTTGGTGTGACGCGCTGTGTGTGTGTGTTGGTGTGACGCGCTTTGTGTGTGTTGGTGTGACGCGCTTTGTGTGTGTTGGTGTGACGCGCTGTGTGTGTGTGTTGGTGTGACGCGCTGTGTGTGTGTATTGGTGTGACGCGCTGTGTGTGTTGGTGTGACGCACTGTGTGTGTATGTTGGTGTGACGCGCTGTGTGTGTGTGTTGGTGTGACACGCTGTGTGTGTTGGTGTGACGCGCTGTGTGTGTGTGTTGGTGTGACGTGCTGTGTGTATGTGTTGGAGTGACGCTGTGTGTGTGTTGGTGTGACGCGCTGTGTGTGTGTGTTGGTGTAACGTGCTGTGTGTGTGTGTTGGTGTGACACACTGTGTGTGTTGGTGTGACGCGCTGTGTGTGTTGGTGTGACACACTGTGTGTGTGTTGGTGTGACGCGCTGTGTGTGTGTGTTGGTGTGACGTGCTGTGTGTGTGTGTTGGTGTGACGCACTGTGTGCGTGTGTGTTGGTGTGACGCGCTGTGTGTGTGTCTCTCTGTAGGCTGTGGTGCTGCACTGTGTGTGTGTGTGTTGGTGTGACATGCTGTGTGTGTGTGTGTTGGTGTGACGCACTGTGTGTGTGTGTGTGTTGGTGTGACGCGCTGTGTGTGTGTTGGTGTGACGTGCTGTGTGTGTGTGTTGGTGTGACGTGCTGTGTGTGTGTGTTGGTGTGACGCACTGTGTGTGTGTGTGTTGGTGTGACGCGCTGTGTGTGTGTCTCTCTGCAGGCTGTGGTGCTGCACTCGGTGTGCCTGGACAGGAACGTTGCCGAGATGATGCAAATCTGGACCGACATCTTTACCGGGTGCCCGAGACTCGTGCTGCCGCTGATGCCGCAATTGCGATGTTGTCACTTGGCACAACTCCCCTGCTGCCCTGACACGGTTCCTCAAATTATCATGCACACCCCGTGGTGACACGTGTGGTGCTTGCCTGTGTGCATGTGCGTGTGTGTGCGTACGTGCGTGGGGAGCGGTGGGGCAGCAGTTGGTGCACTGCGCTACGAACCCGGCGACCTGAGTTCGATCCCCGCTTCCGGCCAACACCAGTGACGATTATCTGAACTGGTCCTGGGACTTCCCTAGGTCGACCCAGCCTCAAATGAGTACCTGGCGCGGTGTAGAAAAAACATTGCGACTGGGAAGACGAAGGCGGTCGGGCGTGGTGCTTGCCACCTATCCCTCATGTACCATGCCAGCCTTCGTAGGTGCTCGCTAACAGAACTTGCCCTAACGGTCTGTAAAAGGCTATATGGGGGATCTTTGTCCATGTATGTGTAACTGCTTGTATCTTTGTCTTGTGTGTGTGTGTAACTGCGTGTGTGCTTCCTTTATACGTGTGTGCGTGTGTGTAACAGCGTGTCTTTGTTTTCTGTGTGTAACTGGGCTAGTGTATACGTGTGTTCTTGCGTACGCGTGTCTGTAACCGCGTGCGTGTACGCGTGTGTGTCTGTGCGCTGCAGGCTGCGCTTCGTGGACGCCGAGCGCCTGCGCACACTGGCGCTCATGCTGACGCAGGAGCTGTCGAACGGCGTCGCCAGCAACGGGCACCGCTACGCCATGACCAGCGCCGCCGGCTCCCTGTCGCCCGCCGGCCGACTCGGCGAGAGCCTGCACGGCCTGGCGCAGGTCCGCGCGTGCGGCGCGTGCGGCGTGTGGCGGCGCGTGGCGGTGGGGCGCGGGTGAGGTCGGACGTAGAGCCGGAGCGGCGCGGTGCCGTGCGGTTTGCCTGGGCGTGGTGCGTCACCGCGGCACGGCGCGGAGCGGGGAACTGCGAGCAAAGAGTCTCTCACGATGACCTCCCACCAACGCACGCATGCAGGTGTCGCTGATGAAGCGGGTGGCAGAGCAGCAGGATCTGACCCCGATCCTGGACGACCTGCAGCGCATCGCTAACCACCTGCTGCACTCAGGGGGGCTCAGGTGTGCATCCCGAGGCTGCACCGTCACCACGGTATCATCACCACGCCATCATCATGATGTCATCGCCACTCCATGGTCACCACGCCATCATCAAATAACAGCATGTCAGATACTCACCATGAGACAAGTCCTGAAGCTGTCCATCGGCTCACTGGCCAGCCTTCACATGGCCATAGAAACACTGCTAGTCAACTCCACTCCCTTACGCAACAAGAGGAATAATCGCATTCGCCAGCCACCACCGCCACTCGCCCAAATTCACCCCGCGGTGATCATGTGACAGGGTGAGGTAGAGGCCACTCATGGTGAGGATGCTGCTGCTGCTGCTGCTGCTGCGATTGTCTCTGTTGGTGGGTGATGCGGGCTTGCGGTGATGCAGGTGTGCGGTGAATGCCACCCCGGCTGGCGTGGACAGCGCTGTGAGTGCCGTGTGTGGGTTCGTGCGTTCTATGGCGGAGCCGGGGGTGGGCTTTGGGCCCGCGCAGCCAGACGTCATCACGGTGTGTGGAACACTGTACACCACCGCACAGTACACACCACGTACACAGTACACACCACATACACACAACACACATACACTCATCGCACACCGCACAGGGCATGCGTGCACAGCCAGCAGTGACCGCACTCACCGAGCCGTGCGTTGTGCCTGTCGTTGTCTGTACCTGTGTGTGTCATGCCCGTCTCGGTGTGTCTGGTGCCACGGCGCCTGCAGCTACCCCTGCCGTACGAGACGGAGGCGTCTGGCCGCACGGCCCATCGCACAATCCTCACCGTACGTAACCGCACCCTGGGCACCTGTGAGAGGCGTCTACCTCTCTTCCACTACGGCGGTGGGCATCCACCTAGGACCAATTCAAACCCACCATAGCTTGGTCTCGGCTCAGTGGAAAGTTGCAAGCGAGAATTTTTACATCAGTTTCTGCTTAGATTGATAGCGTCATCCCCTCCTCTTGATGCCGGGGAGACACGGGCTGACGGAGCTGAACCACCTCGCAGAGAGGTGATGGTGGCCCCACTCTCACTATCTACATCATCCCATTATTGAAAATTGTGGCGCAGTGGTACATCTGCCAGTCACCTCATTCAGCCCATATCCCCTGGGTCTGTCTCTTGACACCCCACCAGCGAGACTAGGATACTTCACGTGGCCTAATGGTGCACCTAACCTGGCACAAGAGCTCACGAGGGGAGCGGTAGTGTCGTGGATCACAAACTATACTGCTAACTCGGTGACCAGTAAACAGTGGCCAATATTTGAACTGGTCCTGGGCCTCCCCAAGGTCGAATCGGCCTTCAAATGAGTACCTGGGTGTGGTGCTGGCAACCCACTCGCTCATGTGCCGTGCCGACCTTCCGAGATGCTGGCTTACAGCACTTGCCCCAACGGTCTGTAAAGACTAAGCGGGGGATCTTTGGGTGGAGGAGCAACGCTTGCAATGCACGGGGCGCCGGGCGTCTAAAATGCAAAGTTGACAAAATGGGCGGCCCAGGTGGTGCATCTGCCAGTCATCTTGGCCAGTCTGTCCCGTGACTTCCTGCCAGCAAGCCTTTGACACTTCACGTGAAGTGGACTTCACGTGAAAGCCTAGCATAAGAGCTCACAAGAGCAACTGTGGTCACGTTACCGTGCGCCGTGTTCACGTGTGTGCGCACACAGGACCCTGCGTTCAGGCCCCGTGAGATGAAGACTCACTTCCAGATGCCATTCCCCGTCAACTTTGTGACGCAGTGCGTGCGTGCCGTGCCGTTCACTCACCGCGACTTCGCCAGGTGACCGCACGATCACCGCACCCACGGCCATTCACCTCTCTGAGTCGACGTCGCTTTCTTTGGCGCTCCCGTGGGCCCAGCAGCGCGGCAGTCTGATCGGTCGTCACAACTTTTGCGTCTGCGCAGTCTGCGTGTTCTAGCACGGCTGATGTCTGCCAAGTTCTTGCACCGCGAAATCCGAGAGAAGGGAGGGGCCTACGGAGGGGGGGCCACGATTGCCCACGACACGCTGGCCTTCTACTCCTACAGGTCGGTAGCACGCACGCATGCTCACACGTACAAGGCCCCACGGCCACTGGGCGGGCTGCTGCGTATCTTTTATTAGTGCCACTTGGAGGGGTAGTCAACAGTGGTTGTCCTATGATATACTTGCCCCGTCATAGGAATGTGGAATAATTCCACTGGCTCAGAGCAGTAAACAATGCTCGTCTCAGAAGGAATAGTTTTTACTTTGGTCTTAGTCTTTTTCCAGTCGGCCTGTGGGGTGGTTTTAGTCGGCGCTTCGCCTGTGGATTTCATTCTGTCGCTCTCCCTTAGACTAGGGGACTAAAGCAGTCAAAGATTTAGTCACAACACTCTTGGTTCTCATCAGGTCAGCGAATCTGTGAACCCAGTAAATCCCGATATATCCCTGCATGGCCGTGTTTGGCGTTCCACAGTGCACCGCAGTCCATAATAGCGTCGCTGGATGTTCAGTCCGCGTCCTCTTTCGGGCTCATTAATTTCCCCTGGTCACAGTTGCACTGTGCCCTTTGAAGGGGTCATAACCGTCGTCATCGTCACGCTTGATTTTTGTCCGCTGAATAATTTGACGAAAAAACACAATTAGTTGATGAATATATTCGTCACTAATTTCGTGAACAGAATTAACGTTGGTTTCCCTTGTGCCGCTGTGGCTCGTTTGGGCTGTATGCTGCGCGTCCGCCCGCGTTGTCTCTGTCCGTGGGCAGGGACCCCGGCTCCCTGGACACCTTAGCGGCTTTCCGCCGAGCGAGCGAGTGGGCGTGCAAGGGGTCGTTCTCGGAGCGGGACGTTGAGGAGGCCAAGCTGTCCGTGTTTTCCGCAGTCGACGCGCCTGTGGCACCTGGGGATAAAGGTGAGACGAGAGGAGGGACCTTCGCCCCTCCTTCCCCCACCCACCGAGATGCCCATCATGCAATTATTTACCCCCCCAGATGCTGCCACAATGTTGTAATGGTGAGTTTACAGACCTAGAGTCCAGAGGTCGTCAGTTTGATTTCATCTCCCAGCGCAGGAGTTGAAATAATGGGGCAAGTTTTTTTAATCCCTCCTGCCTCTTTCCGAGTCCGAATGCACCAAGCAGTTTAAATTGGTTCACTGCTGTCGACCAGCAGGTCGCGTGTGGTGGGGTAAAGTGTGGGGACTCATACATATTTCAAGACTTCCTGCCAGTGTGGAAGAGTAGGCCAAATACCTTGAATACGGCCTCTCTAGAGCGCCCTCTAATGGAGGCCCCTTTTGCCAACAGTGGCGTGAATAGGAAATTGCAGGACTGCACTTTTACCTTTGCCGCTGTCTGATTTATATTCTTTGGTTCTTTCGGTAAAGTCGCGTAGATATAAAAATAAAGTGAATACTTTGCATTTGCAATGTCTCCTGGAATAGTCAATCTTTGATCATCACCTTTGCAATTTATTATGGTAATTTCATTAATGTTCACATGTTTATTATTGTTACTTTGAGTCTATGGAAATAATTATCACATTACAGAGTGTTTGGACAACAGACTCACTCCACGTCTCGCTGTGGAATATTTAAATGATTGGACAATTGTACACGGTGAGATAGTCATTCACCACTGTCGGCATCACGAGCTCCCCCTTAGATGCCCGTTTCACACAGAGTGTGAACTCTGTGACTGCCTTCCTTGCCTTTGGATCAATGCCCGACGCTTTTGAGTGGTGGCTGACGGATGTGTTTTGTCAAGCTCAGGTAGAGCAGCGGAAGCCACTGGCGAGTGCTGGCCCACGCGTGTCACGCACGACGCGCCGTGCTGCTGCCGCCGCCGCCTGCCAGACGCGCCCCTCTCCACAATGATCACGTTCAACTGTAACAATGCGTCAGCAGGCGATTTGCCCCCCTCCAAAATCCATCCCATCACATAAAAATATAAATTATTTATTCACACATGCCATTGGCCGCACGGCTTTCTAGGAGTGAATATTTTCAACAGCATTGGTTTCATACAAGTAAACTCCAGATGTCTATAGGCGGCAAAGATCCTCTCTGTTAAATACGAGTCTTAGTTCAACGCAAAACTATAGAATGCATGATGGCTACTTTCTGTTAATCCCCCTTGATCCCCTGCCTCTCTTTGTGCAGGGATGTCCCTGTTTCTGCACGGAGTCTCGGACAGCATGCGGCAACAGCATCGCGAGCGGCTGTTTGCCGTCACGCACGCGAGCCTCACGGACATTGCCAACAGGTCACAATCCTTTTAGCCAGGCGGTGGTGACTATGCACGTGGCCAGTACTGTAGATGCAGCGAGGGTTGATGGATCGTACAAATGTTGCGAAACGCCCTTCCCATGGGCGTCAACGTGCCATACCCTGGCTCGCCAGGAGAAGGCAGTACAGCACAAATGTGGACTCCACCTGTTCCGTCTGTATGGGCTACGGAGCCGCATGCGGCTTTTTAAGGACTGCTTCGTGACGTAATTTATTTATATATTCACTTGCATTGCGGCTCTTGAAAAGTTGAATTTTGTACCAAATTCGAAAAAAATGCCTCTTCTTTTTATTTTGGTCACCGACCCGTGGGATTGTGTGTTTCCTCTTGCACGCAGGTGTTTTGTCCGGGTGCTCCGGTTTCCTCCCACTTGGAAACACTCATTAATTGGCCAATAACAACTTAATATACCGAAGACCGCAAAGCTTGCACAAGCGTTGGCACCAGCTTATCACATTGCTGCTGCTGCTGCCTTCCTGCTCGTCTCGTTTCTCGTGCCTCTGAGTCGCTCTCTCTCCTCAAAAGCGAGCAAACCCTATGCAGCAGCCTGGTACAAGTGGACGTAATATTGTTCATCACTTCCCTTTCATCGGCATTTGTTCATCACCACCAAATGCATCACTTCCCGCAAAATGACTGTTGACTTGTCACTAGCGGTGAGTTGATTTGTCAGCGCCCACTTTGCCAGCAGGGTGAGGGGGTGTGTGTGTGAGTACAGTTCCCATGCTCATGAACCAGGGTTGTGTATTTGCAACTCCCAAGATGTTCTGTGCAGCCCTTGGGCACAAAACCATCTCAGAATTAAATGAGGCCGTGTGTAGATCGGAAGAATGGGGCCGCAGAGACAGGCACGAGACAGAAATATGGAGAGTGACATAGATACAGAGACACAGATGTAGAGAGAGACACAGAGAGAGAGAGACATAGAAATATGGACATGGACACAATTATGTACGGAGACTATTCCCCAAACACAGAAGAAGCCTCCTTGCCCCACCTCTGATAGCCCCCTGAGTGCAAGGTTGGAGACTCATACGGCCCCTGACTTCGTACTTGGCGAACACCTCTGCGTGCATTTGTGTGTGCAGGTTCCTGGACCCTGTGAGTGGCCCTCGTGCCGTCGTGTTACTGGGCCCCCAGAACCAGGACGTCAGCCGTGACCCCTCCTGGACCAGCTGCTAATGGAGCCAAGCACGCAGACACAATGGGGCCTGCCGCACCACACCTCGGGTTGCACAGACACCACACGCAAGCCTGTAATATCTAACAAAGGCTGTATCATCGTATCAAGGCCTGCAGAAGCACACTGAGGACTGCTCACACACCAGACTGATGCCTGAAGCAACGAGGCTCGCACTCCAGGCACACTGCACTCATGATGCCTTGCGGTCCACACACAGTGTTATTATTATTTGCAACTTAGCAATGTTGCTAAATTTGCGACTTTTTGGGTTTCGACAAAATTTCATACAAAATCGCGCAGATTTTTGGAGTGATTCCTGATGTATGTTTTAATGATTGATGATAAGTTAACGCGTAATAATTAGTAAATAGTCTCGTGACATGTTTTAGTAGATAGGTTATTTGAACTTATCTACGTGACTTTACCGAAAGACCCAAAGAATATGAATTTCTGCAGTCACGAAAGCTTTAAGTCAACATTTTTTACAACTTTTGAAGGTTTAGAGACAGAATATTTTTGAGGTACACTTTGGTATGTTTTGCAAGCCGGTATGATTCATAATTGATTTTTAGGTTCCGCCAAATTTTTGTCATGTAACCTTTTAACACCCTAAGCCAAACATCAAATTGTCCCAACCGGTCGGTTATGACAATTGTTCTTCCACTTACTGGTGAGCTGAAAGAATAACACTATCACAATTTTTGTTCCTGGGTGTTAAGTGTTATTTTGTAATTGCTTATGCCTAAAAAGTATACAAAATGGCTATTATTTCCCACAATCTGTGCTTTTGTGACCAGGACAGTGATATTTTGAAATTTACCTATTGTCAATGAAAAAACTGGCGAATTTGTATCTTTTGATTCACATAAAATCAGAAAAAACAACATGAATAAAAATGTACATGTATTTATAATAATATTTATAAAGTAATACAAAAATGACTACAAAAGATTTAGAAGTGAGTAGTTCGAGATTTACGATTATACTGTAAATCACTTTCACGAATCAGCCCCCAAATGTAGTCTCCCATCATGTTCTCGTTATACTGTCCTTGGTAGCGGCGTTCAAAGTCCAGTTTATCCTGGTGGAAGCGCTCGCCTTGCTCCTCCGAGTACGCTCCCATGTTCACATGTTCTTGAATTTATCAAAATAAGCATCAATGATATGGAATTTGAGGGACATCCTTCAGCCCATTGTTTTCGACCTTGTGATTGTCCAGGAAGCCACCGACCACTGCGACAAAGCTGTTCCAAGCCACTTTCTCCTTACTGGTGAGCTTCGTGGGGAATTCATTGCACTTCAGAATCTTCTTTATCTGTGGTCTGACGAAGACACCGGATTTTACCTTGGCATTAGACAGCTTAGGGAAGATGTCTTGAAGGTGCTTGAAGGCTGCCAACTCCTTATCTACAGCGCTGACAAATTGTTTCATAAGGCCCAATTCGATGTGCAGTGGTGGCATCAGCACCTTCTGGGGGTCCACCAGTGGCGTCCACTTGACGTTCCTCCACACGGAGAACTCGGTCCGCTGTGGCCAGTCCTGCCTGTGGTAGTGCGCATTGGTGTCTAAATATTTTGTAGTAATTTTTGTATTACTTTAGTATAAATATATGTTAATTATGATTAATATATTGTTTTTTCTGACTTAATGTTAACTAAAAGACATTCTCCCGTTTTCTCATTGAAAATAGGTACATTTCAAAATATCACTGTCCTGGTCACAAAAGCAAAGTTTGTGGGGAATAATATCCATTTTCTGTACTTTGAGGCATAAGCAATTGGGAAATAACACTATCCAGGAACAAAAAATAATTGTTACACAGTGTAATAATTGCTTGTACACATGGAAATGTAATGTCTGGCTATGTTGGGTGGTGGAGGATCACAATAAACAAAATAGAGCAAACCCCCCTTCCCTCTCGTGGGTTTAGCTGTCATGGTTTTGTGCCATATTTATCGAGGTACAGTTCACCGATCGCACCCCTGTGGATCGACCATTCGCGGTTCACCGGAAGAATCCTGTGTGCACCCTAACTACTGCTCACGATGAAATTGCCGTGCAAGAACATCAAGTTAATTTATTAGGTAAATCGGGTGCAACCGCAACAAACAAAAAACAAAAACATGAACAAAAAAGATTTTAAAGTGAATATGTGAATGAGTGCAAACAGAAAATCCAAGAAAAGACAGTAAAATATTGCAGAAAAAGCACCGTACACAAAAATGTGCAAAAATCCCAGTGGGATGCAAGTCAAACAACAACAACCACAAAACAACTTAGATTAAGGCCATCAGTCTAACTCTGTACTACAACAAACAAACATGGCCAAACCAAAAAACGTATCGAAAATCACCAAAATAAAGCCATAAAAGCAATGAAACAGTGGTCATAGGAACTGTGACCGAATTTTCACACTAAACGACGTCAACAACATGTACTACCAAACTCTGCAGCCATGTGCACTGTCGTCTCCATGTTCTCTCCCAAGAGGCCCATCGTGGCTCCCAGGTCACGTGTTCCCAGCCTCCAGTGAGTTCAGCTGCACACATTTTTTATAATCTACATTTACCGTACTAGTTATTTTGAACAGAACATTTTAATTTTACGTAAAACAAAGTCCTGTTCCATGTTTGGGTTAATGTAGGGTAACTAATGCAAAGGAGGGGGTGGCATTATGAATCGGGAACCAAACCATCGTTTTCCCATATACCCTTGAGTTTGCAGATCGCGGATTTGCCGATTGCGACAAGGGTTTGCTGTAGATGTTAATTTCCTTAATTTTTGTTTCAATTTGTAAGAGTCACTTTATTTTTCATTAATATTAAAGAAGTGAAGTTGCCTTTACATGCTTAAGCTGTTAATTTATCCTTTGCATGGGTGGACCTTATCCTTATAAATCATCCAGACATATGCCCCCCCTGAGAGATTTTGCAGGAGCCGCCACTGGTTTCAACGTATTGAAAACACTGCACTTGGGCCGACCCAAGTACCACACCATGCGCGTTTGGGTGATTACGGCGCAAAAGAAGTTGTGCCACACATCGCGGCTGAGGCTGCCTCGAGGTAGACACGGCTTGTGCTCAGGCATAACATGCAAGTGCTTTTGTAATGTAAAGATTTTAATAAAGTTGTTGTGTGAGACACCGATTTGTGACCTGCTTCGCTTGGAATGTTTCACGTGCGTGGGATTGCATTCGCGACACAAGCCGTTGAATTTAAACGTGTTTTGGTTATAACAGTTGCGCAAAATCAATGAATGTAAATGTGTTAATGGTGGTGTGTAGTCAGAGTATCATGTTGGTGAATCACACTGCCCATCATTGTTAAGCCCCCCCCCCCCCGTTCGATACCAACTGGAAGTCAATATATCTATTGATCTGAAGGATGGCTATTGCCCAAAACAATTTCCTATCTGTCATAATTTTGATTCCACTCAGTTTTCAATATCTGTCCGAGAAGGGAGGATGGCAGATGGTCAAGGATAATTCTGAAGTGGCAAGCAAGATATGAACCAATATTCTATAATACATCCACTTCTGAGATGGGACAATGACATGGGCTGGTGTGCGGGTGATTGGTGGATTATTACAGCGCAGGGTCGCGAGAGATGGCGTTGCCTTGGGGATCCTTTAATCTAGCAGTAGATTCATCACGGCTCACTAAATAAGCAATGTGCCTGCTTCAACATTTCCCTCGAAATATATTTTTTTAAGTTTAAAAATTATGTTACGCTTCCCATCGGCCACACGGCCTCCTTCTAAGAGTATAATTTCAGCAGGATTGGTTCAACACAAGTCAACTCCCGGACCGGATTTCGGTATTCAGTGTCACATCAGCAGTGAAGCGTGATTGAACCAATGCCAATGCAGTCAATTTGTTTTAATAGGCAGGGACCCATGGCTAATGAAAATAATCATCGGCCCTGGTAAATCCATTCTGAGAGGGCATTGTTCATGTCGAACGGGTATATTTTATGTGATGTGAGCATCATCAGCTGATGGCATAAGCCCAGTGTGGCCCAACGTGGCCCAGTGTGGCCCAACGTGGCCCAGTGTGGCCCAACGTGGCCCAGTGTGGCCCGTGCGTGTCGGGCACCCACACCGAGTCCCGGGGGGCACGGGGACCCCCTTCTCACCATCCTCCTCCTCCCTGCCCCGGGCGGCTCCTCCTCCCTCCAGCTCTCCTCCCTCTCCCGCCGCCGCCGCCGCCTCCTCCTGTTGCCGCGCCTCCCCGCGCCACACACAGCAGCAGCAGCACACCGAGCAGCACGCCGGCCACGCCGATCGCCGCCGCCACCACCACCACCACCACCCTTCCTCTGCCACTCCTGCCACCCCGGGCCGCCCCACCGCGCCACGGGCCACCGTGTCTCGTCCAGGCACCAGCAGCAGCAGCAGCAGACGCAGCAGCAGAAGCAGCAGCAGCAATGGCCAAGCTGTACATAGGGAACGTGGAGGAAGGCGTCAGCGCCGCCGACCTGGAGAACGTGTTCGCCGAGCGTCAGCTGGCCGTGAGCGGACAGGTCCTGCTCAAGGCCGGCTACGCCTTCGTGGACACGCCGGACGAGACGACGGCGCTCAAGGCCATCGAGGCCATCTCCGGTGAGATTCAGCGGCAGGGACGGCGGCGGCAGCAGCAGCAGAGGGGGCAGAGAGGACACTGTCGGCACGAAGAGCAGAGGTTGGAAGATCAGAAGGAGAGCGTGGAGGCGGTAGTGGGTTGGAGGGTCGCCGCGGGCAGCCGGAGCAGCAGCGCTGGTGGCAGCAGGAGGCCGGCGGTGGCCGCAATCCGTTTAGGGGAACAGCAGCAGCAGCAGCGAGGGGCAGCGCTGCATCGGGGGCATTAAGCCCGTGGTGTCGGGGATAGCAGCAGGAGTCATGGTGGCGGTGACGAGCACCGTGAACAGGAGAAACACCACCAGCAGCAGCAGGAACAGCAAAAGCAGGAGAAACACCAGCAGCAGCAGGAATAGCAGCAGCAGCAGCATCAGCAGGGCTGCTGCTGTCGTCCGTAGCGGGAAAAGCAGCAGCAGCAGGGTTAGGGTCATTATTGGCAGCAGCAGCAGCATCATCACAACCAGGACCATCTTCATGACTTGTAGCAGAAGAGGTTAACACCATCGCCACCACCACCATCAGCAGCAACAGGAGGGGTAATGGGGGTATCAGCAGCAGCCGCCGCAGCAGCAGCAGCAGCAGCGGAGCGCGGGGACACGAGCAGGAGTAGAATTCGGGTGGCGGCCGCCACGGGCAGCGTGGGTTGGGGGGGCCCCGAGCCGCGGTGTCCCCAGGGGCCTCTCGAGTCCCCAGAGCGACCCGGGCGAGGGGGTTCCCGGCTCACCCCCTCGCCCGGCCCTCGCGGCGGGGTCGGGGCTGGGGCTGTGCGGGGGGAGGAGGAGGACGAGGAGGAGAAGCGGCTTCGGCGGGGCCCAGGCGACTCGCCTCCCGGGGGCCGCTCTCCGGATTTTTCCGCGATTATTTTTCTCGATTTTATTTATGCGCAAAGACGGCGGCTGCGCACACGCGGCCGGCGTGCGTCGGTAGTGCACCTAGCCTGGCACGCACATTCGTTGCGGTGTCGGCGCAGGAGGCGCGGGGGGAGGAGGACGGTCGCCTTGACGGCGGTGATGGAGACGGCGGCAGGAGCCGCCTCGGCCATGGGGAAGCGCGCGGGGATGGCGCCCGCGCCGCGCTAGGCCCGAACGACCGCAACTCTCGCACCACATCCCGGGCAAAAAGGGGGCCTCCAGGGGACTCCGGGGAAGGGGGTTCTTTAGATGTCGTCGCGAACGCCGGGGGTCGCGAACGGGGACCGAGCGAGATGGTGGAGGAGACCCTGGGAAGGCGTCCCCCAGGCCCCTGTGCGCTGTCGCGGGGAGACCCGAGGGGGCTTTGCGGGACATGGCACGGCGTGGCAGTGCTCGACGTGAACACCATCACCACGTGTCCTCGTCCTCACTCCACCACCACCAGCACCACCAGCAGCACCAGCAGCACCAGCGAGTGGTGGCCTTACATCGTCACTCCATCAGTCTTCACCCACAGCTCGGCCACCCCGCCAGCACCCCGTGTCGCTGCTACATTGTGTTCACCATGCCTTGCCACTATCATCACAGGCGATCCTGCCTCGTCGCCACCACCACCACCACCACTGCTCATGACTTCTCATCACCACCACCACTCGTAACTCCACCACCACTCCTCGTCACTGCATCGCCACCAGCGGATTTACACTCAAGACACCAACTTTTACAATTTTGTTACCAATGCCCGTGTTTCCCTTGCTCTGCAAACACCTTCAGTGGTCATATGGTAACATAAGATCGTAGCATCATCTATTGGACACCTTAAACGTTCCCCTTACAATGCTCGACACGACACAAGGAGCGAACACTGGAAAGGTGGTTTGTGTAATATCCCACAGCAAGATTATAAGTCTGTTGTACACATTATCTCGGACATTGATACGCTGTAATTATCTGTACAGAATTGTTGGTGCTAAACAAGGATTTTACATGCAACATTAGTTGCATTTGCATCCGTAAATGGCACTTAATTCCATGCATTATTGATAACATAGTTCTAGGAGGGTATTTTAATACGTGTGTGTGTATATAGAACGTCTCATTTCACACGCTATTTTAGCACGATTGTTGATTATGAATTTGGACTTTTGTTTTTAAACTGGCGTCTGAGACGTGGCCCAGCCCCGAGTCTGTAGGGCCCCAGCTGCTGCTGCTGCTGCTGCAGTGCGGTGCTCTGTGCCATGTGGCTTCGTCCTGACTGCAAGTTTATATGACCACAGATTACAGAAAATATGTCCGAGGCAGCTAATTGAGCTGACTTGGTGTCCTCCGCTTGCATAGAGACCGAGGAAGGCCAACTATCTACGTTAAAAGTGTAAACCGTGCGGTACTTTTTCAAGGTCTTAAATCGTCACTGAGCAATGTCCTGCTCCGTTGGTAAACGAGTAAAACATCCGTCTAGCAGTAGAAGTAGCCACGGCCGAAGTTGATATTTTCGAGGTCGCCAAGCCAACCCGTACAGATGCGGCTGAAATTACACCCGAGACTCTCCCGTGTTAGCGTTATCACTTCGAGATGTAATGATTCTCACCCATTTGCATCTGGCCACAGTGTTGTAACGAGCGAGTGTGTGTGACACACGAGGTGACCTGGTGAATGTGTGTGCACGTGTGCAGGTAAAGTGGAACTCAACGGCAAGTTCCTGGAAGTTGAACACTCTGTTCCGCGGCGACAGAGGTACTGTATCCCCCCCCCCGCCTTCCTTTGACCAGTTGGCACCTCCTCGCCACCCCGATGTCTCGTCACTGCCACCGGAGCACATACCGACGTGCTTTAATGCAGCGGTGAAAAAGTGCACGCACAAAGTTGGGACATTTCAAGCGTTGAACGTGCGTTGCTGCGTCTGTGCGCGACAGCGCAGCATCACTTCTATCGGTTGCAACAAAGGGAATGTTCCAGCCATTCACGTGCATTTCACCGAACCGATTATACTAATGCTCAAATGTGAGGCTGAAAACTGGTTTAGCGATACCTTATGTGCTCACAGTATTATAATTCTCTTCCACTTGTTCGTTTGTTGTGGCAAACATTCCTACATAATGAGTGCGTCCTCGTAATTAACACAACAAAAGGGATTGCTTAGTGTGTCTCACCAAGCTGGGCTTACAGGTCCACACGTCACCGGGTCTGCCACAACCAGCATCGGTTAACAGTTTGGTGCGTGGATATTGTGTTAAAAGGGTAAACGTAACCTGTGAAGTAGTGCAATTCAACTTAAAGACGGTTACAATAAAATATTCGTTTCGTGAAACAAAGTATCATTCGGCGGAGATTATCATTCATTGTTGATGCATGCTTTTTTTGAGGTGACGGCTGCAAAGTGGGCATTCGTTCTTCCTTTTGATACAAACGCCCTGCGTTTGCATGGGGTTGCTGCAGCGCCAGTGTTTGCGCAGCTCATGGACTGTGAACCTAACAGCGCCCAGCAGCGTAAAACTCGTGTTTGTCAACCACTCTACTGTACAGAGTGTGCCGTGTAGGCATGGCATTGTGGCCTGGGCCAAAGTCGTTGCTCCCTGTGCGAGGACGAAGGGACACCTTGGCTGAGGAGGACCTGTATCTGGTACGATTGGCGTCACTGGCCTAGTAAAGGCTGCTCGAGTACGAGCACCTCCTACGCTTTATGCTGTTGACCAAGCAGGAGGTGCCCACTTTTTCGACTTGTGTTCTCTGAATGCTTCACACAAAGCCTTCGAAAATTCAAATGCGGTGAATACATATACAATGCACTATGAAGGTCCCGTCCTGCGATTTAATCAGCGGTGTCATCGCTTAAAATGTGAAAAATGTTGATTTTCCTATTAGCTTTTTGAGTGTTGTTCATTGGGCGTAGGAAGGTCTCTTCCATCTAAAGTTGGTCGCCTGACGAATTGTAACCCTGGCAGGTGCACCGGGTGCACCGGAAGGCCGTTTGTGGCCCCCTGCCATGGTTTAGTGCACATCCGTGTGCTCTTCACGGTGGCTTTCTATGAGCAAAGTGTGAAAGTGCTGTTTCTGAGGTCATTGACTGTAGGATGTGTTTCTCTTTCATTGGCTTTGCAAGCAGGTCTGGATGGCGAATTCAGCCCCCAGCAAAGGGGTTAACGCAGCAGAGATTTTGGTTTCCTTACGGAAACCTCGAATGCATTTGCACTTCCTGCTGCACAGAGCTGTTGTTGCTCTGTGCAGACCCGTGCTGTTCTTGCTGCCCTGCTCCACCGTCGCCACACGCACTCGAGCATTCCTGGCCGCGGAGCGGGAGGGAGGGGGCGGCGGCGGCGGTGGTCGTGACGTGGCTCCGCTCTTTTAATTTTCCGCCGCCATGTGAACTAGGCGAGGCTGGTTGCCCAAGGCCGCGCGCACGGCATGTCGTGCTGCTACTGCTGCTGCCATTGTCGCGTGACCGGAGCAGCCCACTTGCCTGACTAATCTGATGAACAAAAGCTGAGGCTAGGCGGCCCCCGAGGGGAGGGGCACCCGTGCTGGGGTGTGGCTGTGCTTGCGGGATCGGTCATTGCAGGGGACCGGTGGTGTTGGAGCAGTCGCGCAGTTTTCCTGCCGCATCCCTGTCGCTTCACATTACTTCCCCCTTACATTTTTAACCCTGCATTGTTTGACAATGTGAGCCAAATTAACATTAGGATAACCATACATCTAATCTATTTTGATGCAATTTGGTGTTTTTTTATTAATTAATCATTATATGGAAGTTGATTTTTGCCTCGAGGTAAAGTGGCTGCACAAGTGTCGCGGTCCGAGTTCGATTCCCGGCCATGGATAACTTCGGTGGCAAGAGATATATCAATCAATCTTTGGCGCCCCACCTTCAACCTATGCTGACCAGGGTGTTGAAGTATGGTTGGACAATCCCCCATGACTGCCACGATGTTGGGAAGGCCCTCATCCAGCAGTGGATTTATTAAGAACAGTAAGTGAATTTTTTTTTACAGAATATATTAAATTGAAATTTTCAACCAGCTTACGAGAACCCTCTTAGTCTTAGTTAGACGATGGCACGCCATGCGGTCCACTTGCTGACGCGTGGCAAACTTTTAAAAGTTTTGAAAAATCGCGCCGTCACGTTGGCAATGCCTCTGTGAATTGCGACTGGCTCCCGGCGAAAGCACCCCGTGAGCCCGGCACCTCCAAGTCTTGTGGGAAGGGCTCCGTTTTATTGGCCGTAGTGGCCGCCACTTGGTGCCAAGCGTGGCGCACGGAAGCCATCCTCGCGACCTGGCCGCCAGGTGACCGGCGCGTGTGCTTAAGCACGCGCGCTCGAACGCGAGTGCCGGCGGTTGCGCCGACAGGCCGCCGGCCAATGAGGCCGCCGCTACCGCCGAGGCCTGGCCCTGGGCCCATGCTTGGCGGCGGTGCTGCTGCCCTCCCCCCACCCCCCTCGAGCACTTCCGCTTACGTAACTTCGTCCTCCGTGGTCACGCTCTCCGTGCCGGCCCCTCGTCTCGGCCGTCGCCACTGGGGGCCCCCGGGTGAGTGGCGCTTATGGAAGCAAACGCATCTCTCGCACTCGTTACGTCCGCCGTGTTTGTCGCTGCTGCACAGCAGAGTTGGGGAAGGATGCAGCAAGCGTGATGGCAAGAGGCAGTGTGGCTACATCTGCAGCTGCAAGCGTGACCCTGGGAATAGGCATGTCTATCTAACGAGTGCCTGCCAGGATTTGCGTGGACAACTGGAGGCGCTGGCTTTTCTGCACTTTTTTTTATAGTGGGCATGTGTCCAGTGCCCTTTCACAATGCAGTGGTGTATTCCCTGCATGCCCTTCACTTGCCAATGGAGCGGTTTCATTTTGTAATTTGCACCCGAATGTCTGTTGCATCGGTGCGTCTCAACACGCTGTGCGTGGGGCAGCTTGGGTTGTGGAATGTCTGCCTCGTGTCAGGTTGTGCAATGTCTGCCATCCACTTTGCCAGTGGTTTGCATCGTGTCAGGTTGTGCAGGTGAAGCCCCCCAGCTAGGAATGTGCCATTTAGATGGTCGGATTTAGCTTTGCCGCGTTTGTCGTGGCGCTTATTGTTGGCACGGAGCTGGTTCCCGTGTGAGGTACGGAATCCTCGTTGCGTAATCTCAAACTCGTTGGGCCAGAGTGAAGAGTAGCGAGCGTGGCCTGGGTGTGACCGTGCCGGGAATGCCTCCAGTCTTTGTCTGCACAGACCTCTAAGTGACCACGCTGCTGCTGCTGCTGCAGCGCCGCACTGCGCAGGCCTGAGCGTTCTGGGAAAGAAAAAAAAACCTCTCCCCCCTCGGCCACTGTAGATGTTTCCTCGGCTGCGCACATTCCAGCCACACCTGTTGACTGATTGTGTTTTCTTGTTTGACCTTTGCTTGTGGCGTGGAGGATACGTACTTGTGCGAGCTTGGTGTGGGAGCGTTAGGCCAGCCCAGCAGCTTGGGAGTTACGGCGCCTTGCCACGTCAGGAGCTGTAGGGGTGGGGGGGTGGGAGGTCCGGCTCTCTCTCGCGCGTTGTGGGGGTGTATGTGTATAGGTGTGTGTGGGGGTTTCTGGCTAGGTGGGGAGAGCGGGTGTATGCGTGTGGTTGTGTGTGCGACCAAGGCGGCTGGGCGTGGTGCTGGCCACATTACCCTCTCGTGCGCCCTACCGGCCTTCATGGATGCTCGCTTAACAGCACTTGCCCGGACAGCCTGAAAAGACTTTACAGGGGTCTTTGTGTGTGAGTGTGCATAAGGTGAATGGGTCGGTTGGGTGTATGTGTCGAAGGTAGGGTGGGTATGTGTGCATGTGTACATAGGTGGGTATAAGTTGCGTGTTAGGATTCGCCACCTTTTACACTGTAGTTCAAACCCGGACGTATTTCTCGGTCCGCCTAGATCTCTCGCAAAGCCGTGCAGTCTCGTGTAATATACTTCAAGACAACACTGGTACCAGATTTCTGTACAAATAAATTCCTGCCACCCAAACATAGGTAATCTGGACTGACCAGGTCAAACTGGAACAGGTGGCAACACCTTGTGTGTGTGGGGGGGAGGGTGTGTGTAAGGTAGTAGTGAGTGGGGAGTTGTAGTGCAACGGTGGGCACGCTGCACTACGAACCCGGCAATCCGAATTAGATTCCCGCTCAGGCCCAACACGAGTGACGATTATCTGATTCGATACTGGGCCTCCCGTAGGTCGACTTGGCTTCAAATGAGTACCTGTTTCGACGTGTAAAAACATTGCCACTGGAGAGACAAAGGAGGCCGGGCGTGGTGCTGGCCACATTACCCTCTTGTGTGCCGTGCTGGCCTTCATATCGGGGATCTTTGTCTTCGTAAGGTTGATTTGTGGGTGAATGTGTGTGGATGGTGCAGGCTCGCTGTCATGGAAAGCCTTGTCCGAGTAGAGCCTCATCAAAGCTGATTTGCCTTTACATAGCAATGAAAAACAACTTGAGGTGTAAATTTATAGTTGCCAGGGCTTGAAACGTGAAGTTACGCATCACGTGTGGCGATAGCGGATAATGCTATCGGGCTGCTGGCTCTGGGAGGCTGCGAGTCTCAAGGTGGGTGACAGACTCTTGTGAAGCCGAGACGGCCTTTCTTCAGTCAAGACTCGAGCTCCATTTCCCTGCCCACTGGGAACCAGGCAGGCTCGGTGCTGGCACCAGGCCTGGGCCTAGGAACCAATGTTCCCACGGCTGTTCCGCGAGGCCAGAAATGAACCCATCGGGACCCAAACCTTGGCCTTTGGGCGATCGTTTTGACCCTGTACCACACACTTAGGGCTGGGCGACCCCAGATAGAGTTGTGACGTCATGAGGTCAACATAAAAGCGAGGTACACATGTCATGACGCCACCAGCTTAGTTGACTTCTCGGCGGTTGTCGGCATTACAAATTGATTTAAAAAACCCAATACTTTGCATTTAATCTTAAATCAGTCCAGGTTAAACATAAGCCTACATTAGGCCACAATGGACTTTTGGGAGTGTTTTTTCAACTTGGTTAAATACAGGCAAACTCTAAGCCAGTTTTGACATTGTCTCATCAGCAAAGTTAGGCTTACTCAAACCGGATGTTTATAGGCAAGGTGTTGATGAGAAACTAAATGTCGAAACCAGTCCAGAGTTTTCTTGTTTTTAACCAATGCTGCTGAAAACATGTGTAAAAAAAATACTGTTATTTTCTTTGGAGAGACAAATATGGGAAGGCGGATCTTTGCATGTTTTTTTAAACCTACCTTAAACTTTAAAAAATTACTTTTTAAAAACATCCCAACTTTAAACGCTCAGCTGTGGAGGGGAATATCACGGCACATGGTGTGTGCGCGTGTGCACCTGGGCCTTGCAGCTGCCAATCCTGGGCCATTCCTGGGCCACCGTGGCCCGATTCCCAACGGTCATGGAAACGAACTGTGGCGTCGTCGTTGAGCTGGCGAGCGGCGCCACGCCCAAGCACTGTGCCCCTGACGAGGGCGCCATGCGCCACTTACAGTGGAGTCTGCAGGACGCTTTGATATTTGCAGACTCTGCCTTTGTGTGTGGGGCGGTGTAATTTAGGTAAGTCTTAATCCAGCACCAAACGGTGAGCTGATTAAAGGATTAGCGTGTGTTCCGTACACAAGCACAGAGCCCCCCTCCTGTAACTTGATCTCATTCCTGCATTTGTTGGTCAGAAGGCGAGGGCTAGCAAGACCGAAGAAAAGCACAAATGCTTCTACTGAAACTTTCTTGCCAAGCCTCTGCTCAGGTTATCACGGTTTGATGCTGCTGGTGGTGGTATTAGTTGGTGGCGGTGTTTTAAGGAGCGGTATTGTATTGATTAGCGAGCTGCGCTACGAACCCAGCAACCCGCGGTAGATGCAAACTCGCGACCAAGAACAGTTGTAAATATTTGAACCTGTCCTGGGAATTTCCTAAGTCGACTCGGCCTTAAATGAGTACCTGGTGCGGTGTGCAAACATCAGCACTTGAGAGACATTGGTGGTCAGGCTTGGTATTGGCCACTCACCCCCTTGTGTATCGTGGCGGCCTGAGTAGGTGCTCATGAACAGCACTTGGCCCAGCAGGTCTGTTTAGGCTATATGTTTGGTGTTGTTGTGCAGGAACCGCAAGATACAAGTGTGGAACATTCCGCCCCACCTGCAATGGGAGGTGAGTCCTGTGCACTCGCTCATCAAGACCCATCTCTTGCACCCCGCGCTTGATTGCATATGGTAATGAAGTCGAAAGCATTTAAAAATTATGCCTGGCAGGCTGTGCAGGACTGCAGGGCCGTGCTGCCGATTGCCCTTGCGGCATTGGGTCTCGTGTGTATCGACGGGAGCAGTGAGAAGGCAAGGGGAGGGCTGATTCTCGTGGTGGAGCGGCGACCAAGCCCAGCGGTGGCTCCTTCGCCGCTTGTTGCAAAGGCTCGCGGTCAAAATCTGGCAGTACCACCATGGTTAATGCTATGGCACGTGTTAACCGGAACTATTCGCCTTCTGCTTCACAGTTGATGTTAAATGTCCCGTGATGTTGTGGTTTTTCAAATGAAATGCCGAGTCCAGGTGTTAGTGTCACTGGACTCAGTTACAAGGTCAAAAAAGAAACGGCCCGGAACCTACTCCGCTTTACCCTAACTCTTAGCAGGCAGCTGACCCTCTCTGTTCCTCTGCGATGGCCTGTAGAGCTAATGGGTGCACAAACAGTGCGCGTGTGGAGCGTCGGGCCGCTCGGCTGCCCGGCCATCCGGCGGTCGGGGTCGGCACGGTTTAAACGTCGAGATTGCTTTAACAGCCTCAGCCATTGTTGCCCGGCTCTGTGTGTGAGACGTTGCGATCGGTCGCTGTGTCCCGGCAGGTTCTGGATGGCTTGTTGGCCCAGTACGGCACCGTGGAGAGTTGCGATCAAGGTTAGTGCTGCCCACCCATTCCTGCGTGGTCCATCCTCGCACTGAGCAGCATTGCGGCCATCCTTCATGTCATGCGTAATCATGTTTCAGTTATGTACAGTGCCGTCAATCGTGCAAAGTGCATCTTGAAACGCTGCGGGATGTGTAACGTGCGCAGTTTTTGCACCAAGGCGCTGGAAACCACGGACAAGTGGGGGAGTGCAGCCAGAAATTGCACTATACATTTCCCAAGCTCTGTGGTCCTATATTGGGATGTTTGGCCAACTCTGTTAATGAGTGTTTATACATGTGGGAGGAAATCGGAGTACCCGGAAAAAACACACGCGTGCAATGGGGTTAACAATCAACCCCCGTACTTGCAGAATACAGTTGGAAATTAATCCACTTACTGTACTGCCATATTTACTGCAAGCCAGAAAGGAGATGGCGACCTCGATGCGTTTGGGTGCAGAGGTTAACAGATGTTTGTGATTCACCAATCCTCGTTGTGTCCGTTGTCATCGGCCACTATTCATTATCTTGCTGTGATGATTTGTATCGCCACCTTTTAATTGCCGTAGAGTCTCAGTGTGGCTGTGATTGTCGTAGAGTCTCAGTGTGGCTGTGATTGTAACGATAGCTAGGATTGCTCGAGTTGGGAGTATGGTGGCGCGATTGATGAGTGGCAGTGTTTGTCAACATTCCACACCCCCCCAAATGTCCATCCAGTAATGGAGTGGTTGTGGAGAATATGGAGGAGATTCAATTAATGGGCAGTGTGCTCATGGCCAACTCTGGTTTGCCAGCAGAGGGCTCACTTACAATCAGTCTAGCAACATTACCTTTTCATTGGCTGCGTTAGGAATGCTGTGTGAAACTGCCAGGCCTATTGCTCCATTCAAAGTTCGGCTCTTCTCGGCCACAGTTATGCCCTCTTTTCTATACTTGCGAAAAATAGACCCCATTTTGCAGGAATACTTGCACCGGCATGAGACATTTAGGCTGGCCTGTCTATGATCCATCATGGATTTAACCAAAGTGGATCGCATTTTGAAGAGTTTGGAGATCCTTGAAAGATCTGACAACAGTGCCATCATTGGGCTCCTCTGGCAGGTGAGGCCATGTAGCCCACATGTCTAACAACTGCTTGCGTATTTGTGAGTGTAGGTCTGTGTGTGTGTGTGTGTGTGGCAGTTGTTTGTGTGATGACGTGTGCTGTTTGCTGCGATGTGATGGTGATATTGATAGCGATGCTGGTGTCCGTTGCAGTTGCAACGGAGAGTGAGACGGCGGTTGTCAACGTAACGTACGGCACCAAGGAGGAAGCCAAGGAGTGAGTGACACCCGCTGCATCCGCACGCACCGCCCATTTCGCTTTACAACATTAATTTGTTAATGCACGTCGGCGAATATCAACCTTCAAAACATTTCCATACACACCATACGTACACACATCAAAGACAAACATCCCCCGTCTTTAACAGATTGTTGGGGCAAGCGCTGTTAGCTAGCACCTATAATGGCCAGCACGGCACACGAGAGGGGTGGGTGGCCAGCACCACGCCCGGCCTTTTGTCTCCACAGTGGCGATGTTTACACATCGCGGCAGATACTCGTTTTAGGCTGAATCGACCTCTGGGAGACCCAGGACCGGTTCGGATGATCGTCACCCAGTGTTGGCCCTGAGTGGGGATCGAACTCAGGTCGCCGGGTTCATAGTGCAGTGATACGCGCATCCCCATACGTGTGTACACAAACACTCGTGAGCTTTATATCCAGGTAAGAGCCAATTGAGAGAAACACGGCCTTCACAACAGACACCTGGAGATACAAGGATTCACAGTACAGACAATTAGCATGATGTAATACAGTGATCCCTCGTTTATCGCGGTTAATGGGGACCGGAACCCCTCGCGATAGGTGAAAATCCGCGAAGTAGGATTGGCCCCCTAGGAATTTCCGAATATGTGTGTGTGGGTACCAGAATGTTTAAAATATGTATATTTATACTTTATATATATATATTTTACTTAAATCTATTTAATTATAAAACCTTAATATTATACATTCACTCTCTCTCTCTCTCATACGATACGTATTATGGTGTTCTACACTCACCAATGACAGTAGTATCTTGAGACTTGACTCCAGTAATGACGACGACGATGACAATGACGACGATGACAGACCTAAATTTCGATTTAAAGCTTTCGTGACTGCAGGGATTCATCTTCTTGGTTCTTTCGGTAAAGTCACGTAGAAGGGAAGTAATAAAACAATAAAAATAAAACATACCAAAATAAAACAATTCTCACGACGTTTCGGCTACAACGCAAGCAGCCGTCTTCAGGTGAAGAATGAGAGAAGAATGAGAGAGAATGAGAATCAGGTGAAGAATAAGAGAATAAAGTTTAGATGGAAGCATATTATATCATTTTTACGACGTAGAATTGTAATGTATTACTTGCTGTTAGTAACTCAGCTTATTGTAGAGTATAGTAAGTATAGTGATGGTGCTATGCAGTTTATACTTTAGTTTTTATGTAGTTTATACTTTAGTTTTCTACGTGGTTGTTGAGTAACTGCAGCTACATATCATTAACATTCCTTTCCTTTGTTACTGCTACTCCCTGCACCCCCCCTTGGTGCTGCTGATCCTGCATAATGCATGGGCATAATATGACTTTGAAACCCCCCCGCCCACCTCCTACGCATTTGCCATGAATATGCTAAATTCCTCTTCATATGCACATTCTTTTTGTTAAGGCGCTCTTCCACCTCCAACGCAGCTTCCACCTCCAACGCAGCTTATATATAAGCTCCTAGCTTGGTAGTGTCTCATTCTTCACCTGAAGACGGCTGCTTGCGTTGTAGCCGAAACGTCGTGAGAATTGTTTTATTTTGTTATGTTTTATTTTTATTGTTTTATTACTTCCCTTCTACGTGACTTTACCGAAAGAACCAAGAAGATGACAGACCTGTGCAGTTCGATGAATGTGATGATGAATGATGATGATGATGGTGTTACTGCACAGGTATAATGAGGCCTTTAAATCAGTTCGAAAAATCCGCGATGCACTGAGGCCGCGAAACTTGAACCGTCGAAGTGGCGAGGGATTACTGTATGTCATTGTGTGCGTGCCTATGAGGAGTAAAAGTGTGTATTCAGCAGCCTCGGCGCATCATGCACAAACCCCCATCAGCAGTTCCTGAAGAATGGAATTAGATCACCGTCAAAATAAAGTTGAACTAAATGCGATCGACTGACCGGTCCACAGTCGTCAATCTCTGCATCACTGCTGCTGCTGTCAGACGGGTCACTTTCGCTAATTTTATTTTATGGTAACCTAAGATGAGGACCATAATATGCATCTTCAAGCCCTCGTGCACACACAGCCAAATTAAGGTAACAATACGAATTCTAACGAAGGGAATTTTGGAAAACAAACACCTCGTTCAAAAAGAAACCAAAACTTTTAAGGTTACTAATTTCCCACGGATGAAATATTTTTACCCAGGGCTGTGGAAAAGCTGAACGGGCACGAGCTGGACAGCTATGCACTCAAGGTGTCATACATCCCGGATGAGGCCGCCAGCAGCCAGGACCCGGAGCTGTCGCAGAACGGCAGCTCCCAGCAGCGTAAGCGCGTGAGCCGACGCGGGGGCCGCGGGGGCAGCAGCGGGCCCGGCGGCCGCCAGTCCGATCGTCCGGCGGGCGGAGGCGGCGGCCCCGGAGGAGCCACCTACTATGGAACCGGCGGCGGGAGAGGGGGTGGCCCCAGGCGCAGACCCCTGATGGACTCGGAGGGGGCCGGCCGCCAGCCTCCGCACACGCTGCCGCTGAGGATGCTGGTGCCCAGCCAGTACGTGGGCGCCGTCATCGGAAAGGAGGGTGCCACCATCCGCAGCATCACGCAGCAGACCCAGTCCAAGTGAGCCCGCTTTTAACTGTGGTTTTAGCACCGCACATCAGTACCTGCACCAGTTGCTTCTAAAAATTATTTTTTACGATTGATGCACCCACAGTATTAATCAGGGTGGCCTGCTCACTCCGAGTACGGATAGCCGGGGGTTTTGCTGCTCGCCACTCCTGGTCGAGAGCGAGTGTAAGCCGCTCTGGATTTTGTCGGCTTGTATGTATGTTGAACTTCGCACCGTACGTAGTGAACTGTGCTAATCGGAGGTGCTTGCATTTTCCTGTGTGTGCATGCGGTACCTGCAGGGTGGACGTGCATCGCAAGGAAATGCTGGGCTCGGCCGAGAAGCCCGTGACGATCCAGGCGAGCCCTGACGGCCGCTCGGCCGCTTGTCGCTTGATCCTCGAGCTGCTCCAGAAGGAGGCACACGACACCGGAGAGTGAGTGACGAGTCACGGCCGCCGCCGGGGGTCTTCTGGTTGGCACGCACTCAGGGGAATTAAAATTGAAGCAGTCGATGCGGGAAGCGCGTTACTGATCGGCGGCGCGTTGACTCTGCGTGCGTGTGTGTTTCTGCGTGCGTGTGTGTTTCTGCGTGCGTGTGTGTTTCTGCTGTATCCGCTGCTGTGCCACGCTGCAGTGTCGAGGATATCCCACTCAAGATCCTGGCTCACAACAACTTTGTGGGGCGTCTCATCGGCAAGGAGGGCAAGAACCTGAAGAAAGTGGAGCAGGACACGGGCACCAAGATCACCATTTCCCCGTATGCCACCACACCTCCCACCGGCCCCCAAACCTCGCGATTTTATCTCATAATAGCAGTGCCGTTTAACTTTGTTCACGCTGCTAACAAAGACAAAGATCACTCGGGTAGCCTCGACAGACTGTTGGGGCAAGTGCTTTAACGAGTAGCACCTATGAATGCCGACACATCACACGGGCAGGGATAGTTGGCGTGGGTGTGGGCGAGCGTAAAGGAGGACAGCTATCTCCTCTGTTGATAGGATACGCAAATGTGGGGATCTGCCTTCACTCATTTGACGGGAGGATGTAGGCGAAGCTGTTTGTTTTGTCGGTAGATACACGTTAATGATGTAGTTCCATTACGGTCGCAATGTGTAATTGGTCAGTTGGCCCAACCATAGATTGAGCCGTGCGCAATCCAAATGTTGGAGAGTTCAGGGCTGCTAGAATGAGTCTACTTTGTGGGGAAGTCGTCCTATCGAGAGACTTTGCCTCCTCCATAGGAATGTGGACTTCCCACCGCGAGCTCAGGAATGTCAAGAGCAGAGGAGCACCACCTGACTGCTCGTTTGAGCAGCAAATTTACGTCATCAAAACCGCGCACCTCACCGTAATTGGTAGATTGTATCTGAATTACGTTCCCGGCATTGACACGTGTGATCTGACCGTGTTGGCTGTGTGGGCGCTGCTGGCCACAGGCTGCAGGATGTGACCATGTACAACCCGGAGCGTACCATCACCGTGCGAGGCAGCGTGGAAGCCTGCGGCCGTGCCGAGGAGGAGATCATGCGGCGACTGCAGGAGGCGCACGAGACCGACTACAGCTCCATGAACGTGAGAGCGCCGCCCCCGCACGTCCGACCAGCCGGCGCCATGCACTCGCGCGCACACCCCCGACTTGCTGGCTCCTAGGCGTGAAACGAGTCGTAATTATTACTTCCAAGAATCTTATTGTTTACCAATTTACAATGAAGGAAGAAAGCAGAAATGCATGAGCTCTGTCCGCCTTTCTGGGGGATGATGGTAACTGTCCTAAACATCATGCAACATTCACGAAATTGAATATAAAGTTGTGTTGCTATTAGAGACTTTCCATAGAAAACAATGAACCCCATTCTGAGATTGAAAAAAAACTTGACGATAAATAAAACCAACGTGGAATGGGATAAGCCTTTACGGCCAAGGTGGTGACGTCCCCTGACACCTCCCCGAGTCACGATTGCGAGACCTCATCTCGCAACGCGTGATGTAATTGAATCACGCGCCGTGTGCGTCTTGCTCATCCTTTGAGTTGCCACCGAGCAGAAAACGATTTGCTCCCTCGGAACTTCCTGTCTGGGACCGCCGCTGCTGATCAGCTGGCAGTGCGAGCGCAGAGTCTTTTCGTCTCTCTTGCCGTGGTGTGGTTTCTGTGGCCCTGCGTGCTTTGAGCACCCAGTGTTTGTTGATGATGCTCCACCCGTGTTGTCGGGGCTGTGTTCTGCAGCAGCAGGCCAACATGCTGCCCGGACTGAACCTGAACGCCGTGGGGCTGTTCCCGCCGGGGATGCCCGGTGCGACGTCCTCCCTGGGGGCCTACGGCACCTCCTCGGCCTACATGCCCCTGCTGGTGAGCCGACATCTCTCTCGTGGCAGTAGCAGCAGCCTCACGTGCGCGCCGTCTTTGATACAGGCCAAGGGATCTCGGTACGAGGTCATTGCTGTGCTTCAATACACAAATGATACCCTTCCTTTCCATATCTGTCTCTCCATATAAAAAGTTAAAGTGTTTTTTTAACACATCCCATAAGCCATACATGGCCTTCTCCGGTACATGATTTGATTTAACAGCATAGGTTCAAAACCCAGACACTCTGGACTGGTTTCGACTGTCATTTTCTCATCAGCAGTCCGGCTCACTTGAACCAATGCTGGCAAACTATTAGATGTTTAATTCAAATCTGTAAATTACAAATAAATTCATCACAACAGAACAATAATGCAGGCCGGAAGCAAGTGGATTTATCAACACATTGTTGTGCGTTGCGCATGCAGAAGTTCTCCGACCATCAGCTCATAAGAACTTTGTGGCCATTTCCTCGTTCAGAACGCCAACTCGAAGAGTTGAGAAAATGTGGTCTTCCTAAAGAGCAGCAATGCAACGGTCACGACTGGAACTAGTTTCAACCTCATTATAACTCATCAGTACAGTGCAGTCATCGATGTTGTCTGATAGGATGTGTAAAAAACTACTTAAATTTGTGTATGTGTACGAACAGATATTGAAAGAGAGGCGTGGCATCTGCTTATTTACATTCGTACTGGCATTCTTCACAACGACACGAATACTTTGTGTTGTGTAGTCGAGAGATGGTTGTGGACAACAGCAATGCGATTACGTGAACGCCACAAACCGTGCAACAGTGGGTTGCAGTTTCTAATGTAGAAATGTCATCAACAGCTTCACACAGATCTTGGCCAATTATATTTAGCGGCACTTTCCATATCAGAGGAAGCTTGAGTTCCAGGAGCAAACTCATACATAGGAGGGGATATCCGCACAGATGGGTTCACAAACACACTTCCCGTGCTACCAGCTGCTGGCCACCTCGCAGTCCAGGGAGTTTGGATGTTTTACAATTCCCTACAAGGAGCTGACAACATCCGCAACAAAGTGCTGGATTACAGGCATGCACCTCCACCAAGTCCATTTATGGGGCCCTGCAAGTACGCTGCCCTCCAGTGGACAGACGTGTAACACAGGCAGTTGCGGCCAGACGTGCAGCGCGGTGGGAACCCGTGTCCTGGGCTGGGCAAGCTCACGAGGCCCTTGACAGCCAAAGCGACATTGTGGTGCAGGCCTGGGCCTTTAATGGCCGGTACAGAGCACTTCCTGCTTGTACATTAGCCTCATGTGTTTGGGGTTCTTGTTTCAGCAGAAACGGCAACATTCATTCACAGGGATGCACGGAGAGACAGAAAGAAAACACGTGGATTAGAGAATGTATGAAAGGTTAAAGACATAATCTGAGTGTTAGGGAGAAGTAAACAAATGATCTTCTTGGTTCTTTCGGTAAAGTCACGTAGAAGGGAAGTAATAAAATAATAAAAATAAAACATAATAAAATAAAATAATTTGGCTACAACGCAAGCAGCCGTCTGAAGACGGATGCTTGCGTTGTAGCCGAAACGTCGTGAGAATTATTTTATTTTATTATGTTTTATTTTTATTATTTTATTACTTCCCTTCTACGTGACTTTACCGAAAGAACCAAGAAGATTAATCCCTGCAGTCACGAAAGCTTTAAATCGAAATTTAAACAAATGATTTGGTGATGCTGAATTGGCAGTGGTGCAGAAGTACAAATAACACAAACTTAACACGCTTGCCAATTACATCGTGGCCCTGAAAGGAAATGGACATGCGAGGTGACATTTTAACAAATGTTTTTTCGGTTTTTGGTAAGATAAAAAGAGAAGGTGGGCTTGGGCAGAACACGCCACTAAAAGGGATGATGACAGATGGCCAAGAATATAATAGTGGGGTGGCAACCAAGGGTTGGCAATGCATCCGAGCGGACATCAACCAAGGAGATGGATCCATGAAATCGACTTGTGTGCAGGTGCTGATTGGATTTTTACATGGCAGGATTGTGCAAGTTGGCGACAACTTTGGACTGCTGCTGCGACTGCTGCAGCGTGGCTTTCTGCACTGCATGCCTTCTCTGTCCGTGTGTCTCACTCGGGTGTTGTGTCTGTTCACGGTCCTGTGTCTGTCCCTGTCGGCCTCGCCTCCTCTACGCCCAGGGCCCCTCTCCGTACGCCCACCCAGGCGCCCCCCACGGCATGTCCTCTCAGCCCTCTGTGAGTCCTCGATCCTGCCGCGTTCACTAGGGCGCCGCCGCATTTTCTCAGTTTATTTTTAGATTTTGCTAATCAACGCACACCGACAGCCAATCAAAACTGAGGCATATTGAGAGATTTAACAACAAGGGGTTATGGACAAAGGGAGATAATGGCAGCACTCCTGGATCTCTTGAGCCCCCAGAAATGATTATCAGGAAGGCAGAAAGCCACCCCTACATGACAACGAGTTACTGATTTAAAATCCGGTTCTTGTCTGTTTCTGCCTCCTCAACGATTCTGGCCTTTCCTGCACTTTGATCCATTTCTCCACTATGTCGATGCTGCACTCTTCCGTGCAAAATGAATCTGCTCCTTACCTAAAGGGTTCTTCTCAACTTCCCAAAGCATCAGCTTGTCCTGCATCTTCACCACAACAATCCCTCCTGCTTCTTCGCGCTCCTCGACTGTTCCAACGCTGACGCGCCGTTACCCACCGTGCCGCGTGCGCGATGACCCCTAACCCCCCTGTACCTGTACCGCCCGCTTCCCCGCTCTGATCCCTGACATTGCCGGCCACCGCACAGTCCAGCGAGCAGGAGACGGTGTACCTGTTTGTGCCGACGCAGTCCGTGGGCGCCATCATTGGCCGCAAGGGACAGAACATTCAGCAGATCTCGCGCTATGCCAGCGCCTCCATCCGGGTGAGTTGCCTTAAACTGGGCACTAGCTAGGTCACCTGTCACTAAACTCACCTGGGAAACTCGGACATTCGCTTCCACTGTCGTGCAGTATGGAGCCGGTTTACGTCACCCTTTCACAGGTGGTCCTGTCTGTTCTCAGAATCCAGAGGGGACCCATAGAGATTGCTGCCTCCTGTGGCTGCTCGCAATATTATTTTACGCGTGCAAATCTAGGCATTGTTTGCAGCTGCGTGCACATCACTATGGTGTCTGCTGCTGCCATCTAGTGGCAACATCTGGAAAATTTTAATATTGCGTATAAGGAAAAGAATCAGAATATTTGTACTGGAGGAATCCGATGAGCAATAAAGCTTCTTTTCACAGATGTCCAGTATATAGCCAGGGTCAAGCTGCCCCCCGTTCAGAATGTTTTTCCCAAAATAAAATTAACCAAGTTGACAGAATACACATTAGAAAATGACTGCCTGCAGGTGACGTGCAGTTTAAACAGACCCATGGCTGTAATAGTGTAAATGCCGGTAGAGTAATGCATTCTGATCCGGCTGGGCCACTCACGACTAATAACGGTGGCAAATATCTGAACCGGTCCTTGAGTCTCACATGAGTACCTGATGCCTTGTGTTAACAAACGCAGTCGGCAAACAAAGTTTGTGTGCCATGCCGGCCTTTATAGGTGTCCACAATTAGTACTTGCCGTGAGTTTGTTACAGGCTATACAGGGGATCTTTGTCAGCCACGTGAAGATGTTGGAGCATGTCTCACAGACTCAGGAAGTATGGTCACTTCCGACTGCGGCAGTAATGGGACTGCGTGAGCCGGGGACTAACTTTCTAACCGTGCACCCTCTTCAGATCTCGCAGGCTGAGGGCCCCGATGTGAAGGAGAGGATGGTGACCATCGTGGGCCACGCCGAGGCTCAGTTCAAGGTCAGTGCTGACTGCTCGCTCGTTCTCCATGTGACCGGGATGTTAACTCAACACGGGGGAGAAATACTCGTGTAGACAGGGGAAAGGAAATGGCGCAGCCCTGCAGGTGCTCGCTCTGGCGGAGCAGGCTCCCACTAGGATGGAGCTCTGTGAAGAAAGGGCCTCTACAAAATGTATTTGTTCTGCTCTTTCACACTGGCCACACGTCTTCTTGAAAAATACCCTCTTTAAAAAGGATAAACGAAGCAACATATCAGTTGAGTGCTATATTATTCCTCCAGTCTCATTACACAGGTTACATTTTGGCTGTTTTTATTTAAATTTGTTCCTCCATCCGGTACGGATTTTGCGCAAAGTAATAGAATAGACATTGTGTGTCATGCCACCGGTCCTTGAATCTCCATCCCTACCACTACCATCTCTGTCGCTCTGTACGAACCGTCTCTTCCACGACATTCAATCACTTGTTGAGAAGACAGCAAAGGGGCGGTGGGGGCTTGGCGGGAGGAGGAGTGTCGCTATAAATCAGTGGGGTATCTATAAATGGATCTCCCTTTTGAAGTTTGTTTTGTTTGACCAGGGTTGGAACTCAGGAGACTGGGATAAGAGTCTCATTTGCAAGAGTGACCCGGGTCACCAAGGTGACAGAAGCAATAGCATAAAAACTAGAGGCCGACCGAGATATTCGGATTCGGTTTCGGCTGCCGAAAGTTGGCAAATGGCCTCTTTCGGCATAGTTTGGGTTTCAGCCGAAAGTAAAATTTTAACTTTCGGTTTCGGCCGAAACTGATATTGACTTTCGGTCGTCATTCGTCAACCAAAGATCTATTTTTAGAATATAACGCTAGTGCTACGTCTATCACTCTGCCTATCGGCCGGTCAGTTGGCGCTAGGCAATCCTATGCGATAGGCTGCAAACACACACACGTCAGCAGCAGCAGCTTGGGAGCGAGGTTACGACCGGTCAACAGACGGCAGCCTGTCTGGCTGAATGCGGAAAAACTGTTGTTTCTTAACTACAACGTTCGTTTGTTTGGATATAATTACCAAGTAAGTAACACCTCAAGATTTGATATTTAGCGACTCTTTCTGCAGGCTCTGAATTATTAGTTCTAGATTTCTTTTTAATTAAAGTAGCATTGCATCATGACATATTTCATAAATCTTGTGTTTGGTAACTTCGGTAATATACCTTCTGTTTAGGTCTCGGTCGAAAGTGAAGTTAAACTTTCGGTTTCGGCCGAAAGTCAATGTTTAACTTTTGGTCTGGTTTTGGTTTTGGCCGAAACCAGAAATTCTGTTTCAGTCGGCCTCTAATAAAAACCAAGTACAGCATTAAAGAAAATAGAAATCGAATCACAAATAACTGAGGTGAAATAAAATTAGCGTGCATACATAATTCTGTGTTAGATGAAATAACTATCCTGTTTCAAAAGCTTGCTTGAACAAATTACTTCTAAAACTATCGTAAATTTAAGTGACGGAGACATCAACGTGGATTCATGGTGATTATTTCTCCCAGATTTGACACCGGTACGTGTGTCTAATCCTGTACCATGCGGGGGCCGCACATACGTCCCTTGTGTGAATGCACGAGCGATATTGTTTGCAATAATCATGCAGTTCCTGCGAGCAAATTGAATTGTACTTAAGCTCTTAATCCTTTGTGTTTGCACACCTATGTCCTTCTGCCTAAACAACCCACACGGACCGGCGTGGTAAAGTATGGTCAAATAACCCCCACGACCCCCGCGTCGCGAAGAGGCCCCCGGCAGTGGATCGATGAAAGGGCTGTGTGCGTACGCGTGAGGCGGGGGGGGGGGTGCTGCCCGTAGCGAAGGCGGCGTGCGAGTCCCGCGGTAATGCTCGACCCGCCGTGTCGGTGGCGCGGGTGACCAGGCCCAGGGCCGGATCTACAGCAAGCTGAAGGAGGAGAACTTCTTCAACCCTCGCGAGGACGTCAAGCTGGAGGTGCACATCAAGGTGCCGTCCGCTGCCGCCGGACGGGTCATCGGCAAGGGTGGCAAAACGGTAAGGCTGCGTGGCACCGGTCGGCCTCTACGCGGCACGCGCACCTACGCCGAGCGGCGGCCCTAGGCGCTATGACGCGCTCGGCAATTGTTGCCGGCGACGCTGTTTAAAATTATGGCAGGTTGGTACGGTGATGGCATCGAGTGATGGACCTGTCTCCCCAATCGACAATATTGGGTTGCAAAGTGTGTTTGATGAGCAATGTTCTACAGCTCGGTTCTACAGTGAGATCAATGTGAGAAAGGAGAGACGGGTCACACAGATTAGTGGTCACGGGCATTGCCACCCCAGTAGAAAATGTGAAATGGAGTAGCACGCCGTGATTGTGCGCGAGTGCACAGTGGGAGTGGAGCTGACATGGCAACTGCGTGTTTGCCCCCCCCGCCTCCTGCTTGTCCTGCTTGCAGGTGTCGCAGCTGCAGAACCTCTCATGCGCTCAGGTGGTGGTGCCACGCGACCAGACCCCCGACGAAGATGACCAGGTCATCGTCAAGATTATTGGACACTTCTTCGCCAGCCAGGTGTGTGGGATGCTCTTCTGTGTGAAAGCGCGCATGGGGCGTGTGCTCGGGACGAGTTTCAGATGGATTCATATTTGTATTTTGTATTATGCTTTGGTTTATCATATTTTGGTTGATCATTTTTTAATAAGGTTCATTGTTTAAGATTTTGTATCATTGTTTAATTATTTTATTAAGTATTAATCACTGATTATACATTATTATAATTTTGAACGTAAACATTTAATGTTTTAATAAATTAAGCAAAAGTGAAGTTGCATGTTGTCGCAATCACTTCAAACGATTGCAATTTTAGTGGAAATATCTATTTTCATATTAATACGATTATTTTTTCCAAATAATCACATTTTTGGTATTTAGCCCTCGATTATCAGATTTTGCAGGTTAATCAAAACATTGTGAATACATGTCCACATTCCTGGGGACGCCATGGTGGCGAGATGTACACAGGAGGTTGTGGGTTCGATCCCGACCCTCACGATGCCTGCATACGTTGAGTTTGCGTGTTCTCTCCCCCCGATGGCGGCCTTGTGGATTTGTATCCAGGTCCTCCGGTTTTTCCCACCACATTTAGAAACATGCATTTAGATTATAAATACCCACGTCATGATATAATCCACTTCGATGAGTTATCACTTTTTGCCAGGTCACGCACAGTGGGCTTTACCTGCTAAATAAAACAGGACCCTGCGGGGTGGGCTGGTAGGAACGAATAACCAAAGAATATAAACATAATGTATTATTACACTTGTTTAGCCAGGAAAGCCCCACTGAGTCTAAAGGTTTTTCTAGGGTCCTGCCAAGTGTTTGTAGTAGGGGGCGATGTTGCTACACCTAATCGGACGATACGAAGGGAGAGTTTGAGGCCTAGTTCTAGGCTTTAGGCCTAGCTCTAGGCTTTAGGCCTAGCTGTAGGCTTTAGGCCGCTGTGAGTTAATTTTTTATTTAAATGTTTTAATTATTTATGTAAAAGCTTTAAATGTAAATGTTTCTATTTAAAAACATCAGAGAATGTAACATTGTTAAACATTAACTCCCTTGCACACACGCGGGGGTACGATACGAAGGGAGAGTTTGAGGCGTAGTTCGAGGCTTTAGGCCTAGCTGTAGGCTTTCGGCCGCTGTGAGTTAAATTTTAATTTAAAAGTTTTAATTAAAAGCTACCTCAGGGAATTATAAGGGAATGTTACACTTGTTTAGCCAGGAAAGCCTCATTAATTTAAATGTTTTAATTAAAAGCTATCTGAGGGAATTATAAGGGAATTTTACACTTGTTTAGCCAGGAAAGCGTCACTGAGTCTAAAGGTTTTTGTAGGGTCATGCCAAGTGTTTGCAGTAGGGGGCGATGTTGCTACACGGACGGACGGACGGACGATATAACCTATTGTAGGCTGGTTCACTTCGTTCCTACCAGTATGAGTAATAGTATAGCTACAAAGCCTTTGAAGGCTTCGGTGCTCACGTGCTTGGCACCTCTGTTTGTCCCTCCAGACTGCCCAGCGCAAGATTCGAGAGATCCTGCAGCAGTATCACTCACAGCAGCAGAGGCGGAGGTCAGGGTCCGGCCCACAGGGCCCCTCCGCCCAAGGCTCCGGGTCAGGCGACGGCCAAGTGCAGGCCCAGTCTGATGAGGAGTAGGCATCGTCACGTTCACCATGGAGAAGGGAGAGACATCGGAAGAGATGGCAAAACCAAACTGCTTCCGAATGTCTTAACCCAGTCACACATGCACACACAGACACGCATGCACGTGCACGCAGTCGCGCACGTGCACATGTACACACACGCAAACACATGCACGCGTACACTTACATGCACATTAGGGATGGACCTTATTTTTCAAAATGGGTTTCATGATTGGCGTACCCTGTGGATTGTTGTTGAATGATGCATAACTTACATTTTTGCCAATTTGAAGGATATTATAGGGGTTGCTACCAAGTACTGAAGTTTAAGTTTGTGGCTTCGAATTGTGAGTTTCTAGAATATTTTAGAGATTGCTTGAATTCGTTGGAACATGAGGTAATATTCTAGAAACTTCTGGAGTAACTATTCTACGTATTCCTGCAGTCACGAAAGCTTTAAGTCAAGATTCTGGAATAACCTTCAACATTCTAGAATAACCTGGAGATTTCTGGAGTAGGTTGAACATCCCTGAAATGCACTGGACAAATCTGTTCTTCTGGAATGTTCCAGAAAACCCTGGACCATTACAGCACAGAACATTTCTCCAGGAGCTTCTTCCAGGGTGTTCCAGAAGATACCAAATCACAAATCCTTGAAATGCTGGGAAAAGGAATGGAGCATGCGTTGTGGTTGAACACAAGTTGTATGCAGAATCTCCATTCTGCATACAAGTACCATGTGTTTGAGATCATGCTCAAGACAGTCTTAAACACATCCTTGAGGCTATCACCCAGTCCTGATATCTTCATTTTCAAACAGTTCCCAGCAAAATGGCATCGATCAATAATGGCGAATTCACTGCCACTGCTGTAGCAGATGTGACAATGCAAGTTGCCTTGGCCAAGAAACAACTGGTTCTCTGATCAACTACGAAGAGCCCTTAAGAGTGTTGCTCCTCGTGGTGTTAAAATCCTCTGGCGGACTTTACAGGGCACAGTGAATGGCAAGAGCCATTTTTAGCCATCAAAATGTGGATGTTCGTAGGACTGTTTTTTTCTCTCGTTACCAAGGAGGAGGAGAAGGGACTGGTTTGTTGTTCTTGAAGGACTTGATGATTCCAAGGCAGCTAACACAAGTGTTGCCAATGCTGCTATCAAGACATTTTGTGGGCATCGGTGGTGGCTTGGAGAGAAGGCTGATGATGGCTCATGCTTTCTGTGACAGGGTCCAGAAATTAAGGGCAAAGTGGTGGAATCCCTTCAAGAGGAAAGTGGGGAGGACATTACAAAACAAGCCACCGTTGAGCGATGCCATTAAGGAGAATCGTTTGGAGTAATTCATCTTGGCACACACTTTGAGGTCCAAGTTTCTGGACATAGATCCTGAAGAATGGCACATTGATGCTTGCTGGGGGAAGACAAAATGGTCAGAGCCACGACAGAACAAGGAGTCCGTCGCCTTCTCACGTGTGGTGAGAATGACGCACAGCGCAGTACCTTCTACACGTTGTTGGTGACCGTTGCAAGTTATTTCCAGACTTGGCGAAGGCATATCTAATATTAAAGCACAATTCGTCTGCTGGTAGCAACCCCAAATTATTTTCCCCAAGTTAATCAAATTATGCCAAGATTATTTCGTTGGAGATTGGAACCATGCAATGGTGTGCCTCAATAATAATGATTATCTCATCACGTTACCCCATTATAAGGACCACCCTAATGTGCATGTTCAGCAACTTTAGTCAAACCCTTACTGTACAAGGGCCTCCCCACACCATGCGTGTAATGAGGGACATTTGACCATACTTCACCACGCTGGTCAGTGCCGTTTGGTGAATATGTGCGCACGTTATACACGCACGCACGCACGAGGCATGCGCACACGCACAGGGGGACACCCCCAGTGCTCACGTCGTGAAACCAGATTCAGATAACACGGTACGTCGGTCACTTCAGCACCGTTAGTGAAGTCAAAGTGAGCGGCACATTCTGAACCGTCGCACTCAATGACAAAGCAGGGGTTGAGTTGTCAGGCTGTGTTTTCCTATCCGGCCACTAGAAACGTATCCAGAGGGAGCAAATAAAATATAATTAAGGTTATATTATCAGGAAATGATAACAAAAAACACCCCTCCCACAACGTGGAACATTACGTCATGGCATATCTCAACCTCTGCACACACACACTACATCTCAGCACGTCTCTCAACCGCCTTAAAGTACTGTCCAGTACAAAACTGGACAAATTGTCTGGTCTGTGAAAAGGTCACACGAACAGCTGCGTTGGCACTGTCTGTACCCACACCCCCCGCTCCGCGCGTACGCTGGGTCCGTCTTGCATCGAGCGAACAGGTGCCGCACCTCTATCTGTGCACGTTAGTTTAAGCCAAGTCTGAGACGGCAACAGCGGCGTTTCCAACTTCACGTATTGCCGAGTGCGCGTACGTTAATTGTGACGCGGGCACCACCGACGCGTGGTGTCCAGATCAATGTGCCGTCTGCTTGTTTTTGCCATTTGCTAGACGTGCAAATGGATAGGAGGCGCTTGATGCAACGCCCGCCGTCTCGCTGTGGGACCCAGCTGCGTGCTGTGTTGACCTGGTTACCGTGTGACCTTTCCACCGTCTGCGAGCCAGCCCTGCAGCAGTGCTCATCGGAGCGATTTTCCCAGGCTGCCGAGGGCCCACTCAGGACGAATGCCGTTCCTCGGCGTGGCCGCTGCTCAAATGTCCGGTCCACAGAGAGGGACGCCGGGAAAAAACATAAGAGTCTGTCAATGCCGAGGCTTAACTGTCCTCGCGAGGCCCGGACTTGTATTTTTATTCCTGGCGTCGTGTTTAAATTTGGTATTTTGCCAACAATGTGAGCGTGGCAACTGGAGAGGCAGGGAGTGTTGACAGGGGCACACGCCGGCCAGCCGCGCCGGGGTGGGCCGTTGCTGCGTGTCGCTTGCTGCGCTCATCGCACGCGGCACGAGCCACTCCCGGTGGCCTCGGCTCAAAGCTGGGACACCTCCGTGCTGGTGCCCTACCCCGTGCCACGCTCGCTGCCCTCGAGACCGCGAGCGAAGAAGGCAGTCGCTGCAGGGCAGGCCCGGACGTCCAACCCCCACTTCAGCAAAGGAATGTGATCAACTCTTAAACCCCGCGACACGAAGCGTGGCTTTTAAAACAATAACAATAACGGTAACCCACGTGACATCACCAGAATGTTAAAAAAACACCTTTTTTAAAGTTTTTTTTGGAGGTGGGAGAGGGGGGTATATTATGCCATCGTGATTCTTTGTAATACAATTTTACTGGCAACGGACCTGAGGCATTTGGGAAACAAATAAAAAAATAAAAAATAAAAAAAGCAAAAATAAAAAGTAAAAAAAGTCAAGGAAACGTAGATAAGAGACGAAGCCTTACGAGGGCCAGGACCCGGCCGGGCCGCCGCGTGGGCCGCCGCGCGCTGGCGCGTCGCTGTTCTGTTTCAACAAACTACCTCAGTTGGCGATCACGTACCTCGACTCGTTCCTTTAATTCTGGCGGGGTATTTTGTAAGAGAGCTTTATGAAATCGATAGCCATTGGACGGTTTTATTTTTTTAATTACAAAATCATAAAATTGGATTGGGCATGCAGAGAGAGGAAGGGGCAGAATATGGGGGACAGCCGCAAGGACGGTGAACCCACACCCACCACCACCACCACCCTCTCGGTGCTCGCCAATCCCGTGGAGTCTGGGGGTTCGCGACTGTGGCTGCGGTCCCCTCCCTCCCCTCGTGGGCACGAGGCGTTGTGGAGGGAGATGCGTTTCGAGATGCCCCACTGATTCGTCACGGCCCTCTTTCTCGTCGACAGGCGGTTGGATATTTTGCAAGCGATGGCTCCGTATCTGGACAAAGTCTACCAGGACAGAGTCGAGAGATTCAATACGTCTTGAGATTGGCGGGAGACGTCGAGAATCGGAATGTTGTCTCTTTCATTTCTGTTATCTCAGTGGGGTATCTATAAGCGGATCGCCCCGCGTTGTATTCAGCCACGTCCATCGTAATCGTCAGCATTGTCGTTAGTGTTATCCCTCGGCTAAACTGGACGCCCCTATTGAAGAAGTGTGGTCGTTGTCAGGATACATCCGTCGATTGCCAGCGTCATCACCACCACGAGCGCGACCCACCCGTCACGGTGGCGATCGCCGCCCCGCGGCACCGCGGCGCCTCCCCCGACCCCTCCAAGTCAGAGTGCTTCCACTCCCCGTGTCGCGCCCGGCACCCCCCCCCCCCCACCCCTGCAGCGAGCGCTGTGGGGGGCGCACACCGGATGCATCACTTACGGATTCTTTAGCCAGAGAACGGGCGCGGTGTCCGATAGGGTCAGTAGTATACGTGAATAATGACGACGACGATAGCAGTAGCGCGTCTGCACGAGCGACGCGTGCAGTGTGTGTTATTGTTCAGTTGCCAATCCTCTACAAATGTTGCCGTGTAACTGAATGTGATTGCGACAGTTGAGAGGCTTGCGTGGGCCCGGCGCTCCGCTCCGCCGGCGCCTGTGGGAGGCAGGGCCGCCGCACGCGGCGTGGATTCGCGTCTTTGCAGAAATTCACCTGGCGACGGCCCGAGGGCCCCCCTCCCTGGATCCCCGCAGCTTCGTGCCGGGTCCCACATCATCGTGAGCCCGGCACAAGGAGGTCGCGGCGGAGCGGGTTGACGCGACGCCTGAGGGTCGGTGGCCGGTTTTGTAAAACAGTCGAAGTGGAATTTTCCACTCTGTTTCCTTGAGCGCAGTACAAATGTTGGTTTCGTGAAACCGGCCACGGCCCTCGTCGAGGGTGTTGGCTGGCAGCTGTCTCGCACCACTGCTGCCACACAAGCGATGTCATTGCGAGGGTCCTTGCAAGAGAGCAGGGAGGGGGGTCACGGCCGTCGGTTTATTCTCTGTACCCAACCGCGGTGTTGCGGTGGCCCCCACGAGCCCCGCAATTGGGGTACGGCCCGGCGATTTTGCGGGCCCGCGTGGAGGGGGTCGCGAGACGCAGGGACCCCCGGGAACCCCTGCAAGCCCGGCGCAGAGACCCCAATCGATGGGGACATTCTGTGCCGTGGCATTCGGAGGCCCCCGTGGGCCCCGTGTTAACGGGGTCGCGTGCCCCCCGGAGAGGTCAGTGGCCGGCTGCATACACCAAGTGGAGGGATGGCTTCCCTCGCCGTGCTCTATGCAGCCGGGCACGGCTTTACTGGCCGCCTCCTCGAGCCGACCAGGCCGTGGATTCGCTGTGCAAACCCCCGTCCCCTCCCTCGGTTTTAAACGACGCGTACGGCGAGCGCGAAACCCGCGGCGTGCGCGATGAATGTAGGGCGCGTCGGAGGGCGCCGTGTAAATGCGCCGCGTTGCGACGACGACGGCAGCGCGAGTTGACGTGGCGAGCCGGGGGCTGCGTTGCTCGCGCGGTTTCTTGTGGGTTCCTGAGCAGAGTGGGGCTCGGAAATGCGCACCCAATCCCCTTCTCTTCCCCCCCCCGTGTGATGTCCACGTGTGCCTGTGTGAGGTGTGGTGATCATGTGGTGAAACCAGGGCTGTGTGTGGTGACGCCAGACCTGTATTGTGGATGGGGACACCGTGATTGTGGGGTGTGGTGACTGTGGTGCTCGAGCTGTGTTGAGCAGTGGTGGCTCGTGGCTGCAGTTGGAAGAGGGGTGCTGGTGGTGGTGGGGAAACATTCTCCGCCTCGGATTTCCCAATCTCGGCTGCTGTGAGCCGGTCTATGAAGACGGCTCATGCAGTGCCCTCAGCTCCTACGGGAGCCCGCACGCTGGTGAATGACGATCGTCAATCCGCCCGAGCGCGTCGCGTAAAGCTTGGAAACCTGTGGTGGAGTCTAGCCCCTGTCCAACTGAAGCCAGGGGCGGTCGCTGGTGTAGGTAGTGTGGTCGCACCGGAGTCTGGCGTGGAGTGTGGCGACACCGACACTTCGTGCGGTGGAACCAGAGCTGAGCGAAGGGCGCGGTGGCACCGATGCCGTTCTGACCCTCGTGCGTCGTGGTGGCGCCGTGTTGCCCGGCCCTTCCGAGACGACGCGGTGCGGCAGGGCCGAGCGGCCGTGCCGACTTCCCGGTCCGCGAGTCGCGTGGACGCGGGCTTATGGGAGGAAGTATTTGTTTTTAATTGCATTTATCGACACTGATGTGACGTGGCGTGCATGGCAGCAGCAGAGAATCATGCCGCCCCTGTACGACAACGTGGAACGTTCCTCCTGCCGCGGGCCTCTAGCGTGGGGCCGTACCAACCGCGGCAGACCGGGGGGATGATCAGTTCCATCTTGCGTGCAGGGCGAGACATGCGCGCGTATTCTGGAATTGCGTCACTGATTTAAAAATGTACATTCTTTTTTATGAACATTTCTTTGCAATCTTTTGTAATTAGTTTTAGGCCTGAAGCTGATGAAACCCCCCGCGGCAGGCAGGGCGGCTGTACCCGCGCGCCGTGGCGCTGCTGTCAGCATGCGAACAGTGGCTCTGGCGTCGAGTCACAGTTGGGGCTTCATGACAATAAAGAATTGTACAACACGAAGGTGTTCGTCGTCGCACGTCAAACACCACCTCCCAGTCAACGCTCGCGTCTTCCGCCCTCTGTGTCGCCGTCAAAGCGATTCCTGCTCAATTGAGTGTTGATGCGCTGCTCACCTCCCGGTGACAGCCCTGAGCCAGTTTTGGACATTCCGCATTCTCATGATGGGAGCAACGCATTGATGCCTCCCCCTCAGTGGGGCTCATTGTCTAAAGTATCTAAATATACGCGCAGTATATATACTGTGTCTTGTCTTTTCCAAATTGTATTCCGATTGCTGAGTCGACGTAATGCCACAGGACGAAGCGTCCATTCAGAACCTTGGAGAGCAGTGCTCGAAAACGCCCTGTGGAAGTGGATATGGCACAACTGCTTCCTAGAGATCCCTTCCAAGTCACATGTCGGCCACTTTAGCATATTATCGATCCGGAATTTTGCCAAAGTGGGAAAACAAATGTAATGCTTATTTTCGTGTAATTCCTGACCAGGCTGAGCTAATCGACTCACGACACTTCAGAAGCTGATTGATCACGGGCGGCTGAAACTCGGAACCCACCCGGCTACGTTGCTCCCTTATGGTCACTTTTGAGCTACGGTCGCATTTAGACGCTTGGATTTTAAGTTCAGTACTATAGGCGTCAGGTGCACATATTAAGCATAGACATCGGCTTATCCGCTTTTATAAGTCTGTTTATCTGACACGAGTATCGGTTTTTCCAATACGCAATACATCATGTCATGCGTAACAAAAATCCATTCTTCCAAGAATACATGCGGCCAGTTTTCCTGCAATTACAAATAATATTCATCCGTGTCTTAAAAGTTCATCCGTGCCTAACAATATTACATCCACATCAGATTGCAATCTATCCGCATTGAGACTGCCCCTGGAACCCCAGGATCCTGTTTCTCGAGCCCTCGCGCCCGGAGTGTGGGCGGGCGGGCGGATGGACGGGAGGAGCCCCAGGGGGGACACGGGGTCACACCCAGTGGGGGCACGGGGTCACACCCAGGGGGGGCACGGGGTCTCACACCCAGGGGGGACACGGGGTCTCACACCCAGGGGGGACACGGGGTCACACCCAGGGGGGACACGGGGGGACACGGGGTCTCACACCCAGGGGGGACACGGGGGGGCACGGGGTCTCACACCCAGGGGGGACACGGGGTCACACCCAGGGGGGGCACGGGGTCTCACACCCAGGCGGACGGCTTGCGCGGGAACCGTGGCTCGTCCGCTCCAATTGCCGCCGGCTCCAGGGCGGCGCAGACCACGTCCGACGGCGAGAGCCACGGGTAGACGTCGTGGGGGGCCTTGGGGGCAACCCTGTAAGGGGGACCCAGGAAATCCGATCCCGGGGGACCATGGTCTCGCTTGATCTCCCCAAGGGAGGCATTTCCCGGTCCGGCAAAAGCAGCGACTCCCGGTTTCTCCTCTGTTTTTTCCTGCAGCTGTGGAGGCAAAAGGGGGTGGGCAGTCAGACCCTAATACTTGTGTCACTCTTACATCACCTGTCCCACGTCACCTCTGTCACCCGTTACCCGTTTCATGTGTCACCTGTATTACCGAGTCACTTGAATCTTCTGTGTTCCCAGAGTCACCAGTGTCATGTGTCGTCACTCACGTTGCCTGCACCCCCGGTGCCATGTATATCGCTTGCATCACCTGTACCCGCTAGTCCCGTGGTCCCTGCGGGCCTCTGACTAACGAGGGGTCTGATCGTGAGCGCCCACACTCGGTAAAGCGTGGGCGCTCCTCGTGTGAACGGATCCTCTGGCGGGATGGAGCCAGGCTCCCTGCGCCTCTCACCTCCTCCGTGTGCCCCGAGGTCGCGGAGATCTCGCCGAGTCCCCGTAGCCCGGACGGCCTCGTTCCCCGCTCGGGGGGTCCCGAGTGCCCTCCGAGCCACAGCCGCAGACACAGGAGCAGATCGGCCAAGTTGAGGCAGAGCGCGAGCCCCGACAGGCCCAGTGGCCCCATCAGCGCCAAACTCTTGTCGTGCGGCCGCCCCACCGTGCACTCCACGTGGCCGCCACCGCAAGCGGTTGGGTCCCACGGCTGCACGTGGGGCCCCGCGGGCCCACGGTGCAGGAAGTGGGCGGCGGCCCCGCAGGTGAACTTCGGGCCCACGGGCAGCAGCGGGGCGTACAGATAGAGCTGCGCGCAGAGCAGCGCGGCGTCGAGCAACGCGCTCAGCGACACCTGCAGCACGTACGCGCACAGGGACCCGGGCCCCCTAAGGGCCCCGCATCCTTCCCCCCCGCTCCTCCTCCTCGCCCCGTGCGGGCCCTGGTGCCCCGCACCCCTGCGGCCCGTGGCGTTGAGCGCGTTCTGCCGGTGTGGCGGTTCCATCTTGAGCCGCGCGGCCAAGCAGCCGCTGCTGCTGCTGCTTCTGCCGGAGTTGTGGCCGTGCGCCCCCACCGTGATGTAGGCGCCGGCCGCGCGTCCCGGGCCCCGGGAGGCCACCGCGACCCCGCGTTTCTCGCTGCCGCCCTCGCTCGGCACGGAGAATTGCCCGTACTTGTCCGAGTGAACGTCTCTCTCGTAGTCCTCGTCGTCCTCGTCCTCATCGTTTTCCGACTCGTCGTGATCTTCATGGTGGTGGTGGTGATGGTGGTGATGGCAAGATCTCGTGGTCTTGGCCTTCCAGGGCCTCCTGTGCGCCACCGCCGCCAGGTAAAGTGCCAGCGGCAGCGATGCGACGAGAAGCTGCGCCAGGCCCAGGTGCCCCGGGCTGAGCGGGAGGAAGCGGTCGAGGCAGGCCGAGCGGCAGGCCGGGAGGCCCGAGTTGCACCACACAGTCCTGCCATGCGGCCGGACCTCCTGCCTCCCCCGAATGCAAAAGCAAGGCCAACCCCAGCCGCCACGCCAGCACGGCCAACCACATCTTACCTGTGAACGCAGGACAGCCACATTTTACCTGTGCACACAGGGTCGACACATTGTACCTGTGCACACAGGTCAGCGACATTGCACCTGTTCACACAGGTCAGCGATATCTGACCTATGCACGCAGGGCAGCCACATCTTACCTGTGCACGCAGGGCAGCCACATCTTACCTGTGCACGCAGGGTAGACACAACTTACCTGTGCACGCAGGTCAGCGACATCTCAACTGTGCATGCAGGGCAGCCACATCTTACTTGTGAACGCAGGACAGCCACATCTTACCTGTGCACGCAGGGCAGCCACATCTTACCTGTGCACGCAGGGCAGCCACATCTTACCTGTGCACGCAGGGCAGTCACAACTTACCTGCACACCCCCCATCCCAGCTTCTGGGTCACCACACTGTCGTCTCATCTCCCCTTGGTGCCACATCGCCCATCCATCCCACACACAGAGACACAGGGGCCGGCGAGCGGATTCAGGAGGAACAATTTGAATTTAAGGGAAGGGTTCACTCTTGGGCGTTTTCTGCAACTGGCCACTGGTGTCGAAGGGCACAGTAACACGGCGGTGTCGGGGTGCACGGACGGCTCCCCACACACTTTTTAGGAGAGGAGGGAAACATATATTTGTGCTCCCCTTGAATTCATAAACTTCTTGCCCCTCCACTCGACATAGCCCCCATGGCTACTTCCCCGCAAACCTCCCGTGTTCACACTCGATCCCAGACGTCTCCTGGAGTCAGGGACCCTCAAAGATGTCCCGTCACATGGGCCAGCAGTACTTGGAGGGCAGTACTTTGTGAAGAAAGTACTTGCCGATGATGGTGGTGCTGCGACTCAGAGACCCGAGCAGAGAGGCGCAGGACCCACGACGCACCGCCATGGCACTGACGGCACGGTCACACACCGCAGACACGGGTGTCAGAGAGCGGAGAAGACACAGACCACAGGGACACGGACACGAATCGGAGAGACAGAAACACAGATCATCACGTGCAGCAGCAGCAGCACCACCACCAGTCTTACCGATGAAGGTGTCGAGGAGGCAGTGACACAGCGCGGCGAGAAGGGAACTGTGCGCTTCGCTCCAAGCGGGGCCCGTGAGGCTGTGACACCCCGTGAGGCTGTGACACCCCGTGAGGCTGTGAGCTGCCTGTAGCTGTGAGCCGCGTGTGGCTGTGAGCTCCGTGTGGCTGTGAGCTCCGTATGGCTGTGACACCCGTGAGGCTGTGAGCTGCGTGTGGCTGTGAGCTGCGTGTGGCTGTGAGCTGCCTGTGGCTGTGCCACCCGTGTGGACTCGTCCCGGGGTAGTGGAGGAGCCGAGGGCCCCCGGCTCGGAGCGGGGAATGCGATACTCGAGTCGGGGCCGCGCGTCACGGCGCGCAGCTGTCCCCGCGTCCCGGAATAGGCGGACGACAATGGCCGTGCCGGGTATTTTGGGCGCGGGGAATGCGCTCCGCCGCTTTGTTTTCTCATCGCGTGCGCGGGGAGGGGTTGGGGCTGGTCCCAGGAGCCCCGACCCCGCGCGTCGCTCGTTGGGGTCAGGGCCTCCCCAGGGCCCCCGGGGTCGAGAGAGATTTTTCGAAAGAGGGAGCGCGAGGATGGGGGGGGGGTGCAAAATCCTGGAGCTGGGACGAGGGTGCCGCTCCTCACCACCCCCCTCGTCTGTCTGCCCACCCCCTCCTCCTTCGCCTCCCCCTCGTCTGCCCCCCCACGATCTCTTCTCAGCTGCCTCCTCCACACGGACCCCGGGAATGCGCCCCCACCCCCCACCTAGGGACCCCGTTGAGGTCCCCTCAAGGTGCCTTTGGCCTCCTCGTCCCCGAGAGAAGTGAACCATGCAGTGTGCAGCAGTCACCCTTCACACTGACTGAGCTATCCACTGCTGCTGGATTACAGCTTCGTCGCCTTCTCTCGCAGCAGGGATTCGTTTCTCACTGAATATGTTCTCGACCGCCAGTCAGCTGGAGTAAGTGGCACGTGACTCAGAGAGCCACAGACATCGCGAGAGATCTCCTGAATGTGATGTAACGGATGCGGAAAATATTTTCAGAGTTGCCTACTTGGGCAGAGCCGGCTGAAATGCAGCCCTCCCTCGCCGTCTCGTGATGTAATAGGCAACCCACGTAGCACCTGAGCTGATTTCATCGCTCCATCTCCTGGTTTCACGTCCTTCTCCGAGCGTGATCCCTCATTGTACTGCCTTGTCCATCAGCCATCGTCCCTTCTCGCCATGACGCCTCATACTTGCTCAGGGCCCACTTGCGTCTTCTGCCAGCGTGACCCCTTTGTTCTGTGACCCGCGCGCCCCTATTCCTGACTCTCGGTGCAATTCCAAGCGTTCACCTCTCCTCTATTCTGTGCGCAGCTTTGAGCTTTTGTTTCCACGTGCTCGTGTTTGTCAACGTCTATTCAGTCAGCATTTACTATTCAAGAGCCGTGATAAAAATTTGATTTGTTTGGAAAAGTCGAAATGATACATACAAATGTCTATTTCTCCAAAAAAGTCTACCTTCTCAACAACCACAAGTTCCGTGTAAGACAAGCGACTTCTGTAGGTAGCTTACAAACCAGACGTCAACCTCACGGAATCACGTATGTGTTGTTCAAGTGAGATCGGGATCACAAAAGTAGCGATTGCAGCGTGATGAGGAAAGGTGAAAGCAGCAGCAGGAGCATCAGTTTGCTGGCTCGAACTCTCAGGCCGAGCCCTGGTGGCCATCCCGCACGTGGCCTGCAATCAGCACTGTGGAGGAGGAGGATGCAGCGAGAGTTGGTGGATTCCCGTACACATCGTGGAACTCCGTTGCCGTGGACGTCGTGCTTAGCGTACCCTGGCTCGCCAGGAGGTTTCAATACATTAAGTGTGGAACTTTCTTATATCTTGTTGGGGGTACTGTGAGGGCCGACGTCCACCCCACCGCCCTCGCTAGGCAGGTGGGGCGCGACGTCCGCCCCGTCCGCTCCCTCCTTCACCGCCTCGGTCGGTCGTCTCCCGCCGGGCCCCGCCGCCCGAGTGACGGGGCCCCCTGCGCGAGCGCCCCGAGGGACATCCACGTGCCGCTGGCTGACAGCCGCCGCACGGAGGAGTTCACCCTCACACACACCGCAGCTAACGCTAAAGCAGCACGCAGCGCCACGCTCGCGCCCGCACTTGCGAGCGATGACCTCACCGCGCGCCCGCGCTGCGGCTCCGCGTCCACTCTCGCAGCGCGTTTCCCCACGCAGTCGCTCCACACAGCAATCACAGACACCACGCCGATGCTCTGTGCTCACTTTTATTCGCGGCGTAATCCTCAAGTTTCAAGTTCATTTGTTAGGTGTAGCCCTGTGAGCCATTCGGCTCTTGAATCGGGTGCAACCACAACAAACAAAAAACAAAAACACGAACAAAAAACATCTTAAAGTGAATATGTGACTGAGTGCAAACAGAAAATCCAAGAAAAGACAGCAAAATATTGCAGAAAAAAGCACCGTACACCAACACTGTGTGCAAAAATCCTAGTGGAATGCAAGTCAAACAACAACAACCACAAGACAACTTAGATTAAGGCCATCAGTATAACTCTGTACTACAACAAACAAACATGGCCAAACCAAAAAACTTTTAGAAAATCACCAAAATAAAGCCATAAAAGCAATGAAACAGTGGTCATAGGAACTGTGACCGAATTTTCACAATAAACGACGTAAACAACATGTACTACCAAACTCTGCAGCCATAGCTGGCTGCATGAGTCACTCCACAACAGTAGGAGCATCAGTCGGAGTATCAACATTTTGCAATGCACCTTTAAGATCAGCACACACAAATCATACTTTGCAGCGATCATCCGGAGCGAAACATTGTATTTTAGGCCACTAAATTGCAGTGGCAGCTAGGGGTGTACAACTCCTCTAAAGCAGTTTTGAGTGAGATCTCATAGGTAGTGATTCAAGTTGCAGTTTATTGGCAATAGTATTCCAGACCCTGGGGGCATCAATAGCAAAGGCCCTTCCTACAGTATTTGTACGGCAATAGGGAATGTGAAGCTGGTAAATGAGCGAAGACCTTAGGTCAAATTTGTTCTTTGAAACAGAGAGGAGATCCAGCAGGTAATCTGCGGATTTTTTGTAAGTACATCATGAATAAATAAGATCTGATGCACAAGCCGTCGAACATTGAGAGATGTTAAGTTTGACCCAATGTACAGATCACAGTGGTGAGTCCTATATGGGCAGTTCAATACAAATCTTAAGGCCGAGTGATACATTGAGTCAAGCTTCTTCAGTACAGTACTTGGGGCTGATTTATACACGATGTCACTAATCAAGTAGAGGCAGTATGGTAGCTTTTATAAATTCCAAACGGAACATAGGAGGGAAGCAGTGCTTGTGTCGCTACAGAAAACCAACTTTAATTTTTGTCTTTTTACCAATATAATCAATGTGATCTTCAAATTTCAGTTTTGAATCAAGAATGACCACAAGATACTTATAGATCTTGACTTGCTCTATTTGATAATTGCACTGCCCGGAGGGAATATTTGGCGAGAAGAGCCTCGCCGACTGCTACCCAAGTCCCCTGATACTCAGACGCCCTATCAAGTACCTCGCAGCTCCACTCACGGCGTCGCACGGACGCTGTGAGAGTCGGAGGGAGGAGGACGAGAGAGAAACTTCACCTATCACTGCCTCGTGGCGGCACTCGCTGGCGTTTCACGGATGCTGCGAGCGGCTCGAGAAGGCAGGACGGCAGGGAGTCGGTCTTGGCGGCCAAGATGTTGAAGAAGAAAGAAACCTGAATGGTCCCGGGCTCCTCTTTTTATTCCCATAACTTCAAAAGCCCGGGGTGACGTTACCTGTGGTTACCGCTCCCTGGTTCTGTGTCCCACGTGGAGTGCTGCGTGCTGCTGCTCCGACCACCCATTGCCCTTCCGTGCTCATTAATTCTGACCTCATTGTCTGCTCTTCTTGCCTAACATTCCACCCTCAGCCCCTCCCGATGTCGTGAATGACTCATTGCGGCCGACCCCGTGAACCATTTGCGCCCATACAATTATCAGCCAACTCAGGGGTCCCGCGAGGGTCGGCCAATCTCCTGGCACCGGGAAACCGTGGGGTTTTCATCCTAGGGACCCTTGGGATTAAAACCCGCCGTGCCAGGCAATCCCCCGCCAGGACACTCCGTGTGTGCGCTGCGTGTGTGTGTGCGCTGCGTGTGGGTACTCAGTGTGTGTGCTCAGTGTGTGTGCTCAGTGTGCTCAGTGCGCTGCGTGTGTGAGCTGCGTGTGGGTGCTCAGTGTGCTCAGTGTGTGCTCAGTGCGCTGCGTGTGGGTGCTCAGCGTGTGAGCTGCGTGTGTGTGCTCAGCGTCCTCAGTGTGCTCAGTGTGGGTACTCAGTGTATGTGCTCAGTGTGTGCTCAGTGTGGGGGCCAGGGGGGAGTCGCGGCACTTGCCGAGTTGCTTCGAGGCCGTGGCACCACAGTACACGGACAGTCCTGAGCAATGTTACCCCGCTTTCCTCCAATACGTGTGAACAGACTGGCCGATAACACCCTGATATATAGAGGACCGCAGAGCTTGAGGAGGGGGATTTGGCGCAGGCTTCACCTCGTGACTGCTGCCTTCCCGCTTGTCTGCGGTTCTCTTACTTACTTAACAGTGAGCAACACTGCGGGGCGCGTTGCAATTTGACAAGACGGGTGAATGGAGAGGCGTGGGGGGGTTGTGTGTGGGTTAGCCATGCCACGAACCCGGCGACCCGAGTTCGATTCCTGCTCACAGCCAACACCGGTGACGATTATCTGAACCAGTCCTGGGCCTCCCAGAGGTTGACTCAGCCTCAAATGAGTACCTGGTAGTCTGGTACTCATTTGCTGGTACTCATTTCAGGTACTAGGTACTTTATACTAATTCCTGCTTTTGTGTTTCGTTTGGCTACGTAATGTGCGACAAGTTGAACATCGCCACTGGCCACACCACCCCCTCGTGTGCCGTGCTGGCTGATGACGGCACTTGTCACAACAGGCTGTTTGAGGCTCTCCGCACACGGGGGGGTGGGGGGAGTCGTCCCGAGTGACACGTGCTCAGCCGCCCCCACTCGCGGGGTTGGGGGGGACCCCCACGTGGTCCGTGACGTCCCCACGACAGAAGTGGCGGCGCGGGGCATTCTGGGACAATGGCGCCGTTTTGAATCGTGGGTCCCGCGGCGCCGTCTCCTCCCCCCTCTCTCCCCGCGCGTTCCGCTTCCCCGACCCCCCTCCCCTGTGCCAAGACAACGGCGGCAGCAGCAGCAGCAGCGCCCTCATCTGCAGCACCGACCGCGACATCCACGCCCACCACCCCCGCCACCCCCCAACCGGGGGCGGCGTCTGCAGCCGAGTTCCGCGGCGGCGTAGCCAGGCGAGGTCGAGGCTTTTGACTACTGGTAGGCCTCCACCCCACGAGACTGAAAGAGGCAGAGACACGAAGCAGAGACACAGGGCAGAGAGATACACGGGGGACACGAGAGGCAGAGAGGTGACCCTGCTTGTGCCCGTTGCAGCGAGTTGTGAGTGCAGCAGGAGGTGAGGGGAGCAGCAGCAGCAGCAGGAGGATGTCTTCGCTGCGCGCCCTCCCCGGCTCTCCCCCGTCGCGGCTCCCACTCGGCCTCTCCGCTCTCCACGAACTTGAGGCCGCCACGGCGTCAGAGTGGGGCTCCAAGGGGGGCTACTCACCGCAGGACGAGACGCTGGTGCGTGCTCCTCGCGCAGTATACGCGGCCTCCCTGTCTCCGTGTGTCTCTGTGTTCCTATGTGTTCCTGTGTGTCTCTGTGTGTTCCTGTGTGTCTCTGTGTGTTCCTGTGTGTCTCTGTGTTCTTATGTGTCTCTGTGTGTTCCTGTGTGTCTGTGTGTTCCTGTGTGTCTCTGTGTGTTCCTGTGTGTCTCTGTGTGTTCCTGTGTGTCTCTGTGTTCCTATGTGTCGCTGTGTGTTCCTGTGTGTCTCTGCGTCTCTGTGTGTTCCTGTGTGTCTCTGTGTGTTCCTGTGTGTCTCTGTGTGTTCCTGTGTGTCTGTGGGTCTCTCCACAGCGGGGAGCACACGTGGGTTACATGACAGTGGCTTTAGGCAGTCAACCCATAGCAGCCTGGTCTGTCCAGTGACTTTCTGCTTTCGAGCCGTCGACCCTTCATGCAGCCTCAACATGCACCTAGCCTGGCACATGAGCCGTGGTGACGTCATTGCCACCGAGTGAAGAATGGCGGTTCTATAAATGTCCTGTATGTGAGTGGAGCGGTTGTGTAGTGGTTAGCGCACCACGCTATGAACTCGGAGACCTGAGTTTGATACTCAAGGCCTTTCATCGGTGGCGAGTGATATCAGAACTGGTCCCAAGCCTTGCTGAGGTTGACGCAACCCCTTATACAAGGACTTGTTGCGATATGTGAACTTCAGCACCAGGAGGGCAAAGGCGGCAAAGTGGTTGATGAACACCACCCCCTCTGATCCGGCGTGCCTATATGGGGGGGGGGGGATCTTTGTTTCTTTATATAGTTGTGTGTTGTGCTTGCTGCTTGTGTGCAGGCGAGTGTGCTGGGCTTGCCGGAGGTGGTGTTGGGCTGCGAGGGGTGGATGCGGGGAGGGGTTCTCAGTGAGACCGACCCCCTGTCCCTGCGCCCCTTATTCTTGAACCAAGAGCTCAGCGCTGCCGGAGTGCGGCAGGGCCGACTGCGAGCTCGGTACCGCACCACGCACACTCCGGGGGACACTGACGTCGCACGGTCGACATATTTCGGGTGGAGCGCCCAGTTCCTACCTCGCTGAATAGAATTCATTATAAAGCAGTCATACAACAAGTCTGATTATTATACTATACATTAGTCAGATAGATGAAGTAAATCACCTTTTTATCACTGCTACCATGGTTACTTTTCCTCTTATCTCGTCGACCTACCTCCTCTCACCTAGCCACTCAACCACCCCATCACCCAGTCACTATTATATCGCTACTATCATGGTTATATTGTTCTTATGAACTTAGCACCTCCATTCCTCCATGTTGACTGTGCACAACCAAACCGGCATATGGTAGGCTACAACACTTTTCTTTCCACTTCTTGCCTCGCACTGCTCGCCTGAATGAAGTTTATCCCATTCTTAATTTTCCCAAACGCTATACAATAAACGTATTAACTCTTGTCTATTTTGACTTTAGTTCTCTTTCTTGTAGGCCACTTGATGTTTCGGGCATTGGGACTAGTGCTCAGCTACTGTTTAAAAAAATCCTGCAGCTTTTGTATGTGTGTTGAACTTGTTTCACACCATATGTAGCCAACTGTGCTAATCGTAGGTAAGAGTTTATAACGGTGTATTGTATCTAATGAGGAGTTGCTGCCTCGTGTGGTTTGGTGTGTTGTGTGTGATGTACGTGCAGGCATTCGGGTGGTCTCGCCAGGCTGTTAGAGAAGTTGTTTAAGTCGGAAGATGATGGTGAGTTGCCTTATAGTAAAAGACATTGTCAATATTTAGGTAAGCGGCTGGGTGAGGGAGCTGTTAATGTGGTGGGGGCCTTGGTTGTGTTGCTGTATCTGTATCGCTATCCGGTGTTTAATAAATAAATGATAACATATAGCCCTTTGTCAATCCAGTGCTGAACAAAAGTCTCCCCATGCCAAGATGATCATGGGAGTTTGTGTAGTAGGAATTAACCACCTGTGATTAGTCTCGATTGAACTTCTCGTATAAAAGATAATGGAACACAGTTTGTGTTTGGATCTGAGTGTGAGGAGAGCTGGGCACGCCCAGTTTATTATGGAACTGTTGAATCTGCGAGTGTGGCTGAGATAACGGTGCGCCTCCCATCCTAGTGCCTGTGTGGGTGATGACGCTGTGGAACGCTGCTCTGTCTTCTGCCCGCTGGGTGCACTCACTGCACGGAGCCGTGTTCCCACACCTCACAGTGAGTGCCGTTCACTGGGGATTCGACAGTTTGGTGAAACGAAAAATAATCACATTTTCAGTTTTGCTAAATATTGTGATCTGGTTGCTCATTTCATGTTTTTATTACATTCAATATCATGACATGACGTGTTATGTTTTAATGCGGTTCAGTGAGGTCCGATGTTTGTAGGTGAATGAATGACTTTCAATGCAATAAAAAGTGTTTTGTATGTTCCCCAGTTGAGCCGAGATGACATGGTGGCCACCTTCTCCCAGGCTGTTGACTGGTAAGGCTGTGTGTGAAGCACTATCTTTTGGAGCTCTGGACTGTAGGGGACAATTACCGATTAATGTGGCTGCCCTTCCCGATTGTCTGAAAACCCGGGGCAGCTCACGTCGTCAACAGTGGAGTGATTCTGAAACAAGCTTGGTGCATCGCCAGTGCGTCTCATGATCAGTGTCTATAAGAACTGGCAGTGTGCACCATTTAATTATTAATGTATTTATTTTTGTGTTTTGCTATGATGGTTATTGCATGCATCATGCTGTGTTTGTATGCATCATGCTGTGTGTTTGTCAATGGAGATCCTTGTACACCCTTGCAAACGAGATGTAACATCTCAAGGGATTTTCCAGGCAAACTATTTTTCTATGAATTAAAATTGTCTGTGCTTCTCCGCAGGCATGGCTGCCTGCTGCGATCACTGGCTTGGCACCCACACACAGACAAGTTTGCTGTGGCTCTTGCGGACGATTCCGTCAGGGTGTACAGCGGCAAAAGGTGATGGATGTGCCGACCGTTGGCTTGGAAGCTTCACTTGATTCGATGCCTCGGTGATGTTGAAAAGTCTGCGCTCGCCTGGCAGATTGTCTCTCCAAAATGCAGCCGCCAGCATGCTCGCTCGCACTCCTCTTGGGGACGATGCCTCACCTGTGCTCTTGTCTCTGCATTGGGACCCACTCGCAGATTTGGGCAGCATCTAAATGATGTGTGTTTTAGATGTGTAATTCAATTACATTTGTAATTTTTTTTTCCCCGCTGGTCATGGCGCAGTGACGTGGTGCCGACGCTAAAACATGGCCTGCAGAAGGGTGTGGCTGCTCTGGCGTGGAAGCCACTGTCCGCATCGGGCCTCGCCGTGGCAGTGTCGGTCGTGCGTGCTCGTGTGGACCGTCGACCCGAGCTCCCTGTCCACGCGGTATGTTCTTCTTATGTCCTTTCTCTACGTGTACAACCGAACCGTGCCAGCACAAGGCCAGCATGGAATGGGTGGTATTCCACCGGCGTGTTGGAAAATTGAGGCTGAACCGAGCTGCGCTAGGGGTGGGGCTAGTGACACAAGTAGTGCATGCGACGTTATTCAGCGCAACTCGAATACGACCCCACTGCCACATAAGCAGCACACCTCGGCTTGTGCAGTGGAAAATTAATTGATCCTTCCTTACCCGTGCCGCACTAGCTTGGCATAGCTCCAGTACAGTTCAGACGTTTATGTGGAAAAGATGTGCATTTATGTGGGGTGTTTATGTGTGCGTTATTTTTATTGCGGCGGTTAGCACGCTGCGCTACAAACCCAGCGACCTGGGTTTGATTCCCGCTCACAGCCAACACCAGTGACGATTATCTGAACCGGTCCTGAGCCTCTAATGAGTACCTAGTGCGGTGTGTAAAGATCGTCACTAAGGAGACAGGCGGCCGGGCGTAGTGCTGGCCACCCACTCCCTTGTGTGCCGTGCCGGCCTTCGTAGGTGCTCGCTAACAGTACTTGCCCCAACAGTCTGTTAAAGGCAATACGGAGGCTCTCTGTGTATGTGTACATGTGCTCGTGTACGCACGGATTTGCGAGCCCGTGTGTGCGTGTTTGGCCGTTTCAGGCCATCGGCCGTGTGCGCTCAGGTGTTGAGTTGCCCTGGCTCCGGGCCGGTGACGGCGCTGGCCTGGGCACCACAGGGACACCTGCTGCTGTCAGCCTCTCCGGCTCACACCACCATCACGGTACGACCCCCAGCCCCACCTTCTGACCACATCTGCCAGCGGTGGTGTCGCACGCCTGTAATCCCTCATTGGAGCCAGCGAGAGTTGGCGAATCGTTGCATTAATCTTGTGAAACTCTCTTCCTGTGGGCGTCGAAGTCACCATACCCTGATTCGCCATGAGACAACAGTACCCTGTGTGGGGATACTGTTGCCCCCCCCCCCCCCTTCATTGTATGTGGGGGGTTTTTCCCTCGGGTTCGCTGGTTTCCACCCAAATGTAATAAACACTCATTAATTGGCAGATAACACTTTCAAATATAGAGGACCGCAATCGTTGGTAGCGCTGGCTCACCGCCTGGCTGCTCCCTTCCTGGTCATCCATGGTTCTTCTTCGCACCTCTGAGTCGTGCAGCGGTGCGTGACAAGTTTAAAATACTACTATTATCTCCTTACAAGCAACCTAGAAATCCCAGGCAGACTAATCACGAGGAAAAACATTCTGCAGGCCTTTACATGTGTGGTTTAAGGGGTTCGCACCCGTGTGTGCGTGCGTGCGTGTAGGTGTGGGACGTGGCCACGGAGAGCTGCGCGTCGGTGCCGTGCCCGGGTGGAGGAGGGGTGAGCCTGCTGGTGTGGGCTCCCAGTGGCGGGCGCGTGTTAGCTGCTACACCTTCCCCTATGTTCAGGTTTCCATCTGCACACACAAAAGGCAGAGGACCCCCGTGTAGCCTTAATAGACCGTTGGGGCAAGTGCTGTTAGCGAACACCTATGAAGGCCGATATGGCACATGAGGGGGTGAATGGCCAACCCCACCCCCGGCTGCCTTTGTCTCCCTAGTGCAGATGTTAGCACATCGCACTAGCCACTAATTTAGGACTCAGTCGACCTACGGGAGGCCCAAGACCGGTTACAATATTCGCCACTGTTATTGGCCGTGAGGCGGGAATCAAATTCGGGTCGGCCAGTTTGTAGCGCAGTGCGCTAACCACGGTGCCGCCGCTTCCCAGCCGCGTGAGTTAACAGCATCCCCTGAGTCGACTTGACCTCAAAGGCCCGGGAAGGAGCAATAAGGGAAATTGCCCCCCCCCCCCTCCCATATTTGCATGTATATGTGTGACAATGCGTGTGTATGTGCGATACTGTGTGTATGTGCGATACTGTGTGACGGTACGCACTGTGTGTATCATTACGTTAAAGATCTGCATGTATTTATACATGCACACATACATACACTGAAACCCACACTCTAGGTAGACTTTTTTCCCCTCTATAAAATATGTTGAACCTTAAAAGGTGCTTGGGTTAAAACAGACATACGTGCACACAAATACCATTGAACAGCAAGCCCTGGTCAGAGCGTTCTGTGAAGATGTGGTGGTGTGACTGTGCTTCGTAATGCTCATGATTTCCCCCCCCTCTAATGGGGGCTACTCTTCTGTCCACGCAGGGTGTTTGAGACCCGCACATGGACGTGTGAGAAGTGGCCCACAATGGCCGGGCGCTGCCAGGTGATTTGTCTATGCATCATCATCACAATAATTATTATTTTCTCAGGAGAGCCCCACCCAAATCTGAATACGTTTGTATGTTTTTGGCTCTGGGAAGAAACCAGAGAACCTAGAGAAAACCCATGCAGAGCAGAGGTAGGACGCCCAAACACCACGCAGTAAGGGGCCCGAGTCTGGAATGAACCCAGGTCTTTCTTGATATGAAGCACGAGGGCATCCTCTTAGGCACATTCACTCCCTTGGCTGCCATACATTGGAAATCTCTACCACCGGCCATCATCCCTTCTAGCCATGACGTCAATCCCAAGCCCACTTTTCTTAACAGTAAGACTAAGGTCTTGGCAGTCAATGTGGCGGTCGTGACGGTATAGTAAGTGGATGTTGCGCTGCATTCCACGTTTCGTATTTTCCTTGATGATTCTCGCTCTGATAATTGTTTTTTTTTACCCTTCTATCTGGCAACAAAACTGACACCTTTTTACAAGGAGTCATGTTTGCATAGACCGCAATACCTGCAGTCATAATACAAACAAAAGAACATAACTCTGATAATGTGCACTGTCCTTGAAGTTGATTGGTCCACACCCGAGACAGCTTTCCTTAGAGCCTAGTCTCACATGGGTTGGACCAGATGACGCCAAAAGGCGCACAACTCAAAGACAATGCACCATCAGAGTATGAGAGCTCGGGGCAAGCGTCTACACTATGGGAACCTCATTTGCCAGTAAAAATATGATAATTGTTTTTTTTACCCTTCTATCTGGCAACAAAACTGACACCTTTTTACAAGGAGTCATGTTTGCATAGACCGCAATACCTGCAGTCATAATACAAACAAAAGAACATAACTGATAATGTGCACTGTCCTTGAAGTTGATTGGTCCACACCCGAGACAGCTTTCCTTAGAGCCTAGTCTCACATGGGTTGGACCAGATGACGCCAAAAGGCGCACAACTCAAAGACAATGCACCATCAGAGTATGAGAGCTCGGGGCAAGCATCTACATTATGGGAACCTCATTTGCCAGTAAAAATATAATTGTTTTTTTTACCCTTCTATCTGGCAACAAAACTGATAACCTTTTTACAAGGAGTCATGTTTGCATAGACCGCAATACCTGCAGTCATAATACAAACAAAAGAACATAACTCTGATAATGTGCACTGTTCTTGAAGTTGATTGGTCCACACCCGAGACAGCTTTCCTTAGAGCTTAGTCTCACATGGGTTGGACCAGATGACGCCAAAAGGCGCACAACTCAAAGACAATGCACCATCAGAGTATGAGAGCTCGGGGCAAGCATCTACACTATGGGAACCTCATTTGCCAGTAAAAATATGATAATTGTTTTTTTACCCTTCTATCTGGCAACAAAACTGACACCTTTTTACAAGGAGTCATGTTTGCATAGACCGCAATACCTGCAGTCATAATACAAACAAAAGAACATAACTCTGATAATGTGCACTGTCCTTGAAGTTGATTGGTTCCCATAGTGTAGATGCTTGCCCCGAGCTCTCATACTCTGGTGCATTGTCTTTGAGTTGTGCGCCTTTTGGCGTCATCTGGTCCAACCCATGTGAGACTAGGCTCTAAGGAAAGCTGTCTCGGGTGTGGACCAATCAACTTCAAGGACAGTGCACATTATCAGAGTTATGTTCTTTTGTTTTGTATTATGACTGCAGGTATTGCGGTCTATGCAAACATGACTCCTTGTAAAAAGGTGTCAGTTTTGTTGCCAGATAGAAGGGTAAAAAAACAATGATCATATTTTTACTGGCAAATGAGGTTCCCATAGTGATCCTCGCTCTGCTTGACTCATTGCTGCCGCATCTCCTGGGTGGACCTGCTATTCAACATATTCCATACCTTGACTGCTGCTCTGTCACTTTTCTTTACCATCGGCCACTCGTAAGACTGCCTTGCTGCGATTGATAAACAGGACACACAGGTGACTGACCCTCGCCTATTCTTGCGCGTGTGCGCGCGCACAGGCGGCGTGTTGGGGCCCGGGCGGTACCCACCTTCTCTTTGCTGTGCAGGGAGAGACCCTGATTTACGGCCTCACGTTTTCCACTGCTGCAGGTACGTGCGCCTGTGGGCTGTGGGATTATCGTTCTTGTTTCGCTTGGTTGTTTTGGGTTCGCTTAACCAGGTGAAAACTAAAGAGACCAGGGTAGTCTTCTTTACAAGAGTGACCTGACTTGGAGAGTTAGTCAGCAGTGTTTATATGTCCGTGTGGAGGTTGGCGAGTGAACCAGTGGATAGCTTCAGGAGCACCCTCGTGAACATCTGAAATGCTCCTTGCAAATTATCTTTTCAAGAATTGGTGTTCTTATTTGAGCTGTAGATTCACAACAGTTATCCATATCTAGAGGAGTAGTGTGATGACGTGACATCATGAGCGCTGTGAGGCGCGCGGACGTCATGTCATGCGGGATACTTAAGGGGGACCCCGTGACGAAAGCGGACCGAGAGCGGCTGAAGGAGGTCTCTCCCGCTCGTGACCGGACGGTGTTGGCTGAACCCCCGTCCGGGTTCGACGAGTGGGAGAGCCGAAGAGATAGCCGAGGGCAGGGCTCGAAGAATCTGTGAGAGCCGCTTAAGAGTTAGAGGGGTTGCTCTCCTCGGTCGGGCGGTGTTGGCTGAACCCCCATCCCGACTCGAGTGAGAGAACCCAAGGGGATAGCCGAGGCTCGAAAAAAGAGTAGAGCCTGGGGTTCACGCGAAGGACCCAGTGTAGCAGACACCTACCTCTGGTGTAAGTGTACTTTTCCCTGTCATAAACTGGCGAAAGCCCCTACATGAAGTTCTGTCTTCGCATCCATCTTCACAACACAACACATACATAGACTTACATCGACAGCCTTGCAGAAAAACTTAGATATTCACATAGAGACCCACAGACTGAAATGATCATGAGAGACGTTGGCATTATTCCCAGGTTGCTGTGCGCTGAGCCCCGAGATTGAATTGAGAAGAGGACGCATGGCTCCCCTCGCCCCATTGTTGCTGCATGCAGTGACAAGGTCTTCGTGTTTGCAGATTGCACCGAGAGCACAGTGGGGGGGGCCCGAGCAGCATCCGTGTGTGTGGACCTCTCCTCCATCGACATGCAGACGACTGACGAGACCTCCATCACGTACGTACGCATGCAAGCACATGCACACAACGGTTGCTTTGTGCTCTGCGGGGCCGTCGGCAGCAACACGGTGGGGCAATGTAATTCTGTGCTGGGTTCACGTGGTGTGCCACCGTCTCACCTGTCCTGGTAAATTCGCCGTACAACCCTGAAGCACAGATTGCCACGAAAGCACACGTCTTTGGTTCTGGGTACTTGCCATGACTTGCAATGGTTCTTGGATTTTGTGAGCTTGTGTTCACATGGGCTGTATGCTCATGGGTGCGTGCGTGCGTGCCTATGTGCTCACTGTGAGCAGGCTTGGCGGGGAGGTGCAGTCTATGGTGTGGGACCCATGTGGAGAGAGGCTGGCAGTCCTGATCATTGGTAAAACCTCCCCTCATGTGTGTATGGTGGATACAATGCATTACACACTTGCGGACTTGTGTATCCTTGCCTCACTTTTTCAGGGTTCACATGTTTCCTCTGCACTGATACATCAGCGATTTTCAACCTGTGAGGCACGCCCCGCCTTCACCCACACTACTTCTTAGGGTGAACGAAAACCTTTCAGGCTGATATATGGATACCGTGCTGGAGCAATTAATTTCGAATGTGTATGGGGAATATCGGCCCCATGTTGCGGTGACAAAACACACTTATTAATATCGTGAAACAAATGCCTGCTTAACACAACACACCAATACACAACAATTGCCTTGCTCACACCGCGTTTAACCAGAGGTCTGGCCATGAGCGTGTAATCTGAGTAACCCGATCTGTTTCTTTGGAGCTGGGAGGAGGGAGCATAGGGGATCATTGGTCTTGACTGGGGTGCTGCACTACCAACAACGATTATAACGTCCAGTAACCATGCAAGTTCACAACAGTGGATCTCGGAAGCCAACACACTGTACACGTGTGTGTGTGCTTGCGTTATGGAGAACAATAGTGTAGTGGTTCGCGCCCTGCTCTGAACTCGGAAACCAGAGTTCGATTCTCGCTCACGGCCAGCACCGGTGGCGATTGTTTGAACCAGCCCTGGGCCTCCCCTAGGTCCACTCAACCTCAAATGAGTACCTGGTATGGTGTGTAAACATCGCCTCTTGGGAGGCTAAGGTAGCTAGGTGTGGTGTTGGCCGCAACTCCGATTAGCACGGTTGGCTACATACAGTGCGAAAGAAGTTCAACATGCCGGCCTATGATAGCTGCTGGCTAACAACACTTGCCCCAGCAGTCTGTTAAAGGCTATACGAGGGATCTTTATGTGTGTGCATGTCCACCAGGTGTCCACTCGTGTCTGGCTGTGTTTAAGACTCGGCTGCACCCCGTGTTTGAGCTGTTGCCCTGGTGAGTGACTAACGATGATTATAGTAACAATAACCAAGGCTTCATTTCTCAAGAGTATTTTCCAGATCGTACGTTAAATTTCTTTTGTACCGTATGTATTCTTCGTGTTAAACTGCACCGTTTCTAACCAACCCTTCTTATCGGAGGTGCGGATCGCTCGTTAACTTGAGCAAGCACGTGACTATTAGCCGCGGCACAGTGGGAGGGACGTATAATTGATGACGTGTGCTGGCTGCAGAAATATTGTTGAAAGAACAGTAGCCTCACGTCACCACCTTCACCGTGGCCGCTCGGTGTATATTCTGCTCGCAGTGGCTTCGTGCAGGGAGAGGAGGGCGCCACTCCCCAGCTCATGGCCTTCCATCCCAGCTTCAGGCAGGGAGCGCTGCTGTCCGTGGTGAGGAACACCGGCCGTGCCTCGCCCGTGATGCTCGCGCACATTGTTGTGTGACGTTGCTTGATTCATGTACAATGCCCTATTTGCCAACCCGTCCAATTTCAGCAGCCGGCTGCTGATTTTATATTATTTTTACTGTTACATAAAATGGTATTATACAAATTGCAATGCTGTGTTGGCAGTAGTGCATGAGCACAGATAAAGCTCAACACATTAATGCATGACACTGCCCTAAAAGGATAAGGCATATATATAATGTAGGTGATGTTTAGGGCAATGGCCCATCTCTTCAGCATATGGGCAGTGTCATTGACGAATGTGTTGAGTCAATAAAGAGCCTACCGTTTCAGTATTTGTTGTTAAGCATGCAGTGCTGAACTCAATACTGATGTGAATGCTCGTGTGTATTTGTAGCTGCCGGTGTGCGCACGCGTCACAACCTGCTGTGCCTGCATTGTGTGTGTCCCTCCACTGTGTGAGCAGGGCTGGTCAAACGGTCACGTGTCGTACATTCCCTTCTACTTCGCGAGGTGTGAGAATCCGTTGCACTGTGGTGGTGCCGCCATTGAGCCCTCGCGATCCCTGGGTCTCTTCTCCGAGTTGTAGAAACCGGGCCCCGTCTCTTACACACACCACCACCACCACACCACCACACTACAGCACGCGGGTCGCACCGGTGAGGGGATGGCAGCGATGTTCATGCACAGGTGTCTCGTGATGGAATTGTTTTTTGAATCAATAAAATTATCCTCAAAAACTTTGTGGTTTGCGATGTTAATATGAATTTCTAGTAAGGTGAGTAATGAGGCGGTGCTCATCTCTTGTTCACAGTCCCGAGCTAGTCGTGGTAATTCCACATTCCTATGGCGTGGGGCGTGTTTATCCAAGTACAGTCATACCTCGGTATACGACCGCTTTGGAATACGTCGAATTTGGTATAAGTCGTGTTTTGACGAGTAAAAAATGCCTTGGGATACGAGGCGCTTGCCTGAACTTGTATGGGTTGGGATGAGTCACCGCGTCTATCCCGTTCACAACTCCTCCCCTTCCTCACCACCATCCTCGTAGGCTATCAACTCCTCTCAGCAAGGTAAAGTGACGTTACATTTTATTATTTCAATTTATTTTAATTTACTTGAGCTTTTAATTTATGTATGCATTTTAGTAATAAGTAGTGTCTAAATTATTTTATACAACCCCAGTAATGTATAATATGCCATATAAAATATAATTTCTTATACTCTGGAACGGATTATTTCCATTCCCTTTATTATGGGAACAATTTGTTTGGTATACGTCATTTTCGGTATGAATCCTACCTTCTGGAACGAATTAACGACGTATACCGAGGTACCACAAACCGCTGTTGACTTGCTGCAATCACCGCGGTGGGATGGTGGGCTGGGACGACCCCTAACCAGGATTATAAGTGTGATGTCACTCAGACTCGAGGTTCTTGTAAGGGATTGAGAATAGAGACGATGGGAGGGAATTTCAACGTGGAAGTAGCACGAGGTATGATGTCATTCGGTGTCTACATGAAGTTGTGATGTCACTCGTTCTCCAAGGTGTGACGTTTTTGTAGTCATTTGTGTCGACATGATGGTCTGACGTCACGCGGTCATGCTGATGACGTCACGCAGTGTCCACTTCTGACCCGGAAGCGGGATAGAGGTTTGAGGAGAGCGCGGAGAGCGATAAGGAGGTGGGGGGGGGGCGTCAGTGCAGTCGGGGAGTGAGGCGAGTGGGGGGGGGGGGGGGGGGGCGGAGTGGGGGAGGGGGGGGGGCGTCAGTGCAGTCGGGGAGTGAGGCGAGTGGGGGGGGGGCGAGTGGGGGGGGGGCGTCAGTGCAGTCGGGGGAGTGAGGGCGAGTGGGGGGGGGCGTCAGTGCAGTCGGGGAGTGAGGCGAGTGGGGGGGGGGCGAGTGGGGGGGCGTCAGTGCAGTCGGGGAGTGAGGCGAGTGGGGGGGGGGCGAGTGGGGGGGGCGTCAGTGCAGTCGGGGAGTGAGGCGAGTGGGGGGGGCGAGTGGGGCGGGGTGAGGCGAGTGGGGGGGGGTGAGGCGAGTGGGGGGGGGCGAGTGGGGCGGGGTGAGGCGAGTGGGGGGGGGGCGAGTGGGGGGGGTGAGGCGAGTGGGGGGGGGTGAGGCGAGTGGGGGGGGTGAGGCGAGTGGGGGTGAGTGGGGGGGAAGCCGGGGGTTGAGGAAGGCGCGGTGAGAGGGGAGTCCGCATGGCGCGGCGCTCTGGGCTGAGTGACGGGGCGAGTGACGGGGCGAGCGAGGGGGTGAGCGAGGGGGTGCGGGAGCTGAGCGAGGGGAGCGAGGAGTCGAAGTTCCAGGACGCGGCGGGGATTCTTCTCGCGTATGCGGACAACGTGCTGCGGTGAGATACTCTGCGGGTGCACCTAGCCTGGCACAAGATTGTCGCGATTGCGTCACCGTCACTCGGTGGCGAAATATGACAGGCCTGTGACTCCGTTTGTACTGCTTTCGGCGGCCGGTTGGTGGTGGGGGGGGGGGGGGGGGGGGTCGTGTGGGGGGTAGTGGGGGGGTGAGTGGGGTGGGGGGGGTAGTTGTGGGGGGGGGGTCGTGTGGGGGGGGGGTTAGCTGTGGGGGGGGGGGGTAGTTTTGGGGGTAGTTGTGCGGGGGTCGTGTTGGGGGGGGGGTGTAGTGTGGGGGGGGGTGTTAGTGAATGGGGGGGGGGGTAGTGGTGGTGGGGGGGGGTCGGTGGGGGGTATCGTTGTGGGGGGGTAGTGTGGGGGGGGGGGTCGTTTGGGGGAGGGGTCGTTGTGGGGGGTCGCTGTGGGGGGGGGGTCGTGTGGGGGGGGGGGGTCGTGTGGGGGGGGGGGTAGTGTGGGGGGGGGGGGTTCGTGTTGTGGGGGGTCGTGTGGGGGGTAGTGTAGGGGGGGGTAGTGCTGTGTGGGGTGGGGGGGGTAGTTGTGGGGGGTCTAGTGTGGGGGGGGGGGGGTCGTTGTGGGGGGGGGGTCGTGTGGGGGGGGGGGGTAGTTGTGGGGGGGGGGGGGTAGTCGTGGGGGTCGTGTGGGGGGTAGTGTGGGGGGGGGGGTCGGTGTGGGGGGGGGGTAGTGTGGGGGGGGTAGTGGGGGGGGGGGTAGTGTGGGGGGGGTCGTGTGGGGGGGGGGTCGTGTGGGGGGGGGTCGTGTGGGGGGGGGTCGTGGGGGGGGGGGTAGTGTGGGGGGGGGTCGTGTGGGGGGGGGGTGGTGGGGGGGGGGGTCGTGGGGGGGGGGTCGTGTGGGGGGGGGTCGTGGGGGGGGGGTCGTGTGGGGGGGGGAGGGTGTGGGGGGGGGTCGTGTGGGGGGGGGTAGTGTGGGGGGGGGGGTCGTGTGGGGGGGGGGTCGTGTGGGGGGGGGGTCGTGTGGGGGGTCGTGGGGGGGGGTCGGGTGGGGGGGGGTCGTGTGGGGGGGGGTCGTGGGGGGGGGTCGTGTGGGGGGTGTGTGGGGGGGGGTCGTGTGGGGGGGGGTCGTGTGGGGGGGGGGGTCGTGTGGGGGGGGGGTGTGGGGGGGGGGTCGTGTGGGGGGGGGTCGTGTGGGGGGGGGTCGTGGGGGGGGGGTTGTGTGGGGGGGGGGTCGTGTGGGGGGGGGGTCGTGTGGGGGGGGGGGGGTCGTGTGGGGGGGGGGGGTCGTGTGGGGGGGGGGGTCGTGTGGGGGGGGGTCGTGTGGGTGCTCCCACCTCCTACGACAGACAGGCCTATTGAGCGTGGAAGAGTAGACCAAATACCCTCCTTCTCGAGGTCGATGTTGTGGAGGCCGCTTCCGTCAGCAGTGACGCGAGCAAAGCAGTTTCAGGGCTGCGACTTCTTTTACCTTTACACCAAAACCCAGAGGCATCTGCGATCACACGACAGCCGTGGTGGTGCTGAGGATCACAGCGACCACGGGGGGGGGGGGGGGGCGGCCCTTAGTCCACGTGCAGGCCCCGTTTGTGTGAGGCCCAGCCCCAACAGACATCTTCATCGACACGATGGTGACAGTCGCGGTTTTGACGGTGAGGTGGTTGTGGTTGTCGTGGTGTGGTGGTGGCAGGAACCCCGAGGAGAGAAGGTTTCGCTCAATCCGCCTGGCGAACCCGGCCTTCAGCTCCCGCCTGCTGCCCGTGCCGGGGGCCGTGCAGTGCCTCTTTGAGATGGGCTTCGCCGAGGTGCCACCACCAGCAACACCACCAGCGTGCACCACGCACCAAGCCACCTCGTCACACCTCGGCACTGCATCACACTGTAACAACACAACTGCGGAGTCCGCAGTGATGTCCTACTCAAGTGAGCATTGGGGCTGTGCTCATCACCACATTACAGTCCTGCGCCAGTGGTGGAAATTCCACATTCCTAAGGTGGGGACGAGTCTATCCGTAGGACAACGGCTGTTGACTTGCGCACAAAGTGGTTCCCATTCATTGACCCCGGGGGGACGGTGGGCCGAGTCGACCCCAACCAGAATTTGAACTCGCGACCTTCAGATTGCGAGCCACTCGTTCTACCGCTGAGCCACGAGGCCGCAGCGTTCTGTGCTGATGCTGAGGTTGGTGTGCCAGTGCAGGGTTACGGGAGGGACGTTGTGAATGTCTGAGATGCGTGTTCACTTCGCGCAGGACGAAACGCAGCTGGTGCTACCCGCAGACGCCTCGCTGGACACCCTGAGGAAAGTGCGCGACCAGATTGAGTTCGAGCGGAACAGGCGGCTGGGACGGCTGCCCCTTCAGCCGTCCGCCCAACCGCCCAGTCAGCCACTCGCCCAGTCGCATGCCGCCGCTGTCACGGACACCACGGCAGCAGGGGGCCCCCAGCGACACGTCAGCCCTGAAATGCGAGTACGTGACGGTGTCGACGCTTACCCTGGGCATCACGGCGTCGGTTCTCCATAATTGTCCAACAGTTGAGGAGCCGTATTGTGTGCTTCATTATTCTGTTGCTTATATTTTACGGTGACGCTGATGATTGTTTTGTGTTGTGTATTGTCGTATTGCATTGAACTCGGACATTTGGAAGTTCCAGCAGCATTGGATTTTAAGCAAAGTTAACTGTTAATGAAACTGAATGTCGAAACTGTTTGCTGGTGTTGCTTTAAAAATCGGTACGCGGTGATAGAATTAAAGAACTGGCAGCCTCCACTTGAATCAGCATGACTGGAAAGTGTGCAGTGCGGCTCTTTATCATGTCTCAAATGCCCCAATCTCTGAGACGTCCCAATTTTTTGTAATTCATTCGCAGTTGATTTTCTGTGGTGAGATTGCGTATCTCTTCTATGTTTTGTTGTGGCCGTCCGTGTTGGTGTCGACGGTGGTGCCGCCTGACCCAGGATTCGGAAAGGCAGATGCTGGAGACGTTGCGCTCGTCCTTCTCCCACGTGCTGCTCTATGAGCTCGCGGACGTGCAGGCCCAGGCCAGGGCCTGCATCCCGGTGGAGGAGCTCCACAAGAGAGCACTGGAGAAACTGCAGGCGGTGGAGGATACACCCCAGACAGGTATGGCCACCGTGCCATCGCCCCCACAGCCCCCACATACATAGATGCCGCCGATTAAGATACGTCTCCATAAAATGCTCTCCATCCTTATTTTACAATCTCAATTGACACCCTAACATAACTTGCATTCGGGGCATCTAGAGCGGCATCACCTGCCCAGTCATTATCAGAGGCAGGTAAATGTAGAAAGTAAAGGCGCAGCCCTGAAATTGCTTGCTCATGCCAATGATGGCTCAAGGGCTTCTGTTAAAGCAAACTCTAGAGGGCAATTGGTCTACTCTTCCATGTTGACCAGACATATTGGAAGAGGTGTGAGTACCTCAGAGGTCAATGTAAACGGCATTCACATCCCTGGTGTCCCCTGTGCGCAGAGTCGCAGGAGGGCGCCCTGCGCGACCTGCTGCTGCTGGAGCTGCAGGCCTGGTTCAAGACCTGGTTCTCCTGGGTCGACTCCCTGCCGTGCGAGCGCTGCCATGGCCCCACAACGGCCCGGGGTCAAGGTCTGCCCCCTACAGCCGATGACCTGCAGGGGGCAGCAGGTCGCGTGGAGGCCCACTGGTGCGGCTCCTGCCAGCACGCCACGCGCTTCCCACGGTGGGTGTGCTTGTGTCTCGTCTTTTATTAAAAGGCCACAAACTGAATCTATTTAGTCTATTATTCTGTTACAACCACCGAGCACATGGCTGTGTTACAGGTTAACCGAGTAGATTATGCCAAGCAACTCCACTGATCTCAGAGTCTATATTCTAATTTAGAGAGGAGTGGTTCCAGCTCTGACATTCTAGTTACTCTCCTACCACCCTCTAAAGTCGAACCTGTACGGCTTTCCTCTGAAGCACGTGAGTCCTTTCTCTCCTCCTCCGGCTCCATTCCTTTCCCCTGCGGCTCCATTACCTTACTCTCACTCCACCTGCTGCTCGCTCCACCTCATGAAGTCCACCTCTTCACTTCATCACTTCATCAACAGCCAGCTGTCCCCTCCCCCCTCTGGTGTGCCTCATGTAATGAACAGGAACACCTACGGCTCCTTCTTCATTGTGCAATTACACTCACACCTGTTAAACCTCAACCACCACATTGTAACTCATATTACCCTTCATATCGTTTAATTCCCGGATATTTATAATCCTTTAGGTGCTGCCCCTAATAGCTCGATATTATTAGCTCAGCTTGTTGACCTCGCCACACCCCCCAATACTCACTGTACCCTTACTCAACTAATCTAATTACCCACCAGCCCTTCTGTGATATATCAATAACTATAATGTTATTTATTTTAAAGTGTATTTGTGTCCATGGCACATGCCTACTCTGTAGGCCACAGATGGCAGTGTTGCCAACTCAGTGATTTTTGTTGCAATTTTGTTTGCATATTTTTGGGTTTCCCTCGTGACAGAATGTTGTTCAACGTCTTCCTGGGACGAGGACGTGAAGCAGATTTAGGAGCAGTCCCAGGGTTGTGTAAATTATCTTTCTTGCTTTGTGTAATACTCAATACACGTTCCCGTGACTTATAAAGAAGTTCTATATAGTGACATTTGGTGCCGTGTTTAGGTTTGTTTGGCAACCTTCTGCTTTGGGGAGTTAGCAGCAATGGCCACAGGGGGGGTCTCCCTTCCCCTGCCTTACTGGGCTTCCAGAGCCCCTGTCATTTCCCCACGGTATGAAAGAACTTCTACATACACATACGTATGTGTGCCGTGGTGCCCGGCGGTGTCTGCGTGGTGCGTGCAGGTATAATCACCCCGCGCGGTTGCTGGTGACGCGACGCGGCCGCTGCGGCGAGTGGGCCAACTGCTTTACGCTCTGCTGCCGGGCCCTGGGCTTTGAGGCGCGATATGTCCTGGACCTCACCGGTACCGCTCCCCGACCCCCGGGGGTTGGGCAGGCCTGACTCACTGGTGACAATTCTGGTTGCCGTGATATCACCACACTACGATATCACCTGCGCATCTGCTCTGGAGCACCCATATTCTACCTCACTGGTAGAAGCTGTTGATAGAATTACACGTAAAGCAGCGGTCAGGGTGATTGCTCACCCATTCACTCCAGCCACTCACTCACCAGTGGACAGTCACCTCGTTGTCACTGTTCTACCACTACTACCATGGTTACTGTTACTGTGAACTTCACTCGATGTTCAGGACTCCGTCTCATCCACACTCTATTTATCACCACACCGCAGGCGACAATTCACTCTCACTCACCCAGCCACTCACCACACCGCTGGTGACAATTCACTCTCACTCATCCAGCCACTCACCACACTGCAGGTGACAATTCACTCTCACTCACCCAGCCACTCACCACACCGCTGGTGACGATTCACTCTCACTCACCCAGCCACTCACCACACCGCTGGTGACAATTCACTCTCACTCATCCAGCCACTCACCACACTGCAGGTGACAATTCACTCTCACTCACCCAGCCACTCACCACACCGCAGGTGACCATTCACTCTCACTCACCCAGCCACTCACCACACTGCAGGTGACCATTCACTCTCACTCACCCAGCCACTCAACACACCGCTGGTGACAATTCACTCTCACTCACCCAGCCACTCACCACACCGCTGGTGACGATTCACTCTCACTCACCCAGCCACTCACCACACCGCATGTGACAATTCACTCTCACTCACCCAGCCACTCACCACACCGCAGGTGACCATTCACTCTCACTCACCCAGCCACTCACCACACCGCATGTGACAATTCACTCTCACTCACCCAGCCACTCACCACACCGCTGGTGACAATTCACTCTCACTCACCCAGCCACTCACCACACTGCAGGCCACAACGCTTATTTATGCTTCTTTCCTTGCACCGCTCCGCTTTAGAATCCCTCCTATCATCTCTTTTCTCAAGATGTTATCATTAATAATCTTGCAAAATTCAAAATATGTGTTAAACTTTCATCTGCTACAACTCTGAAATTGCTGTTTATTGCTGGCCGCTCGACATTTTGAGCCTTCGGCCCCGTGCTCAACAACTGTGATTACCAAAAAAAAGCTGAATGAAGTGTAAACCTGAAACGGTGCTGCCAGACCACGTGTGGACGGAGGTTTACTCGGAGAGTCAGGCACGCTGGCTGCACTGCGACCCCGGTGAGGGCTTCGACAAGCCGCTGCTCTACGAGCTCGGCTGGGGCAAGAAGCTGAACTACGTCTTCGCCTTCTCCAAGGACGAGGTGTGTGGCTGCCCTTTGTCCTCCTCCAGCGTCATCATCATCATGAGTATTCGTTAATTTCCTATTATTGTGCTCGTTCACCCAGCAAAGCCTCACCAAGTCTCGAGACTCTTGTCAAAGAGTGCTGCAAAGTTTTTCGCAGTAGTTGTTGCAGTAATTGTTGCTGTGTGTGATCCCAGTTGAGTAATTTGCAGGTACATCTTTTGAGTATTGGGATGTTTTGGCCAATACCAGTTACATTGTGTATGGTTTTATAGCTCTGGGAGGAAACCAAATAACCCAGAGGAGACCCATGCAGAGCAGGGGGAGAGAGAACATCAGCACTGCACGCAGAGGGGCGGCTTCCTGAGTCGGTTTGCGATCCCAGACCCTTCTTGCTGGGAGCCGTGGGTGATACCAAACGTGCCCTCGCTGGCCTGTGGACCGTGGACCGTGGCGTTGCCGTGGTGATTTCCCAAACCGCTTGGGGAAGAGCCACCGCCCTCGTCCTATACGCGCACTCAAGGGGTTCCAGTCTGTCCCTATACTTGGTTGAGGTTGCGGCCGGTACTTCATCCGGTAGTTTTCTGGTGTGGATGTACTCGGTGTGGATAGTGCTGTTTGTTGCTGACCGCTTGACGTTATGGATTTTTGGGCCGGTGCTTGGCAAACTAAAATATGCAAATCGCTCGGAGGTTGCGCTGCCTATGCCACACACGACGGTGTCCTACGCCTCTCTCCCCTGAGCGTCAGCCGCCGCCAGCGGTGACGAGAGGTGAGCGAGCAACGGTGCCTGACGTGACTGCGCGTGTCCGCGGTTGCGTTCCAGCTGGTGGACGTGAGTTGGCGCTACTCTTGCCGGCACACCGACATGCTATCCCGCCGCACGAGGTGCCGGGAGGGCTGGCTTCGCTCCACGATCGCCCGGCTCAACCACACGGTAGCTTCATCCCGACATCCGTGCAGTCGGCTCCCTCTCATCACCGTGGTTACTGCTCCTATCAATGTCGCTCGTTGTGCCAGACTTTTTCATCTCACAAGCACTGCATTCACTCACCACATTGCAGGCCACCTCTCTTCTCTTTCTGCTTCTTCATTCGAACTGCTCCACTTGGAATTCCTTTCCACCATCATTTATTTTTCCAAGCTCAGTTAACACTTTACCTGGTTGATTACGTTCTTCCAAAGATTTCTAAATTTGAGAGAGAGACAAACACAGACACAGAGACACATAGAGAGACACACAAGCAGAGAGAGTCACACACAGAGACACACAGAGAAACAACGACTCTGTGTCGAGGCATGAGGCATTATATCGAGAGAGAGAGGGGGGGGGGGGGGTAGAGAAATTAGCATGTCAATGAGAGCGGCCGGAGGAGAGAAATTGGACCTATTGACAAACCTGGTCAAATTTAGCGGCTGGAGGAGATAAATTGGAACTTGACAAACCTGGTAAAATTTAGAGAGAGAAATAAGAAGTTTCAGAAAACAAACCTAGTAAACTTAGAAATGTAATGCAATGCAACACAGAGAGTCGGTTAACGCAACAGTTAACACTTTACCTGGTTGATTACGTTCTTCCAAAGATTGCTAAATTAGATGTTAAGTGTGAGTTGTGTGGAAATCCTCCCCTTAGAGGTGGTTCAAACTTGATTAGAAGCTTTCGTGACTGCAGGAATTACTCTTTGGTTCTTTCGGTAAAGTGACGTATATATATATAAAACATATAAGAGTAACGATTGGTTTAACTCGTGGGCCGGAAGTCGGAATCAAAGCGGCGTTTGCTGCCCACCACCATGGCGTTTGAAGTCTGCACACCGCGGGTCGCAGCCTCGCGGGGTTAACGTGGGTGCTTGCGCGCGTGGGTAGAGGCAGCAAGCGATCGATGTCGCACGGCGGACGCAGCTGCTGCAGCGCTGCGTCGTGGAGCTCGTCGAGTTCCTCTCTCCCCGGGAGCCTCAGGAGGGCGCGGTCAAGTACGGGGGCCGGCAGACGGGCTCCGTGGCGTGGCGCACCGCCCGCGGGGAACTGGGGCTGTCGTGCCAGGTAGTCTCCTCGCACACGGCGCTAGAGGGCGTGCGTGCGTGCGTGCGTCTGTGCTTGGTGTATGTGTGTGTTTTCAGAATTGGTCAGTCCTGCACAGATGCCATTCTCTGTCTGTCTGTTCCAGTAGAAGTGTAGGGAATTTAAATAGGACCTACATCTCTCCTTTATTGACCTGGTCAAGTTCTATGATACCATCGATATGCCAGAGCTATGGGTTGTTCTTCGTGCTTTCGGGGTCTCTGGCCCTCTGCTCGCAATCATTAAGGACCTGGGTAAAGCTGCATGGCCGGGAGTCAGAGCCATTCCCTGTAATATAAGATATTATACAAGTTTAAGTGTTTAAGTTAATACAGAGTAAGCAGCAGGTTTGTGTGTGTGTGCACGGGTCTGTGTGTGGGTCTGTATTTGTGTGTGCCTCACGGTGTCTGTGCGTTGCATGGGTCGGTGGGTGTGTGTGCATGCGGCTTCCACAGCCGAGGGCCCACGGAGCGGTGTTCTCTCCCACGGAGAGCGAGCGCGCGTCCAGGCGCTTGCACATACGCTACAGCACAGCACGCGACGCGTACGTGCGTGCCTGCGATGCGGGGAGCGAGCTGGCGGGCTGGGAGAGCGCTGTGCACGCAGCGAGCAGCCTCCAGCGCAAAGTCGAGACCGACTGGAACATGGTAAACGGCAAAGGTTGACGTGGTGCACACACTTGCGCTCGTTTACCCAGGAGAGCCTTGATGAGTTTCAAAACTCTTTTGAAACTCATCAAGGCTCAACAGCGGGCGAAGGTTCCTGCGTGTTCTTACATTGAGTTATTTGTGAGGATTTTTTTCAAATATTAACAATGTGGACTCGCATAACCAACTCTCTTGGGAATGACGTCACAGGATCATTAATGTCCATTGTGAAGCAGACGGCGCAAAGTTGTTTGGTAAATACACACCACAGTATTGACCGGGGGGAGCCTACTGGGATCGAACCACGAACCTCTGCAATAAGTGGGAAATGTGCCAACTGGAAAAACCCCGCGTCTCTGCCCCTGACCGTGGGGGATCACTAACACGCAGGTGTGATGTCAGGTGTACCTGGCGCGGACGGAGGGCAGCAATGGGGCACGGGTGTCGTGGCGCTTTGACCTGGCAGGCAGCGGCATGGAGGCCGGCGAGGTCTCTGTTGCTGTGAGCAGCACAACTTTCCACGGCGCCATCGTTACGTGGGAGATTGGCACGGAAGGCGCCGCCTGGATCACCCTGCAGGGTGGTGCGTCACCCTCACCGCCACCCTCACCGCCACCCTCGACACCAACAACGGGCTCGGAGTGCTCCTCAATGATGCAAAACTCTACAATGCAAAACAAAAAGCAATGGGCCTGTTTGCGTTGAGAGTGGCGTGTGTTCTGTTTAACGAAGGGTGCCTGCCGGTCGTCTCTGTTGTCGCATGTCCCGTGCGTGCTCCCTGGCAGACGGAGTGGCGCACGGAGTGGAGGCGCTGCGCAGCGCCACCGCCTTCACTCTGCGCGCCGAGCTGGCGGGCGGTGCTGGCGACGAGGCGTGGCAGCACTCGCAGCTCTTCCGCCAGCCCCTGGCCGCGCACGACGAGTTCCCGCTCGATGTCATCATTCACCTCATTCCCAGAGACGGCGACGAGAAGACAAGATGCGACGCGCACGCACCGGACGTACGCGGAGACTCACACGGGCAGGTGACGGATGCAGACGAACGTGATGAACACGACAAGAAGGACACAGATGGTGAACACAAAGATTAATGCTTTAATACAGACGTACGGGATAAACACAAATGTGAACGTGTACTTGACAGACACACTGGGCGAACACAAAGGTGCATAGGTTACGTGACGTGTACAACGACACAGACGCACACAACGATACAGACACGCACACGCACAGACATGATGACGACCCCAAACCCCTCTGGTGACCCTGGTGTAGACACCGACCTCGCTCTGCCCACCGCATCCTCACCCGTCACTCAACAATGCAATCTGTCCCACTGAGCGACGGCCTTCAACGCTTCTGATCCACATGCCTAGACGAGGCTGACAGCGTCGTACGTGCAACGTGGTGGTCGCCCGACGTGCATCCGAGGCATGATGGGAGTCGTGCCTTCCCGTTGTTTGCGAGCGGCCCTTCGCGTATTGTTTGGTAAACGCTAGGAGCTGCGGCGTCCCTCGTGGATGCACCACGGAGGCTCGCTGGAGCAGACTGGGCTTGGTGCCGTTTTTGCATCGCTATGATTTATGAGCTCGTTGCAATGATACAGTGGAATGGGCGGTTTTTAGGATGCATGTAGAGACTTGAATACTCTTCACTATACATTTATATTGAAATAAATTGCAATGTTACTGAAGTGAATTATGCTGGGTGATTTACTGCAGACTTAACCTATACCCATTAGGATACATGAGTTGTTCATTAGTTTTCTGTCTTTATTTTACCAGATGGGAACCCATTTAGACAACGAGATTGTTTGGTGGCTCATGGCTATGCTGCACGCGTTGTGCACAGACATTTATTTTCAATTGGATTAATGCTACGGTTGCCAGATTTTCAACTTTAGACCAAACCCCGACATTTCTCGGTAAGCCTAGGTCTATCAGAACTGTGCAGTGTTCTTGTGATAAAGGTCAATGCAGTACTGGTGCCAGATCTCAGTACAAATACATTCCTGCCATCTGAATACAGATGACAATTCCTGGACGGCCTGGGGAAGCCCTAATGCCACCTCTGGATAAAACCTGGATGGGTGGCAACCCCAACCAACTGTTGACACAGCATTGTCTAAACTGAGAACAGGAGCAGGGACTGACACTAAACCTTTGGAGATTTGGAAAGAATCAAACATTTTATTCGTACCTCCGATTAGCGCAGTTGGCTACGTACGGTGCAAAAGAAGTTCAAAATCTATTTGGTGGCTTTCCACCATTAAGACCGTTTGGCTATGGTATGTAAGTGCGAATACCAGGCGAGATTTCTAATTCACTTGTGACGTTTCCCGCAGTAAGTAGTGTGTGGGAGAAAGTCAGCCTGACCTGGAAGCCTGCCCTACCACCATGTGGAGTCTGTGCTGAGTTGCCCCAATCCCCATTGCCCAGACAACAGAGCCGGACGCGAGCTTCAAGCACTTCTCTGGCTCAAGAATCATGGTCATCACGTGGGTGTGTGGCCTCTGAGGTGCAAAGCACAGAGTCCAGAATTAGCCTGGGTTATTCTGGTCACATACGGCTAACCAGTTTAGTGATCGCAGAATAACAAACACCACTTCGGGCAGTGAGACGGCCACTTGTTGTAGATGTTGATGGTTCACATCCAGCAGTCTGCCCTGGTTAATACTGCGATTGAATTTACCATAAACTTCGTGCAGTCTGCTTCACAGTGAATATTAAAGATACAGTGATATTCGAACAAGCGTAGGCCATCATTTGCCAGTGCCATGGTCCAAGTTTGCCAAATTTTAAGAAATTACTCAACATAGCACTTGCCTTCTGAAACAGTCTTGAGACTCGGTGAGGCTTTCCTGGGTGAGCAAGCGGTACGAACGGTGTCCGTTCTAACAGATAATGACAGCTGTCATGGGGTAACCGGTGATATTGATGCGGCGCTCAATCACGTGAATACGCGTCAAATGAACGACGAGCGGCAGTGCGCAGGGCCGGTCGCCACGTGGATTTCTTTGAAAGGAGATTGACCTTCTAGAATGGTCGCCTCTCACCTCTGACATTCACCTGCAATTCTCTGCACAGCTGGGCTGACATTCCGCTGGTGTCCTCTGTGATGAATTTGTGGGCGGTTGTGAGTGAGAGATGCGAGTGGGATACGTTGCGAGTGAGATCGAGATGCCGCAAGTAAGATATGTAAATAGGATCTCACGAGTGAGAGATGGGAGTGAGAAATGGGAATGAGAGATATACAGTTTCGAGAAAAAGTTTGTTAACCCCTTAGAATTTTCTAATTTGACATATTTTCAAAAATGACACAAAACATGATACAACATTTATTTATCCTCAAACTAGCAGGAAAATAAAACTTTGATCATTACCTCATTAATTAAAAATTAAATAAAACAACGTGCGGTGGAACAAAAAACGTACGCTCGCGCGCCAAGATTCAATTATTTAAATCGCGTAAAGGAATTGAAGGTTGTAGATTTCTATAGAATCGGCCTATTCCCGTTTAATCGATACCACAAACGCCCACCAGATATCGATTCTCGCCAGTCCTGGATGCGAGTTGACGTCACTGCATGGTCATTTGCCCCCCGCCCCCCAAATACAAAAGTCTATTACAGGTAGGAACAACAGGTTCCACACTGCCCACCAGGGATTATTTGTCTGTCGTGCATATGGGGAGGGGAGGGTGGGGGGTGGGAGGGGTGGGGCTGGTTGGAGAGGGGAGGGTGGGGAGGGGCTGGGTGGGGAGGGAGGGGCTGGGTGGGGTGGGGAGGGTGGGGCTGGGTTGGGAGGGTGGGGCTGGGTGGGGAGGGTGGGGCTGGGTGGGGAGGGGCTGGGTGGGGCTGGGTGGGGGGGTGGGGCTGGGTGGGGAGGGGTTGGTCACCCCGTGGTGCCCTTATAAAACTTAACGTTTAACCTACACACTGCACTATACACGACACGATACACTACACTTATACAGGTAGGAACAACAGGTTCCACACTGCCCACCAGGGATTATTTGTCTGTCTGTCGTGCACGAATGCGCTGTCCAACCAAGTTCCTACCTGCCCACTCCGAAGGAACGTGTTATACTATTTGCATTGTGTACAGTCTGGAAGCTACCCACATGCCAAATTTCAAGTTTGTTGCATGTCGGGAAGGACGCTAAAAATTTCGAACAGACACACATATTCACAATTTCCCTTTTATATATATAGATGATTCTACATTCAATAACCATGTGTTAAAAAGTATGTGAACCTTTAGATTCAGTAACTGGTGACACAACCTTGAGCAGCAATGACTGCAACTAAGTGTTTCCTGTAACCATTCGTCTCTCACATCGGATCTGATGAATTTTGGCCCATTCCTCCTTACAAAAATCCTTCAATTCGGTAACATTTGAGGGTTGCCTTGCATGGACAGCTCGCTTCAGGGCCTGCCACAACATTTCAATGGGGTTTAGATCCGGACTTTGACTTGGCCATTGTAAAATGCGGAATGTCTTCTTCTGCAGCCATTCTTTTGTAGATTGCTTGTATTTTCAGGATCATTGTCTTGCTGCAAGATCCAGTTTCGGTTCAGCTTCAGCTCACGGACGGATGGCCTGACATCCTCTAGAATCTTCTCATACAATGCATAATTCATCCATAATAGTTTTTTTGGGTTAGATCGCGTAAATATATAAATGTGTCATTAAAACCCGCCACCACCCGACACAGCCAACTAGTAAGGGTTGTCACGTGAACAGAACGTGCCAATTCGTCACTAGTACAGCAAACCGGTGTATTGGAGAGCCAAGCCACAACATTAAAAAATTGTGTACGACGTTTCGCCAGTAATTACAACTAGCGTCATCAGGCGACAGCCAGATTTGTGGAGAAGTCTTACTGTTTCGTTCCTTATATAGAGGCGTAGATGTGTTGACCACCCTTCTGCGCTCTTGCACAATGTGGGGTGGGGGGGGGGATTACTGAGGCAACGTGCATTATGCGAGCCCTTTGAACTTGTCAAAGGGCTCGCATAAGGGTTACGTGACAACCCTTATTAGTTGGCTGTGTCGGGTGGTGGCGGGTTTTAACGACATTTATATATATACGCGATCTAACCCAAAAAACCTATTATGGATGATATTGGTCGCGAAAGCCTGCTACGTGTTAAACTGCATAAGTGTCAATGATGAAAAGCCTCACAGTTCCTGAGGCAGAAAAGCAGCCCCAAACCATCACATTACCACCACCATGCTTGATGGTTGGAATGAGGTTTTTCCGTTCAAAAGCAGTGTTTGGTTTTTGCCAATCATAACGTTTCTGATTGAGGCCAAAAAGTTCTACCTTTGAATCGTCTATGGAGAGAACATTGTTCCAAAAGTCTTGTAGATCATCTATGTGCTGTTTGGCGAACTTCAAACGGGCAACAATGTTCTTTTTGGAGAGCAGTTGTTTTCTCCTCAATATCCTTCCATAAAGACCATTCTTGTTCGGTCTTTTTCTGATAGTTGAGTCATGAACACTCACATTAGCCAAGGCGAGAGTGGCCTGCATATCCTTGGATATTTATCTTGGTTTCTTTGTGACTTCCTTGATGATTTTCCAATTTGTTCTTGGAGAGATTTTGGAAGGACGACCACTCCTGGGCAGAGTGACTGTGGTCTTGAACTTTCTCCATTTGTAGACTATTTGTCTGACAGCTGATTGGTGGAGCCCCAAATCCTTAGAAATGGTTTTGTAACCCTTTCTGGACTGATGAGCATCAATAACTCTTCCTGAGGTTCTCAAATATTTATTTTGATTGTGGCATAACTTGTTTCCACACACCTGTATGGTGAAGACCAAACTCACAAAGTTTCTGATCTTTATAGAGGGCGGGGCCTCCCAAACTCACCCCTGAAGATCTACCTTATTATTTAAACACCTGATTCTAATTAGTCCCTTAATTCATCTAATGAAACCAGGGTTTCACTTGCTTTTTAACACACCCAGAACCTTAAGTTTAATTAATACATCATTTTGTTTCAAAACACATAAAATTGGTTAATATGAACCCAATTAGATATTTAAGAAAAGACGGGTTTTGATTCAGGAATGCTATGGTAAAACTATGCAATTTCCATGATTATATGGGGTTCATAACTTTTTCTCGACACTGTAAGTAAGAGATGTGGGCTCGGGCTGACAGTCACCAAGCTCCTCCCATCACCCTCCGAGCAGCAAACCTTCACCCCAAGCAGGGTAATGTACCGGGAGGTCCCAGGGCACGCAGAGTGAATGCCGACTCGGTTTGCTTGTGGCCAAGCCTATCGCTGGTGTAAAGGGCAGATCGTAACCCTTATCTCCATTGCGTTTTATCTCCCGCTGTTTTATTAGATGGTTTATCAAAGTCAGCAGTGTTTTTGAGATAAGCTGGGTGTTCTTTAGAACTGAGGTCACCTCTTATAGAACGATCCCTCAGGGTGCACGGAGAGAAAGAGTGCCACACACACTGAGCCAGGTTCCCCGCTCGTGCGTGGATGCACGAATCCTCTGGTGGCGGCAGCAGCGGCAGCAGCAGCGGCGGCGGACGAGAGAAGAGGCCACACGTGCGTACTCGGGGCCCTCGGGCGGGGGACACGAGCTACGAGGAGAAATGCGGTGGCCCTCCCCGGCCCCTCTGCTGTGGGTCCTGGCTGGGACGCTGGGCCCTGTTCTGGTCTGGGCCCAGGCTGGCAGGGATGTGTGGGACATTTTCCACAACCAGTCGGCACTGCAGCGTGACGAGTTTTTGAGTGGGACCTTCCCCGCGGGGTTTGGATGGAGCACATCTACGGCCGCATACCAAATAGAAGGTGCGTGCATCGCGTGCGTCTCACACACGTGTATGTTTATCTCTTTTAAACATGGCAGCTAAGCACAAGCCCAAAACATCAAGTGGCCAGCAACAAACAGCACCAGCGTCAGAGTTGTCATGGATCGGAGTGTAATGTGTTTCTTAACTGCAAACCCTTGAGGCGCAAGTTTCGCCTTGTGGAGCGTGGGGCTGCTCAGCCGGTCGTTCGGCGTTCAGGACCCCGATAACCCAGGCCGCTGGCAACCGCCGCTGCGTGACGGAGAACGGAGCTGGCGCTGACCAGCTCCGTGACGGGTGAGAACTCGAGGCCGGGTTAGGAGTCTCATTTGCAAGAGTGACCTGGACCACCACAATGACAAAGGCAGTCGCTTAGAAACAAGGGCATCAAGGAAGCAAATATAAATCAGAGCAAAAACAACCCTGGTGGAGCTATCGTAGAGAAACAGCAACTCCTCATCGCACCGTCGCAGAAAACGATCTCAGCCAATGTCACGTGGCTGCCTCGCAAAACCTGAGCTGCTGTGCCCCCCCATGCCCCCCCCATGCACCCCCCGTGTGCAGGTGGTTGGAATGCGGACGGGAAGGGCGAGTCGGTGTGGGATCGCTTCGTGCACACGCGGCCCGTGTTTGGGGGGGGCACGGGCGACGTGACCTGCGACTCCTATCACCGCATCGCGCAGGTGCCCCCCGCTGGCTGCTCACTCACGCCGTCGTTAGCGATTACTACGCAGACGAGCGGGAAGGCAGCCAGAACCGGCGCCACCAACGAATGCTCAAGCTCTGTGGTCCTATCTTGGGATGTTTGACCAACCCCATCGATGACGAGTGCTCATTACTGCTGCAATTTCTCCCAGGATACTAAAAACGTGGGAGTGCTGGGCTCGCTGCTAGAGCATGTCTTGGTTTCAACTGCAAACGAGCCTCACTTTGTGACACTGGCAGTGGTTTTCACGAGGACACCAGAGGAGGAGATGGAGCAGCTCTGAGAATTAAAATATAGTTTTCACTGTCAAATTTAGGCTCATTCTCACATGGAAAACTGCTGCTCTCTGCTGTTTGTGGACCACAGGTCACTTCTAGGGATCTCAGAGGTAGCTCTGTGATATCCACTTCCGCAATGTTCTCGAATATGAAGCGAGGGCGCAATTGCTCTGCGAGAATTTCGAACGAATTCTTCATCTCGTGGCGCAACGCCGATAGCGTCATCAGGGTGGCGTTTTAGGGGAAAACGACTAAAGTTTATGTTCAAGAGCTGGTCTGTCAATGGTTGGTGTTTAGGTGGCTGGTGGCACTGGCACTGACAGCACAATGCTTTTGCCACCCACAGGACATGGTGATACTCAACGGGATCGGCCTCTCTTACTATCGCTTCTCTATCTCATGGTCACGCATCTTCCCCAAAGGCGACCCCCGCCTGTCCTCCGGGCCCAACGAGCCTGGCGTTCGCTACTACAATGACCTCATCAACAACCTCACGTCGGCCGGGATCCAACCTATGGTGACACTCTTCCACTGGGACCTCCCGCAGGTGACCACTCGGAACGCTCAGCCGCTCTCAAACCCAAGCATTCACTAAAGCACGCGCTCACTCACCTACCCATTCACTCACTCTCTCACCCACTAACCCTCACTCACTCCCCTGCTCACACCTTGACTGCCCGTAGCTGCAGTGGCCACCTTCACCTTCCTTTGCGCCGGCCCATGTGCTTGTGCAGGCTCTGCAGGATACTGGCGGCTGGGTCAATGACAGCACAATCGCGGCGTACGTGGCTTATGCGGAATTCTGCTTTGCGACGTTTGGCGACCGCGTGAAATTCTGGTTCACGTTCAACGAGCCCTACAACACAGCCTGGCTCTCCAACGGGCTGGGTGCGTCTCCACTGCCACGCCGACGGCCATCGCCATGCGTGTATGACCGGCCCTTGAGATGGAATGATCTCCATCTCAAGGGTCTCCAGAGTGTAAAGTGACACACACACAGGAAAGACACGTAATATACACACGCATTTTAAATCTATAACTTACACATGATTGTTGTGCAAGGGAGATTCAAACGAAGATTGAGATGAGTTGAGACTGGCGGCGTGCTTGAGTGTCCGTACGATCTTTTCACGTTGAGGCAGCTCCGTGTCTGAGTGAGAGTTGAGGCTGTTTGGGTTTTTACTCCAGGGACAGCGACACTGTGAGGATGATCTTGTGAGTGGAGAGCAGAGTTATGGTTGCAGTAAATCGACAGCTGTTGAGTGAAGTGAGAGGAGGCATCTAAATAGTGTACGGGCATAGACAGGGGGCCCAGTGGGGCAGTCGTCTTCGACTGTGCGGGGAGAGCCACGTCGAGTTCTCCTGCATGAGGCATTGGGACACTCTAGAGTCGCACTGTTAGATCGATCTGCAAGGAGAGGTAGTTAACGACTTGTTCAACCCAGGGCTTTGTGACAGAAGGTGCTGCCGTGCCCGCAGGTGTGACGGCGCCCGGCGTGTACGAGCCCCTCAGGAGCCCCTACGTCGTGACGCACAACGTGCTGCGGGCGCACGCGCGCGCGTGGCACGTGTACGACGGGGGCTACCGCGCGGCGCAGGGCGGCCGCGTGTCCATCGTGCTCAACACGCACTGGGCAGAGCCGCGCGACCCCTCCAACCGCACGCACGTCGACGCCGCCGAACGCTACGTGCAGTTCTCTCTGGGCTGGTTTGCGCACCCCATCTACGGGCGCGGCGGCGGCTACCCCCGCGTCATGGCTGACCTCGTCGCCGACCGCGACCGCCCCGAGCCCTCGCGCCTGCCTAGCTTCACACCGGAGGAGCAGGCCTATGTGCAAGGTGACGCGCGCGGTTGCTCGCCCCGTCCAATCGGACCACTTGACGAGTTGGCTTGGGAAGGCAAACCTCTAATCCTGATCAAATACACATCGCAAATCATACCAGCTAAGAGGGGGCAATGGCCTGGCCTTACCTCCATGGCGAAGGGGAATTGAAGCGACTGGTCAGCAGGGCCCCTCTTGCTTTAGTGGCCGAGTCCATCCCCCGGTCCAATGGGGTTTGGCGGGTAATGCCACCAGGTCACCATGCACAAGTGTGGAATCATCACAAGTGGTCTCTCCAGAATGGAACTCGGGTCATCACTGTATCCACAGTCAACCAAACCTGGATATATTTTTCAGGCAACCTAGGTCTATAAATTTACTGTATTAACACACCAATACCAGTACTAGATCTTGGTACAAATGGGTTCCTGCTACCTGAACACAGGTGCCAATTCCAAGACTGGCCGGGACAGGTGGCAACCTCGAGCATTGTGTTTCTGTGTCTTGAGAAAGCAGCCAAGTGACAGTGCAGCGAGTCTCGGCCTCACGTCGGCGCTGGCGCACGCTGTGTTACTTTGCGCGTGGCGGCAGGCACGTCGGACTTTTTCTCCATCAACTCGTACTCGACGCGGCTGGTGTGGCCGGCTCGGCGCTCGGAGCTCCGCGTGGGGTACGACGCGGACATGGAGGTGAACGTGGAGATGGATCCCGATTGGCCCACGGCTGCGGCTGGGTGGCACCGCTCCGTGCCCTGGGGCATGAGGTGGGGCGACACCTAGGCCTGAACAACATGGACAAAATGGAGCGTCGCCTAATTGGTTGTGGTTATAATCACGATCCTGGTGTTGATTGGTGATTGTGGTGGTAATGGTGATAGTCATGGTGGTGATGATAGCGGTGGTGTTGGTGGTTGAGGTGGTGGCGATGATGATGAGGCGGATGGTTATGGGTTTGTTATGCAGGCGACTGCTGAATTTTATTGATCGCGAGTATGGTGGCCCCGAGGTGTGGGTCACGGAGAACGGCTGGTCCGATCACGAGGAAGACGGTCTTGATGATGCTGAGCGAATCTTCTACCACCACACCTACGTCAACGAGGTCTTCAAAGGTAGGGCCTCTAGGAGGAAGCGATCGCTGGAGACTAATGATGGGTTCTCCGGAGACACATGTCCATGGCAGTGGGTTAAGGTCTACAACGATGTTGATGATTATTTTGTGTTGTGTTAAATAGTTTTGCGTCAAGCTACGACCCATGCTTAAGAACATCTGACAGTTTAGCATCCAACTGCTGGTGAGTCAACGAATGTCGAAACACATCCAGAGTTTGCTTGTGTTGAAACACTGCTCCTGAAATTATTCATCCCAAGAAGACTCTGTGCTTTGTGAAACATGTAAGAAATTCTACATTTTTTTAATCTCGTGGGACAGATATGTGAAGGAGGAGACGAATCTTCAGCTTATTTTGGGATGGAGTCAGGGATCGTTTCCAGACTCGAGCCAGCGTGAACCAACGAGAGCACGGACTGAACGTCACACAACAGGGTCAGCATCGTGTGAACCCTGGAACTGGGTTGACGCACACCTTGTTCGGATTCACTCGTGACGCACATGGGTCCCACGTGCCCCATGTTCCTCTTACCCCCCCCCACCGACCCGCACCGCCTCTGCTCAGCGCTGCACCTGGACCATGTGCGCGTGCGGGGCTACACAGCGTGGACCCTCATGGACAACTTCGAGTGGACCAACGGCTTCACTGAGCGCTTCGGGCTGCATTACGTTAACTTCTCAGACCCCGAGCGAGCGCGCACCCCCAAGCGCTCGGTCGGCGCCCTGCGCAAGCTGGCGCACGACAACGGCTTCCCGGGATCGGCGGTCGGCCCGCTGGTGACGCTACACGGGCGCTTCCCCGCCGGCTTCCAGTGGGGCGTTGCCACCGCTGCGTACCAGGTCTGTGGTGAACCCTGCTCCGCCGGTCGCGTGCTCAATAACGCGCCCGTGTTTGCGGTGGTGGAAATGTGCCAGTGTAAGCCATGCCGGCTGGCACTTCCCACAACAAGACGTGAGATCGACTTAGCCTAAAATTAGTACCCGGTGTGATGAGTTAACATCGCCACTCGGCAGACAAAGATGGCTGGGCGTGGAGCTGGCCAGCCACCTCCTCGTGTGCCATGCTGGGTTCATAGGTGCTCGCTAACAGCACTTGCCCAGAAGTCTGTTATACGAGGGATCTTTGTCTTTGTATGTGTGTTTGGGCATTCTCACAGGTTGAGGGTGGCTGGAATGCAGACGGCAAAGGCCCGAGTATCTGGGACAGCTTCACGACACGGCCCGGCAACGTGGCGGGGATGGCCACGGGCCGCGTGGCGTGCAACAGCTACCAACTATTTGCGCAGGATGTCAAAGCGGTGCGGGCGCTCGGAGCGGACACCTACCTCTTCTCGCTGTCGTGGCCCCGCCTGCTGCCCGACGGCACGGTGCAAGGGGGCCTCAATGAGCCCGGCGTGGCCTATTACAACCGCCTGCTGGACGCCCTCGTGCAGGCTGGTGTGCGGCCCGCCGTTACGCTCTACCACTGGGACCTGCCCCAGGCGCTGCAGGATGTGGGAGGCTGGGAGAATGACATGGTAACGCGTGCGGCGCCTACTCCCAACACGTTTGTGTATCTCGGCTCTCCGTGTCCGTCTGTCTGTCAGTCTGCAACATGGGTTCGTGATAATGCTCCTGAAGGTGATGCAAGAAAAGCAAACAATGAAATTTAATTTAAATGTGTGGCTATTCAGAATTTACCCTGAGGAAAAAAATGGCCTTATTGATCAGCGGGTTGCCCAAAACTCGACGACAAGATCATCTCTAAATGGATCAACATTCTCGGCCGAGGTGATGATGTCATGTGCCACATGCGTGACCATGTGTTGCCATCACGAGTCGTGCCCCACGGGTCGTCATCTTGTTCTGCATTTTGGAAGGTGACATTACGATCCCAAATTCAAAGCTTGTTTAATAGAGGAGTGGTGCAGTGACAGATCGCGGGTCGTGTCTGCCCAGCACCGTCGCTCACGGAGGCGCACCCCCCGCATGGTTGCAGGTGGTGGAGCACTTCCGGGCGTACGCGTCACGGTGTTTCCAACTATTTGGCGACCGCGTGCGCACATGGGTGACCATCAGCGACCCCCTGTCCGTGGCGTGGCTCGGCCATGGTAACGGCAAGCACGCCCCGGGCCTTCACGTCGATCCGGGCCGGGTGCCGTACGTCGTGGCGCGCAACCTGCTGCGCGCGCATGCCCTGGCGTGGCATGAGTACGACGCAAACTTCCGGGCCAAGCAAGGTGGCCGCATAGCGTTGGCACTGAGCGCCGACTGGGTGGAGCCGCTGGACCCTGGGCGGACGGGGGACGTGGAGGCGGTGCAGCGGTACCTCGACTTCACACTCGGGTGGTGCGTCTGCGCGCGCGCCTCGCTGTGCTTTCATCACCGCAGCTCTGTCGTGCTGTTGTTGCTGTTACTGTTTCTGAAGTTGGCCAAACTCTAGCGTGGCCATATCCCTGTCTTTGACCCGGACAGTTCGGGAATTGGCATCTGTGTTTTGGTGGCAGAAATCCATTTTTACTGAGATCTAGTGATGATTTTCAATGCTAACCAGGATGGCTTGCCAGATTTGAACCGTGAACCCGTGATTCCTCGGTGTTTGAGTGTCGCTGTGTATGTGTGGCCACGGTGATGAGGTCCAGTTGGGCTGGGATGCTGAGCGGCTGTGTTTTGTCGGACAGGTTTGGAGACCCCGTGTTCCTGGGGCACTGGCCCCCGTCCATGCTGAGTACCGTGGATCCCGCTCGGCTGCCTCCACTCAGCACAGAAGACAGCGCCCTCCTCCGGGGCACGAGCGACTTCCTCGCCATCGTGCACACGACAACGCGGCGCGTGCTGCCCCAGCGCTGGCCGGCCAGCGACGCCCCCCCCGGTGTGGCCTGGGTTTGCTTCCTCACCTCCTTGTTCACAAACTGGACGACCCTCCCGGCTTAAGCGGTCAGCTGCCGATCGTTAAACCCTTTTTCCTCCGACTGATTTTCAGAACTAATCACAAAACATGAAAGTGTGGTCCTGCGATCACTCGCTCACGCCACCACTGTGTGGGTCCTTCGCTCGAGGGAGCTCTAGAGGGTATTTGGCCTACTCTTCCATGCTGACCAGACGTGTTAGAAGAGGTCAACGTACCCAGACTTTATTCCACCACCACACACGACTTGTGTGCTGTACCTGTTCATGCTGCTGGGTGACCGAGGCAATTGGGAGACTTAGAAACTCGCCCCATTATTTCAACCGCTGCGCCGGGAGATCGACTCGAACCGGCGACCTCTGGATTGCGAGTCTGGTGTGCTGACCTATCACCACGACAGCTAATCACACCACTTTATTATAGATTTTTTTTTAAGATTAGCAAGTGGTAAAAGGAAGTTAGTGTTTTCCTAATCAAGTGAGCATTGAAGTGCTTATTTACGATGGGGCAAGTCTATCCATAGGACAATCACTGTGGACTTCCCCACAAAATGGACCTTGGAGGGATGATGGCCTGAGTCGACCACCCTCCACCCCAGTAAGGTTTTGAACTCATAACTTCTGATTGTGGACCATCCTGGCCGGTCAGATTGGTAGGGTGGGCGAGTGTGCAGTCATCATCTGTACTTGCAGGTTCCTGCCGGCAGATGAGCATTGTCTCTTGCGAATCGCAGCGGCCGCGGGTGGTCCCTAACTCGTGTTTTCTTTGCCTCGCAGAGCCCAGCTACCTGCGCGACCGCGACGCGGAGGCCGTGCCCGACTGGACGTGGCGTGGCACGGGCTCGCACGAGGTGCGTGCCGTCCCTTGGGGCCTCCGCCATGCCCTGGGCCACGTGGCGGCACGTTACCCCGACGCGGGCGACGTCCAGGTGCTGGGGAACGGAGCCCCGCAGCTTAGCGACGAGGACCTGAACGACGCCTCGCGGATGCTGTACCACTCGCAATACATCAACGAGTTGCTCAAGGGTATCTCGCTCGTGGCTCCTTTCCCCCGCACGCCTAGCCATGCGCAGCTGCACTGGCTTCTCACCACCCTCGCACACGATCGCCGCGCTCGATCACCGCGGCACCGTGAATCTCAGGAAGCATCGGTATCGTCATCTCAGCGATGGTGGCTGGGAGTGCCACGTGTAAACTGCCTGGGTGCAGCTTGAGCAGGGTCATTCTCAACGGGATTTTAATTCATAATAACAAGTATTTGATCCCGTTCCTGTGTCATGTCGAAAAGAGTTCGCTGGCATTTGAGCATGGGAGTCTGAGACGAATGCTGGGAATTTCGTGGCAAGGTAGGATAAGCAATGCAGAAGTCCAGAGAGAACAAGGCAGATAAAAATTACAGATATGCTTAGGCAAAAATGCCTGTGCTGGGGTTGAACGTGTGTGCAGGATGGAGGAAGGGCCAGTTGCTGAGACATTGGAGTAGTCTCTACGAGTCTGGTGACTGAGGGGAAGAAAAGACCTCAGGGCAGATGGTGGGAGACTGTCAGGGCAGATCTTGGAGCCTGCGTGTTGACTGTGCAGCAGCGGTAGAAGACTGAACGTCATCAATGTCTTTGGCTACGTTGACATCCTGATGTGTATGGTGGATGTCTCCCCTCCCCAGCCATATCCCTGGATGGCCTCAACGTGAGCGCCTATTTTGCGTGGTCGCTGCTGGACGGCTTCTCGTGGGAGGACGGCTTCACGCGGCGCTGGGGACTGTACTCAGTGGCGCGCGACGACCCGGCCCTGGCGCGCGTTGCCAAGCAGTCCGTGCAAGACCTCGCCACCATCATTCGCTGCAACGGATTCCCCGAACCCAGCAAGCCGGACCCCTGCCTCATCCTGCGTAGGTCACCCAGCCACTCTGCAAACGCACAATGAAAAGATTGGATAATGGCAGTCACATCTGTTCAGGAGAAGCGTGCGATTGTTAACTTTTGAGATCTAATTGATCACAGGGCAACATTTTTCACTGAACATTACTTAAGCAGCATTGTTGCAACACAAGCAAACTCGGTGTCTCATCAGTAGACTGTGGCTGATGGGAAGTGTAAAAATACTTTAATATTGTTATGTGGAGGGACATATACAGAGTATGTGTGAAGGTGCATTTAATGTTTGTTTATTTATTTATTTTGTTATAGACAGTTAACCTTCTCTATCCGCAAGGGTTACGTTCTTGAAAACATTCACAAATGCACAATTCACGAATGCAAAAACCGTGTTCCAATTGGATGAATGGGGTTATGTTTCTGGTACGAGTGAACCTAGGGAGGAAAATGGTAAATGTTTAATAACAATGACGACAACAAATACAAAATGTATTATAAAGAAATTTTTTAACTACCTTTGATAGTGGTGATTTGACGGCGATGTGTTTGGTATCTTATTGAAGAGAGACCTGTTGTATTTTCACGGACTCATTTCTGAGCATCGCCCATTATGTGATCAGGTGTGGCATTCAAGAAACAGGGAAAGAAGCCCCCCCCCTCCCTTAAAGATATTCGAAGGAAACATTTGTATTTCAGTATTGGCTGCTTTAAATGATGTGCATAGCTGTGTGATATAATTCAAACACAGAGGGTCGCATGCTGTCTCCACAGCTGAACCAGTCACCACAGCTGAGCCAGTCACCACAGCTGAACCAGTCACCACAGCTGAGCCAGTCACCACAGCTGAGCCAGCTACCACAGCTGAGCCAGTCACCACCAAGGCTCTGCACTTCCTCGGGCTCTCGCTGTCAGCAGAGGACGGGGAGGTGGCGCTCTGGACACTATTTGGGCTGACGCTGGTGTTGACGGCCACCCTCTGCTTGGGGGTGGGGCTCGCCGCTTGGAGGGCGAAGACTCGCAAGGGCAAACGCCCAGGCGGCCTCGAGATTGACACCTCCGTCTCCTCCACGTTGTAGCCTACGGGGTGTAATGTGCTAGTTGCTCATACAGGAAGTTGTTTGGTGTGACCCTTTATGCACCCCCGTATCACTGCCGAGCCTCAAAAACACCTGTGAATGTTTTGGTGAATATAATTGCACCTGCGTCAGCTCAACATATCATGTCCCATGACTTGTGGACCGCTGGTGGTCCGCCGGACAGAGTTGCCACATTTTTGACAGACCACAACTGAATGTATTCCCTGGATTTGGGATTTATTTTTCGCACAAATATTTCAAAAGTCCCTTCTTGTGACTGTCGAGGTGCCATGCCCTGGCTCGACAGGAAAATGCGGTATGGCCAAGTACGGACTTGTACCTTCTGTATGGGATAGCCCCCTCACATTTGTGGGATTTCTCCTGATGCTCCGATGTCCTCCCGAATGTATAACTCATTCATTTTCTGAAAACTTAATATATAAAGAACTGCAGGCCTTGGCCAATTGTTGTTTGCGCAAGTGCACCACCTGGCTGCCTTCCAGCTTGTCTGGTTCCTCAGCATTGTGAGATGCAGTGTTAATGAACAACGAAATATAAAACGAAAATTATATTTCTTTTTAACACGTAGGCTTACGCGACCAATATTATACATAATAAAGGTTTTTGGGTTATATTTCTTACTCGCGGTCTATAAAAACTCTGCAGCATACATTGTAGAAATCAGTTCCTGCCACCCGAATACAAGTGCCAGGGTGTGGACTGTCCAGGTCAAACCTGGCCTACAGATCAAACCTGGACACCTGGATAGGAGGCAAGCCTATCTACGGACCACAAGTTGGGAACCACCAGTTTAGAGATTTGAGACCCAAGAAAAGCAGTGTCCAGTCTCGTGGGCCCAATGGTATGTGGCCGCTACGGGCATGAGGAGTGCTCTTCTCCCGAGAGTTCAGGATCTGCTTTGTCCATTCATTCCGAGTCACCAGCCCCTCTACCCTGGGACCTGCCTTGGTCGCTTTGCACAGAATCTTGCTACTCGCATGGGAACTGATTGTGTTTGTGTTAAAGCACATTTTAATTAATGATTTATACTTCCCATTATGTAATATGTTCATGTGCAAGGCATAAAGGCCTACATGCTCACCATATTTACCAGAATTACGCCCTTGAAACCTGGTGTTAATGCTTTGCTTAATAAAGATCTCTGAGCACGAGGAAGGAAGCAGTTGATGTTTAAACAAGGATGAGTGTCTATTTCTCCTGTTGCTGTATTCTACAGTGTTTGTTCCAGCCTGAAAGCCCTTTGTCAATCCATTGCTGGATGAGCAACGAGTTCGTTGCGTGGACTGGCGACTTGACCAGCGACAAATTTCGGTGTTATGAGATGAGGACATTTTGTAGATGGAGGAGCCATTCCAGGTGTGTGTTTAATAGGTGGGCAATTATCTCGTATCCGGCCGGGTGGCTCAGCGATCGATCAAGTGGCTCCCAATCGGAAATTTGCAAGTTCAACTCTAGATTGGGGGTCGACTCAGCCCATCATTCCCTTGGGGTCGATAAAATGAGTACAATTTTATTGGTAAGTCAGAATCGGTTACCTATGGTTAGACTCACCCCTTCCAGCAACGTGACATTCCCAGCACTGGCTCTGGGCTGCACATGGGAGAAATAACTTTGACTGGATTGTCTATTGACGCGACTTGAAAGCATTTAGGAGTACATCCGTTGACGTGTACTGTTACTTGGTAATTCCCATGGTAAAACCCATGGTAATTCCCATGGGAAAGCCCATGGTAATTCCCATGGTAAAACCCATGGTAATTCCCATGGTAAAACCCATGGTAATTCCCATGGTAAAACCCATGGTAATTCCCATGGTAAAACCCATGGTAATTCCCATGGTAAAGCCCATGGTAAAACCCATGGTAAAACCCATGGTAAAGCCCATGGTAATTCCCATGGTAAAACCCATGGTGACGTTTTTGACATTGGGACGGTCTGTCGCGACATCTGGTGACTTTCTTGAGGATCGTTTTTGAGGATCGTTTGGCGACTTTTATTTTCAAAAGGTATATGGCAACACTGAGGCTGGCCGCTAGAGGGCACTGAGAGGGGTGTCCCTGCGTTACAGCTCGGCTCCCGGCTTCTCAAGCCCCACCTCGGCCCGTGTTCGCCCCGGGGTCTCCATGGCGGCCTTCTTGTCCCTGCGGGTCGGGGCCTTCGCCTGCCGAGCTCTGCCGGCTACGTCGAGGCGATGTAAGAGACTTTGGGCCCCTTTTACCCGAACCCTCTGATCGCGAACCCTGGGCCCAGCAATGAGGGCGTTGTCCATTATCGCCTCGGGTTGCTGTGACCCTCTGTAGCCAGGCGGGTGGTGTGAAGTCGCCTTGTTGCCAGGGCGGGCTATCAATGGTGGTGTGGTGTGTGTGGCTGCCACTTTGTGCGGCTGTTGTTACTCATGCGTGGCCACCGTCAGGGCTTCGTTGCTCCTCTGCCCAGGGTCGCTGATAGAGGCTGGAGTGGGTAGCACGTCGTCAACTACAGTAGCCAGTCGTAGCCAGAGGTGTCAGACCAGGTAGGCCTCGGCAAGGTCAGGTAAAAACAACGAGCCTACCTTTACCTTACCACAATACAATCACTCTACCCTTACCTTGTACCCTTTAGCAAGGTAAGAAGGTAAGGTAAAAGGTCAAAAACAACGAGCCTACCTTTACCTTACCACAATACAATCACTCTACCCTTACCTTGTACCCTTTAGCAAGGTAAGAAGGTAAGGTAAAAGGTCAAAAACAACGAGCCTACCTTTACCTTTACCCCATACAAATTACCCGATTACAGGGTAATTACTGGGGTACTACTACACATTAAGAAGGTGTATAACAGGTACATGCTCGGTTGAGCGCTTTATTCATATAGAATACTCCCGATGATTCCAATTTTAAATGCAGGCCACGGACTGCGCCACGGAGCTTTTAGCGAGCGGTAAACAAGGTAGGTCAACAAGGCAGTAGGTAAACAAGGCAGTAGGTAAACAAGGCAGTAGGTAAACAAGGCAGTAGGTAAACAAGGCAGTAGGTTAACAAGGCAGTAGGTAAACAAGGCAGTAGGTAAACAAGGCAGTAGGTAAACAAGGCAGTAGGTAAACAAGGCAGTAGGTAAACAAGGCAGTAGGTAAACAAGGTAGTAGGTAAACAAGGCAGTAGGTAAACAAGGCAGTAGGTAAACAAGGCAGTAGGTAAACAAGGCAGTAGGTAAGCAAGGCAGTAGGTAAACAAGGCAGTAGGTAAACAAGGCAGTAGGTAAACAAGGCAGTAGGTAAACAAGGCAGTAGGTAAACAAGGCAGTAGGTAAACGAGGCAGTAGGTAAACGAGGCAGTAGGTAAGCGAGGCAGTAGGTAAACGAGGTAGTAGGTAAGCGAGGCAGTAGGTAAACGAGGCAGTAGGTAAACGAGGTAGTAGGTAAACGAGGCAGTAGGTAAACGAGGCAGTAGGTAAACAAGGTAGTAGGTAAGCGAGGCAGTAGGTAAACGAGGTAGTAGGTAAACGAGGTATTGTCTGAGTAATACTTCGCGCTACCTGTACCCTACCCTTTACCTTACCCCTTGGAATGTCTACACCTTTGTCCTTTACCCTTTTACCCGGTAAAAGGGTAAATTACCTTACCTTGCGGAAACCAGGATAAAAGGAAGCCCTAAACCAAGTTGTGCGAAATAACTTTCCATTGATACGAATGTTTAAGGGCCATCTTAACGTTGTGTTGTGTGCAACCATGCCGTTGACTTATCAATGTTTGCTGCGCCATGGCTATTAGACGCGTGGACCCTGGTTGGGGGATACGCGTGCAAAAGCGCATTAGTTAATTCTAGATTATAGAGTAGAGCGCATTAGTTGCCCCACGCCTGTCCATTCACCACTGTGCAGGCGGCGAGGGTTGGTGGATCACCGCACAATTGTGATCCTCCCTGTGGGTGTCGCCGAGGAGCCATGCCCTGGCGCGCCAGAAGGCAGCAGAAGCAGCACTGTGCAGCAAGAACGTGGACTCCTCCCTATACGGAGGGGAATGTCCCATCTCATGCATGGGGTTTCTCTGGGTGCTCTGGCTTCCTCCCACATTTAAACACTTATTAACTTGTCGAAAATACTCAATACACAGAGGGCAATTGTCGGTGCTGGCTCGCCATGTGGCTGCCTTCCCTCTTGAGTCGCTCTCCCTCTTCGAGAGTGAGCAACACCAGGGGAAGGTGCTCATTACCACTTCGAAATGATCATGGCCACAGGGCTGAGCTTCAGGCTGCGGGAGGAGACCGCGCACTGCGCCCTGGAGGTGTCACCCGACGGCAGCGGCGTCGTAAACCGTGTGATTGGCCTCGACTCCAGCAAGCTGCCCGCCAGCCCGGCTCGCTTTGTCGACTGGGCCGCGGTCATGGGCGACACGACCATTTCCTCTGGCCGCCACTACTGGGAGGTAAAGGTCACCACCACCACTCACAGAGTGACACTGACACCATTCGTGGCCACAGAGACGCTTTGGGAAGCACGTGTCTGGCAACGACCAAGTCATCCCTGAATTCGCCCAATTTTTTAAATCTCGGATACTTAGCGGCGTCGACACTGGTTCGTACTTGGATGGGAATGCCAATGGGTTGCATAAAACACCTCGAGTAACAATCTCTAATCGACTGATTTAAATACGTGTAGATTTGGGGATTTATTAACTACTTTTTTATCTAACCCCAGGATTTGTAGGTGTTGGGCTCGGCAGTGGCCAGGGGATGACATTACAGCAATATTTGACCTTCCCCGCACCTCCGATTAGCTACGTACGGTGTGAAAAAAGTTCAACAGATTCTTGAATCTCGCTGTGGAGTGCTTTACCTCAAATACTCGACTTTCTCTGGGCACTCTGGTTTCCTCCCATGTGCGACTCAGTTGAATTGCCCAAACATACTTACACTAACTAGCCTTTTGCCCGTCCAAGGACCGGTGTATTTCAGTAAATCTGAAACTTGCAAGTGAAAAGCAGACCGCGACGTGATATTCATTGCATCAATTCGTGTGCAATTTGTAAGGCCGCGGGGTGGGGGTGGGGTCCATTTGGAAGACGTCACCTCTTAATGATTATTAATGAGGGGTGCTGGCTGACGTGGAGTGACAGCACGTGCAGGGGACACAGATATTCTTGGCTCATAGTAGTAAATTCTCTTGAAGACGTTCTGAGACAGCAAAGATGTTCTGGGTAAAGATCATTATAATTACTGAAAATATGCTTGGTCTCATATTTACTTAATCGTACATTGTGGGGGCAAAAACCTGAAATACAATGCTTGGTGGATCACGTACATTTGTGAAACACTCCTGAAATATCAGCTAAATATTTAATTCAGGAGCTTCCTTAAAAAGTATTTTGACATGATGGATAAATAGCAATCATCCTCCTCACATTTTTCAAACATCAGACATTGTGCTTACCGGTATGTAGTAATGAACGCTCGTTCACGCTACACTTATTGAAAATGCTTATAGTAGTCTGCACATGTTACAATCAGTGTGGAGCAGGACGTTATAGGACTTGATTTGGTTTGTAAGTTTGGCTTTGGATATTTTCATTTTAATCCAGTGTGGGGTAGAGATAATTTGATAAGACTGCAGCATGACTTCATAACACAGATTTGAAAAATTGACAATTTGAGCAACGTGTGTGCTGGTGCACTTACCATGTTTTCCTTCCCACCCGTGTTGTGTGGATAATGAAGGTCACAGTTAAAGAATCATCGGACTTCCGTGTGGGGGTAGCGGACCCAGCCGTGACACGGGACCTCTGTCCAGGTGATGCCCCTCACTCGTGGGCCTTCTCCTTCTCTCCAAGCGGCCACTGGACAGCACTGAATGCTGGTCACGCAGAGCCGCTCATCGATAGCATAGGGCAACAGGAGCGTATCGGTCTGCTGCTTGATCTGGAGGCCGGCTCGCTCGGCTTGGTCTTGCCAGGGTCTCCGCCACGCCTGATTAATCAAATCAAGGCTAAGTTCTCCACGCCACTGACACCCACATTTGTGTTGTGGGATGGAGAACTGCTCATGCATGCAGATTTGGATGTACCAGCTGGCTTATCCTAACTGGTGTGGATTTTTTATTTTTATAAAATGGGAACATTGTTTTCGTCAAGGAAACTTGTCTTTGTGCTGTGGGATGTAGAGCTGCTCATGCATGTGGGTTTGAATGTACCAGCTGGATAAGTCTAACGGGTGTAGGTTTTTTCAATATAAATTGAAAACTTTATTTTCATCAAGAAAACATGACCTAATGAGATACATTTTACAAATTTACAGATTATTGAGAATTAAATGCAACAACAGGAATGCTGAATTCCACTTGCTGCATACATATCAAGCAATAATGTTTACATACCTAACATCCTCAGTTGTCAATGTGTTAACTTGCCATTTTGTGACAATAAATGTTTTATATTTTGAGGGCTAAGTTATGAGCATGTGGCATCATTTCTACATTCACCTGCACAATGCACATTATGGGCACTGATAAATGCTCTCGGGCCCGATTGGGGTGCTCGTCATCCAGTGCCGATGTCCATGTATGTGGGGCTGCAAGTGGCAGTGTAATGCGAGCAAATATGAAGGAAGGCTCAGTGGTGCATGGGCCACGGGTGGTCCGCAAGGCTGTAGGAAATAAACTGTTAAGCTTGCCGATACTGGTTTTTTATTCACGAAACTATATTTTGTATCGTCCAATTCTTGAGATTGTATATCAAGAGTGCAGGTGTAGAGCTGGGTGAGTGAACCTTTCACCAAGCGCCGGATAGGAATTTAAAAAAAGCTTCTGTCCAGCCACATTTACTTCTCGACCACTGCGAATGTTCCCCTCAGCGAGAGAAGTGACGAAGCGTGTTACAACTAAAAACACTGCAACCTGGTCGAGTATATTCCAACACTAGCACCCGATTTGTGCGGCTAAGATACCAGCAGTGACTGATGAATTTCGTTTGCGAACCGTTTCTAAATTGTAGGTCTCATGAGGCTACGTGTTGCCTTAAACCAAGTAGACGTAACCGCCTCGCCGGCCCGAGGTTCCTTCCCCTGGAGTAGGGTGTAGATTAGAACGTCAGATGTCGAGGGTATAGAGGGCATAGTGGCGGAGGTGTGTAGTTGTACACGCAGTTGTAGACCAAATTGAACGCGCCCAAGACGACGGTCACCGAAGCGATGGACCGATGAAATAAGTGAATGTGAACCTTCACGTGGAACTACTGCATCGCAGGATCATGCGACGTGGTGACGGGGGAGGCCTTCATCCAGCAGTGGAGTGACCACGGCTGCGATGATGATGGTGATGTGGTGTCTAGGGGAGGCCATCATCTAGCAGTGGAGTGACCACGGCTGCTGTGATGATGATGGTGGTGGTGGTGGAGTCGAGGGGAGGCCTTCATCCAGCAGTGGAGTGACCACGGCTGCGATGATGATGATGGTGGTGGTGATGTGGTGTCTAGGGGAGGCCATCATCTAGCAGTGGAGTGACCACGGCTGCTATGATGATGATGGTGATGTGGTGTCTAGGAGAGGCCTTCATCCAGCAGTGGAGTGACCACGGCTGCAATGATGATGATGTGGTGATGTGGTGTCTAGGGGAGGCCATCATCTAGCAGTGGAGTGACCACGGCTGCAATGATGATGATGTGGTGTCTAGGGGAGGCCATCGTCCAGCAGTGGAGTGACCACGGCTGCAATGATGATGATGGTGATGTGGTGTCTAGGGGAGGCCATCATCTAGCAGTGGAGTGACCACGGCTGCAATGATGATGATGGTGATGTGGTGTCTAGGGGAGGCCTTCATCCAGCAGTGGAGTGACCACGGCTGCAATGATGGTGATGTGGTGATGTGGTGTCTAGGGGAGGCCATCATCTAGCAGTGGAGTGACCACGGCTGCAATGATGATGATGGTGATGTGGTGTCTAGGGGAGGCCTTCATCCAGCAGTGGAGTGACCACGGCTGCAATGATGATGATGTGGTGATGTGGTGTCTAGGGGAGGCCATCATCTAGCAGTGGAGTGACCACGGCTGCAATGATGATGATGTGGTGATGTGGTGTCTAGGGGAGGCCATCGTCCAGCATGGCCGTTGCTGTTCCAGGCAACTCAGGCTTCACGGCGGCGCCAGGCCGCGGCGTCCCCGTCGCCATGGTTTCCACGCGCGTGACGTCACGGCCGACCAATCAAGGCACAGCTTCCCTAGCAACGAGCGTCTTAGCGATGGAGACGCCCGATCCGATTGGTTCCGGCGCGAGGCGTGTCCAGTAAGGTCTCCTGTGATTGGGCAGAGCGAGCGAGCGCCGCTGGTTAAGCTCGTGCGGCGTTTAAGAGTTTATTATTGTAACTTTGTTACAATTATTACGATTACCGTCATCGTTATTAAATTACACCAGTGGGACTACTACACCATCCTAACTTCTCACGGATAGTGGGCAGCTCCTGGACTCTGAAGACCTGCAAAACGTGTCCACGGCAACGCCCGCTACGTGGAGCATTGCGTGGCCTCACGTTGGCCCCACTCGCTTCTACCGGGTAAGATAGAATAGCAAGTTGAGTTAACATTCTTTTGTGATTGTCTCACATTGCCTATACTTTACACTCCTTTCGCTTTTTGTATTGTTCATTGTAACCTTCTGACCGACCCCTCCTGGGCATCTGTGAAAATGAGATTCATAGCCAATCGGATTTCTCCAGGATAAATAAAGATTCTGATTCTGCCGAGCTGTCTACATACCTACGCGTTTGGCTGTCTACATTTACACATGTTTACCTTTCTACTTGCCTCTCTAACTTGTCAACTTGCTTACCTGAATACATGGCTGCCGACTTAGCTGTCTGTTTATCCGTCTCCCTATGTACCTGTCGACTCGATGTGTATATTTATACCTGCCTGTTTACCCGTCCCCCTGTCTCGCTATTCGTCTATCTGCCTCTGTACCTGTTCACCTTTTCTACCTCCCTGTCTACCTGCGCATATGCCTGTCTACCTGCGCATATGCCTGTCTACCTGCGCATATGCCTGTCTACCTGCGCATATGCCTGTCTACCTGCGCATATGCCTGTCTACCTGCGCATATGCCTGTCTTACTGAATACCTTGACACCTGCCCGCCAGTTTACCTGTCGCCCTGCCTGCCTGCCCGTCTGGGTACCAGTTTACTTGTCTAACAACGTCTGCCCGTTTACCTCTTTACACTGGCCTCTTACCCCCTAGTGCTGGAAGTTTACCCTGGTTCTGTTTATTTACTGCTCTCCATACACGGAGTATTGGGATCTGGTTATGTACGGATGAAATCCGTCTTACAAATTTAATTAATTATTGTTACCCACTTGCTCACCTGTCTTTGCTTGCTTGCATTCTGTACATATCTTTCTGCCAGGGTTAAAAAGACAATGTTAATGTGTTACGCAGTAATGTGTTTAATACTGTTGATTTTACTCAGCACTGATATTTACTCTTATTCAACGTGTATCAAATTGAGGTCCTGTAGGCACTGTGGTGGGTGCCGTATGTGGGATTTGGCTTCGTTCTTTTCCTTATATTTATTTGTTGCAGAAATAATGGTCTCTGGGCAGCGAAGCACTCAACCGCGTCATGTCTGACCAAGGCAGGAACAATAAGGAAAAAGAAGGATCCACTTTCAAGTAATTGTCATCTTTATTGTCATCATTATTGCCAACCAAACCCACCAGAATTGAAAGGGGAATGTGTAAGCAAATATCACAACACGTCCAATATGTTTGTCTTCAAGGGATGTGGATGTCCTGGGGCGGCTGCTGGATTTGTTGAATACCCCGGCCAGCAAACAGCAGGTGCTTATTCTTTCTTCCCTCTGCGCATACAACACATTCCCCTAAACTATAACCAACTCCTAACATGACCTTAATCTACAAGACCTCAACAGTGGACCCAATGTATCCTTAACAAAGGAAACAAATTGTGGAACAAACTGCTCTCCATTGAGACCAGCATCACCACAATAGCCATATATATGAGCCATCAAATCGCAGGTAACTTTTGGCCATTGGGTACTGCTTGTCGCAGAGGGTCTCCGTGTGAATTCGGCAGGCCGCCCTGGTTAATACTGCGAGTGTATTAACTATAAAATACATGATGTTAAAGATCCCATGATGTCATTCAAAGGAGAGTGCTCCAGCGTGATGGTCCAATTTTGCCAAATTAGATATAAAAACATTTTTGAAAATTACTTGATTGGGAAACAGTAATTGTCACCCCCAACTGCAAACACATTGCAGAACCCTCCTGAAAAAAGAGTTGAGTCACAGTGAGGCTTTCATAAGTTGTAACAATAATAATTGGAATTAATAACCCTATGTGTTTGAATATACTTGTATGTGCAGCTTCCAGCACTGGGCAGTATGGGAGCTTCCAGCCGTGTGGGGAAGGGGAGGAGAGATGCTCGTTTCCAGTCGACCGAGGCTCTGCAGTTGGAAGCTTTCAGGTACTGTAATTATAAATCTACTCACAGTCCGTCACACGCGGTCTGTAAAGAATTCTCCATATTCTCCACAAAAGGATGCACAAATCATACAAATTGTTTAAGGGAAATGTGCAACTTGAATCTGAGTGATATTTTGTTATAGGATTGTATGGATTAATTGTTCTTCTAATCTTATTAATTGTGAGTGACGTAGTTGTGCTTTTCATTGTGAGCGAATGTTGAGGTTTGCACCATGAGCATGATGATTGTGAATTTCATTGTGAACGTGATGACCGTGATTACCATTGTGAGCGAGATGGTTGTGAGTTGGAAATTAGTGTTAAATTTGTGGGTTTCATTGTGAGGGTGATGATTGTGCATTGTCCTTTCAGTTCCAAGTACAAGAATGAGCGGGCGTTTAGCTCTCTACATGAGCACAGCCGCTTCCTGGAGATTCTCACTGCTCTCATCACACAGCGGCTTCTATGCAGGCACAGCAATAACACTGTCCTACACACAGGGACACACTGTCATCTGTAATTGTGTCACTTCTAACACCATCCTATCCGAACTTAACCCTATCTGCCATTCATCAATCCACATTATCCTCGACATACCTCACAGGCTGCATAATTGCCAGCTGATTGAAAAAAAAACAATGGCATCCCCTTATCTGCCAGAAGGGACACACATTTATTTATATTGATCTACAAATGTTATTGAGGCATACATTCCTTCAACCTGAATTCATCCTTCTCTCTTTTCCCCAACATAAGAAAATCTGCTGACAATCTACACTTCTCTGCACCGCCCCTAAACAATCCTCCATCCTAGAGGGGGGAATAATTTGGTTGCTTTGCTCCAGAATTGTAAAATATCTTGGTCTCTAAATCCAAACGACTTAATGACTTTCCACACCTTCAATTCTCTGACCTATAAGCTGCTTGAATATCGATGTTGCTGTAAGAATTAACTTGAGCCGACAGACCCAGTATAATTCTTTCTCTTATGATTTTGTTATGTGAATTAGTTGAATTAACTACCGGTAAATACCTGTCATTTAAAATCCATTTGACTTTGAATTATTGTCATTATATTTTAGTTTGTTTTCTTTTGATATTGTTAGTTACAACGTACATCTGTTGTATCTGAAATCCCTTGCCTGCTTGTATTATCTCACCATTTTACTTGTATGGCCATCTCAACCACATCGACATTGTAAAAGAGCCTGTGTAGGCTCAAGTTCTTACTCTCTCACTCTGAATCTGACCTGCGCATATATAATTCACGCAGGAGTGGCCACATTAGTGTGCCAGGCTCGGTGCCATGAGAACCAATGCCTGGATCAGTATGCCTGCTCAATGTGCAGTTTACACACACACGTTTGCATTAATATAAACAAGGAAAAAATATCATGCATAAGCTTGGTTTCTGTAATACTTTACAGCATGCGATTATCCTTGGAAGTATTTCATTAGCAATAATATTGTGTTTCAAGCCGCACTACAAAATGTCACATGGTGCATGATGTTGTGAGATTACGTCACCCAATAATATGACCAGGAGAGGAGAACTGGTGCGGGAGGCGTGTGCTTTTTTTGTCACTGGGTATTTGAATCCTTTTAGCTCTGGATTTCGTCTAGGTTTTGAAAAAACCCTTGGATCGATTTGGCCAGTTTTCAATTAGGTAAACTCCTAATAGCAACAACTTTATACTAATGTTTTTTTTTATATTGGGCCATCTTTACAGACAGCCAGTCAGACAGACGTAGAAAGCTAATGGATGAGCACTTCCAACTTCAGTTGCAAAGTTTTAAGAAGAAATTATCTCACGAAAATATATTAAAGTAGTTGCAATGAGGTAATCCTATTCAAGGTGTCTAGGTACGGAGTTCCCAAAGTAAGCACAGCCATGCCTCGTGATGGCTGCGGTGTGTTATTACAGACAGTGGAGAGACCGGGCGCCGATGGCCAATATTCTACCTGTGCTCATCTGCCTCCGCCTCTTCATGCGGGACTTTTCTTACCAGGTCCTCCACACCACTACACTCTGAATGGAGTCTGTTTTGAGTTCTGTAATACCCGTTATTCAAAGTCAGTGATTTCTTGATCAAACGAGCACCGAGGCGGTGCTCATCTCTTGTTTATAGCCCCGAGCCAGTGGTGGAAATTCCACATTCATATGATAGGGGAGAGAACAACCACTGCTGACTTCCATACAAAGTGTACTTATTTTTCAACCCCAGAAACATGATGGGCTGAGTCAAACCCCAACCAGGATTTGAACATGCAACCTTCCAATTGCATGCCACTCTCTATTACTGAGCCACCTAGCTGGTTCATGTACCCATGAGGCCCACTGCATACCTTCATGTTATATTTGAGCCGCACATTGGGGCTTTTTTGTGTAAACTAAACTAACGTTGGCATTGCTAAGTTCACAAAAAAACAACTACAATACAATACATTCCACAAGCAGGGAAGCAAGGCGCTGCCAAACTTTACTTCTCAACAAACAGTTTAGTTGATTTCTGGTGAGACCCATTGAGCTAAGAAGCTATTTTTCTACAAGAGTCTGGGTGTCAAGATTAACCACACAACAAATGTACAGTATTACCAACTCACTGTTCTTTGAAATGTAATAACAGCGAGACTGAGAACTGCTCATTGTGGCTTTATAAATAATAGTGGCTCCAATAGTGGCAGTATTTTCTAGTTTGTTGATATGACAGGAATGAAACCAGAATAACCAGAAAGGATGCTTATGGTGTGCTGTTTTCTTTGCAGAGGGTGCTGTACGATATGGGAGGGGTGTCTGGCTTAGCAATGGTAAGTTCAAAGTACAGCTTATGACGCTGGAAATTCAGTTATTCAATCTTTAGAAAGGCCATAAAATAATGGGTAGTATTGCGAAAGGTTTTGACCTTAATGTTCTGCTTGGGGATGTTAGTTGTCCTCATTTGGTTGACTAAGTTTATAAAACGCTATAAATGCAGAAAACAGCTATTTCAATAAACCGTTCAAATGTCAAAGTGTGTTGTATCAATGGTTAATGAAGTGTGCAGGGAGTTGATGGGTCTTATTGTGGTTATGGGGTGTGTAAAAAATTACCTGCGGACATTACCAGTGCATCTCACCGATTTACGTGAGAGGAAAGCTGCAGACTAATCGCACTAATATTGACGTGTGTCTGGTTTGGCGACTGGAAGTATATGGACGAGGTGGCACAGCGGCACTTGTGTTACGAAGAGGAGAAGTTTGCAGAGGACGTCCTTGTCAATCTCACCAGTGAGTGAGCCCAGTATGTCAAACAGCAAAATGACGTGTTTATTCAAGTTATATTGGAGTCACTTCCTGCAACTGCCACTTGCTTTTTCTGTGTTAAAACTGCGTATTGTTCTGTATTTTATAAAATGCTTGCTTTGTGGAAAATGCAGTGTACAGTGTTTAAGGGCACAGCTGTTTACATAATGGTGAGCTCAAGCCACTTATCGTTTTCCTTTTTTAAACATGCGCAGTCATTGGATTGTGTGTGAATGTTCACCATCACGCGAACTCTGGTCATCCTTGCAACGACTTTTGGATATCTATCGAACAAAGACGGTCACTGCATCGGGTGTTTCCAGATGCACTTCTGCGGCTGTCTGGAACGCTATTCCTTCTGATATTAGGAAACCACTGGAGCGATGTACTTTAAAATCTATATTGAAAACTAATTTCTTTAGAACTGCCTTTTGTGTTTAGTTTCTTGTCCTTTCCCCGCACCTCCTATTAGCATGGTTGGCTACGTAGGGTATGAAAGAAGTTCAGCATAGATATATCAGTAAATGGCTCATGGCCAAATGTGGTTGAGCATTGAGAAGTACTTTATTTTAAGTGTTATTGGTAGATAGTGCATCCAGAGATTTATTGCAAACCAGAAATATCTCAGTGATTTTAATTCTACATCTGTGTCTTTGTCATCATTATTGAAGTCATAGTTATTTATATCATTAACACACGTTGGATGTGAAAGAACCATCTATGGATACTCTAGATATATCAGAAATTTCCATGTTGATTAAATTCCAATCAATATTAGAGGGGTGCCGAGGTGTGATGGTTAACACAATTGACTTGCAATCCAAAGGTCGCCGATTCGATTCCATCTTCTGGCGCGGTTGTTGAAACAATTTGGGCACGTTTCTCAAATCTCCCCATCTGTGTCCACGCAGCAGTACAAGTGGATACTATACCGTCGTTTGGCAAGTTGCGTGTTGAAGTACAGTGTGGGTACACACACCTCTTCCAACTCATCTGGTCAACATGGTGGAGTAGACTAAATACCCTCGCTCGAACAGAGACTTCTCCGCCAGCAGTGGCATGAGCAAGCGATTGCAGGGCTGCATTTTTACAGTTTACTACTTTTTATTACATGCAATCATAATAAGCAGGTCTGTCACGAGCTAGTAATAATAATGTATTCAAATATGTTTGTGAATGTATAAATATTAAGGTTAAATTTGTCATCCAGTAAAGAGAAAGACTGCATAGAGATTAGGGCGAGCAAGGCCGCTGTGCTTTTTGTGCTGGTGTTTTGCCGCAGATATCTTCCAAAAGCTCGCTGGAGTGGTGGAGCAGAGGGAATGGGTCACAGAATCTGGGGCACACAAGGTAGGCTGACTCCTGACAGCCCCAGCTATTTCGTGAAATTGTGGTCACTGTTTTCCTTGGCCTCACACTGGATTGACAGAAATGAGAAGAATCCAGCTGCTTAGCGCATCCTGTATTTGTTATGCAATGACTCTGCAGACGTTGGTGATTCTGACAGCTGCCAGGGAGTCCAGTGTGCTGCTGGGTTCACTGCTGGCACTCAACAGTCTGGCTGAGAGGTGGAGTGATGCAACATTCCCCTTCTACACTACTACAAACAACACCGACTACCACCATATCATCCTCACTGTTCATATTAAAATTATTATTTATTATTACACTTGTTTACCAAGGAAAGCCTCAATGAGTGCCAATACTATTTTTTAAGAGGGTCCTCATAAGCATTCACAGTAGCGGGTGACAATAGCGATGTGTTTCCCAATTAAGTAATTTGTGATTAATGTTTTTTGACCTTGGGAAAATTTTGACCATGATGCCAACACACTGGCCTGCAATTTTTCTCATTTTGTCAAGGAATTTTCTTACGTCCATTGTTATGCAGATTGTCCACATTGTATGGTTAAATAAACCTGCATAATTAGCCATGGTGGCCTGGCTTATTCCAACCACAAACTTCTGCAGAAAGTGGTGAACATGCGACCACTGCGCCATGTTACTACTCGTTGCCATCATCTTCTGTCATCAGTATCACCGTCTGCTTATTTGCCATGGTTACTGTCACTGAGAACTGGGTTTGTCAGTGATTCTGGTGTTGTTGGGCTCCAGTGCGGCGTGCCGCGGGAAGCTGGCGGAGCTAGCTGTGGTGGAGAATCTCCTGCCTGTTCTGCAGGACTATGACCTCCTATCCCAGCGGTGAGCTGGAATGTGCGCACCTTTCTTGCTGGCACAACAGACACACTTGCTCCAGCTATGAAGTGGCATTCATGACCAGATGAGAGCCCATTGATTGAGAGAGTTTGTGTATAAAACATTGCGCATTCTGAGACTGCTCTAGGTGCACGTAGGCAGTCACACTGGCGGGCCCGCGTCTCTCTCTGTGCAGGTTAGCTATGGACCTACTGCGGCAGCTGTGCCAGGAGCGCCCTGTGTGGCATCAGATGCGGGTGTTGGGTGGAGTGCCGGTGCTGTTGAGCCTCCTGCAGGGCGAGCACCTGCGCCTGCTTGCGAGCGCCGTGTGGGCCCTCGTGCACTTGTGCGAGGACCAGGCCATGCTCGAGGACATTCGGCGCTGGGGGGGTGTCACTCAGCTTCTGCGGCTGCTGCAGGGGTGAGGTCTTCTGGCTGGAAGATGCACTGTGTAATCCAATTAGCAGTCTTAATCACACCAATGACCAGGGCCAGCTTTCATTTGGATTTGTCTGGCTTGATTTAACAACGCACAGAGGTGTGCTCACAAACAGCAGGAAGGCACAACTTCCATATGTTTATTCCATTATTTGAATTATAAATACAGTTGCTGAGAATAGGCCCCAAAAGTCAAGTAGCCAGCAACAAATAAAAGTTGTAATTAGAGTTAATTCGTTTATCTAATTGAGCACGTTTATAAGAGACTATGGGTTGGAATTCCAAAGGCGAGCTGTATGAGGGAAGAAGTAGAAAAAGAAGTGTTTGACCTGCACTGTGGTTGCTGAACAGAGTATGAATGAGATGATAGAGTCAATGGCGGAGCCAGGATTTTCAGGTTGGGGGGGCAACCCCTCCAGCAATGAAAAATGATAGGAGTTGTTCGTAAGTAAGGACTTGTCCCTTGCTTTTTATTCGACGCGTGTGCGGCGATGGCGCAGCCATCGATCGAGGGTCGAATTCGAACTGTGTGTGATCGGCATCGCGCTCGCTGAAGGTATGCCTTCAGGGAAGTCGTGTACTGTATACGCAACTGCGCACAATTCTGTGAGTCACTTATAACTGCTTTGGATCATTGGGGGGGCACGTGCCACCCCCCCCCACCCCCCATTGGCTCCGCCAGTGGATACAGTCACTCATGCTTGCCATGTGATCGCCATGTGGCATCTATGATTTGCACACCTTTATGTGTTAATAGTTTTTAGAAAGTATTAGATTTTTCTGAGTGTTGGCTGCATGTGTCAACGACCCAGAAAATATTTGATTACCTGGCACACCACCTCTAGTATACTTTTCTGTATGTCTGTGGCTAATAGTTACACGCGACTTCCCGGTTTCAGTAGACAAGTGAAAATTATTCGGCGAGAAATTAAGGCCTGGCGATAGCACTATCAATTCCACTGATGACAGTGAGAATAGATCGATAGTTTTCTTGTAAACTGATGCTGTAATTTGAAGGAGACAGTGATTGGCGGACATGCTGTGTGCACCCCAGGGACCGTGAGCGTCGGTTTGTGTCGGACCGCATTTCCTTTGGGGGCCTGTCAAGCGCCAATGCAGCTGGGCGACTGCGGCAGCTCCCGCTTTCGGAAGAACTGAGCCCCGCGGAAATCCAGGATGGCCTCACCTCCTTGCAGGCTGGCACGCATGCATGCACACACACACGTCTGTTTACATACTGGTTTAAATACTCGTACAATAATCACCCAAAACATATTTTGATGTTCTTGTTACACAATTTTTTAATGAATGTTTTTTAAGGTAATCTATCTGAAACAACTTTGGCAAATTCAATCTGCAAATGATGATAAAACCCATCACAACAAAACAATCAGTGCAGACCAGAAAACAATCAGATTTAACAACACACAGAGATGTGCATTGCATGTTATGGTGTGGATAAGGCTAGGGGCTATTGTACATGAAATACTCATCTTTGTGTGTTGTTAATTATTCAACTTTGACAGCATTAAATGTATTTAACTTAATATTGATTAATGTTTGTGCACCACTTTCTCTTTGTTTTGCGATGTAGTTTTTGCACAGATTTTTGTTTGCTTCATGGTTGTTCATTGTTTTTATGTTATTGAATTTATAATTTTGGTTATCCAGGTCACTTTGGTAAATGAGACAATCATGGTAACTTGAGTTCTCAGATGGTTAAACAAGATCAACTAGAACTTGAACGTGGCCAAAATTGGAATTTTGTTGTCATATCTGGGGAAGAGTATCCAATTTATATTGCACTGCACTTGATAGAATTCATGGTAAAGCAGTCAGGTGAATTGATGATGCAGTACTGACCGATTCACTCCAGACACTGCCACGCTGGTGGTCAGTTGCCCCCTGATCTCTCTGCTATCGCTACAACTGTGGCTACTGTTTCTGTGAAGTTACGTATTCATTTCTTCACCTATGTTGAGGGCTCAATCTACCAGACTTTCGTCTCATCACCACACTGCAGGTCACCACTTCTCTCACCGCTTCTTTCCTCGCACTGCTCCACTTGGGAGTTCCCACCTCATCGCCTCTTTTCCCAAGCTCTTATAACCCTTCTCAATTCAAGACACGTGTTCATTCTGATCCATTACAACTTTGCTCGTGCTGCTTGTTTCTGGCCGCTTGATGTTTTGGGCCTGCACTAAGCTTCGGTGTAAAAAACTAAAAAAACACTTGCTGCCACAGTTGCCCTTGTTCCTCAAGATGCGGGCACCACGAGTGGGCCTCACATTTACCTACCGTCAATTGCTTTTTCAGCGTGTTGTACCGCCCTTACTGAGCTGGTGCTCAACGACAGCAATGCACAGCAAGTTGTGCAGGTGAGCCACGTTGCAGGTAACCATGCATGTGTAGGGGTGTTACGGAGGGGCTGTTATACAGTTGTATCAGACGGTAAACACAGTGGGCGTGGCTATGTCTGTGCACAGGGAGGTGCTCACAGCGACGTTCGCACCGGGCAGCCTGGGGGGCTGACTCGGAGCTGGGATCCCCCGGGGCCCCACCCCTCAGCGGGGGAGTTGGTATATAAGGGGATGAGCCGGAGGGCTCGAGGCAGAATGTATGAAGCTTAACTAGTGAAGAAGGAAGATCTGCTAGATAGAGCCCTGGACTCCCCTGGATCGCCGCCCTTGTCAGGGCCGACCAGGACCGAGCCAGTGGCGTGGCCCCGAGAGCCAGAGCCGGTGCTCTTGTCAGAGCTGGTCTGGGGACTCCGGGCGCCGTAGGCCCAGCTTGCCAGGGCTGGGCTAGCTAGCCTCCCCTAGCCCGATAGTGGAGGACCGAGAGGTAGGCTAGGTGTAGCCTAGAGTGTGCCTCCCCAGTTAGACGAGTGAAGGGGCCGACACCCCTTCCAGTGTTGTATGTCCCGGTCTGTATTGTACCTTGTACGGAATAAATAAGTGTGCCTCCAACCCCGGCGTCCAAGTCCTCCTGAACGTTATGACACATGTTGTAAATTGCTTTGTAATGAGTGTGTATTTATAGTAAAAGAAGTTACATCTGTAAATGTGAATGCACTATGACTGTCGAGTAACGTGCAGTCTTGCTCCACCCTCAGGCTAACGGGGTGTACATCATCGGCACTCTGCTGCTCCCCAACCCCACCCGCAGCACACACAATAGGGATGTCTTACAGGTAACGTCTCTATCTTACTTTTTCATTTCAACTTCAGGATCATCGCCCAAAGACTACAGGCACCATTTGAACATTGATATGCCCCATGTTCATGCTGGCTGTAAGCAGGGCCTATAGACAACAAAAAAAACAACAAATTCGTCAATAAAACTTTGGCCTTTAAGGAAAAAGATATATATAATAGGCAAAGTTTTGCACAGTGGCCCTTCATAACATACCATTATGGCACATGTACTCTGATCATCATTTGGTTACAGCTGTGGAAATTAAAAATTTCTATAGCCTTGGTGAATCTATCCATGGGACAAATCCTTTTGACTTCCCCGCAAAGTGGTGATCATTTTATCAATCGTGGAGCAACGATGGGCAGTCAACCTCCGTCCAGGATTTGAACTCGCAACCTTCCCATTACGAGCCGCTCGCTCTCCTGCTGAGCCACTTGACCAGGTGTGATAATAATGTTGTGGTAATCAATCAGCGCCAGCTTGAATACAATGTTCATATCTTGTGTTCTAACAATAACGGATATTTTTGGTAGTTCTACAAGTTTGAAATGTGATCTGCAAACTGTGTGCAGCGTTATGCCTTCAGAGCCCTGCGGTTCCTCTTCAGCATGGAGCGAAATAGGCATCTATTCAAGAGGTAGGGCACATGGCACATTAGCCTGACCAGTTGTCAACACACATCCAGGAACACCCTGTGTGAATACATTTGGTAATTACATTATCCTTTATGACAATTTGTGCACCTTTAATTTCATACAGATGTACTGCATATTGACAGCATAATTTATTTCCAAGTATATTTTGTGATGAAGTCTTATTTTATTCCAAACAATCATTACTGCTAGACAAAACACATATTTGGCTGAAGTTGTAATCCTGTTGTCATATTTGAGGTCGAGCACCCAGTTCCTATCTTACTGCACGTGATAGAATTCACCATAAATGTCAGGTTGATTGATGACCCAGCTTTCACTGATTGGCATCAGTCACTCGCTTACCGGCAGTCCGTAGCCTCCTTATCACTATACTATTGCTGCTATCCTAGTCACTGTTCCTGTGAACCCCACTCATTTAGTCCTCAACCCATCTTGAGGACTTGGTCTACCAGACGTTTTGGCCTCATCCATGCTCGGTTCAACCACCACACTGTGGTAAAAACACTTTGCTTTCTTCCCTTGCCCTGCTCCACTTTGGAATTTCCTCCCATTGGCTCTCTTCCCAAAGTCTTATAATAACATTGCTGAATTCAATAAATGTGTTAACTTTTATCGCCTAACTTTGCTTGTGCTATTTGTTGTTGGCCGCTTATTGTTTTGGGCCTGTGCTCAGCAATTGTGTTTAAATACTAATAATTACGTCAATGTTGTGTAGGCTCTTCCCAGCAGTGCTCTTTGAAATGTTCATCGACGTGGGACATTATGTGCGAGACATTGTGGCTTACGAGCCCCTTGTTTTGAGGCTCAACGCACTCAAGGTTAGCATGACACTCCTCGCTTATCTGCTGCTGCTGCTTGGCACTGAGGCTGCCTTTCATTCAGTTCATTATAACATGAGAGATTAGGGTTTCCACATTGGCTGAGAAATATATATTGGTATGGTCTGTTGAAAAGGTGGCAACCCTCATGTGTGTGCATTTGTACATCTGTGTATGTGTGATTGTGTTTATGTTCATAGTGGCGAGTGGTAGGGTACCTCCGATTCGCACAGTTGACTATGTCTGGTTTGAAAGGAGTTTAAACATACATACATATTGCGCTGAGCTACGAACTTGGCGACCCGAGTTTGATTCCTGCTAACTGCCAACACCACTGATGATTATAAGAATAGGTTTTACTTTTTCTGGAAATAAATGGTAAAATCAATTCTTACATTTTGATACTGGCAAGAAAGGTCCCATGAACCAGTGATGATTATCTGGACCTATACTGCACCTCTCCTAGGTCGTCTCAGCCTCAAATAAGTAACTGATGCATTGTGTCAACAACGCTACTGGGCAGACAAAGGTAGCCAGGTGTGGTGCTGGCCACCAACCCCCTTGTGTGCCGTGGCAACTTTTTCACGAACAGGACTTGCCCCAACAGTCTGTTAAGGCTATCAGAGGAAAATTTGTCTTTTGTTTACGTGTATGCGTATGTGTGTGCATGTGCTCCCGAAGCCAGAGGAGGTGCAGGAGATCCAAGAGGCAGTGGAGAGCATGGACCAGACCAGACTGCCAGAGAAACGCATGGGGGGCTATGCCGTGCTGGAGCACCTAGGCAGTGGGGCCTTTGGCAGTGTCTACAAGGTGTTTCCTCACGAGCAGTCCCGGTTCAATTCCCAACACACATTATTATTATTATTGTTTAATTTGGGGAATTGATCAGTAGTCAGTTTGACATGTAGGCTTTTGCGACCAATATCATCCATAATAGAGCGCAGAAGCGTGGTCACCACATCTACGCCTCTATATAAGGTACGAAACAGGTGGACTTCTCCACAAATCTGGCTGTCGCCTGATGAAGCTAGTTATAATTACTGGCAAAACGTTGTATTCAGATTGTAAATGTTGTGGCTTGGCTCTCCAACACACCGGTGTGCTGTACTAGCGACGAATTGGCATGTTCTATCTACGTGACTTTACCGAAAGAACCAAAGAGTATGGATTCCTGCAGTCACGAAAGCTTCAAATCAAGATTGCCATGTTTTGTTTACATGACAACCCTTGCTAGTTGGCTGTGTCGGGTGGTGGTAGGTTTTAACGACACATTTATATATTTACGGGATCTAACCCAAAAAAACTATTATGGTTGATCAGTAGTGTTTACTTGCTCATGTGGAGGTTTGCGAGCGAGCCAGAGGACAGCTTCAGGACTAGCCTCATGGTGAATATCCAAAATTCTCTTGGCAAATAATCATATCCGGAAGTGGTGGGACTATGTAGTGCATGGTTTGAAATGTTATACTCAGAGAGTTATATAGACTTACATTGAAACTTACAGAGAGGCCCATAGATTGAAATGATGGCAGCGGGCAGTTGCATTACTCTGTGGTCCATTGTTTGAGATTGGTTACTGCTGTTGCACTGTGGGTTATTCGTTTTCATCTATCAGTGTAGGAAATAGCCATATCTGCCATGTGATATTCTTAAATGATTCAGCACGGATCTATTGTGGTAAAATTAAAACTGGAAGGTCTTTCTGTGAGCACGATAGGGTCGGTTGGCATTGTCCCAGGTTTCTCTGCGCTGAGCCTTAGGATTGATTGCTGTGAGAACTTGTACTCGATTACAAACACGATCCATCCTGAGTGCTTACCCAGGTAATTATCAACACATAGGATACTCTGCAGGAGTAATTTCAAATGTGTGTGAGAAACGTCAACATCATGTTGCGGACAAAAAAACTCATACACACCATGAATCAAATCTCGTCTTATTAACACTGTTAACTAGAGGCAAGGACGTGATCTCTTTCTATTGTGGCCTTGGTAACCTTGTCGGGGTGGGGGAGGTGGGGACACGGAGACCACTGGTCTTGATGGGGGGACGGCCATGCCAAAAAGGTTGAGAATCACTGTCTTACCGTGACCCTCTAAACACCAGACTTGGCCACTTCCCAGCCGTCCCACCGATAGCTCTCGTGCCTTGCCAGCCAGAACACAAAGGGCCATAGCTCTACGGCACGTATCGATGATTGTTCATGGCTCTGTCTTATGTCGTGGAGGTGAGGAAGCTGAATGGTCAGCAGCTGCTTGCGCTCAAGGAGGTGAGCCTGCACAACCCTGCGTTCGGCAAGGACAAGACGACGCGGGACTCCAGCCTCAATTCCATCATCTCTGAACTCTCCATCATTCGTGAACAGGTCCCCACTCTCCACTTGGCTTCTCCATATACATGTATATGGAGAAGCCAAATACTTCTGGTTGTCTGTAGGAGTGTTAATATTTTAAGAATTCAACCTTTAAACGTTTGCAGTTGAAACTTTGTAAAAATAACATGTGCGGCCTTCAGTATCACCGAGAGCACGTTGACTCGTAGTGCATGCACACGGACGCACAGGAGGCGGTCCGTGTGTTTTGTAGCTGCATGCAGCTCCGTGTAGCCATCTCTTTAGCTGTCTCCCTTGCTTTATTTTTTTTGTAAAACAAGTTTCTCCACATATTCAGACATGGCAGGTATGACGACTGTTTTACTTAGGCTGTGCTCGCACCAAGGCACCGTCTCACACTGGTAAAGACTGGAGGCGAGTGTCCTTTGACATACAGGCCATCCAAGCAGCCAGTTGTGTGATAGAAGGTAGCTTAAGCTTCAAGTGTAGTTTGTTTAACCAGGTGAGAATTCAAGAGACGAGGGAAAAAGGACAAAAGCTATTACGTGAAAACAAGCACAACCCAATAGAAAATGAGGAAAACTAAATATACAAAGCAATAATTGAAGAAGAAATTGTGTATTTTGCACAAAATAAGTTAAAATAAAATAAATTGACTAGCAAATCGTGGTTGGACAAATTGCTTTCAAAGACCATTTTTAGTAACATTAAGTTCCATAAACATCAAAATGGAATGAGGGTGATTATATGTATGTTGAACGTCTTTCGCACAGTATGTAGCCAGCCATGCTAATTGGAGGTGCGAGTTAACACATCCAAGTGAAGTTTTCACAGAATCCACAGATCAGCATGAAGTTGAATAGGCCGTAGAGCACCCAAGGACACGTTTTAAGCAATGGAACAATAGGTGTTTGGGCCATTAACAAGTCAACTCACGCAAACTACTTAAACACCGGGTAGACTTTTAGAATATATATGCACCAGATGAGCATCTTACGTATTTTAGTTTTTGTATAGTGTGAAACTTGTTTGATGGAAACCTAATGTTTATATTTTCTGTTTTTGTAGCTCAAACACCCAAACATTGTAAAATACTACAAGACATTTGTGGAAGGTAAGTACGCATGGATATCATGTTACATTTATTTCCCAGATACAAAACAGGTTAAGCTAAAATTCATAACACAAAATAATATTTTTTGTCATTGTGGAGAATATAAGTGATAAAATAGCCAAGCAGACAATTCACCTCCTCATATCTGCCCCTACGGAAAAAAATATTAACATTTATTTTACATGAGGTTTTTTGGGGTTATTTATTTACACATCATATCAGTTACACGGTCTTCTGAGAGTGCATAATTTCAGCAGCATTGGTTGAACACAAGGAAATGCTGGATCGGTTTTGTATGTATATGTATGTATATGTATGTATATGTATGTAGCACTTATTTTGAACCGTACGTAGCCAACCATCCTAATCGCAGGCACGGTTTTGATATTCGGTATCTCATCAACAGAGTGAGGCTTGCCAATTCTGGTGAACTGCCAATAGTTTATAGGCGAAGACTCTCTGTTAGATATGGGTCCTAGTTCTATAACAGTTTATTTTGGGAAAGGCCCATTGAGGTATAAAGCACTTGTTCAAGGCTGATATAGTAGCAGGAAAAACGATACAATGCACATCACAAGATAATCATTAGTGTCGTTGAGAATATAAGTCACATGATAAATAAGCACTATAATACAACACTTTACTGTGTGTGTGACAGAATGTGTCTCTAACACCCTGAGTTTCAGCTGCTGAACACTACTGCACACCACACACCAGTGGTGGTTCTTGTGAGAACAGAGCCCATTTCTCGACGAGAAAACGCACACAACCTTTGCATTGACCCTTAATGTTAGTACTTACGAATTTGTGTGGACATTGATGGTTTAATAATATTGACCCAAGCCTATGTATCAAATGTGAGAAACAGATTTGACTGCTGGTATTAAATACACTGCAGGACAAAAGTGACCAGAAATACATTCCGAACTTTTCTCACTCATCACCGTAGTTTGCTGCCCAACAGTAGCAACAGCACGTTTGTAATATGACTGCATCATCTGTGGGCAGTGGTTGAAATCAGCTAGTTTATGACAGGCGGCCATACCAGCACTTCTTAGAACACCAAACACGTAAACTGGCACTTTTCAGAACTGTTTCTATGTCAATATTTTCACAGAGGGAAAACTACATGAGTTTCATACCAGGATATTTTCATTTCGAATGGTATCTCTAGGTTAATATAAGAAGGGATACAGATGCACAGCATTGTCACTAGACATGAGTTTGTGTGTGTAGATGACCGCCTGTACATTGTGATGGAGCTTATTGAGGGAGCTCCACTGGGAGAACACTTTAATGCTCTGAAGGAGAAACACGAGCGCTTCACGGAGGAACGAATTTGGAACATCTTCATCCAGGTACACACCAGCATGCCACGAGTGGCATACTTCATGCATTGAATCCTCATATATGTGGTTGTAGGGTAGGGATATGAGCTTTTCCACACCAAAACCCCAACATATTTATCTGTCAGCTGAGGTCTATCAAAGTTGTGCAGTATTCTGGAATGTCGTTCACAATATCGGTACCAGATCTTGCTACAAATCAATTCCTGCCACCCGAACACAGGTGCCAGTTCCCGGACTGCCTGGGTCATAGCTGGACAGGTGGCAACCTTAATGTAAGGTCACCCTGGATGTTAAAAGCAGAGTCCTGTTAAGGCCATACATTACTTTAGCATCTTTTAACTCTGGGAAAAGGTTTTCACTGAGGAGTCAATCGTGCAAGAATGTTTTGTAATGCATAATGTGCTTTGCAGATTTGCCTGGCACTGCGTTACCTACATAAGGAGAAGCACATCATCCACCGAGACCTGACTCCTGGCAACATCATGCTGGGGGAGAGCGACCACATCACCATCAGTGAGAGAAGACACTCGTCGACAGTTGTTACATCCAGTGCTTACAGATAAAAGAGCTTAGAACACATTTTCATTGCTGTAATGATACTGTAAGAATATTTGTACATATTCATCACTGGGACAGAAACCAAATAATATGTTACACAGAGTAATCGTTTGCATTGTTGTGGAGAATATAATTAACAAAATAAGCAGAGAATTTGCCTCCTTCCCAATCCATCCCTCCACATTAAATATAAAAGCATTTTTTACATATCCTATCAGTTATATAATTTGTTGACATTCTGGGGAATATAACCGTGTTTACCGTATATAACCCGCAGACGCATATACCCCGCAAAAATAGAGTTTTGTGTAAAACAAGTTTTAGATAGCCCGCACCTCCATATACCCCACACGCATTCATATCTTTAACGTCGTTACCGCAGCTTAATTCCATTATATTAATACAAAGTTTACATTTGTAATACATTCCACTATCAATTTTTAACATTCAAATCATAACGTGCACAAAGAAAACAAACTAACCGGAAATGAGTGAACTTAAAACAGTAAATAAGTAACAAAAGTAAATATCCAATAAATAAGTAACACATAACTGGTAGATACCGTAATGTTAGGCTTACCAGCATTCGACCTCATTATATTACAGCTACCGGACCGGTAGTTACCCCTGTACAGTTTCAGCACTGGTAGATTGCTCACTGCGCAGACAATAGCGGCACTATGGTAACGCCATTGCCTCCTGGCAACAAAGCCATTGGAAGTTTGAAACAAAGCTCATGGTCGCGACTGTATAGTGCTCCGCCAATAGCAGCGGCCTAAGGGACTCGGCAATTATGATTCCGCCTCTGGTAGACGCTTGTTAAGGCCCTTCCCATTGTGTAATCCAGAGCCTCAGCTGGAACTTTCGCACCCCCCTACAGCCACTGAAAGTATTACGGTAAACAAAGTGCGCCCACTTCAAACATTGTCGTTTCATTGTACAAACAATTGGATTCATTTAAAACGTGATAACATGTGCAATTTTAGTGTGAGTGGTTTATTCAGCAGTGATTAAGTCAAAGGTAAGTGTTGCATATTGGATAGTCCTACCATGAAAACATTAAACGAGTTATGACATGTCACACGTGTAAAATATTTTTGGGATAGCCCGCACCTCCATATACCTCGCAGGGTCTTGTTTTGTTTGTAAAAAGTGGTATACCCCGCAGGTTATATGCAGGAAAATACGGTAGTAATATTAAATTGTGTAATAATGCAGTCTTGGAATTTGTGTTGCCAAGCGGACTTTGGGCTGGCCAAGCAGAAGCAGGAGAACAGCAAGCTGACATCCATGGTGGGCACCATCGTCTATTCCTGGTGAGCTGCTCACTCTCACAGCATCAGAGATTTGTGTGCTAGGGCTGGGCTATACAGGGCTTTGTGCTCTCTGCTTATGTATGGTAGGACTAAGCCACAGGGCTCTGTGCTCACTGGCAGCTTGCCTGGTATTTACGATAATGAGCCAAGAATGTCTGTGTGTCCCACGCGTGACGTCACTCCACGTTGGCCAACCCCCTCATTGATACTCATGAACAGGTGACGTCCTCCACATGGACCCTCCCCTTCATTAATAATAATGAGCGGGTGACGTCACTGCACATGTAGAACCCCCCCCCCCCCCCATTATAAATCCGGAGCAGGTAACGTCAGTCCACATCAAGCACCCCTCCACATTAATAATCATGAGGTGACGTCTTCCGAATGGACACCCCCCACCATAAATATTAATTAGCGGGTGACATCACTCCACATAGGGGGGCGAGGCGCCTCCTCCCCCTCCTCAGCGTCAACTTACAACCCTCATTACAAAGGCAGAACCCTCACGTCACGTGATCTCCGTAACGCTATTGAGACATAGAAGTGAAAAGGACGTCATGATGAACAAGGGATTATAACCTTTAAATGAAATAAGTCTGTGTCACCGCGGCGTTACAAATTGCACACGAATTGATGCAATGAATATCATGTCGCGGTCTGCTTTTCGCTTGCAAGTTTCAGATTTACTGAAATACACCCGTCCTTGGACGGGCAAAAGGCTAGTTATGAATATTCACCCAGGTATGCAACACAAGGGAGCTGCTGTGGTTTGATTCCATCTTCCAGCACGCTTGTTGAAAAAATGTCCAAGAATCTCAGATCCCTCTAGATTTTAGAAACCTTTCCACCCAGCAGTTGTATGTGTGTTGAACTTCTTTCGCACCTTACGTAGCCAACCGTGCTAATTGGAGGTGCGAAAGGACAGCAAACTAAACACAAAAGCACTTCTAAATAATTACTTAAAACTTTCGTGACTGCAGGAATTCATGTCCTCCTGATGACGATCGCTTGTGTTGTGATCGAAACGTCGTGATTTTTTATTTAATATTTTATTTCTATCTACGTGACTTTACCGAAAAAACCAAAGAATACAGTTCTAAATAAATACATTTTATTTAGATTTAAGTGATTAGCTCCAGTGGCTTCCTAATATCAAAAGAAAGAGCGTTCCAGACGGCCGAAGAAGCGCATCTGAAAGTGTGTGATGCAGTGACTGTCTTTTTTCGATGGTTAGCCAGTTTCAATGAGTACACCACAGTTATGTGATCAGCACGTGTGCTCAATGTGGAAGTGTAGCTGAAATACCCTCCAGAGCTCTCTCTAGTGGGTACCCTCCCGCTAGTAGCGTGAACAAGCAATTTCAGGGCCGCACTTTTACCACCTTTACCTGCCACACAAGACAATCCACACAGGATCCACAGCGCTGTGATTGTTTACACATTTATACTGTGTATACATGTCTGCTTGTGTGTATGTGTGCAGCCCAGAGATTTTGAAGAATGAGCCATACGATGAGCGAGCAGATGTGTGGGCAGCTGGGTGCATCCTCTACCAATTGGCTATGCTCACACCGCCATTCTACAGCACCAACATGCTCTCCCTCGCCAGCAGGGTGTGTATCTAACACCTGTCATCAGTGCCACAAAGCCACAAAAAATTTGAAGTGATTTCTTGCTCAAATGAGCATTGAGGCGTTGCTCATCTCCTGTTTATAGCCCTGAGCCAGTGGTGGAAATTCCAAATTTCTATGGCAGAGGTGAGTCTGTCCAGAGGACAAACAACTACTGTTGATTTGCTCACAAAGTGGAACTCATGTTATCGACCCCAGAGGGAAGAGTCAACCCCAAACGAGGAATTTAACTCGATATATTCTGATCTTGAGCCATTCGCTCTACCGCTGAGGCACCTTCCGTGATAATGATGATACTAACAACTACATACTAAATCTAAATCAATAATAGCTAGCCCAGACCATAGCTATGACTTAAACTAACAAACTTTTACTATGATCAACTATAATCCTATCTGATGCTAACACACAAATGGCCCACATCAACAAATCAAATAACTTTATCAAATCACATTGAAACAAAACCTCTGCATGAAATCTAGTACCATGACTCTCAAGACTTTTCTCCGAACTCCCTACAGCACTATCTAATTTGCCAAACAAGTGTCTCTTGTGTAGTGTACTAATTCACAGACACTAGTAGGAGGTACTCTCTCTCTTTTATTCCGGCCTTCACAGCCTTAGGGGATAACTACATACTGGGTCGATACAGCCAACATGCTGCCAGACCCACAGCAGCCCTGATTGTGAGTAGGAGCTCGCCTTTTATTCTGCCCAGCATGGCCAGGCTCCGGCCCCGCACCCCTCTGGATCCCCCAGAAGGCTCCGTGCCTTGCCCACAAGTCCAACTGGTAGAACGGGCTGCTACCTCTAATTCCATTGTCTCCCAATCTTCCAGCGGCACGCACTACCACTGTGTACAGTGACTCATTCAATGTCACTACACTTGCATTAATTTGATTACTTTCCATTGCATGGATGTAAATATTAAATGTGCAGCTGAATTACAATAATTCCACACAATGCTAGCACCATGATGTTGTTTGAATGTGACTGGTGTGATTTTATATACATGCAGATAGTGGGGGCGACCTATGAGCCAATCACCGAAGGACTCTATTCGGCCCAGCTCAGCAAAACCGTACGAAGGTGAGCTCCTCCTTACGTTGAACCTTCCCATCGTTTGTTTAGAATGTCATCACACTGTCACTATGGGTACCATCTTTCTCTGTGAGTATCTGGGGTTGTGTTTTGCTCGATATTTGGGCAGTGTGTGCTGTTGCGGTTTTGTGTTGCTTGGTTTTTAATCGGCTGCTTAATCCTGTGTGGGAGCTACCTCGACTATTGCCCCATACGAAGCTTCGGGTTTAGAGAGGGCTACACGGGCACAACACAGACTGGAGAAGAGATGAGTTGGTGTGGTACAGGAGGATGTGGAGCTGATTGGACTTGCCAATGACTGATATCAGCAGTGTCAAGATCGGCCACTGTGGAGGAGGCTCAAGAAGGATGCTACTGGGCAGCTGGAGGCAATTGATGTCCAATAACAATAGAGGATGGAGGAGCAATGCTCACAACAATGAGCTGAGCACCCAGACATCTAAAACATGCAAGTTGGCATAGTGGGGAGCACAGGTGGTGCATCTGTCAGTAATCTCGGTCAGTTAACCTATAACACCTGAGTCTGACTTCCTGTCAGCATGTATGTATGTATGTTGGACTTCGGACGCACTGTACATAGCCAACCATTCGAATCGGAGGTACAGGGGAAGGACGACAAACTAAACATGAAAGCAGTTCTAAAGCAATGAGTTTTCAATCTAGATTTAGTGATCTACCATCATTTCACATGGCCTAATAGTGCATTTAGCCTGGCACAAGTGCTGTTGTGATGTCACCACCACATAGTGCCAAATGGCAACTGTTGTTATTATGTGTGATTGTGCTGACCGCTGCTCCATGAGAGAGTGGGCCTGGCATTGACTGAGTGGGCGGTCGAGATTGGTTCGTTTTACCGTAGAGGTCACGTTAGGAGATGTTGACGTCGTTCAAAACGATCTCGGCCGATCCCACCCGGCTGTCGTGGTGATGGTTTCGTAAATGCTCTGCGCGGGTGTGGCGGGACAGGTGTCTCAGTCCCGAGGCTGGATTGCGCCCGGACGTGGTGGAGGTGTGCGCAGGGCTGTCGGCGCGCCTCATGGCTCATGCAGATGCCCTGGGAGCCAACTGCTGTGACATGGAGCACCGCTTGGAAAGGGAGCGGCGCCGTACTCAGCGCCGTCTAGCGCAGGCCCACATGCACGCACATTGTTGCCTGGCACAACAGGTAGCCATGCTCACATTCACACTCACGTTAAATTCTGTGGAATAGCAATGCTACGATATATATCATACAATATAAGGTCCACAAAAATGTTTCTGTTTTGCACAACGTTAAAATTTTTTCTTGACAATATTTCAGAATCCAATAATTGAAGTTCACAGGAATAATAAACGTTCTCAATAAATAAATAATTTTCCAACTATTTTGTGCTTCGTAAAAACAATTCTGGAGTAATTGACAGAAAGTACATTATAATGATTTTGGATCGAGAAGTTGTAATTATTAGAAGGCTTGTAGCAATGTTATGTTGATTGAAAAACAGTTACAGAACATTTTAATGATATTTATGCATACATTAAAGCACAACAACTGAAGTCAGAGGGGTTTCTTGCTCAAGTGAGTGTTGAGGCAGTGCTCAGCTCCTGTTTACAGCCCTGAGTTGGTGGTGGAAATTCCACTCCTATGGCAGAGATGAGCCTCTCAACAAGACAACCATGGTTGAATTCCCACAAAGTGTTACTTATTTGGTCGACTCCAGAGGGATGACAGGCTGAGTCACCCCCCACCAGGATTTTGACTTGCAACTATCTGATTTGCGAGCTGCTCATTCTGTTGCTCAGCTACCTGGCCAGAGATTATCTCTCTGCGAGTTACACCGCCATTCATTGCCTCAATGTTAATGCTTCTTGATATAAACTGTGACTGGAATCCAGATTAAAGGAACCTATGTTTCTGCTGCCTGTCTGCCCTTGATTAAGATGAAGGATTTTCTTGCATTTGGAGTTCAGTAGGTTGCCATTCACACCTGAATATGACCTAGCCCGTATGTGTATATGTGTGTGTTCGGTGGGTGCAGGAGCAGGAAGGCAAGGGAGGCAGCTTGGAGAGCAGTGGGGGTGCATCAAGCTTGCGTAGTGAAGAGGGCTGGGAGGGGGGGGGCACACTGGGCGTGGATTGGATGGAAGGGGGGGGGAAGCCTGGGTCGGCCCTTGTGGAGGAGGGTCTGGTGGGCCTGCCGTGTGCCTTCACGCTGGTGCCCAAAACCTGTATCGACCACGCAAAGAGGGGCGCCGAGTCACCAATCTATGGCACGTGCATGTACCGCCACAGGCAGCCACAATTTTTGGAAACATTAATTTGAAGAAGAGTTGCCCATTGTATGCTGATGTTCCAGGCCAAATTACTTACACACATATATTGATCGGCACTTCCTAATACGAAAAGTTGGCAGGACCCTCCTGAAAAAGAGTAATCAGACTCGGTGAGGCTTTCCTGGGTAAACGAACATGATGATAATAATAACTTGGCTCTCTCCACTGTTGCGGCATGTGGATAAGGTTTGGAGGGCGAGGACTCGCTTCTGACACCACCAGGGCCCTCCAGCACAGTGAGCAGCCCGTCCAGGCAGCACCCATCAGCGGAGCGACGCCGCTACTCTCGCTCTGCCGACTCCATCTGCAGGGGTAGCTCCAGACCGCGACCTCGTGAGTTTCCTCGCTAATTCATTCACTTGTGCCTGTCTGCTGCTGCACAAGCGTAAATAAAATATGGTTCTATATAGCATCTGTATGTGACCGCATCTGAGGATTTTAGTGATGTTGATGCTGACAGGCTGAGAGATGTTCACACAGGCATGAGTTGTGATCATTTACAATTGTGGTGACCAAAGCATTTGCGTCCATCCGCACAGTCTGTTGAGTCGTGAGCATCAGGATGAGTATTGTGATGAGGCCCCATGGCTGTGTGACCTCCAGGAGCAACGCGGGCCGTGTTGATTATGTCCAGGGTCAGGAACGGGCATTGCAGTGTCACAGCGCAAGGTGAGGCAGATCTCGGATCCCATCCAGCAGATCCTCTTGCAGCTGCACAAGCTTATCTACATTTCACAAGTACGTGACCCAAACCTCGCCAATTACTGCTGCAGTGCGACACTTTCTGTACACAGTGGTATAGCTAACATGTGAGCAGGCGGTGCCGCTGTCCTGGTCTCCATGGGCTGGAGGTGCCCAAGTGCTGGGCGACAATTTGAAGGCGATAATTGTACCGGGTTGGGGAGGGGGTGCCAATTAATTCCTCGTACAGTGCTCATGCCGACCCCCCTACATCACTCGCTGTAGAGCTGTGTTTTACCATTGTTGATGCACATTACATTTAAGAAGGCAAGTTAAATGTATAAAGTATGACTTAGAAGTTAAGTCCTGTCACAGGATATTGCACTAAAAGCAATAACAATACAGCATGTATAGCATGCAAATGTGTGTATGTTGAACTTATTTTGCACTGTACGTAGCCAACCTTGATAATTGAGGTGGGGGGGAAGGATAACAAATATTAACTCTTAAGGCTAGTTTGATTGGTATCTGCAGGGCCTACAAAAACTGAAGGGCCAACGATAAAAAAACAATTTTTTTGTTTGTATGATAAAAGATGTAAGCAAGATATCTTCTTGAATAAATATAATTATGCTCGTTGCAATTTATGTGCTGTGATAACAAGTCGTTGACTCGTTGTGAGGCATATTACACCTACAATAACAGTTTAACTCGTAGGCTTTTGTGACCAGTATTATTAATCATAAAGGTTTTTGGGTTAGATCGCGTTGTTATAAATGTGTGGCAACCCTCCACCACCCGACACGGCCAATCACACCGGTGGGCTGAAGAAGTAACTATTTGTCTTTTGTCAACGTGACACATTTTTTACTGATTGGCCGTGTCGGTTGGTGGAGGGTTGCAACACATTTATAATAACGTGATCTAACCCAAAAATCTTTATTATGGACCTAAAATAACAGTGAAACAAACCTCTAAGCTTAAACAAAAGTAAAGCAATATGGTACTCACCATGCGGTCATCCTGTCAAAACATTTAATTTGTTATCGATGAAAATGAACGGCATTCTTTTCAGGCTGCGTCATCCGATATGATAATCACAGTAAAAAATAGTTGGATACATTTTCGCTTTTAATTTTTTATAGGCTTACTTAGTTTAAAAAAAGAAATAATTTCAATTTCAATCTACTTATCTACGGCACAGCACGCTCCCATACAATTAGGGCAGAGACTAAATAATGAGCATATCAGCAACGACATCTGTTCAGCGCCTCGACGAAGTGCGCGTGAAGCAAGCGAGTGACAGTGGCGGTAGTGACATTGACAGCAGTACCAACTCTGGTAAGTTATCACTGAACACCTAGGAAACAGATGTGCCTAGGGCCTACAAAAACCTTAATCTGGCTCTGGGTGTCTGCAGTATCATTCAGGATAACTTTTTATCGCTAATGTAAGCATCTATAAAAGTGAGTCCCAACCCTTCTGAACTCGTGTTAAAATGGCACCTTTTAAAATGTTTTCATGAACCACTGTGCATATCTGTTTATAATGGCTTTCTGTCTTTACTTATTTTCAACCGTCTTTCTCACTTCTTCTTTACTTGGTTGTTAACTATTTTCCACCTTGCCATGCAAGCGCCCTGAGAACGATTGTTTAAGGGCGCTTTATACATTGAAATAATATTTTTTTAAATCTGGTGTTTGTTGAAAAACATAATGTTTGCAATAGTTTCGCAGACCACCCACGTGGCCTTGTGGACCACCAATGGGCTGGCACCACAGGTTGGGAACTACTAATCTAGGCAGTGGCTCCATACACTTCTGCTGGTTAGTTTTACTTAAATGTAAGATTTAATTTATAATGATTTCACAGCATATGCATTTAATGTGTCTTTTTCAAATGAACGCTTCTCCAGTTTGGTAGTTCTGTGTATTGTGTAGTTGTGTGTAACAGAGCCTAGCCATAATGTCTCCTGTATTGGGCTTTAGCTTCCTCCATCGCTGACGCACAACCGGTCACGCAGGGCTGTGGAACGTTTCAAGAAGTCGCTCTTCAGTCCCCACAGCAATGCTTGCAATCTCAAGAGTGAGATTCAGAAGGTTTGGTTTTGTTGTTTTAACATTCATTCAACAAATTACAGGGTGATCCATTTATAGATAAAAATAATGGGAAGAAATGAATGACAAAACAACTTGTTACTTCAAAGCCTCTACATTTACCACCATTCTCATAAGTCAAATGATCATTGATACATTGATGTTCATCTTCTGAGCCAGTGGTGGAAATTCCACATTCCAATGGCAGAGGCAAGTCTCTCTATAAGACAACCACTGTTGACTTACCCATAAAGTGGTACTAATTTTTATCAACACCAGAGGGATCATGAGCTGTGTCAACCCCCAACCAGGATTTGGACTCGCAGCCTTGGAATTGCAAGGCCCTCGATCTACCCCTGAGCCACCTGGCCGGTTTTCTCAATACATTTGTTGACTACTTTAGCACTCTTCCCTGTAAGATAGGGAGCCATCACTTTAACAATATTCAACAATCTGTTGAGAAGAAAGTAAGAGGGACATAATAAATCACTGGGGCATCTATGGTTGGATCACCGTCATTTTAATTGATCTTGAAACGCATACTTTACAAGTCTATGTGGGTCTGTGTTTTGCATGGCTATGGCAAGTTGAGCTTGAGAAGCATCGTGAGTTGTTGGCCGCGTGTTCGTTGAGCAGGTGGTGCAGGGTTCCCAGGAGGTAATCGACTTGGGCTGGGCCCTGGCGAAGCCTGGCGTCTACTGTCAGAGCAGCTCCAGCTCCCAGCTGAGCTCGGGGGAAACCCATCGTGAGGGACAGCACCACCATCAGCTCACTCCCTCCACCGATCTTCACTCGTCGCCGTTGACCTTGGCCAGTGCATTACAAATACTGATGAGAGCTACAGTTATGTTTAACAAATATTCAACACCTTCATCATTAACACCATGGCCTTAAAAGGAAAAAATATATATAATAGATGACGTTTCGGGCAACGACCCTTCAGAGTGTTCATGACGAATGTCTTACATATTTGTTATTTGTGCACCACTTCCAATGCAGTATCACCAAATAATGTGTTTGGTTAAGTTTGAGTTAATCAATATCTCCACCAAGAATTAAAAGAAAACCCACTTTATATTCATTGGATTTTTGGAATACAGTACACGATCGACTCTTAAGACCCTTGTTAAAGTCCAAATGATAACCACAATGGACGCTACAGCATAGTAGAAGCATGGTACGATTTTAATGCAATTAATCCACTGTGCTTTAACAGAAGTTCAGTGTTTTACATGATGATAGGTTTAGATGTCTACGTCATGAGTACCCAGCTGTGTTTCTGTGTCCAGGTTATTATGATGGCGATGACAATCAGGAAGGCATCACTTATGGGCAAATGCAGGTAACTACTCTTGGCACCTTTGCTGCAATATTATTTGTTGGTGTTTGTGAATCATGCTTGGAGCTCCGATACAGCGCGGAAGAAGTGTCTGAGCTGTTCACAGTCATCAGCATTCAACCGGTATGAGGTTAAAATATGTGGACACAACCAATGGAATGTGCTTACACTTTTCTGTTGCAGTGTATGATTGAAGATGTGCTCATGGAGAGTGGCTACTACAGTACAGGCCAAGCCACCCGGTATGAAAGTGTGTGGGTTATCACATCCTTTCACTCCTAAATTGCTTCTATATCAACTTTCAAGTGTATTTTGTTGAGCCAAACTCAAGAGACCAGGATAACAGAGTCTCAATTGCAAGAATGACCGGGTCACCAAAATGATAAAAGTAATAACATAAACAAAGTGTGACAGTGAAGAAAATAGCAATCAGAGCAAAAATAACTGCATTACATAAAACATTTTTATAAAGATATTGTATGCACATAAATAAGTGTGAATTGAAATGCATGTCCTGAAATAAAAGTTGGCTACGACAAATTACTTTTAAAACTTCAGAGCAAAATTAACTTCCAGAATAATTCAAGCAGCTTTAGCGTGATTGTTGCACAAATGTGTAAACAGAAAAACATATATGTCACTGCATCGCGCACTTTGAGATGTGCTTCTGCTTTTCGTGTTTAATTTGATGTCCTTCCAGCGCACCTCCGATCAGCACGGTTGTTTATGTATGGTGCGAAAGAAGTTCAACATACATACATTTGTGAGATGGAGAACTGAGTGATTGTGGTAACACCACGCTCTGTTATAGGCACCAGGACTTGGAATCTTCAACTGTGAGGGCCCTGCTGTCTTGACACGACCCAACACTGCTCGTTGGCAGAGTTCCTACAACAAGAAGACTCTGCCATGGGGAGAACCCCTCCACAGGGACCACTTCACGAGGAAGCTGTGGCCCCATGGTTCTCAGCCAGCTGCGGGTAGTCCTGTTGCGTAGCACAGCCTGGCAGACATACTGATGGTGTGTCAATAGCCTGCAAAAGTTCCATATGCATGGTAATTTACACAGACACTGTGCTCTTTTCTACGGGTTCAGATGGAGTCCTCTTAAGGCAACAAAACACCTGAGAACACATTTTCTAAAATAGTCCAGAATTAATAGGTAAAGCGTACACATTGACATTGCACTTTATCACCGTTGAGGCTCTGGATACATTATATAACTCCTTTAACTTGGGCTAGTTTTTTTAAAACTCAATTACAGTTAATTCTCAATGATCCGTGGGCAGACCATTCCCTTTGAGTTTTAAGCTTGCTTGCAAAAATATAGAATATCTCTCCACATGTGTTTGTATAGTCATTCGCTGCTCCTCACTCGTCAGTCGATGGTCAGTGACTGGGTGCCTATGAGAATGCAAGCACGTCGGGAAGCAAATGGATTAGTTTAAGAAGCAATCAAAACAGATGCCACATTCCGCATTTTCACCCCCATTTTCACCCCCATTCTGCATAGCTAAACAATGCATATTTTTATTGCCTAATCTGCACATGTTTTGATTATCCGTGTTTTTGTTTCATTTGGGCCACCCCTCCACCCTGCATTACCCTGGGTAATTAGCCGGTGACGACTATTTAATGCAGGTGAAGAAACTTCAGGGGAGCCGATATGAGTATTACAGCGCAGACTAATCTAAATTTAGTCGTGTTAAAAACAGTATGGCAAGTCTTGGCTTGACAAGTCGAGGAAGCATTTTCCAGTTTGGAACATTGACTTGTGCACATGCTCCGTCGTGGAACCAGAATCATGCATTGATGAAGATCGATTCATGACCCAAATGATACGCACATCAAATTACATGCCCAAGAATGGTTTGCTTTTGATTATGCTCATTTTATGCTATGTAAATGCACATACCTATGTAGCACATACAGATGAGCCATGCAATGTAGACAGAATGACATAACCAAATTAGGACGTAACATACAGTGCGGATGGATAAAAGTAAAAAAGGACAAAACAAACCAAAGCACAGATGAAACACAAATAACAACACATACAAGACATTACAAAGGAACGTCCAAGAGTATAATCAGGGATTATTGATACATTGCATAAACTGTTGGTATAAGAAGGCAGCTGCGCTTTATTCGAGTGGATGTTTATCCCATTACGTGCATTATAACAGCGATTCTCAATCATTTTTGTACCCAGGCTTAGTAGAGCCACAGTTCAAACGTCTTCCGAGGCACTTTGAGAACCCCACAGTGGGGCAGTGTTGTAGCTGTGTGGGCTTATCAACGTCTGATTTACTCTTGCGCTGGTGCAAGCTGGATCAGCAGGAGAATCCACTGTGAATCCAGTTGTCTTTCACAGACCCCCTTAATGATGCCTGCGTCCACTTCGGGGTCAACAGACTTCCCAGTTTAAAAACTCCTGCCTGATAGTGTTCTCATGCTGCTAAAACGATTATTATAATATGTGGTATCCATGAATTGGGCAAACCAAGAGTGATTTGATCGTGGGAGAAATCACTCTGAACATTTTAATTTGAAGTGGCCAAGATCGACAGTCTTTCAGTATCCAGATTGATGCACCCAGGAAATGTATGGTGCACATTTTAAATGAACTCAGGATTTCTGTGCAACACAGAATGTTTACGTTTGTGTATAGTGTTGACGACAAAGTGTGCGTACGCGCTGGGCTATGGCTTACGAGCAACTCATGCTCATCTCTTTGTTTTTATACCCTAGTTAACTTGCTTCTCTGTATACAGTTCAGTAGTGTTTGTAGTGTTGGGTATGCTGCGATAAGCTGTGTGGTTTGGCAACTGTAATAACCACGGCTTAGTTTCTCACCTAATATCCCCAGGTCGCTGGTAGACGAGTAAATGGCACCTAACCAGTAGCCACAGCCACACCGAGAGGTATATTGGATGTGCTGTGTCTAGTATGGAACTGCTTAGTATTCTAGTGTTGAGTGTTTACTAAGGTTTAATCGGTTTGTAAAACTTAAGCATGGGTCCATAAGCTTGGGTTTGTGGTCTTGTAATGCACTTTGAGTACCAATGTGGGATGGTATATCCATTATCTCACCACCATAGTCCATGGTCCAGAGCAGAAATTGGGACCACCTAAGGCAGCAAAGTTTCAGTCGTACCAATGTATTTATATGGCTAATGATAACCCACTAATTTCAAATGGTTTTCACAGAATCAATTGTTATTGGCCATGTAAATAAATTGTAGCCGTGAGAGTTACGCCGCTGCAGGTGGTGCCGACGAGAGAAATGTCTCGTCTTGACTCGTGGCGCTGTAGCTTATGGATCGGTGGTCGCTGTATCAATACACCTGTGTCTGGCATGTGTTCTGAGCTTATTTGAACTCTTGTTTGCATTATCAAGTTGATCAAAAGCCCACGGTCTCAGTTTTGGTCAGAATTTTAAATGATTGATGGTAATTGTAGATTTACATTGCGTAATGTAGATTTTTACATTTTAAATCTAAATTTACGTTGCGTTTCCACCAAGGGTATTTTGTATGAACAGTTGCTCGCATTTAAATGGATTTTGTTTTAAACTGTGCAAAAATAAACTCCTTATTGTGGTGAATTGCTTATGATTAAATGTTTATATAATGTCTTTTCAACGTCACACTTTCAAGCTGGCTTTGCGGCACGACAATGTCCAACTGCGTATGCATAGCTGAAGAAGTTGAGAGGGCTGGGGGTGGGGGCTGATGACTGTCTGCGGTTAATGGTACAAAATTAGTTTGAGGAATGAGGTGTTTATTCTGGACATCCATGTTGTTCCACTCTGTTCATCAGTGTTCTTCAAGATCTGGGTGATATTCTAGGATGATAGCGTGATCCCAGAAGCGGGGGTCAGGTCTTGAGTTGGTGGTGAGGTACATTGGTGAGGTCTTGGTTGATGGTTAGGTTGTCGTTGGCAAGAAAACGTGTAAACTCTTGTTTTGTTTGCATGTCTGCATATATTTGGTGGCAGAATGTTCTCCACAACAGGGATCTAGGGGATTAGTATCGGTTTCTGTGCTGTGGTTGCGATGCACATTGCGTTATAGGTGCATCTAGCAGTTTTGTGTGCGAACTCCTGGACCAGCCTGGAGCGAAGTGACTGCCACTGAGTAGATCGGTGAGGGGGTGGCAGTTCGCAGTGCTTGGCGTTGTATGTTGAGTACCATGCACCACTGTGATATACATTATTATCTTGCTGACGTTATTGTTCGTGAGGTTCTAATAAACCCGCCCTACATTCAGTGCCACATTAAGCTATTGCGGGGCCTGTGGCATATGTTATAAAGGGACCCTAAATAAAAAAACACACATAAATATTAAAATATATGTTTTGCTTCCATAGTAAAGTAATTGTATTTTTCATTCGCTATACAGCCAGATAATATGACAAATCGCTAACTTTTAAACACCCAGTCGTTCGTAAAAGTTGGAGGCAGTATAGTACTATAGTAATAGAGCAAGTGCAAAATCACTGAACCAGAATGGATAGCTTGAAATCATTTAGCGCAGGGCCCTTGAAAGTGCGGGGCCCGTAGCATATGTAGCTACTTTTGCTACTAGGATAATCCGGCACTGCCTACATTGAAGGAGAAAACTGAGGCATAGGTCATTCCAGATCGTCGCGGTGGTCATTACACACGTGTACGAGAAAAAAAAACCAGTGGACTCATGATGGCCAGTTTGAGTGACACGGAGCAAATGAAAATCGGCCGCTGATGACTGCGCGGGAGGCAGCAGTTGTGTTTTGTCGAGATGCGTCCTGAGTGAAATTAACAAAACGAGGTCAATAATCCGCTGTGACAGCCTTCGCATCTCGCAGTGTGCCTCCCTGCAGCCCCGTGCTCCCAAACCTCGTGTGGGGAGGGGTGGCGAGGGTGGCTGATCGTCGTTCTGAACACTCTCCGTCATCCACGACTGTGGAGCCGCAACCCTGGTTCGGCAGGAGAAGGCGGTACAGCAGAGTGTGGACGAATCTCCATCTTCTTGGTTCTTTCGGTAAAGTCACGTAGAAGGGAAATAATAAAATAATACAAATATTTATTATTTGTATATTAATTGCTAATTAGCATTCTACGTGACTTTTAAATATATATTTATATTATTTAAATATTTCCCTTCTACGTTACTTTACCGAAAGAACCAAGAATATGAATCCCTGCAGTCACAAAAGCTTTAAATCAAAATTGAATCTCCATGTCTTCCATGTGTATACGATAGAAAACAAACTCCCAACACATTAATCGATTACACTGCATTAAAATAAAAAATAAAAAAGAGGGAACTCAGAAGGGTAATTTCCTGTAACATGCTGTCGTGTTTTCTGTGTTTTGTGCACCACTGCCAAAAACGCAGTGTCACCCAAATCTGTGTACAGGATAGGATAACGTGGCGTTGTCCCCTCACACGCACGGGGTTTCTCACTCTGCATGCGCCTCCGTATGATTGCGGATAGCACATAAACTATATTATATTCTTGCGCATGCCTGCCATGACCTAAGAATTCGTGTAGTCTCACCTATTAATGTAATTTTTGTCTGTCTGTCTGTCTGCATGTGGCCGACATTTGCGAGGGATTTGGCTTGCGAACTGTGGGGTTTATGTTTTGAAAAAGTACCCTGGTATAGCATGCCATAAGCCCCCTGGTGAGCCAGCGCTATTCCAATTTCATGTCCGTCACATTTAAAGTAGTTTAATTAGCAATTTCGAGCTGATTTTTTGTTACTGATTTATTACATTGTGCCTCTGAGCGTGCACCAAAGCACGCGTCTGCGCATGCGCGCCCCTAGCGACGCACACGCGTTCGGTGGGAGGGGATTCTCATTCGCGTTAAAATGCAACAAAAAACACGCAAGACTGAGGTACATTCTTCAAAGTGTGATGTCTTCTTCTCCACCTCTTCACCCCAATGTGTGCAATTACTACTATAGGGTCGGTAGATACTAATATTATAAAGCTTACGTAAAGCGGGCGGGGGGATGGTGCGGGGGGGGGGGGGGTAGCGGCCCAGCCCCAGCCTGCTAAGGTGCCACCTCGGCCGGCTGGGCAATCTAGGAAAGGCCGGGGCTTCTGCACGGGACTAGGCCTCACCACTACACTCTGTGAAGGGAGTACGATTATAGAGTCGATATATACTATTGTAGGGGGTATTGTGTGCATTACACGCGGTTACCACTACTTACCTGGTGTAGCGTCAGCCATGGGTCAACAGGGGGCAACGGCGAGTACAGCCTGTATCAAGTAACGCCGTTAGGCCGTAATGTCACAGGTTATGGAACGGGCTTTGGAGGAGCCGCCCAAAGGGTTCTTAAGGGGGGCCCCGTGACAGAGGCATGGTCGTCGTAGGGAGCCAGGGTAAAGATCGGCTGCAGAGAGTCTCTCCTCATCGCGGAGTGGTGTTGGCTGAACCCCCGCTCCAGGCAGACGAGTGGGAGAGCCAAGGGGATGGCCGAGGGTAGGGTCCCCTAGTATTCAGTAATTGTCGGCTGGAAGAGAGTCTCTCTCTCTCCTCGTCACGGAGTGGTGTTGGCTGAACCCCCGCTCTGGGCAGATGAGTGAGAGAGCCCAAAGGGTAGCCGAGGGTAGGACCCAAATAGTATTCTGTGTCCGGGGTAAAGGACCGAGATAGAGTGCACCTACACTGGCGTGAGCGTAGGATGTTGAGGGGAACAGTGTTTTATTAAACGGCAACAGCCCTTATAGAATTCCTCGTCTCCGTGTGGTTCTACTGCACTACATAAGTACTATATTCTTGCTTCTTTCGCTAAACTCACGTAGATAGAAAACTAATATTTAAAAATTAAGTTAGTAAATATTAAAATAATAATGTGTGTGTAAGTCCATGTGTGTGTGTGAGTCGATGTGTCTATCGTGGACAGTGCTGTGGGGGGAGGGCCAATGCCGATTGGCCTCTCCCCTCATGGGGTCTGTGACCACCACAGTGGCTAAACGGGGGCTCTGGATGGGTGTGAGGGGCTGGTAACCCCTCCACCTTCAATTAATTACCACCAAACCACGACTTAAATATGTAACTAATAAGCTTGTGCCGGAGGCCCCGGGAGGACAGGCGTCTATGACGTCTCCTGGCCAAACCCCAATTGGCGGAGCCAGGAGATTGAATCTTTATCCTCGGGGCTCCTCCAGAAACAACGAAAAGCCACTTCGTGTGGCCACTTGGAATGTTCGAACGCTCACTGCGGAGGAGAGGCTGCCACTCCTCTGTCGGGAGCTGGACCGGTACCGCCTGGATCTCTGTGGCATTCAGGAGGTCTGGTGGACCGGTTCTGGCTCCTGCCACCATTAGGGGTGGACAGTCCTCTACTCGGGGCAGGAGACTGCCAAACAACAGGGTGTGGCTCTTCTTCTGAACAAAAGAATGAAGGCGGCGTGGGAGCGTGGCGGTGCGGTGTGGGAAGCTGTAAGCCCCAGGCTACTTTGGGCTCGCCTTCCCATCAACGGGAGGCGAGGAGTGGTGGTTGTGGAGGGATGCAGGCAAAGGCGATGAGTCAGATGCCTTCTATGACCTCCTGTCACAGGTGCTGGCTAAAGTGGCCACTCGGGATAGAGTCATCTTGTTGGGTGACTTCAATGCCCGAGTTGGTCATGATGCTGGCACCTGGTCTGGAGTGATTGGAGGACATGGGCCAGATCAGCTCAATAACAACGGTAGGAGGCTGCTAGATTTTTGTGCAGCCCATGGGCTTGTAATTACCAACATGCTCTTCCGGCATCGGCGCATCCACACAACATCATGGATGCATGCCGGGTCCAAGCAAGAACATCTGCTGGACTACATAGTGACGGACCAGCGGATGCGAGCCCATGTCCTTGACACCAGGATCTACCGTGGAGCTGATCTGCCCTCTGACCATCGACTAGTCATCTGTAAGATGTGCCTGCCATTCTTCCACTCCGGTGGTGGGTGTACACCCATTACCCCATTCCAACCTAAAGTGGCCTGGTCTCAGTTAGCTGATGAAAGTTGCAAGCGAAAATTTCATCATCGCTTGCGGCTGGGGTTGGCATCGTCCCCCACTCCTCCTGATGTCGAGGGTAAATGGACGAGGTTTAGGACTGTGACTCATGCAGCTGCAATGGCTGCTTTGGGTACGCGGTCCAGATCTCCCCAGAGACCCTGGCTGACAGAGGAGGTGTTCAGGATAGTTGAGAAAAAGCGACAGGCCCACTCTCATCGGCTACAGCATCCCACGTCAGAGAATGAGGAGGCTTCCCGCAGCCTTCGCTCGGAGGTTCGGAGAGCCGTAAGGCGCTGCAAGGATGGGTGGTGGTCGCGGGTTGCTGAGGAGATGGAGTCTGCCTCAGTGGCCCGCGATCACAAATCACTATTTAATTCGATCAAAAAAGTAACTTGCAGCACCACACCTATTACCATCATTGGGGGAAAAAACGGTGATCCATTCTCCGACCCCCAGGAATAGTTTGCAGATTTGCTGAGCATTTCTGTGAAGTCCTGGGGGAGGGGAAATCCCTCGACATAGAAAACATCGTGAGACAAAGTGGGGATGACCCTGCTGAGGCTGCGATGCCTAAAATATTGGAAGAAGAAGTCACCCCCTGTGAGTGGCTGGCTGAGGTGCCATCTGTTGAGGAAGTACTAAAGGCGATCCAGAGTCTGAGAACAGGAACGGCACTGGGCAGAGATGATCTCCCAAGCTAAATGCTGAGGAAGGGTGGCATTTGTGCACAGACTGCCGTACATATCATAACAACAGTCTGGACCACTGGACCGGTTCCGCAGGATTGGAAGGATGCCCTTGTGGTCCCCCTCTTTAAGAAGGGGGGCCGCACAGACTGTAACAACTACAGGGGAATCTCACTCCTCAGTGTGCCGGGAAGGTCCTGGCAAGGAATATTCAACATCGCCTTGCGAGGCACGCTGAGGAGAGGCTTGCAGAGCCCCAATGCGGTTTCAGGAAAGGGCGGTACTGCACAGATGCCATATTTTCTGTCCGTCTGCTACATTAAAGGTGTAGGGAATTCCAACAAGACCTACATCTCTGCTTTATTGACCTGGTCAAGGCCTATTATACCATCAGTACGCCTGGGCTCTGGGTCGTTCTTCGTGCTTTCGGAGTCCCTGACCCTCTGCTCACGATCATTAAGGACCTTCATCATGGTAAACAGGCCCGGGTAAAACTACATGGCCAGGAGTCAGAGCCATTCACTGTACACCTTGGGGTGCGACAGGGATGTCCTCTGGCTCCAACATTATTTAACATCTATTCCGACCACGTAGTTCGTGAAGCCTTGAATAGCTGTACTGCAGGAATTTCCATCTGGTACAGATACAATGGGAACGCTGATCGATGCCCGGGTGCGGTCAAGAGATGGCTCCCTATTGGTCAACCACGTTATGTATGCCGACGACTTGGTAATTGCAGCTCAGAGGAGGAGATAGAAGCGCTGCTACTGAAACTGGAGTGTGCCACTAAGAGGTGGGGCCTTACCATCAGCCCCACCAAAACGAAGCACCTGCCTGGGTATTTTGTACTATCGGGCACTTCACCCCCACAACTCCCAATCGGTGATGGGGCAGTTGAGGAGAGAGTGGAGAGTTTCCATACCTGGGCAGTGTGCTCACTCCGAATCAGTCGAGCGCCGGGTGGCTAAAGCACAGCAAGTTGGCACAGTAGGGGGCACAGGTGATGCATCAGCCAGTCATCTCGGTCATCTCGGTCAGTCGACCCGTGGTACCTGGGTCTGCCCCGTGACCTCCTGCCAGCGAGCGTTCGATACTTCACGTGGCCTCAAAGTGCACATGGCCTGGCACAAGCGTCATGGTGACGTCACCGCCACTTAGTGGCGAATGGCGGTTGTTGTTGTGTTGTTGTACGTCTATATGTGTGAAAGTCGATGTGTTTGAGTCCATATGTGTGTGTAAGGCGATGTGTCTGTGTGTGTGGGTCGATGTCTGTGTGTGTAAGTCGAAGTGTGTCTTTTTCGCCCGTGCAACGCCCGGGTACTTCCCGCGAGTTTTACTATCAAGTATTTATTTCTCTCTTCTGTTTCAGTTTTATGTATTAGGTAAAGCCCTGTGAGCCATTCGGCTCTTGAATCTGGTGCAACCGCAACAAACAAAAAACATAAACAATAAAACATCTTGAAGTGACTATACGCAAACAGAAAAACCTAGGAAAAAACTGATAAATCTTCCAGAAAAAGCACCGTACACCAACACCGTGTGCGCAGACTACAGTGGTTTACTGTGTGGTCCAGAGTTTGGGTTGTATGGTCACAATCGCACTGTCGCTAGTCTTTAATGTATATCCATGTCTCACGGGGTTTGCTATGTGGGCCATAGCACGCTGTTATTGTGAGAGTCGGATACCAGAACACACTCAATACCGTCGCTGCCACTGCAACTGCTGCGCAGAGGGGGCGGGGCCTGTGCGAGTGGGCGGGGCCTGTGCGTGTGGGCGGGGCCTGTGCGAGTGGGCGGGGCGCGGGGCGGAACCCCCCCCCCCGCTCGGCGAGGACTTCCGCAAGGAAGTTGAGAGCCGAATGAGGAAGAGCGAAGAGTTGAGAGGAGAAACCACGGAGTTAAAACCACGGAGTGAGACCACAGCGGGAGACCGCGGAGTGAGAGAGGTGAGAGAGAGAGGTGAGAGAGAGAGGTGAGAGAGAGTGGTGAGAGAGAGAGAGGTGAGAGAGGTGAGCGGGAGTGAGAGAGGTGAGAGAGAGAGGTGAGAGAGAGAGGTGAGCGGGAGTGAGAGCCCACGGGAGTTGTGGCCACAGCGGGAGGCCGCGGACCATGAAAGTCACGGTCCGCTTTGGCCGCACGCGGGTGGTGCTGCCGTGCGGGGACGGCTCCCAGCGGGTGCGGGACGCGGTGACCGAGGCGGTGAGGCGCTACAGGAAGGCGCTGGGCAAGGTGAGGACACCCACGCACTGATCACTCGCTGGTCACTCGCTAACACACGACTCGCTGATCACACACACACGACTGATTGATCACCCACACGCAGCTCCACACGCAGTACATTGCGCACTCCACTTAGCAGTGCCTGCAGCGGTGCTTTGATCGATCCCATGGCTGTAACTACAGCTGTGCCAACAGGCAGCGCGATGTACACAGATGCGCCTCGCCAATTCCAGTCGTGGTACTCGCAGCAGCAGCAGCCAGACTCGTCATGTTTTTGACACGAGAGGAATCCGATGAGCTATAAAGCTGTTTTCACAGATGTCCAGCAGAGGCCGGTCAGAACGTTACAACAACAACAACAAAATATAGCCATTAGTAGCCACAGCAGCAGTCATCATACAGCAGCCCCAGTGTCATGTGTGTCACTCTTTAGCATGTCACACGTGACCATGTCACATGTGTCAGTATAAACAATGTCAAGTGGCCGTGTCACATGTGTCACTCCTGGATATGTCACACACGTATGACTGTCATCTGTGTCAATCTTCACAATGTCACTGTGATCGTGTCACATGTCATCTCTGCTCAGTGTCACACCTTCGCGTGTCACAACATGTGTAACTCTACACAATGTCGCACGTGGTGGCGGTGTTTCATGTCCTGTGTCTAACTGTGGACGTGTGGTTCCAGTTGAATAATGCGGCTTTACATATGTCGAGTGAACTTCTTTCACACTGCACGTAGCCAACCGTGCCAATTGGAGGTGCGGCTCTACCATGGCATCGTGCGGGCCTCCGTAGTGGTGCTCTTTGTAGATCTCCTCCGCTGTGCAGCAGCAGCAGCAGCGTCAATGGTAAGATGGCGTCAGCACCAATCCGTGCTGTCGACGTTCAGGTTCAGGTCCCTATGTGAGTTTCTACAAGTTGGGCGACATCTATGGCATCATTCATAATTGGCTTTTGGGTTAGTTCACGTAATGACCTGACCAAATTTGTGTCGTTAAGCCCCTCCACCACTCAACATAGCCTGTCACGTATACAAGCGTTTAACGTGCTAATATTGTATAAACCCTCTGGTCAGTTGAAGAACAATCCTCACAACTGACTTTAGCACTAAGATATGATGTTCCGTTTGAATCGTCATATGTATTTGTTCTCATGATGTTTGACGTAGTTTCAAATTAAAAGTCTTATAATTAATAAATATGGTGAGGATTCCTATTATTTGGGTCTTTCGGTAAAGTCACGTAACTTTACCGAAAGACCCAAAGAATATGAATTCCTGCAGTCACGAAAGCTTTAAGTCAAGATTTATGGTGAGGATTGGCAAAAGGTCTCGGGGATGGACCCAGGTGCCATGGGTTGACTGACTGATATGACTGGTAGATGCACTAAATGTGCTCCCCACTGTGCCAACTTGTTGCTGTGCCAACTTTTAGTTGCCTGGCACGCCGCTCATTGTTGTGAGACTCACTCCTCTGCTCTCCGTGTATAAGGGCGACTGCCTGAAATTGCCCATCTTGACACCGCTGGTACTCGTCGTCTGCAGGTAGAATCAGCTCCACATTCTCCTGCACCACATCAGTCCATCTTGTCTCGAGCCCGTGCCGCGCCTGACTATCCCATCTATCCGGCCGAACAGAAACTGCTTGGGCATGCAGTGGCTGGGCATGTGGGCTACGTGACCCAGCCAATGCAGCCTCGTCTGCCGGAGGAGCTCACTGATGGGACTGTGTCCAGATCTTTCAAGGGTCTGTGAGCTCCTGACAATTCAGGCTGGTTTATCCCAGGATGGATCGTATGTAGGCCAGCCTGACTGTTTTCAACCATCGCAGATGTTCCTTTAAAGGGCTCCACATTTCGCAAGCATATAGAAGGGAGGGTCTGAGTTTTGTTTGGAGTGATAGGCCGGGTAGCTTCCACAGAGCATTACGCAGCTGACAATACACGCACATCCCATCAGTAACACAGCCTTTTGGCAGTGCATCATTTCAGCAGCATTGGTTCAGAGCAAGCAATGTAACCTTTTTGGCATTCATTGTTTCATCAGCAGAGTCGGGCTTGCTTACACCAAAGTTGGTGAACTCCCAGATGTGAAGAGGCAAGGGCCCTTCACTGCTAGATATAGGTCCTAGTTCAGCACAAAACTAGACAATATGTAAATATATATTTAGAATGAGGGACTCCTCCCCGGTTGGATGTCTATGAAGAAGGGCCATTGCCAACAACGTTATTGACAGATATGTTGAGTTTCTTTGTCGAAGTAATATATGCCTGTGCTTAGCAGCACTTGAGGTGATTGCCGGCACACATTCCAGGGCAATGGTATTTTGTTGAACCCTGTGGCATGTGGCTTGATGCACTGTGGAATGTGTGTGTAAGCATTGTGTGGGAGATTCGGGTGGGGGATTAGGCTTCCTTTCCGCCTCTTATCAGTAGCTTCGTGACATCAGCAGTGTAAAATATATTAACTACTGGTGGACAATATAATACCGACTTATGAGTGTGCCTGAGTGATTGAGGGGGAGTGGTTCAGTGATGGAGTGAGTGGGTGGGCAATTGAATGATTGGTTGAGTCGCTGTGTAAATGAGTGGTTGAGTGAGTGATTGGACGAGAGGGTTGTATGTTTGTCCAACTTCTTTTGCACCCTTCGTAGCCAACGGTGCTAATCAGAGGTGTGGAGTTAAGTGAGGGATTGGTGAGTGAGTGGTTGAGTGAATGGTTGAATTAGTGGGTGAGTGGGTGGGGCTTAACATTTCACTTGGAAATCAATATTTACTGTGCAGATTTTCAGGAATAAATTAGGGTACACCTGCACAGAACATTCATGTCAGGGGAAACATTTTCATTTGATTTATGGTGTCTCCAAATTTTCATTTGAATAAGTTCTGTGTATTCGAATTTAAATGATTAGTAAATTCAAAAGGACAGATGAAAATAGATACACACGTTGTTGGGGGTTGACTCAGCTCATCTTTCCTCAAGGGTCTATAAAATAAGTACCCCTCTGTGGAGAAGTCAACAGTGGTTGTTCTATGGATATACTCACCCCTAACATCGGGATGTCGGACTTCCACCACAGGCTCAGTGCTGTAAAGAGGAGATAAGCACTGCCTCAATGCTCACTTGAGCAGAACATTGCCTCAATGAGCTTTCAGTAGACACAAGCTACGCATGGTGGATGTCCTCCAAACACAGACACTTCTACAATCAGGACTGTGCTGCAAATTAAAATCCTGCTCAAATCAGAGCACATGACGGCAGCAGCAACCCTTAGCGAGACATCACACCGTTTTTAAATTGGAAAATTGCTCAACGTATTTGAATAAAAACTGGACTCTTCTTCATATAATTTGCTTTTATTTTCTTCATTCATAATGAAAACCCAGGGATAGATGTCAGCCTAAGCACTTAATACTATTAAGGGTTGCACTGAGCACAAAAATGGTAACTCTTCATGCTGGCAAAAGCCAGCCTGTAGTCAATGTTCAGTGTCTCATCAGCAGTCAGGCTCGCTTGCACCAATGCTGGTGAATTACCACATTTTCACAGCCAAGGGCTTCTTCTGTTGGATGTGGGTTCTAGTTCGCCACAAACCATACAATATACAACACAAAATAATAATTAGCGTTATTGTGGAGAATATAAGTAACAGAACAAATAAGGCAGACCGAATGCTTCGTTCACATATCTGTCTCTCAAAATGAAAACGTAGAGTAATTTGTACAATCCCATCAGTCACATGGTGCATAATTTCAGCTGTATCGGTTCAACACAAGCAAACATGGTGAATCGCTCTATCTGAATGAGAGTGTGCCTATTGGGTATTTTACTCTAGGAACACTTAAATTTGATTTGAAGCTTTCGTGACTGCAGGAATTACTCTTTGGTTCTTTCGGTAAAGTCACGTAGAAAGAAAATAAATTAAATAGAATAAGATGTTGCGATTGCAACACATGGAGACACACAGACAGACACACAGACAGACAGACACACAAGCAGAGAGACACAGAGAGAGACACACAACATAGACATGAATTTGGGATGGAAGCGCAAAGTTATTGCCACAGTAAAACAATAGGGCCGGCACGCTCCGAGTGAAGTGGGAGTGGTGCGGCTGTGGGAGGCTAAGCGCACTTGGGGGGGTGGCGGTGCTAATTTTCCCGTCCGTTGTAGCCGGCCATGCTCACCGGGTCCACGTGTTGGGGTCGGCTGACGCGCCCGCGTAATGAAACGCTTTGAAGGAGTCTCCCGGAATGCTGCGTGGGACCGTTGGCTACTTCGTAGAAGTGATCATTCATGAGCGATCTTGCTGCTGCTGCTGTTGCTGCTGCTGGTGGGGGAGGCTATGATGGCATTTCCACCTCAATTACGATTTGATTGCATAACGGGGCTCCTTTCATTGGCTCACAATGTTGTAAAAAGGACATGTGGCTGATGGGAGGTGTAAATATTTTTATTTTTTATGGTGAACGGACGTTTACGTGGAGGCTTATTGTCAACTTATTTTATCTATATATGTAAAAGGGAAATTTGTGAATGTGTGTCTGTTCCCGACATGCAACAAACTTGAAATTTGGCATGTGGGTAGTTTCTAGACTGTACACCATGCAAAATGTATACAAATAGACTTTTGTATTTTTTTGTGGGGGAGGCGCAATCTATATATATAAAATCGCAAATCTGTCTGTCTGTCTGTGTGTGTGTCTGTGGCGCCGGACCATATGCAGTTTCATTGGACGAAATGTGAGGGATTTGCGAGACACGATTGGTCCGGCGGTTGCCCCTGGCAATGGGTAGCGACGCATTCGCTGCGGGGTGGACGCCATTTTTTATTCCCGTTAAAAATATGCGCACGCATTAACACGCGACTCTGAGGTCAATTCATCAAAGTTTCACGTCCTCTTCACTCCCCCCCCACCACAATGTGTGCAATTACTATTATAGGGTTGGTAGATAATAAAATTATAGCGATTAGACAGTATTATTGTAGCGCGGGGGGGGGGGGGGGGGGGAACGGCCCCGGTACCCAGCCTCAGCCGGGTGGGCAATTTAGGCGAGGCCGGAGGCTCTGCACGGTACTAGGCCTCGACACCCACCACGCGACTCTGAGGTAAATTCATCAAAGTTTCACGTCCTCTTCACTCCCCCGCCACCCCAATGTGTGCAATTACTATTATAGGGTGGGTAGATAATTAAATTATAGCGATTAGACAGTATTATTGTAGCGCGGGGGGGGGGGGGGGGGGTAACGGCCCCGGTACCCAGCCTCAGCCCGGTGGGCAATCTAGGCGAGGCCGGAGGCTCTGCATGGGACTAGGCCTCGACACCCCACCACACTATAGGCCGTACATATTACTGCACAGCGGCCGAGGAGATCGTGGCTGGGGGGGGGGGGTGGGGGGGGCAGGGGTAGCAGCCCATCTGTGTATATATGTAAGGTTATTAAGAAATATATTTTTCACCCGGGCAACGCCGGGTACTTCTGCTAGTCTATATATATAAAATCGCAAATCTGTCTGTCTGTCTGTGTGTGTGTCTGTGTGTCGCCGGACCATACGCAGTTTCATTGGACGGCGGTTGCCCCTGGCAACGGGTAGCGACGCATTCGCTGCGGGGTGGACGCCATTTTTAATTCCCGTTAAAAATATGCGCACGCATTAACACGCGACTCTGAGGTAAATTCATCAAAGTTTCACGTCCTCTTCACTCCCCCCCCACCACAATGTGTGCAATTACTATTATAGGGGTCGGTAGATAATAAAATTATAGCGATTAGACAGTATTATTGTAGCGCGGGGGGGGAGGGTACCGGACCCAGTACCCAGCCTCAGCCGGGTGGGCAATCTAGGCGAGGCCGGAGGCTCTGCACGGGACTAGGCCTCGACACCCCACCACACTATAGGCCGTACATATTACTGCACAACGGCCGAGGAGATCGTGGCTGGGGGGGGGGGGGCAGGGGTAGCAGCCCATCTGTGTATATATGTAAGGTTATTAAGAAATATATTTTTCACCCGGGCAACGCCGGGTACTTCTGCTAGTCTATATATATAAAATCGCAAATCTGTCTGTCTGTGTGTGTGTCTGTGTGTCGCCGGACCATACGCAGTTTCATTGGACGGCGGTTGCCCCTGGCAACGGGTAGCGACGCATTCGCTGCGGGGTGGACGCCATTTTTAATTCCCAGTTAAAAATATGCGCACGCATTAACACGCGACTCTGAGGTAAATTCATCAAAGTTTCACGTCCTCTTCACTCCCCCCCCACCACAATGTGTGCAATTACTATTATAGGGTCGGTAGATAATAAAATTATAGCGATTAGACAGTATTATTGTAGCGCGGGGGGGGGAGGGTACCGGACCCAGTACCCAGCCTTCAGCCGGGTGGGCAATTTAGGCGAGGCCGGAGGCTCTGCACAGTACTAGGCCTCGACACCCACCACGCGACTCTGAGGTAAATTCATCAAAGTTTCACGTCCTCTTCACTCCCCCCCCACCCCAATGTGTGCAATTACTATTATAGGGTCGGTAGATAATAAAATTATAGCGATTAGACAGTATTATTGTAGCGCGGGGGGGGGGGGGGGGAATGGCACCCGTACCCAGCCTCAGCCGGGTGGGCAATTTAGGCGAGGCCAGAGGCTCTGCACGGTACTAGGCCTCGACACCCCACCACCCTACAGCGGATCGGCGCGCCTCACTAAAACCCTACAACAGATCGGCACGCCTCACACAAACCCTACAACGGATCGGCGCGCCTCACTAAAACCCTACAACAGATCGGCACGCCTCACACAAACCCTACAACGGATCGGCGCGCCTCACTAAAACCCTACAGCGGATCGGCGCGCCTCACTAAAACCCTACAACGGATCGGCGCGCCTCACTAAAACCCTACAACGGATCGGCGCGCCTCACACAAATCCTACAACGGATCAGTACGCCTCATACAAATCCTACAACGGATCGGCGCCTTACACAAACCCTACAACGGAAGCGTAACGCATTGTAGTGTCGTGGTTAGCGCGCCGCGCTACGAACCCGGCGACCCGAGTTCCATTCCCGCTCACGGCCACCACCGGTGACGATTATTTGAACCGGTCCTGGGCCTCCCCTAGGTAGACTCAGCCTCAAAACGAGTAACTGGTGTGGCGTATGAACATCGCCACTGGGGAGACAAAGGCGGCCGGGCGTGGTGGATCCAAGTCCCGGGCGAAGCCGGGTAGTACAGCTAGTAATGGATATATTTTGCACGGCAAGTGAGTTGTGACGTCACATCTGTGATGTCACCCGCATGCGGAAGCGTCACGCAGTGTGCCTGCTGACGTCACGCATCCCCCCCCCAACCCTCCGCGAGTAAAGTGCCATACAAACGTGTTGCAGGTCTAAGGCGTTCGTCGCGCAGCATTGCTGCTTTATTATTTGAGTCGTTTACTGCCGTACGCACCCTGAAAGTTGTGTATGTCTGCAGCAAGCGCGTGTATGTGTACCTGTGGACGCGCACGTGTGTGTGCGTGTGGGGGGGAGCTGTAGTGGTTAGCGCGCTGCGCTACGAACCTGGCGTCCCAAGTTCGATTCCCGCTGACGGCCACCACCGGTGACGATTATTTGAACCCGTCCTGGGCCTCCCTTAGGTCGACAAAGCCTCAAACGAGTAACTGGTGTGGTGTGTGAACATCGCCACTGGGGAGACAAAGGCGGCCGGGCGTGGTGAATCCAAGTCCCGGGCGAAGCCAGGTAGTAAAGCTAGTCAATTATATTCTTCACCTTGATGCAAAATATGAATTTGTGTTTTTATAGTTTGATGTCAGACTCGGGCCCATATCTAACAGGATCCTTGCGTATAAACATCTGGCGGTTCACCAGCATTGGGTCAAGGAAGCCTGACAGCTGATAGGGCACTGAATGTAGAAACTGATTCAGAGGTTGCTCGTATCAAACCAGTGTTGCTGATATTACACTGCAATCCCACAATGCCATGTGCCTGATGGGGTTGTGTAAAAACACATTTGATTTTTATGTGGAGAGATAAATATGGAATGGAGGTAAATTGGATGGAAGGAAACACCCAGGGCAAGATCGCATGAAAAAGAGCTTCATAGCTCATCAGATTCCTCCAGTCTAAATAAAGATTCTGGTTTTGTTAGCAAATAAAATAATAAGCAAATTAAACAGACGAGAGTTGTCATGGACATTGCAAATGGAGTTGTAGGCAGTAATCATTGAATGCCAGCGTCACACACAGAGTTACCACAGAGTGAGTGCACTGTTGCTGTTGTTACACTTGGCATTATCAGCGTCTTACCACACTTGGCGGGAACAGTAAACACCCCACTTGGGTGAATGTGGGTGCGGGTACAGCTGTGGTTGTGGTTGAACTGTGATGTGGTGGAGTTTTGGTATAATGGAGTTGTGGTGTGGGTGAAACTGTGGTGTGGGGCAGCTGTGGTATGGTGAGGCCCTGATGACTGGAGTGATTGATGTATGTGTGTGTGTTGAACTTCTTTCGCACCGTACGCAGCCAACTGTGTTAATTTGAGGTGCAGGGGAAGGATAAAAAAAAACGAAACACAAAAATCTATTATAAAGAAATGAGTTTTCAATCTAGTTTTTAAAAGCGCATAGCTCCAGTGGCTTCCTAATATCGGAAGGAAGAGCGTTCCAGACGGCTGCAGAAGTGCATCTGAAAGCACGCGAAGGAGTGACCGTCGGTGTTCGATGGCTAGCCAAAAGCTGCTGCGAGAATGGCTGAGTTCACTTGATGTTTTCTGCTGCTTTGCAAGGTCAGCAAGGTATTGTGGTTAATTTGTGGCAATAACTTTGTGTGTAATGAGTGTGAGCTTATAATGATGTGCCGTGTCACCTGCAGGACTCCTCCTACTGGGTGCAAGTGCAGCACCTGGAGCACAAGGATGGTGGAATCCTTGACGATGACGATCTCCTCCGGGATGTGTGCGACGATAAAGACAAGGTACCACCACTGTCTTGCACTGTGGCCTTAACGAATTGCATATTGTCAATATTGTCATCGGCCATGATCACTCAGGTGCTGAATGAAGGCATCTCCAAACTGCTGCCAGCTCTCACCATCCCGCAGTACAACGGTCCACCCAGCATCTCATTGCTCCAATAATAACCAAGATACCTCTCCAGTTGTTGTTCTCGCTCGATGTCCATCTTGCGACGTGTCCTGCCCTAGTTTTTATTGGGCGGCGACGTGGCCTGGCGGTAGCTCGTTCGTCGCGTGTTGCAGAGGTTTGCAGCACCCGGCGGGCCGCCCTGATGAACGCTGCGACTTTATCAGCCGTAAAATACCGAGCGCCGTCGGCTTCACAGTGGACGTTAAAGATTCCATGATTTCATTAAAAAAGTAGGTCATTGTGTGCTGGTGTCATGGTTCAAATTTACCAAGTAAAAAAAAGACCCACAATATACTCAATTGGAAACAGCAGTCATTGCCCCCTCGGGACTGGCAGACTAATCACCTGCTTGCAAGGAGGTACGAAGTAACCTTGTGCCACACAGGGACAGTTGCCGCTAGGGGTGCCCTTTCAATTCATAATACAGGTTTTTGTTTGGGGTTAGATTACATCTATATATATATAAAAGGGAAATTTGTAAATGTGTGTCTGTTCAAAATGTTTAGCGTACTTCCTGACATGCAACAAACTTGAAATTTTCTATGTGGGTACTTTCCAGACTGTACGCCATGCAAAAATGATAAAAATAGACTTTTGTATTTTTTGGGGGGGGGCGCTATAATGCATATATTTTGCACGGCAAGTGAGCTGTGACGTCACATTTGTCATGTGACCCACGCATGCGGCAGCGTCACGCAGTGTGCCTGCTGATGTCATTCATCCCCCCCCAACCCTTTGCGGGTAAAGTGCCATACAAATGTGTTGCAGGTCTAAGGCGTTCTTCGCGCAGCATAGCTCTATTATTTCAGTCGTTTACTACCGTAAGCACCCTAAAAGTTGTGTGTGTATGCAGCAAGCGCGTGTATGTGTACCTATGGACGCGCGCGCGTTTGTGTGTGTGGGGTGAGCTGTAGTGTTGTGGTTAGCGCGCTGCGCTACGAACCCGGCGACCCAAGTTCGATTCCCGCTCACGGCCACCACCAGTGACGATTATTTTAACCGCTCCTGGGCCTCCCCTAGCCTCAAACGAGTAACTGGTGTGGTGTGTGAACATCGCCACTGGGGAGACAAAGGCGGCCAGGCGTGGTGAATCCAAGTGCTGGGCGAAGTCGGGTAGTAAAGTTAGTAAATATATAAATGTGCCATTAAACCCGCCACCACCCAACACAGCCAATTAGTAAGGTTTGTCACGTAAAGAGAACATGCCAATTCGTTACTAGTGTAATAGATCCCGTTCAGACGACGTCTTGACTTCAGAGTTGTTTATTCGTTTCTCCCGTTCACAGCCTTCCACCGCCTTCACACACTCGGTTCCCTCGCCTCCCTCTCTGCTCCCTCACGCTGCTGGCTGACAGCGTGAGAGAGACTGCCGCGGCCCGCCACGTGGCTTGAGCGGGACCACGGCACCAGCGTGGCTTCCCCCTTCGTTCCTCCGCACTGACCACGTGCTGTCTTTCTCCACCCCTTATAATACCTGGCCCACGTGATACCACGTAGCCAATCCTCAGCCACACCCCTGGAACTTTCTCGAAGATACTGTCCAGCTCCAGGGCTACACCCCTGGCTCGACTCCCCATTGGCTGCAGGCTGAGGCCGGCAGAGCCTATCACTATCGCCCAGGTGTAACCTCACATTACACTATTCCAGCACACCGGTGTGTTGTTGCGCCAATATCCAATCCGAGTACGACTCATCCCTGCAGTTGCTCGCTCACGCCACCACTGGTGGAAGGACCTCCACTCGAGGGAGCACTCGAGGGTATTTGGTGGGTTTACCCCACCACACGTGACCTGTTGATCCACTAGCAGTGCGATTACCGCGTGGACAGAGGGGGACTTCAGAAACCTTGGCTATTGTTCTTAATGCTGCGCTGGGAGATGGAGTGGAAGCGGCGACCTCCGTGCTGCGAGTGCGTTAGACACCATGGCAGCTGTACAAGTGACCATGCAGGACCCTCCTTAAAATTGTGTTCAGGCTCAGTTCAGAATTCCCTGGATAGATGAACTGTTATTGTTGTTAGTGATGCGTGAGTGCATCCAGTAAAACGAGTGTAGGGCTCTGACTTGACTGTTCCTTATAGGTCTGTGCCACTAGCAGTCGTAACAAAGTGTTGGTGATACATTATTTTCAGCTGCCTTTGTGGAAACCCGTCAGTCCAGACCAATGTGTGCCCTGCTAACTGCTTAGGAGTCATGCCTGACTTGCTGTGAGGCCATTAAACACCACGATCAATGAAATGCATCCCCATTCATGAAGTGCCATTCATGCTTTCCAACCAGTGTGGGACCTTGGCAGGTGCCTTGCCAATTCACTGTTAGCTTTGTCTTGACTCGGGAGCTCCATTCTCAAATGCTTCTCCACATCGTAAAGCGCTCGATGCTTCCTCTCCTCTGCTCCTCTGCCGCGCCGCCACACGGTGGCGTCGTTGTGCTACGACTCAGCTCCATACCATAAGTAACGACACGGGACCAATATCAGAATTCAGTAACCACGGGTGATTGCAAGTATATTCGACTAACTGCTGTGCCAAACCCAGGTGGTACCAACAATAACAGCTTTGGTCTGGGCTCAGGGGCTAAGTATAAGCGTGTGTTCATCTCCGGGTGAGGGGTGGGGGTAATCCAGTTCCTCTTTGACATGGCCAGGCGAAACATGCGATGGACTGTCCGTGCATAGCTCACTGAACTGGACAGACACGGCAGACTCCCAGCTCGTACTCGTGGCTTCACGCGCTTGGAAACGCGCAGCTGTGCCCTCGCCCAGTGGGGACCGTGACACCATTCACAGGGGACGTTTTCCAACCCGGACCAATCTTTGCATAGACACGCAAAGCTCTGGCACAAAACAAAGTAATTTACATTCAAAACTCTTCACAGCTGGCCATCCACTCCGTGGCAGATAACGGGCCCAGAACAAGACATCACAATCTGACTTCTGATGCCAGTTCTATAGGCCTCTTCATCCACCATAAGAGCACATCTTGTATGTGCCCTGCAAAGGGCATTTATCTTGTGTGAAATTCTCGTAACTGAAATAAGCTCTGAGATCTTAAGTGACAATTAAAATTCATAGTGGTGTTTTTTTTTAGTTATTGTTGAATACAGCTGGTTGTCTGGATTTGAACCCAGGATGTCGACCGTATGGGCTCAGCCCTGTGACCCCTGAGCAACCCGGCCACCTCGGCATTTGAAGGCCTGATTAGTCTACGAGTAAAGGCGTCTACTGCCTGTACAGCTGGGACGCTGTGATGGGATTTGGAAATTTGCGCACAAGTCCAATCTGTACCAGATAGCGCTGCCTGTTAGGACGATATTACTCTCGGCTGGTTTCCACGCCACATCACAACACCAACTTGCAGAAAACGGTTTGTTATGCCCCAGTTACCACCCATTTGGTGCATTCTTCTTTAACCGCGTATTTTACTGTGGTAGTGTCTGTTATTTCATTCTTTTTTTTTTATCAAATTCCATTTCAAAAATGATATATTAATTGTATTTATGGGTATTTAAATAATTACAGAGCGGCAGCCAAGGAATGGTACGCGTCCGAGAGAACGTGTACAGATGAGATGGATTGATGAGATGGGTTCGTGTGCAGGTACCAGTTGGATTGTTGTGTTGCAGGATCGCAAAGGGCCGTTGGAGGCTTGGGGAGGCCTTCATGCAGCTGTGGATTGGTCATGACTCATAATGACGTGGTTTCTTGTGTACCCTTATGTTTAACTTTTGTGCACCCCTGGCTTGTCCAATACAATAATCTCTCATGTGTGCATAGACAGTGGCAATTGGCTGTAGTTTGGATCGACTGTCATCCCTCGGGAATTGCGGTCACGAGTGTGCGTGACCTCCGTGTGACAAGGCTGTGTGCACGCGTGGCCAGTATGTGTGGTGCGCAGAGATACGCAAGTGTCGCTGCGCATGTACTGTGCACTCTGGGGCGGTGTGTAAACATCGGCATTTGCGAGACAAAGGCAGCTGGCCAGGCGTGGTGCTGGCCACCCCCCCCCCCCCCCCCCCCGTATGCCGTGCCGGCCTTCATAGGTGCTCGCTAACACCACTTGCCCCAACAGTCTGTTAAGGCGATATGAGGATCTTTGTCTTTGTACTGTACACTGCACATGTCGGTTGCAAAATCCCTGCGCTGACGTCTTTTTAAAATGTTGCGCAATTCGTACGATTTTCTCGCTTCGATGTTTACCCCGAGTTTCACATTTATCGTCACTTTGTCGATCATAGATTGAGACAGCTGATTGGTCTCTCTGCTCATCCCAGTGGTGTTATCTGCTTCTATGTCAGGTGGTGTTGATTAAGGTTTGCGCATGGAAGATGCCAATGACAATGTGCACGTTGTTCAAAATGCTTGGTGCAATAGCCTCATCCGAGCAGTCATGAAACGGCTGTACTACCCATCCTGCTCAGGAGCCATCGCAGAAGCCTATTTTTATTTTCCATGACAGAGGCTCTTTAACTCTGAGCTATCATCACTGCTGCTGCTGCTGTATCAAGCACAGAGTTGGATGCAGTTGGAATCCTTCCACGGCTGCTGCTGCTGCCAAATCTGGGGCGGAGCACCGAGCTCTCTCTCACCTCACTGCTGCACCGCAGAGAATTCAACCTGAAGCAGCAGTCAGGGTGGTTGATGATCCCCACCACTCACCGGGTCACTCCGGTCACTCGCTCATCGGCAGTCGGTCGCCTTCTTATCACTCGTCTATCACTACTACCAGGGTTACTGTTTCCTAGAACTCCACTCATTGGTTCCTCCACAAATGTTGGAGACTCATCCACACTGTGTTCACCCACCACCACCTCCACAATGCAAGTCACACTTC